TATGTTTCTCACTGTTGAAGGTTATATGCTCATATACCTGCACAAACATTCAAAAGGACAAAATCCATATTTCTTTTAGCAGTTTAATTCAGAAAAAGCTTATGGTTCAATATACCTACGTCTTGTTAGTATAAGGAAAAGAATGTCATACTTCATCTGTCATAGCTAGACAATTCCTGGTGCGACATTCTCCAGCAATAATCTCAAGTTCATCTTTAGTGAATACTTTGCCAGTTGGGTTGTGAGGACTGCAAAATTTACATCAGTACATATCGACATAATAATACGAGAAATATGATTTCTTGGTGGTTGCTTCTAACCTGTTGAGTACTACAGCTTTTGTTCTCCCAGTGAAAGAGTTGATGAATTTGTTAGGGTCCAAGGTCCACTGAGGTGGGTCGAGAGCGACGTATACCTGTGACATTCATTGTATTGAAAAAAAAAATTAGTAGAAATTTGAAATTCCGTCTGACCATCAAGCAGCTGCTGCTCTAATCTGAATTCATAACACAAAGTGCCTTCAGTGACAAGTAATAGGAAGCAGAGGCTTACTGGGACTCCCCCAGCCATCTTAATGCATCCTTCATATGTTTCATAGCAAGGGTCAAACAGTACAACTTCATCACCCTTGTCTATTACTATCGAACCAGGAGAGGAAAACAAATTATATCAATCCCCAAACAAGAAAAAGAGAAAAAAAAGAAAAAGGAATCCCATTAAGACTCAGAATATTATGAAGTGGTTCTTGGGACTCTCTCCACTCCCAGCCATTTTAGTTTATAATAAATTTTCTGTTTCTGCTTGTGCATGTAGGAAAAGGTAAAAGAAGTTAATTTTGAAGGTGATAAATGAAAGTGGAGCTTAGAGTGATGAGGTAGCATACTTGCAAAGGCAGCTGCCGCGAAGGCCTCAGATTGGCCACAACAAATAGCTATATCAGTAAGAGGGTTGACATCCAATCCATGGATTTGCTTCATTATGTTTGCCAGGAGGTCACATATTCCAGGTACATGCCTTACATTAATTAACATCAAAGGAACATTAATATTTAACTTGAGCTAGTCAAGTCAAGGTACGTAGTTTATGTGCAGTGGTGGGCAGGGGAAGTGAGTGGTTGTTTCAAATTCAATTTCATTTTGATGAAGCAGAGCTGAGCTGAGCACATGAATTTCTAGTGTACCTACCTACCTACCTGTATTGATTGAAGTCGGAATGAATAGCGGAAATGGCAGCGGATTTGATATGGGACGGTGCAGGGAAGTCTGGAAAGCCTTCGGCGAGGTTGATGGCGTTGCATCTCTGGGCAAGATGGGACAGTTCCTGAATGGGCGATGGTGCAAAACTCTTTGCCACGCTCGATAACTTATCCTCCATTTCACTTCCAATTTCAATTGCTTTGCCGCGGTGTCTTTCCTTTTCTTCACTCTATCTATATTTATAATTATGAGTTCCTCAAATACAACACACACATTTTCGTTTTCGTTTTTCTTACTTTAACAATTAACCCCTCTCACTCTCACACACACTACCCTACCCAGGAAGGCCTAGGATGGGGATGGATTCTGATTCGACATGAAACGAACACCGTTGGAAAAACATGAGACAAGTTACAAATTTTCACCAGAAACTTACCCCAAAAGCGAAAAGTAAAACAAACAAGACGCACATACGATATGACCATGTATTTACGTTGGCATATGGCGAAATTGCCCATCACCATTCACCACCCGTGACCTATGTGTGGGTGTTGTGGTAAAATCTTGAAGGTGCTTACAAGTGCAGGAAAGAGATAGGAAGCAGCAGCCTTTGGATTTAATCTAAAGGCGAGTCCCGCCCTTGACCCATCTGGACCCCATTGAAGGAGACTCCTTTGTCCATACATATAATCATATATTCGTATGATTTCTTGCCTTTTTCTTTTTTGGTGGATACTCGAATTAAACTCAAAGCACAGCTAGCATACGACTAAGAAGTTGAACAAGAGTATATCGTGGACATGAAGAACCAGCTGCTCTGTTCCAGCACAGATGAATCAACTACAGACGAGAATGATGAAGAGTACTGGCCAAGATCAGTAGCTGCTAATAATAATTGTTGGTGGAGATCATGGGGTGCAAAGTTTGATGTTAAGATGATGAAGGTTGATCCAAGGATGAGAGTGGTGAGAGAGTTGGAGAGACTGGCTTTGGTGGCAACGCACAGTCATCACGAAGGGCTGAATGAGCTCCGGCACAAGCTGCACATGTATCGATCAGGTGATTTCTGGATGCCTATAGGAGGTATCACTAAGGAAAACATGGACATCCCACCGCTGGCCACAATTCTCTTGGTTGGCTTCTCTGCTTCTGGCAAGACCTCCCTCGTCAACCTTATGTACTCTGTTTTGGGTCGCTCTGGACTCGTACCCTTTGCTCAAACATCACCGCCGGAGACAGGTACGAATTAATTAACCTGATTAGCTATATATTTTAACTCACTTCCTTACCTTAATTATATACATATTACACAAACACAAAAAACAAAATATATATTATTATACATATAATACTGTTATTTTTTTCTTTTAATAAAGTATTAACGACATGGTATATTTGTATTGGTACGTGCTGCGTGCACAATGTGCTACATGATATCCATTGTTGTTATTATTAAGTAGTAATTAATTGAATTTTTATTTGTGTTTGCAGTAAGTTATTCTTCAAATCATAGTGGTAAATCTAAAGCTAGCATGGTTTTGAAAGAGCACAATGTGCTAAGGTCTTCGCGAAGTGGGCTCTGTGTGTTTGACTCGAGGGGATTCGAGTACGACCAAATGGGTGAGGGTGTTGAAGAACAAGTGTCAAATTGGATGAATGACGGGGTTCGTCATAACCAAGTGTGCTTAAGACCAGGCGACGATGCTGCGGTAATGGAACATGAAGAATATTCGGCTTCAAAGTTTGTGAGGAGGAGAGTGAATTGTGCAATGGTGGTGGCTAACATGGCAGAAATCTACAAGGCATTGCAGGCTGGTGATTCTAAGCCAATGGAGGCCACGAGGCAGCTTTTCTGCTCTGTCAACACTTTCACAAATTGTAGTAAGTTTTCTTCATTCCTTTTTATCATTTAATTCGTCAATTATAATATATATAATATAATATAATATAATTTGGGAGTGCAGATGATGATGAGAGGCCTATCTTGATCTTGACACATGGCGACATGTTATCAACTGAGGAGAGGATTGAAGGGCGGCTCAAAATCTGTGAAAGTGTGGGTGTATCGGAGACCAGTGGAGTATATGACATCGTGTGCCTTACCGAGTACGGATTTCTGGCAGAAGAATCAGACCCAGTTTCAGCCTATGCCGTCACTGAAGCAGTGTATAGGGCATTGCTGATATCGGACAGAACCCACTCACCAAAGAAAAGCCTTGAGGACTGGGCATTGCTTGTATTATCCTGGAGCATGTACTTTCTTGGCTCTCTATTTGCTCTGCTTGCTCAGATTTGCCTCAAACTCGGTCGACACACCTAGGATATATATTAAACTAGTACTAACCCACTCAGCTCTACTAGGCTTACCATTCATTTCTTTTGATGTACTGTTCATTAATTACATGTGTTTTACTAACAAATACAATAGGGTTTTTATGTATGTTTAAGGAGCTCTGATCTGACTATGTGTAATATAAATAAATATTTGAACATGGTTAGTTCATATAATCGAGGAGGAGTTTACTTTACAGCTATCTGCTAGCTAGAGCATCTTCTTCTTCTTCTTCTTCTGTGTTTTTTTTCCTTTTCAAATTAGTACGAAGTGGAGGAGGAGTTGTAATTTGTAAAGGGTTGAACAGTCATGGCTCAAGTATCCATGGATTTGATAAATAATTCAAAAGCGTTGGATAGATGAAAAACATTTGAAGCCCAAATGATAAGTGTGTTTGAATTTGATCTGTCTTCAACAAGCGTACTTGGGATGGACCACGCTGAAGGGAAGGGAAAGGGAAGGGGGTTTCCATCCATCCGTATTGCCATGTCTGCCATGTCAGTCTCTGTACAATAAAAAAGAAAGAGACTGGCTGGCTGGCTGTCAATGTGTCGCTATTTGCATATGGACCAGAATCAATCTATGGGCTGGATTTTGTCTGTTATTGTAACTTTATCTCCCCAACTTCTTATTCCATCTTGTTTGTATAATATTTCTTATTTCTTATTTCTTGTAACCTAATGACAAAATACCAGAGCTCATGGTTTCTGGCTCTTTATCTGTATCTCACCACTCATCACTGGCCCACAAACAACAGCCTTTCCTCCATCCACTTGGATAACTATTAACCAAACCATTACCCAAAGCCAAGGTGAAAATATGTGTGTAATTAAATTATATTTCAATTTTCAATATCAAAGGAGACAGTGATTGGACTGGGATGGCCCAAACCATCTATCAAAACAGCTGAAAATGAATGCAGCTCCTGTAAAGCAAAGGGACACAAAACACCGAATATTTTTAAGAATATACAGACAGAGGTGGGGAAGTCTTGGGGCGTTTAAGTCATTTAAGAATATACCAGAGCTAGGGTTTTGTGTTGCCCCCACCTCCCCCAAAACGTTTTTCAAATTTTGTCGTGGCTATAATATATATACATTTAGCAAATATATAATTCCGTCCATGCGCTTTTCTTGTCCCTGTTTTCTTTTCCCCCTGCGCGCCTCCCTCTTTTCGCCAACCATTATATTTCTCCCTCAGTCGCTGGTTGTAACGAATTTGTTTGATCTCTACTAGTACTAGTACTAGTCGTAGCTAGCCAAGGATATGTTTCATGGGGTGGGGTTCATTCATTTAACATCCATGATCCATCCATCCCTGTGTGAAGTGTGCTGTTGATCAGCGATCAGCCGCTAGCTAGATGTGTTGTAGGTGTGTTTGATCAAACTCACCACCCATTCTGATTTCTTTGGCCTTTTAATCTTCTCATGAACATGAAACCACTGAAATAAGAGCTCGCTGTGTCAAGTATCATGGATCAAAGACAGAAAGTAAGAGCCATCCATCTTCTGATGTTTTTTAGCATCCACTGAACTGATATTGATAGTTCATTCATAAAAGTGTAACTAGCTAGCTTAGGTAACCTTGATTTCTGAAAACAGGGATCAGAGGCAGAGCACATGAATCAGAGTAGCATTGCCCCGCCCAGCAAAAGCTGTACAGATTGCCACACAACAAAAACACCATTATGGAGGGGAGGTCCAGCTGGGCCAAGGGTAAAATTTCATTTCATGGATCAACTTATAATTCATATCCATTTTCCTTTTGTTGAATTTGGTTTGATTCTTTCATTAATTGAAGGGCATATAATAATAATAATATATACATGATGTTTTCAGACTCTTTGCAATGCATGTGGGATTAAATACAGAAAGAGAAAGAGGGCTCTTGTTGGTTTAAACAAAGGAGCAACTGGAACAGAGAGGAGGAAACACAAGACTATTGGAGCCCCTTTGAAGCTGGGATTGAAGTCTATGAAAAGAGAAATGGTCGAAATGGTGTTCCACTTCCACAAGAGGAAGTTGAAAGAAGAAGAAGAAGCCGCTATACTGTTGATGGCCCTATCTTGTTCTAGTGGCACTGGCGGCGCCGTCTATGCTTAAAACTCTGTTTCGTCACTCTTGTATGTATCTAAATTCTAAATGATGCTTTTGCAGCAGCTGCCAATTCATTTGTATGAACTTTTGCAACATTCGTGCAAACGAAAAGCCTTCATTTGTTTGCTTGATGGTTGTTTTATGTTTTTCAGCTTTATATATACATATATGCTTGGTGGTTGTTTAGAACTTGCTCGATGGTTGATATATATATGCTATCAAATAGTGATCATTAAGTTAAGGCATCATTGTGTTTTGTTAGTTGCAGGGGCATTACTTCTCATTGGTATTGTTTTCTTTGTAACATTGTTTTTTCACGAACTTGGAGAGATTTCAGAAGGGGATTAGTGAGTTAACATTATTATTACTAATAAACAAATTCATTTTATTGTTTTTATAATTTTTTTTTAAAAAAGTAAGAACAATGGACCTATTCAAAAATCAATCCTACCAGAGAATTCCATGGTAGTTGAGATGAGAACAAAACGCATGCATATCCAAAATCCAATTAAAACATGAGATGACTTCTTTCTACTTGCTTCTGGGTTCCTCTCCTCCACAATCTTCAATTATTTGTATTACAGACAAAAACAGTAGTAATAATCATCTTTGTTTACAGATGTTGTAAAGGAAAGAATCAGAAGGTGACACGCAAAGTACACCTAGACATTCTAAATCTAAATTGTTGCCACGTCAGTGCACGTAGTTACACGTGTCCTCACAGTTGACCCTACAACCTCTTTCTACTCCTAGACATTCTAGGAGGTTCCCCTGCCTGCAGCTCTGTATTGTTCCAGGACTTTCCACAACTCCAACTGAGGAGGCCATCAATTTAAAGAAAGCAATACGAGCTAAAAAACAATTGAATTGAAGCATATCAGATCAGATGAGATCATTTATTATAGGGATCAAAATGCAATATTTACAAAATACAGTGGCTGCTGCTGTAGCACCAAGGTCAAGGTCAGTTTGGGTGCTTAGCAATCAAGCTCAATATCTGCGACCAGGACATGCTTCGGCCATGGCTAGTCGCCCTGCTGACCCAGCCCTTCACGCTGGGGACTATGAAGCTGATCCTGTTGTCACCACCGGAGATCCTCAAGTAAGACATATATATCTGAGCTCCAATTGAGTTTTTTGCCTTCAATTAGGTGGATGTACAATATTGTCTTTATATGTATCCATTCAGCCAACTACGACCTAGCTACTGGCTGTAATTAACTACAACGTCAATTGATGAAAATCTGTGTATAGGCTGCAGAAAATGTTGCACAGGAAAAAGCAGCCGTTGATGAGCAACAGAGGCAAGTAGACAAACCAGCCAGCAGCTGGGGCAAAGGAAAAGGAACAGGAACAGAACCGGTTTCACCTCCTAATAAACCCTCATATCCAAACGCAAGTTTCCCAAGGCTAGAGAAGACAGATGTGACCCTGCAGCCGGATCCGTCGGACTACCCAATCAATTATACGCAGAAAAGGCGAGGTAGCCAATACGCAACAGCTGCCACTGGTTTATCATTAGAGAATTTCGATTTGGAAAAGGTGAGCTGTGTGGGGCTGGATGGTACACCCTGGCCAAGGGACAAGGAAAATGAGGAGCACAAGACAGATAGAGATAGGGAAGACGAACAAGAGTACTACAAGCATCACAAGGCTTCGCCGTTGTCTGAGATAGAGTTCGCAGATACCCGGAAGCCCATTACGCGTGTAATGTACGGCACGGCTGCCGTATCGGAGTATGGTGCAGGTAGAGATGTCATTAGATGGAGGCCGGAGCAGTTGGACACCGCTGAGGAGGCACTGCGTAGAGCTGCAAGGATATGGAAAGAGAATGCCATGCGTGGTGACCCTGATGCTCCTCACTCCAGAGTGCTCAGAGCTCTACGCGGGGAGTCATTCTGAGTCTGGACAGATCATTCATCTATATATGTAATCTGATGCATGAATGGGATGTAATATGTAATGACATTTAATAATTGTATATGTATATATATGTGTGTGTGTGCCAGCGTTTGTGCGAAGAACCTACATGTAACCGCCTATCATGGAAAGTTAAAACATGGCAATGAGTGATGAATTGATGATGATATAGATGCAGTGTGAGTATGCAGTCTCCAAGGATTAAAATGCCAAATATCAAATGATACATATATATTTTATCACAATTTCCCAGCTTGCAGGGTTTGAATTTTCAAAGAGACGAAATTCAGGGTAACACGTGGACTTATTCAATAGAAAGAGCTCAATATCTATCACAAGGCTCCACTTCAAGAACAAAGAGTGAATTGTTGGGAAGAAGAGCTAACCTTTGCGTTTATTGTTGATAAACGCTGAGAAAGAGAGCGTCGCTAAAAGCCCTAGCTTGATCTTGATGTATGTATTTGCAGAGATGCCAGATCCGCCCAAGAAAAAAAACATTTTCTTTAAAATAAAAATAAAAATACCCGACCCGCCCAGACCCGCCTAGGCCCATTTTTCAAACTTTGATTGTTGGTCATTAAAGCGCAGTCGTTTTGGGCTTAACTCTTTGGGGCCATAATCTGAAATCACCAAAACGCCGTTACAGTTCTCCTTTCTTTTTTTTGGTTAAAATAAAAAATAAAATAAAAAGAAGAAAGGAGAACTGTATCAAAATCCCCGACCGTTCCCGTCCCGCCACATAACCGCACCACCGCCGAGCCTCGTCGGCTTATCCCCTCACTCTAATTTAATCTCACCCGCAGAAAAATCACAGCTTCTGTGCTACCGTCATTTGTAGTTCCGATTGCACCATGGAGGCGGAGAAAGCCACAGACGTGTCAGACATTTAGAACGAGGACGACCTCGACGAGTAGCCCGACGAGGTGATCGAATCAGCGCCACCTCTCAAAGTCGGCGAAGAGAGAGAGCTCGGTAGCTCTGGCCTCAAGAAGAAGCTTCTCAAGCGCGGCTATGGCTACGAAACCCCCGAGCTCGGTGAGGGTGGAGTGGTGAAGGGTTTGGACCATGGCGTGGTCTCTATGAAGAAGGGAGAGATTGTATTGTTCACATTGCCTGCTGAGCTGGGCTATGGTGTTGTTTGTGGGGGTGGCTCTGTTGTGCCGTCCAATGCTGTTGAGCAAAGATGGTGGGATTGTGAAGAAGATTATCGAGAAAGGAGAAAGGAATGAGCAGGCTGGTGATTTGGATGAAGTTCTTGGTACTCTGATGCCTCATTATCTAATCAATTTGAGTTCTTTATTGCTTATTATATTGTGTTACTAGCATGTAATCACAGTTCTGTCAACCTCAATTTTGATGTTTTTATTGGAACTTTGTTGTTAATGCAGTCAAGTATCGGATGGCGTTGTTGCAGAGACACCAGAAGAAGGAATTGAATTCTATGTGAAAGATGGTATTTTCTTCTTCTTTTTTGGTCTTAATCTTATGTGATTTTAATGAGGAAAGGCAATTCCTTTTGTGATTATACCATTTTGTGATAATTGAATATTACCGTGGGGTTTGTGTGTGTTTCAGGCCATTTTTGTTCAGCATTGCCAAAAGCAATCAAGACAATGAAAAGGGGAGAAAAAGGGCAGATTAATTGTTCAACCTCAGTGTATGTCTTTATCCTTGTTATAATACTGCTATATATGTCTGGCAAAGAGAAAAAAAAACAGAATGAATCGTCTGACAATGAAAGTTGCATAAATAATTGTAGATGCCTTTGGTGTGGAGGGGAGGGATGCAAACAATGGGTTTCATTCTGTTCTGCCCCTCCAAGTTCTGTGCTGAACATTGATCTGGAGTTGGCATCTGTCAAGCTTGTTCTTGATGTTACTGGTGATGCCAAGGTAATAAAGAAGGTCTTGAAAGAAAGGGAAGGTGTGCGGGTTGCTAATGAAAGTGCAAGTGTTGCTGGTAAGTTTATTGGGATGCGCATTATTTTACCAATATTATTACTAGAATCAGTTAGGAAGTACTTGGAGGTAATTTTTGGAATACATAACGCGCCTGTGATATCATACCATCCTATCCTACTACTAGTTAACTTAAACATTTCTGTACATCTCCAACTCCTACTGCTGCAGTTAGCTAATATATAGCCATATATCTAGGCTTGAAGATGGCACTGTTTTTGAGAAAAAAGTGTACAAGATAATAAACTGGAATTGAGTAACACGTACGTATGTAACTATTGTCCTTTTTATATTATTTATAATAAATTATTTTGAAAGGGGTGGGGGAGGGTGTATCGTAGAAGATAAAACACCGACAAAGGGTGCGGTCACCAATACACATGCATACTTGGCTCCCAGCTCTCTACCAAATCAACATTGTCTTTATATATACTCATGACGTGAACCAGTCTTGATCAACATTAATATTGTCTCTTACTATTGTATCGATTGACAGGAAGTCTTCTATCTCTTCTCTATGGCTAATTCAATTCCCCTTTCAATGCGGATCACACTGACCATCACCACTACTCTCCTTGTCATGCTACTGCGTGCATATGCTTCACCAGTTGTACCAGCAGCAGCAGTGTCCAAAGACGAAACAACCTGCACAATGTGTGATGAGTGTTCCAACCCATGCCATGTGCCATCATCACCACCGCCACCAGCACCCGTTATCAAAGAATGCCAGCCACCTCCTGCACTGCCTTCTCCACCACCTCCTTCTCCACCACCGCCAGCTCTCCCTGAATGCCCACCACCACCGCCAGCTCTCCCTGAATGCCCACCACCACCGCGACCACCGGTGCTTCCTCCTCCTTGTGACGTTTGCGGCGGAACCCCCTCCACCTCTTCTCCTCCTCCAGGGGCAGATGTGCCCTCATTATTGCCGTACCGGCCGCCGCCGCCACCCTATGTTCCAGGCAACCCAATAGCCCCATCCCTTTATCCTACAGATAATTTGAGTCCTCCAGAACGCCCTTATCCTTCTAAATCGGTTCCTTCGAGAATGCACTCCTCCTGCTCCACTCTTGCTTCCATATTTGTCTTGTTCACTTCAAGTTGCTTCTTCTTCTTCTTCTAGGTAAGTAGGTAACAAATAACCGTCGGCAGTAGCTAGCTAGCTAGTTCAGTACTGATACTGCATGTGACATGATATATGTCTCTCTCTCCCTCTCTCCCCCCTTAGCTAAGCTATTCTTTTCTTTTCTTTTGTAATAAGGCCTTCTTCACTGAAGCGCGATTAGCTGTAGTGTGTAATATTAATGTGTTTCCCCCTCTTAAACATATTATATAATTCATTCCTTTCTGATGTAACTTTTCATTTCATGATGCCCTTCATCGCGTTATTATATGAATAAATAAGTATTTAACTTTTTAGTTGTTGTATGTCTGTAAGACTGCAAGACTGTAACCTGCTAATTAATCAAAGTGTGTGTTCAAATTTTCGCAATTACATATTGTTTTCTATTTTCCATTCTTAATATGAATATAAATTTAAGGAATTGATATCCTAATTGTATTATGTATATGCATATTCGATCGGCTGCTTTGGTCCCACTACAGCACATCGGTTTGGCACTTAGGTAGGTTCTGTGTGGTCATCCAAAATAGTGACTCAGAGTCAGAGACATAGATACATCCCTAACCCTAAGGAAAGGAACAGGTAAGGCCACAGACGGAGACTGGGCCCAGCCCAACATGGGAAAATTATTTATTAGGTTGGGCTCCAACCTCCTATGTCTTGATAGCTGCTCTTCCAGGTTTGTTGAAATTTTTCTTGTGAGATATGCTTTTATGGGTGTGTGTTAAGATAGCTTTTGGAGGGGGTTAATTTTGTTACTGATAACAAAAATGATTTGGTTTGGATTTGGAGGTTCACTCATTGACGCGGTTAACTTATTCCCAACAAACAGCTCCATTTACCTAATTCACCTAATTTATTTACCTTAACAAGTTAATTTTGTGATGGAATAATATGCTGTGCTGATAGTTGGCTTGGGGGCCCATGTAGCGGCCAACTCTATTAATTATGTTTATGAGGTGGAAAACTTACAGCAGGCTGTGTGACTTTGCATTGCACGAATTAATTAATGCGTGACAAATCTGTTGGATTTGAAAGAGATTGCTTATTCAATGCATGAAATACCTACAAAGTAAGTATGAATGAGGACGTTATTGTTTTTTTTTGTTTTTTTTGTTTAATTACTTTTTTACTCGTATGAATGAGGAAGTAATTAGATTCCTCGTAGATTAGTCTTTTTTTTCTTTTCTAGGTTTCGATTTTGTGAACTTGATTAGTAAAAGAAGACGAGGAAAGAAATGCATGTATTAAAATCCAAAACCTGTCGTATTTTGAGTCTCAACTATTAACTCAAGGCATGAATTACTTGTGAATGGCAAAACCAAAATCTGTCGTATAGTCTCTTTCTTCTTCTGCACATATGCACGTTCATGTTCATGACGAAACGACCTCATTCATGTCGTATAGTCTCTTTTTTCAATTTTAACCGCACCCTGAGCATCCATAGTGGGAGGGGTGTATAATGTGATGTATGTTAAATATACACCTCAGGTGATCGGAATTACTCGCAATGGGGGTTGTAAATGAATGTATATTTACATCACCACCATGAGATGTAAATATAAATGCAATTGTGCATTTATTTTTACATCTTTTATAGGTGGGACCCAACTGAGAAAAAGAGATGAAAAATAGAACAAAACAATTATACTAATAGTAACAGGGTTGAAAATGATCCAACGGCAGTAAGTAATAATAACAAGGTTGAAAAATGATCCAACGACGTGGAGCATCATATGCATGTAGCACGAGCCGTGCCCACCCACCCACATTCAATATGGACTAGGACAAGCTTGAGAAATGCAGGTAGCCCCTCTCATTTATGACCACTAGATCACCACCTCTCTTTTTATAATATTATTATTATGTAGACCATCATGTTCACATTATCATATACATTGAGAATTGAGAATTGAGTATTGAGATTGAGTGATGGATTATAAATTATTGATTATTATTATATAATAGCGTCGCCCACCTTCACTTTGCTCTCTACCCCTCATATCTACGCTGTAAACTAATTTTCGATAGAGAGAGAGAGAGAGAGAGATTACAAAATTAAAGTGGAAAGATAGAAGCAGCGCGCAGCAAGAACAATGGAAGGTGTCTCTACAAGCATGTACAAAGGGTTGAGAGGCTACTGGCGGAGGAGAGGCTACGAGAAGCTAAGTGGGTCGGGTCGACTGACGGAGCTGCGTTCGGGCAGCAAAAGGCGTGCACGGCGGATCCGAATAAAAATAAAAATGGGTCGGAAGCTGAAGCTGAGCTTCCTCAGAATGAGAAGAATGCCTTCGCCGAAGAAGTTGTTGGTTTGGCTCCGGGACGCGTATGTGAAACTGATGCTGGGATTCGCTAACTCGGGGATGTTTAGTACCGGCTACGGTGGGGGGCCCATGTGCGACTACGGTAGCGGTTCCTTCGGGAAGGGCCCACTTAAGGAGTATGATGAGAAGATGATTGTCGAGATCTACAAGTCCCTGATGCTGGCGCAAGGTCAGTTGGTGCCCCGCGACGCAGCCAAGTTTGGCTCAGAAATCGTTAGCCGACGGTAATAATCACATCACAGACACAGACACAGACGCACGCACAAAAAATGAAAGATAAAAATGCTGTGTAAGTTAAGATTTTAGTAATCTCTTCTCTTGTCGTAAATTGTAATGGGGGGGTAGATTGGCAATAAGGTGATAGAAGCCTGGTGGTGGTGGTGGTAGATTATTAATAATTATTATGATTTTGTTGATGAATGAAGCAAATAAATAAATAAGCATCTTTCCAATTAAAAGTGCATGTGGCTCATCGTATATTGTAGCTGATATCGAATCAATAAGTTTGGCAATCGCCATTGATTAATCAAGGCGGGGACCAACCGGCCGACAAGATTGTGAGTTGTGACTTATTAATTAAAGGCATGAAACACGAAAGAGTTCAGTGTTGTACACGTCAACGTTGATGTTCTTGTGGATTACCCCAACAAACAAAAACAAAACGATAGCATTATCAATGTTGTATCACTCAAGTTTTGTTCCTTTTGTAAGATGAAGACGACGAAGAAGAAGAGATGATGTTTTTCTTCATCCCATCTTTAATATTTAAACTGCCTTCTTCAAGAGGGATGAGATTTCTTAGTAACTTGTTATATGTGATCCACGTCTTTTTACATGTGATTCAACTTCAACTACATCATTCCATTACTTATAAAACTTATGATTCTAATAAATAAATAAAGCACTGGGTTTCCTTCACATGATGATTCCTTGGATTGGATTTCACATGAATCGTTGACTACCGCCAGTTGGCAGACACCACTCAATCCCGGCCTTTTTTTCAGTTTAATCATAATGCTATGTCTTGTTTGTGGGCTACAAGTCAACTAGTTCGAGCTTTTATACTGGGCTGGGCTATTCGCAGCAAACCCTAGCCCCGTTCAAAATACATGCATACTGGGCTATGCCTACTACTTAGCTTTGCTCAGCCAGCCACTTCAGGCCTAAACCGGGGGTGTTTTCTTTTTTGTTGGGCTTTCTCGAATCGAAATGTTTTTTTTGTTGGGATCAAATCGAATTGTTAAAATGTGCCACTTGTATTATATAAAACGCACAACTTGAATATTAATATTAATATTATTGATAGTGCAGATTGCAGAGAGAGGCGTGGCCAGTGGCCAGTGGCCAGGCTGGCGTTAGAGAAGTGAAGCGTACGGACTGTAATGGTGTTGTGTCAACCAAGGCGAGGAACACGCTTCACAAAACACAGCTGTGTTGCGTTGCGCGAGAGAGAGAGAGAGAGAGAGAGAGAGAGAGAGAGTACCGTACGCCTGCCTGCATCCGCTTCAACTCAATGGGACTTGACGACATCACAGGGATGGGGATCAATGATCGACTCCACGTGGTACCACGCCATTGGTTTGACCTCCCAGCTGGTCTACACCAACGGGCCTGGCCTGGAAAAGCCTGAGCTCTTCTGATGTTTTCTGCTTGAGCTAAAGATTTTCCAAAGGTCTTTGAATTTCGTGCAAATTTCCAATTGGGTCGACATACATACGTATATTATATATACGTGCGATAAATGTGTGCAAGCAAAATGACAAATCCGCACAGCAGCATAGATTCTGCGGGGCCCCTCTACGAATTCGTGTAAACTACGTACACAGACTTTTGCCGATTGATTCCTTGTGGTGTGGGCTCCCATTCTCTTCAACTTCAATTATGACGAGGATGGAGATCAAACGGCTTTTTTCTCTCATCTCATCTCATCTCATCTCATGATGATGTGGTGCTACTGTAGTGAACATAGCATGCAACATAGGGGTAGTTATAAATTGAAGGAAAATGGCCAAACATGGTATTGTGATTCGTATCCAAGACCCACCATGTAAACGAAAACAACGGGACCTAAGATTTGAATGCCTACACACAAGACACGATTTGTAGGAAATGTCTCGTTCAATTTCCAAAATTCACTTTTGACAATAGTATCATAGTTTTATTTTCAAGTGTCTTCTAATGTCGTAATTCAGTGACTGCCAAGAAAAATTCCGTATTAGAATAATTTTCACTCACAAAATTCATTCCAAAATCTACAATGATCATTGCCCTCATGGTGCTAAATTTTTTGTAATTTGAAGAAACAGATGTAAAGAACAAATAATATTATAACTTTTATAAATTTCAATAAAATCAATTCAAATGAATGAAACATGCAAAGCGCAAAATATGGCTTATAGGCTTGACGAAACGCTCAATAAACATTAATTTAATGTACAAAGGAATTTCAAAATTAATGTTTAGGCACTTCTCTAATGTATCACACATAACATAGGTATATAATGTGTAATTATAGATGGAATGACTGTCATATCAAACATGTTCTCCTTTATTTCACTAAAAAAAATTAAACAAAGAAACGTTACCTTTAACCTAAACCGTTTATTTAAATAAATAATTAAGAATTGCCCTTTCACTATTTCCATTTGAAGGGAATCAAGTCTTTTCTTGTATAATAAAACCAAACAAATTGACCCAAGCTATTCCGGTTTTTCTTGAAGTTGAGTGAAAATATAAAAATCTCATATAGACGCACATGTTACTCATCCTTTAACACATATGGCAATGATTGGTATGAGTGTCATGGCTACCCCTATATCTATATGCAACATATACTCTACCTCGTCGAATATATATCATCTTCCATGGTTTGGTATGGGTTTAACCAAAGTAATACTAAATCGAACAAGTCCTAATTCCTCAATTAATCTCTCGCTCCACCTCACACACACCTACCTGAAAAAGTTTTTTAAATAAGCAGGAAAGTAAAAATCAGATCACAAGAAGTCAAGAAAAGAGGTGCGTGACATGTACAACCGTCCGGATGTGGAGTGAAGAGGCTTTGCCCCGTGGCCTGGGTTGCAATCGTCATTTTGATACAAGACAGGAGAACAGCTGGCCCCTTCCCCTCTTTCCTTCTACGAGGCCCTGCGATGTCACACATACATATGCATTGTATCTCTTATTTTTTAGTTTACTATTTATAGATTTCTACCACTATCCAAACTCAGATTTATATTCCAGAAATTAAAACGTCACGTATTAGATTAAAATTTATACCTTACACTTAAAAATAAATAAATTACAATTTATGTTTACCCGTGGATTTCTATGGTGGAAAAATGTAAAGCTGGAAAGGAAAAGAAAAGGTCTCACTTTCTCTTTCTCCACTCTCTCTCTCTCCCTCCCTCTCTCTCTCCTAGTTGTGCTGTGCCTCCGCTCCATCTTCTCTTTCACAGTTTCATCTTCTCTTAGTCCGATACTTCCAGGAAGAGCTTAATAATAGAGTGAGGCAAGAGAGACAGAAGAGGAGAAGAAGGGGAAGGGTAGAGCACACGGCGGCAGGCCTTTTATTGTTCGCCGTGTCTGGCCTGAGAGGTTCATGGATGGGGGTTCTTCCTCCTCCTTTTTCTCCCTGAAAATTCAAAAAGGTCGCTTCGCTTGGTTCCCACGGCAACAACCCCCACACTACACTTTGATAGAGAGGAAAGGATCCAGATTCCCTCCCACTCAAAGCATTCTTCTTAATCCCCCTAATTTGCTTGCTTATATTCACTCTCTAAGTTTGCCGTGATTGCCACTTTTAAACGCCAATCGGTCTCTCTCTACAATTCTGGCGGACCTCAAAGGAACCTTAGCGTTCCTTTCGTCGATTGTAGCAGGAGATCATTTCAATTTCTTCGATTTCTTCCAGTTTAAGAGAAAGAGGAGGAGAGGACCTTTCTGCAGCGGCGGCACCAGCAGCAACAACAACATCAACAATAATACCAAGAAGAAGAAGAAGAATAAGATGCTGTGGATTATTAGATTCTCTGGCTTCTTCTCTGCTGCAATGCTCATGATCGTTCTCTCTCCGTCTCTCCAATCCTTCCCTCCCGCCGAAGCCATCCGATCCTCTCACCACCACCACCTCGACTACTCTTACCTCCGCCTTCCTCCTCCGGTTCTCCTCTCCGATTCCGGTTCGATGGTCCGAGCAGGAGGCCGCCTCAACTTCCGAAAGGCCTCGGCATTCCGCAATTCCAATGAATGTGCATCCCCAAGTGCCAAGACCCAAATCGGGGATGCGTGCGATCCCAATTTGGTACACGTGGCCATCACTCTGGATGTTGAGTATCTCCGTGGGTCAATCGCCGCCGTCCACTCTGTCCTGCAGCACTCGCTGTGCCCGGAGAGTGTCTTCTTCCACTTCCTCGTCTCGGAGACGAATCTGGAAGCCCTGGTCCAATCCACTTTCCCGCAGTTGAAGTTTAGGGTCTACTACTTCGACCCACGGATGGTACGGAGCCTGATCTCCACGTCGGTGAGGCAAGCGCTGGAGCAGCCGCTCAATTACGCCCGCAACTACTTGGCGGATCTGCTGGAGACCTGCGTCGAGCGGGTCATCTACTTGGACTCTGATCTCGTCGTCGTCGATGATATTTCCAGGCTCTGGACCACCAGCCTCGGTTCCAGAACCATCGGGGCGCCCGAGTACTGCCACGCCAACTTCACCAAATACTTCACCCCCGCTTTCTGGTCGGACAAGCGGCTTTCCGGCACATTTGATAGCCGGAAACCCTGTTACTTTAACACCGGCGTCATGGTCATAGATCTGATAAAGTGGAGGCGGGGCAGGTACACCAAGCGGATCGAAAAGTGGATGGAGATCCAGAAGAACCGCCGGATCTACGAGCTCGGATCGCTGCCACCCTTCCTTTTGGTTTTCGCGGGACACGTGGCGCCCATCGAGCACAGGTGGAATCAACACGGCTTGGGAGGCGATAATGTAAAGGGCAGCTGCCGTGACCTCCATTCCGGTCCGGTTAGCCTCCTGCATTGGTCCGGCAGTGGCAAGCCCTGGCTCAGGCTGGACTCCAAGCGGCCCTGCCCGCTCGACGCCCTCTGGTCACCCTACGACTTGTACGGACACACTAAATGAAATTGAAGCGCAAGGTCAAATTAAGGGGTAGTCTAGTCGCCGGTAAATTCCCTCCAGGTCTTATTTTGTCACATCGTTTGCTATTATTTTTTAATTTTTTTCCATTGTTTTTTTTTTTTTTTTTTTTTTTTTTTTTTTTTTTTTTTTTATTCATTTTTTTTTAATTTTCTTTCGTTTTGTGTCGTTTGTGTGTCTTGGTCATCTTCATCCTTCTTCCTCACTTTAGTGTGACCTGTGACCTACTCAGATATTTTTTTCTTCTTTTTTTTTCCTGTTAAATTTTTGTTAATGATTAGGTGATCTGTCACTCTGCTGTTCAGACAATTTGTACTCTATTCTTCTATTATTCGTGCCACTGAAAATAAAAGGAGAAAAACAAAGGGGATATTCAATTTGTTATCGTATAGATTTTGTTGAATAGTGTGTTTGTGAAATGCGTTTTTGTTAGGGCCAAACAGAACAGAATTCACTTCACTCACTCACACTGTGTATGAGAGAGAGAGAGAGAGAGAGAGAGAGAGAGAGAGAGAGAGAGGGAATAGAATAGGAAGAAAAGCTAAGCAAGCTTAAAAGCCAAGATGACATTTGATTACATACATGTACTAATGGGGGGGAATAAGGAAAGGAAAGGGAGGGTCGGGTTGGGTGGCCTCCAAACTCCAAATTCTTCAAGTAATACATACTAGGTCGAAATCGAAATGGGCGATTTGCAGTTTTGGAGTAAATGAAAGTAGCTCAAGTACGTTGGCAACTGGGGAACATAAGACATTTATGTTTACGAGTGTCTTCACTTTATGGTAAGGTACTCTGTTTTGGTAATCAATGGAAGTGGCCTCTCCTTTAGTTTTAACCCAGATAAGGTAGATGACATAGCTGTTTGTTTTTAAGTTACCAATGTACCTGTAGTAGTGTACGCCAATTGGGTACACACTGGGGGGGTTTTCATTTATTCATTCATTTGCATGTGTAGTAGATAGATCATAGATGCATGAATGAGCACACACTGATATTTGTGGGTGGTTGTTGTGAGCTAAATCCTAATCCCTCATTCTGTCTTTCCATCGCCATCTTTATCTGAACTGATGATGATGAGTGCTCCTGCTTATTAATCTTAATGATTAATCCACTGATCCCAAAAACTGGATGAAGATTATTACTAATGATGGGGAAGGAAGGATTGGGAGTCACTGTTGCGTAGCGTAGCAGGTGTCCAAGCCACTGGACGGAGAATGATTGGGACCGATTCCTTATGCCCCGCCATCGCACGTGTCCAGTTGCTTTGGTGGGTCATCATCTATTTTTATTCATTTTATTTTTGGGGTTTCTTCTTGTTGCTTCCATCCCATATTCTTGTTGTTAGAATCAGTCTCAAGCACCTCCCCCCTCTTCCTTTTCTGTCACTCTCAGACAAAAAGAAGAAGAAGAATTGAATTAAATTTTTGTGTGGTCGTCGGGTGAGAGGCGGTGGCGGGATGGTTCTAGTGATGTTGTAGAAGAATAATGCAGTCAATGCATGCAGCTGCAGGCACGCACGGGTGAAACAACAGCCTGAATAGAATAGAATAGAATAGAAATGGGTTGGGTTGGGTTGGGTTTTGTCAATTCAATTCAACCACATAATCATGAGCTGCAGCTTTAGGATCAAAGTGGATTCAAACAAACAATGGCTTTACGCCCAGGGCATTCCCATTTAAGAAAAGAAGAGAAGGTAATTTTCTGTTGCTTTCCTACCCCGCTAGTGTTTTATTGTAACAAGAATAATAAGATAATAATAATAGCATGTGGTGGGGGAGGAAAGTGAATTGAGAGTATGCTGTTCATGCGTATTGAATTGCACTACTCGAATAAAACGATTGCAAGCTTTACTGAAAGAGTAGAGGCCCATTCATTCTGTTGAGAGATACAGGGAGGGGAGGGGAGTCTAGTGTGTAACCCATCGCGATCGGATTGGGATGATGGTCCCCTCTCCCTCTCGTCTGCCTCTCGTCTCTACTCACTCTCTCCGAATCTTATTTATAGCATGTGCTCGCTAGCATATAGCATACATACAACTTTTACTCATCAAGTAATAAGAACCAACCACATATTTTGATTTGGTCCCTCCGTCCCTAATATCTCCACTCCACTCCACATGGATATCAAAGGGTGCACGAGTTTGGGAATAAGTCCATTTGAAGTCGCTTCACAAGTCTATTCGGGTTTCTTATAGCTGTCCTGTGCGCATTTAGTTGGGTGTTTTAGCCAAGACTCAAGAGCAAATGGAGAGAGAGATATGAGGCCCCTACCCTAAGCCTAACCGAGCATGGAGGAGGGGAGGGGACCATAATAATAATAATAACAATATATCTCTCTCTCAAATTCAACAATGGTCCATCTTAGATTCTTCTTAGAAGATGCATTTATTATTATCAAGTAAGTTATTTACATATTTGCTTGCCTGATCTAATCATAGACCCATACCCTCATACCCATAGGTATGGATTTAGGGAGGCTATCTACTCCTTTTCTAGTGGTACTACTAGGACTAGGACATACATACATACATACATACATAATTGAATCAAGGGATTGCCTAAAATACCAAAACAAAGACAGAAAACTAAAGCAATAAGCTTAAGCGCACCACCCTTCTAATCTAATGCACACCAGAATCCTTCGATTCATTGCAAACAAGATAACAAGCTAATAATAAGTGGATAATCATTTCATTTCACAGAATACGGCAAATTCAAACAATTTTACAAGGCTGGGATGGGATGGGATGGGATCCCTATGACAAATGTCTTCACCAGTTTCAGTCCACCAAAAAAGGTCTCAAATGCTATTTCTAGCACGTTTACTCACCCACTTGCTAACTGCCTCTTTCACAGTACAGGAATGAAGCAGCTAGGTAACTTGCAAAACTTCAACAGGATGCCTCAAGTTCTGCCAAGCCCTAAGCGCAAGAGACCAAAGTCACTTTTAATGCACTACGAGTGGTAGATGAGTGTGGAAGGTGACATTTGAAGTAGCAAAATCACTTTTGTATACTATTACTATTACTAACTAATAATAAGTGATAACTATGATCTGGTCTGGTGGTACTAAAATTTAAATAGAAAAAAGGGATGTTGATGTTGATGTGAGACATTCTGGACTCAATAGCTAGTAGCAAATAAATTGTAGGTCAAGAAAGACTCAAGAGAAACAAAGGAGGAGAGCCTTTAACTTTTAGTAAGATGTGGGAGGGACAAACAACACATGGATATCCTTTGCCAAATCCCACTCCCTAACAAGGATGGTCTCCATCTTTATCATTCATGGCTAGGCTTGTCAATCAATATGGATTGAGACTTTGATTTGATTACTGAGTTTGTTTTATATAAAGTTATTTTATGGTTTTAAATGTGCCACACCCACATGACTTTATCAACTGTGTAATACTAATAGAGAAGCATCAATGTACCTGTCGAGTGGAACCATGTTGTAACACAAGTTTGTGAGAATTAATTAATGCAAGATTCTTTACAAAATATCTATACAAGTGAATATGAGTGTAAGACAGAGCTCATCCTCAATCTATAGATTCTAGGAAAACCTATTATACAGGATCCATGTCTTTAAGCAACAATGAAATGAAGAGCTCATTTCAGAATATGAGAGAGAGAGAGAGAGAGAGAGAGGGAAAACGTCCACAAGATAATGCAATTCATCATACAACAATTAATGGACTAGCAGTGTTCATGAGTATCAGCAGAGTGCAGTACCATTATCCCTCCCAACCCAAGCATGCATTGGGAATCCCTATTATCTTTGATATCGCGCAGCCAGCCCAGTTCCTTCCTGCAAATAGGAGAAAACAAGAAATCTAAAACATTACAGAAAAGAAACAGCATGTACAAACTACCAACAGAACAGAGAAAGTCACAAATAACTAATGATGGATCAAACCAACCTCTATGAATGGTCTTGGCATGTAATCATCGATAGCAACATGGTTTTGCGCATAAATTAAAGCCTCAAAACTTGGTTGATCATACAAACAGCTTCCGGCCTTGAACCTTTGAGAATCATCAACTAACAACTTGTCCCAATTGGAATGCTCATCAACAATACTCCCCATGTCCTTATTATAATGCTGTTCCTCTACTGTAGGGATGCCAAAACAAGATTCATTTATGTAGAAATTATAATGTTCTCCACAAGGTGTACTCTCGTGTGTTGTGGGATAGAATGTTGTGGCATTACATTCTGTCACATCCTGGTTCAGACTAGTCTGACTTTGACCAATATCATGATTAGCAGGCGCAGTTCCATTTACCATCTGCATTGCTCGTGCAATGTCTTTCAAGGTCAAATGGTGACTCTGATTTCCATCGACTCTAGGTGAGTTCTCCCCTAGTGATGTTGTGTTCTTCTGAATACTTGTACCTTCACTAATTACTTGCAAGCCCCTGTTTCCAAGGATTTGAAGATGAGCTTCTTCTTCTTGTTTTTGTTGCTGTTGTTGTTCGTGTAACAAAATTTGGTGTTTAAGGTCCATGGTGGTTGGAATTTCAGACTGTAAATTTGCTTGTAATGGACTACTGTTGCTTAATTGGTACTCCATTTCGTATCTTGGCTCGCCCAGCGTTCTCGAGTCCAAAGGGAGGTTTCTTCGATCAGCAAGAAGCATGCCATATTTGGGTTCTGGCCTCTCACTTACAGCTCCCGCTACTTGTGGAAAAGTAGTGAAACTTTGAAGTGGCATTTGTCCTGAATTGGCATAATCTTGGAGTCTGATCAAATCATTCGATGAAGATGAGAAGTTGAAATTTGGTTGTCTAGAACTAGAGTCAATAGTAGATGTGGATTGTCTTCTCTGATTTTGTGATGCCTCATTTTGCCTTCTAAAATGGATGCGGTATTTCTGTATCATGTAGTATATTATGTGAGTTTCTTCGTTTAGCTACCTCAGCTCACGACAATTAACAAAGCATAAACTGACTGTGCAAAGCAAAAGATACAAGGTTAATGTTTATTACAAGGATAACCATGAAGACACATATATATACCTGAAGGTGGCTAGCGACATTTTCTCTAGTAAGACCACGAGCACCCATTTGCTGCATACGATCCAAAATTTTCTTTGGATGACAATCTGCATATATCAATTAATACAGGACACCAAAAACAAGAATGAATTAATATAATAGTACCCATTATTAATGTGATATATATATAATTAGTTGGTAAAGCATTCGTAGTACGTACTTTTATGCCCAAGTTGATTCACAGCAGTGACAAACTGATGATGAAGCTGTGCTGTCCAAACTAGGCGTCTTCTTTTCTTCGCTGGAGAGGCAACAAGATCATCATCATCATCATCATCTTCCACCAAAACGCATGACTTGGGCTCTGCAACTGCAGCTGCGAGTGCTACCATGTTTCTTCTATTGCGGACCACATGCTGCCAAATCAGTCTAAGAGCCGTCCTCTGGAACGGCTTCACCAAATAATCACAAGCACCAAGAATGATGCCCTTCTTCATCGTCTCATGATTATCATCCGATGACATCACTGAAAGAGTAGTGCATACATATAATAATTAATAATTGAAATTGAAATTGCATATGTTAATTCGATATACAATTAATATAATACGCATGTAGCTAGCTAGGGTTTCAAATATATATATATATATAATGTACGTACTGATAACAGGCAATTTCATCTCCAAACCAACTGTCTCAAGGAGCTTGAATCCTTCCTCCATGGTGGGCATGTGCACATCACTAATCACTAAATCAAACTTGCCTTTATCCTCTCGAAGCATACATAGAGCCTCCTCTGCACTCCGGCATTTGGTAACTGAAAATATATCAACTTATTCAATACTATATAGTTTAACAACGAAGCGAATTAGGCCGTCGACGTTTACTTCCTTGTATACCAAATTAAAATTTAAAAGTTTCCAAAAATATTTAAAGAAACCCCTTATTCCTTAGGGCACGATCGAATGCATTCAGGCAAGGTCTCTACTATTTTGTACAAGTTTAAAACTTCCAACTCACATACATGAAGAAAAAGTTGGCCTATAAATTCTTGGTCCTTTTTCCTTCTTCTTTAACACTAGTGGTATAATCACAACACATCGATTCTTCCTTGAAGAAGAAAGAAAAACCCTAGTAGTATAATCACAACATATTGTATATACCATGGATTCTCCTTCCTTGAAGAAGAAGGAAAAACCCTAGAACGTAGTATAATCATAACATATGTATATACCATCGATTCTCCCGACCCAAGGAAGCAGACAATTAGAAAGAAAGAAAATGGAACTACATGCTGTAAGTTGGCAAAAGCATATAATTAAGTAGTATCACAAAAGTGCTAAGTTTGATTCAAATAGAGAAAGAGAGTTATGAAAAACGAAATTGATGTACCTTGGTAATTCAGAGACTGAAGCATCCTTTCTAATATAAAGAGACATGTCTCATCATCATCTACAACAAGAATCTTTAAACCAATGGGAAATTCATCTTCTTCCATTATGGCTTTTATCACAGAAGAAAATCAATCTCAATCTCAATCTCAATCTCAATAAGAAATATCTTCTCGTCTGCTGTTATTTACGGGGTAACAAATATACTACATATGTATATACCATATATATTACTATGAGGAATCTTTACTAGCCAAAATTGAATTTTTTTAAATTAATTTTTTATATATAAAAGAATATTTAAAGTTCACAGCAATAGTAAGTTTATTAAAATATCTTATGAGTTTGAACTATATTTTAGGATGTTATTAACAAACTAAAGCTATGATTAGATGTACTTTGGTACAATTTTAATTTTTTTGGGTAGTAAGTACCTGTTGTGAACAGCTGATTGGCTCGTTTTTATACAAGTCCTTTCGGAGAGCTTGGCCTAAATAACCACAAAAAAACCTACCACTTTTGATTCCTATTTTGCCGCCGCTGCTTATCGCACAAGCCAAATTGAAGTACAAATGAAAATTTCTTGTTTTGTGACTTGTATCTTATAAGGATTGATCAAGTTGGAGGAACCACAAATTTCTCATTTTATATTGTATTCTAGTCATTTAAGAAAAAAACTTTCTTCGTAGACCCAAACCTTCCTATTTTTATTTTTAACTTGTGGGCGATTCACTTGACAAACGCCTTAAAACATGGCAAAATGCCACATAATCAGCCATTAGCTGTTTTAATTAGCTTAACAAGGTCTGGAACCACAGCTTATCAACTTTTTATTTTTATTTTTATTTTTTTGGGGTAAGTCGAGCTTTGTCAAAGTTATTCATTGATGCCGCCTGCTTCTTCCCCAGCACTTCTTAGAAGCAGCATATCATATCCGCGTTTGAGAGATGATGTTGGCGTCGAGTGAGTATTAGTACTAATGAATGATACTATTGTGGTAAATTCGGCTGCGCTGCTTATAATAATACTAAATTTTTTATGAAGATGGCAAACTTGTAGCACTTGCTTATAACCACTCTCTCTCCGATACTCTTCCAAACAAGCATCCTAAACTATTTCATATGAAAGCATATAGCTGATGTTAATTTTCCTTTCCATTTCTATGCTCTCTTTTTTTACCATTAAAAGAAAAAATCTATGCTATTCGACAAAAAATATACAACTTTGGAAAGACCCTACTGTGGTCTAAGTTTCCTCATCAACCACTTCTTTCGTAATTTAACATCCAATGCCATGAATGTTTTTGCCTTCTTTTCATCCTCTAGCAAATCGCATGCATCTAACACAAGGTCTTCGTCCATGTCTGGTAATGCTTGTACTGCTTCAACCACACTTTCTATTGACCCAGAGTTCAACTTCTCATCATTTCTCTTCTCTGATAACGAAGATACTGCAGATGCCATCTCACGAAGAGCACTAGCCATGCCACCATCTTCTTCTCGTGATCTTTTTGGATGAGCCTCATTTGGGCAGTTTTCTAGTCGACGCCTTTTCTTCTGGCACATAGGGGTTGACTCCTGCACATCACCATCTTCATCTTCAGTGGAAACCGATGTAGATGGAGACAGAAAACTAGTTAATGCTCCACACAACTTGGCGCCTTCAACTTGATTTTCTTGCTCCACATCTTGACCTGAATAGGAGTCTCTATCGTCAACACTTGGATCACATATCATGCACAAGTCTTTATAATATGGGACAGGCCGGGTCATGAACTGCCGTGCATCAGTATGTTCCTGCACGTTACCATAACAATATTTTCTTCAAACTCTGGAGTATGAAACAAGATTATATTGGGAGATCCTAAACAGGTAAAATTTACACACTTCAACCTACGTGAAAACAGATAGAACTCAATGGAAATATTATGTACGGGCAATACATAATAATACAGTCTTCCGTTGAATAAGCATGCTGCACTTGAATAGATACATACCTTAATATAATCTTGCCAAACATAATCATCAGCAGTCACCATTTGGCGTGAATCATCCCAGATAAACCCATCCAATTCGAGTAGATTCTTTATAACATTATATTGCCTTTTCAGAGTTTTGTGTCGATTTTTAAGAACATCCATATCATAGTTAAAGCCAAACTTTGCATTGAATGAGGCAATCATCTCCATCCATGCTTGTTTACGGAAAACACCATCTATCCTGCTGCCTTTCCGCACCTGTTCTTGCATAAGTTCAATGAAATAACGGTCCATGGGTGGCTGCCAGTAAGTTCTGGAGCGACTATTCGTGGTGATTCCAGGAACACTTGTCATAGCATGCTCCACATCATCAAAAGACTTTGCTGGCACAGTGACTCCATAATCTTCACCAACCATGATATCCTGAAGAGTCTCGGCAGTTCCCTGAATAACTCTCCTTGGCTGTGTGGCTGCAGTTGTACCATTCTCACCTGAATGTGATGACTCCTCGGGAATATTATCACCTGCCATCAACAGTTGCAGAAGCAGAGTTAAGAACTCCCAACAAATCAACTGTCCCTAATCCTAATTCACTTTTAACATTTGTGTCAAGGATACAACACCTACTTCTCTCTTCGATGCCTGTGTCACTGTATATCGAACACAAATCATGATAATAAGGGATGGTTTTTATTCTGAATGACCGTGCATCTGGGTGTACCTGAAACCATAATCTGCAAGTCACTTGACATGGTTAAGAGAGAAAAGGAAATTTAAAATAAATAAAAAGTTTAAGTGATTAAGTATTGCACCTTGATATATTCATCCCAGACATTATTATCAGCTGTCACCATTTGTCGCATTTCATCCCAACTGAAGCCCCTCTGATCAAGGAGATTCCTTACAGCTTTGTACAAGTTCCTTAGTGTTTTGTGCCGATTTTTCAGAACATCTTTTTCATATGGAAACTTGAACTTGGCATCAAACAAGGATGTCATATGCTTCCATGCTCGCTTGCTAAATAAATGATCATCAAATTTATTTCCTTTGCAAACTTGCTCTAACATGAGATCAATGAAATATCGATCCATTTCAGGGGTCCAGACTGTTCTCAGGCGATCACCATCAGTTCGGCCTCGGATACCCATGCTGCTACAACTGAGGGAGCATAGTGTAATCAGCACAAAAATGTACTGAAGGGTAAAGGCATCAAGCCATTGGCGGAGGCAGGCATAAGACGAGAATTTTGTTATACCAATTGCATTCCTTGAAATGCTAGTGAGGAATTCAATGGATTGTTTCAGATTAATTTCAAGGAAAATGATGAAGGCTTTAAGCTAAACACATTCTACAATATCAAAGCATAATACCTCTCTCCTCAATAAGTTAATAAAACAGGGGAACACTGCGTTTGTAGGTTTGAGGGGAAAAGAAATGGGGCACAAAACCGGAAATCCAGAGCAAGCTTGGCGAAATTCCACTGCATTCAAAATGTTAACAGGCCCCCATTACTGCTACTAATAGGATCATAAAAATTCTATTAACTCATATATCATCTCCATTCACTATAGTGAGAACAACAGAGCCATCTTCATTCTAATCTTTGAAAAAAAATTCACAACTGAGGTCCTGTCTATTTTTCTTGCCCTAAATATACACAAAGTATGAACTTTTAACATCATTATCATCAAACTTGGACATTCAAGAACCAATATTTTAAAACCGATGATAATGACAATTGGAACCAGAGATAAGAATTGGTCAGTACCAACCTCGGAATCGATTTGGCAGATCTGGGACTGCTAGAGTGCGTTTCTGCGCGAGGTCAGGGATAGGGTTTTCCTGAATAAGGCTGTAACCTGTTCAAAATTAGAATAGTAGGATAACCCCAACCTTAACAACGCTCGAATACTAACCCAACTCTGTTCAGATAACAATAAAGGTTTTATTTAAAGTGTATAGCCGCGCGGCTGTACTATTTATTTAAAAAAGTTTAAAGGCACTGCAATATCGCCGGTCGGCTATACTATTTATTAGATTTAAAAGGACCCACTAGCGCCTAGGTGGCAGATTTTTTTTAAAGCGTATAGCCGAACGGCTATAATCTATAAATAGAATAGTTTACCAGTAAAGCCGAGCGGATGTACTCTATAAATAGAATAGTTTAACAGTATAGCCGGGCGGCTATACGGCGTTGTTTTTTTCAATTTTTTTATTTAATAGTATCGCCGTGCGGCGGTACTATTTTAAAAAAAAATTAAAAGTGCTCCAGTTCGGCCGTGCGGCTATACCCTGGGCGGCAGATTTTTTTTAAAAAGTATAGCCGCGCGGCTATACGTTATAAATAGAGGATTTTAACAGTATAGCCGATCGGCTATACCTCGTTGTTTTTAAAAAAATTTTGGCCGTTTAAAATAAATAAATAAATAGTATAGCCGGCCGGCTATACCCTTTAATGTATATTCGAATATTTTAAAAGTATAGCCGACCGGCGATTATGTTAAAATTTATTAATATTCAAAGAGTATAGCCGCCTAGGTATACGTTTTTTAATATCTTAGCATTTTTTAAATTACTTTAACTAGTAATTATATTTTGATTACTATTTCTTTAGTGAATAATTAGTATTTAAATATATTACTAATTTCATAAATTACTTCATAAATAGTAATTAATGATTTTAAATTACTTGTGGACTATTTATTTTATTTTATTTATATACAAAACTAGTTTGTTTAGTTTAATATTTGCAATTAAGTAATATCTTTGCCTGATTTAATTATATTAATTATTTTGTTTAATGAATAATTAAGTATTTTAATTAAATTCATAAATTACTTAATAAATACTAATTAATTATATCTACTTATCTTAAATAATTTTGTGGACTTTTAAAATTATTTATTAATTTATGAAAATGGATTTGAGCCTCCAAACCCTAAATTCAAGTTTCTAACATTTCTCAAGCCTCGAACCCTTACCACAATACAATTATGGAGCACTTATGACTCGATTAGACTTGGATACTCACGTAACTCAACCTAGGGTTTTACAATTAGAGTTTCGATCTTAATATACGGTTAGTAGGATATCACCGGACCTAACCCTTCCTAGATAAGATATAGAGAAGGAAAAAAACATTAATTTGGTGTCCATGTTAGTAGAAAGATGATCTATCGAGTGCTACGTCATTAAAAAAAAAAAGGCACTTAACTTAATAGATTGAGGGACAAATCGACTAATGATGTAACAACTTGTAACTTTAGGTTTGTTTTTATCAAGTTTAAAACATAGGGACTAAACTGTTACATGTAATTAACCCTACTAGTAATGTTATACTTAGAAACTTTTTTCCCAACCAATATGACATTGGGTTATAAACATTAGTTGGTTTTCCAAATCTACTGATTTTGTGTTCTAATAAAATCTCACATCTTTCTTCCAGCTTGAATTATAATCATCTACACCATCAATTATTTTAGAATCACACATGCAAAAAGCAATCAAATCCAAAATCATTTACACTGTTTGCCTGCCTAGTTTTTCCATTTGTCATTGAGGGAATACCTAAAGTATTAACGATTTTAATCTCACGGGGGAAATCCACAATACAACATACACTCATTCACTTTTGTACAAATAACATGGACAATCTCTCTCCTTTACAAATAAGATCTTTATCAAGACATAATTTTTCCATGCAAATGACTAATTCATAATTGCAGCTTCTGAGTTCAGCCAGAGTATACAAGCGTACCATGTGGTGTGGGTGTGGCTATGGCAGTGAGATAAGAGGCAACCAAATGCTATGCTCTGAGAATATGATTGCAACAATTCGGCCCTTTCTCTTTACTTTAGTAACACTAAATGCATGGTAAGATGTCCGAATTTCTGTCCTTTTTCCCTTCTGATGTATTTTTTTCACAACTCTTCTTTTAATATAGAAGATAGAACACAAGCTGCAAAAGTGAGAGGGCCAATATCCAGCTTGCCAATCAACCTAACTACCCTCCTCGTTCACATGTTCAATGCATCCCTGTTGACTATATGCTTCATTCGACAGTGGTTTTATAGTTGACCATGTATATTGCAACAATAGTAATGATGGCCCCAACCAATTGCAAGGGTGAGAAGGTCTCACCAAGATACAGATACCTGCAGTTAGCTTCCTATCAGGCACTAGCAGGCATGTACAATATATTATCAGAAAAATAAAAAAGAAAGTCCCTAAAATCTGCTTCATTGCTGAACTATTTTTTTGGTAGAGTTGGTAGATTTATAGTTAAACAAATATTAGACAGTTGACAGCACAGCAAGTTTATTTATTATTGTTCTTTTTCTGTGTGCATGGATGATCTTACCCAAATATAGAAGCAAACATTGGGGTCAGAAAGGTAAGGGAGCTGAGCTTTGTCAGGCTACCTGAAATCCAGTAGAAATTAGCATCTCAAATTCTACAGGCAGAGGATACTATACAATTTATAGCGCGAATCAAATTGACTAAGGCAGAACAAATAGCTCTTGAAAGAAATGTATTTTGACTGTAAAGATCTTTAAAATATAAGTAAAAGTGAATCACAAGGTTTGAAAATAAAATGAAAAGACAAATTATACATAATAAAAGATTAGAGCACACCTTTTGTTGCACTGTAGAAGTATACACCATAGCTGATGGCACTTCCAAAAATGGATGTATAAAGGAGTGCCAACGCATCATTTTCTGTGAAATTCATTAGACTCCCACTAACAGCATTTTCATGATTAAGAATGGAGATCATAACAAGGGGTAGACCACCAATAACCATGTGCTGCAACCAAAAACACACTCATCGCTAAGCTCTATGTGTTCTTGAGATATTATATAAGGAGAGAGGTATGTTGTCAAATAAAAGTTAGGCTTTGGAAAATCGGTTAATAAATAAAGCAGCAGACACAAAGAGAGCGATTTAAAACTTTCTTCAAACATTGATTACATTTAACATCCCATTTTAGATTTATACATTGAAGAAGGTGATAATGCTTGAAATAACTATCAAAGTATTGAAACTGTGATACACAATTATAAGATAAACCCAGAAAATAATGTCAGTAATAGGTAAGTTGATACTGCCTACCCATCCAGTTGCCATAATGGGATCAGAGTACTTGGAAACCCAGCGCACCATGATTGTGCCAACTGCCATGCTCTGAGCTGCGAGAAGCATCCACCACTCCCCACTTTGCCACAATGAAAAGTTGCTTCCATCAACAGAAAGCGAAGGTGCCTGGAGAATAAAGCTTAGAACTATATGGTACCTAAAGGGGCAATACAATAGGTTTCATGCAAATCCATTTTTCTCAGATAACAACCACATGAAAGCGTGCACAATTACATACATAATTTCATAAGCTAAGATATCTGTTATAGCACTTAACATGAAAGCGAATTTTCAGCTGACATCCAACTAATATTCCCACTACAACCTCAGAAAAGCTATATTTGAAACCTAACTGCACGAGTTAAACTATTCTAGCATCATCAACAATCTCACTCTACTCTCCCACTTTCCCCCAAAGTTCCCTCACAAGATCACCCCGATTAAAATCCATGATTAAGAAATGAACCAAACATTTTCTATGGCCTTACGGTTGCATCTGACAGAGGAGCTTAAGATAACTATTAGAACTACCAATTCAGGGAAGTTTCTCTATCGAGCAATGTCAAATTAATAATACATCATAAAGAATTAACAGTTGATAATGGCAAAACGTTCACCACGCTTGGGAAGCATTTTCCGTTGTGGAAAAAAACAGAGTCTTTGTCAACCAAATAAAAGTTGTGAATTCACATGTGCTGGTCTCCACTTAAAGTTGTGAATTCAAGATTGGAAATCGCAAAAGCAAGCATTGGCTAGAGTAATCAAAAGCCAATGGAATGAAACTGACAATGCCATGGAAGAAAAGTAAAGATTTACCTCAAGAAGTAAAAGTCCAATGATACCAAGAACAAGCCCTGCAGCTCCAAGGAACGCAATGGACTCACCCAAGAACAAGGCCGCAAGTACAGCCACCGTCAAAGGTTGTGAATCAATTATAACCTGCAGCAAATTAATGTTCATGATAAATAGAAGAGTCAGTTGGACTGGAAATGAGCCACTTTTTATGTACAAATAAAAGGGAAACCTACACTGCCCAGACCAGCAGATGTCCTCTGCAAACCTTCAGCAAGAAAACCTTGAAAACAAGCGGCATCGACTAGGCCAAAAAGCGCAATAGATAGCCAAGCAGTGAGGCCAGATGGAAAGGGGCGGCCTCGAGAGGCGGCGAATGCAATGAGGAGAAAACCAGCAGGAATTAGACGGAAGGAGGAGACGAAGAAAGGGCCAGCCTTTGGCAAAACCTCCTTCATTGCCACCATAGAGGTGCCCCAAAAGAAGAAGGGAGAGACCAATACTGTCCATTCTTGCAGCTGTTGTTGTATCAATTCCACTCCAACGGTCCTCTGTTGTTGAGTTTCTTCGGAGGATGAGGAAGAGACAGCGCACTTTACGTCCTGGCCTGTCCCCACACAATCAACGGCGGGAAACGACGACGAATCTTGGAGCCCGGTGTCAGCAGACTCAGTACCAGTATCAGTAGAAGGGGTACAATTGGCAATAAATTTATGGAGGGAGTTGTAGTTACAGTTGTTGTTGGGTGGTTTTCCATTGCATGGAGAAATAGCAAGGCAAGTAGAAGAATAGTATGGCAGAGGCAGTGGACTGGGTGCTCTGATTGGGACATTGTTTCGTTTTTTGATACTGTTGTTAACCCTACACCCACTCGGCGGCCACGTAATATCGACAGAGGCAGGAGGGTGGTAGTTGTAGAAGAATTGGTAATAGCAGCCGCCGCAAGAGAAGGCTGAAACTGAGGAGGAGCATAGCCGCCCCATTCTTTTCTCTTTTCTATAAATTTCCAGCGACCTCGTCTACCAGAAGAAAATCCTCGTCTACCCAAAGGGCCATATTATGGCCACGTGTCTACCACTTTACAAATATCCAAACCTTTTTCTTCTTTCATTTTTTTAGGCGGGGAAAAATATTAAATTCCAACCTATTTTTACCTGTTTTTCCTCAAACTCTGTTAGAGGGGTTCGAAAACCAAATAATTTTTTCAAAGGGCAATCAATGTGAAACACTTACTATAACACAAGGGTAGTATAGCTAAAAGGAAAACAAAAATCACACGATTAAGATGATCAAAATTAAAACAACGAGGACAAAAGTGAAAAAAATGATTCAAACCACAAAGACCAAAAATATAATTCACACTTATAAGTTATAACCTATGATATGAGTGCAAAAGTCTTTAGATTAAACGCGATGACGCTAATTCCAGTATTAACAATTACAATTGGTTGCGTCTTGCATGACACAGTCGTGTGGGGTAGGTAATGGGATCTCAAATCAAATGACGTGTATTATATATTATGAAAAACAAGCCGTCAGTTGAAGTTTTCTATGAATTATACCTTATTATGGTCATCATTAACCTAAGCACCTTCCTGATTGGCTAGTTTTTTTTTCTTTCTCTTTTAAATATTAGAAACTGTCTAAATCTGACTTTATTTTATTTCTATAGACTGATTAATATCTTAACTTTTCTTCTCAACAAAAACACTAAGTTTGAGCATGCTTGCCTTGCAACCAACTTGCAATAATGAAACAAAAGAAAGCATAGTATACTAGTACCAAGGACAAAACTGAAACAAAAAACAATAGAAAGCATATTAATTAAGAAATTAAAGAAAAGTTGAGAAGTAAGATATTGGGATATGATGATATTGGGATATGTCAGAAAAACAAATATTTTGATGGTCTTCTAGATGAAAGGTATTTTAACATATGGAGTATTATGAGACGCGTCAACGCATCGCTTTTAATTATAAATATAAGCAAGCAACGCAAGAAAGTTCCGTTGGCGCTTAAAGTCATACATTTTGCATATGTATGTATGTATGTAGTATGTACAGACGTTTGGTTTGTTGAATATTTGGCAGGGAAGGAGGGCGGAGGGAGGCAGGGGGAGCGCATAACCAATAAATATCATACAACAAGTACACAAAAGCTCTTAGAAAGTCAAGGATAGGAAGCTTTTCAAACGCGTGGCGTGTGATATATGTGAACATTTATATTACGACCTTTTCTTGCCTTGAAAGTTGAAGGCTGCCTGCCTCATACAAGTCTTATATATTGAGAAAGAAGGAGGAGCTAGGAAGACATTGAAGGGAAGTGATCTCGCTGATACTTGTGATTAACTCTTCTTATAATATCATCCAAATGGCAGATCACCAAAGAATCTATCCAGATGTAGAGGCACCGGCAGCAGCAGCTGAGGCACCCTTGGTAGCAACTGGAGCTTCAAAATCGGACAAAGGTGATCCAGCTGATTATCATCACCAGGGGCAGTATCCTCCCTTCCCACAACGGACTATTCCGGTGACGCACTCCAAGCCACCGCCCATTCGCAGGAAGAGGAGCTGTTTATGCAGGTGCCTTTGTTGGACTGTAAGCCTGATCCTGCTCCAAATCATTGTGGTTGCCATCACTGCTGGAATTATATTCCTCGTTTTCAGACCAAAGCTTCCAAAGTTCACGGTGGACAAACTGCAGATAACCCAGTTCAATCTCAGTGCTGATCAGAGCTTGTCGGCCACCTTCGACGTGAGCATCACTGCGCGAAACCCCAACAAGAAGATCGGCATCTACTACGAAGGCGGCAGCCGCCTGAATGTTTGGTACACAGGCACTAAGCTCTGTGAAGGAGGTTTGCCAAAATTCTACCAGGGTCACCGCAACACCACTCAACTTGTAGTCCAGCTGACAGGACAGAACCCAGATGCAAGCGGCCTGCTCAGTAGCCTCCAACAACAGCAGCAGCAGACGGGCAATGTTCCGCTGACTCTCAGAGTGAGGCAACCTGTGAGGATTAAGCTGGGCGGCCTGAAGCTCCCAAAGGTCAAATTCTTGGTGAGGTGCAGGTTGTCGGTGGACAGTGTTACCGCGAATAATGATATTACAATTCAAAGCAGTAGCTGTAAGTTCAGGTTTAGGCTATAATCTCTTACATTACAGGCTACAGGCTACAGGCTTCAGGCAACATGCATACATAGAGGATCATAGGGAGAGAGCTTCTTTTCTTCTTGTCCCATGGGCGCTACCCATCTCGCGTTGATTCATTTCACATTTACCTATTTTCTTCATTACGAAAGATTTTTCCTATTTTATCCGCTGCTCTTTTGAAAGTAGCGAAGGATTGATCTATTTCTATATATTACATATTTATATATGCTGGTTAATAAGTTATACTAGTCCCTTGGTTGGGGAATTGGTGTATTCTTTGTACATACTCTATACTACATATACTTGTATTCTTTTATATTCAGGCATATTGTTTTATGTTATTTCGTCTATTAATTTATGGCTTTCACAGTTTATAAATGAATGAAATGTTCATGATGATAATCAAAGGGTAACTATTTTAGATGAAATCTAAAAACTAGATAGTTCGGATTATTGAACCACATTGCAGAACGTCTCTAACACAATGGTATCTCTTTCAGCTATTCATCCAAAGAGATCCCTGTGACAAAATTGGGAGGATAACTAATATTTTAGGATGAAGATTGAACTAGGTTTTTGGCATTGACAAGTTCTTACAAGTTGCATTAAAAAGAAAAATAAGGCATTTTATGAACCATAGAAAATTATCTAAATTAAAAAATATATACGTACAAGGGGAATATACAAGATAGCAATTTTATATCAGAAAAATATACAAGATAGCAAATACATGCGACGCTAACCAACAGGCAGATCACACTTCCCTGCTGGTTCTCATCCCGAAATGGACATTTCCCAGAAGAATTATCGATGGCTCCTGAATGCGCTTAGTTAGTTGTGTAGTTGCTAGCCATGCTGCTGCTGCTGTGACAGTTTTGCCTGCAAAATTGCAAAATTGCCATGTTAGGATCTTTGAAATCTTTTCCCATTTTCTTGTAATAGCTGTTTGGCCGTTTGTTTTATGGTCTTCTGCCACTTTACCTTCTCCAAGCTAATCCAATATTTCTATTTCTAGCCATTTTTCATCAAATTAGAATTACAACTTTTATTTTACATTTTTGGATGACAATAGAATCGTTGCCAATATCAAATGGGCTTCAAATTCCGTTACGTGCATAATTAGTGCATTAAATCAGCTGACTGAATTGGCAAAAAATATATCACATAAAAACTGATTAAACAGCATAGATGCTTATGAATTAAAATGCAAACACATACCCACAAAAATACATACACACAAGAATACATGCATACAATCATGTAGCAAATTACCTTCCTGTTTTCTTTTGGGCTAGGAGTTCCAACATTTTTAACCATGACTAAGAATCCCACGAATAGAACCAGCTACGCCACGACGACGACTCCTACATCATTGAAACAGATTGTAAGTTCTCAGGCATATCCTCTTCTAATTAGCCAAAGAAAGAAAAAAGAGAAGCATTACCCTTCGTTATTAAATAATTCTTCAGAAACAGCTTCCATTTGCTTTCTCCTTTTCTCTTCTTTCACAGACTCTAGCACTTCCTCACCCCCATAGTCAGAATCTCTATCATCAAGAAACAAGGCATAGATAATGGTGCACCTGGTGATGTTCTAAACATCATAAATAAATTGAATAGGATTGGTAAAATGGGTCTTACTTATATGGGTATTTTAAGAATGGAATAATATTGTTGAAGCTATTCCCAGATTGAATATTTGCCTGCAAAATATCGAGACAATTACATATAAATTGTGTTATAAATCAGCCTACTTGAAAGCTGGACAACAAAGACGAAGTGCATAATACTTTTAAAGGTAACATGCAAAAAGAGATCATTGGGCTGCCTTTTCCTCGGATAAGCCAAATACTGGTAGGCTTATCTTAAGAAAATTGGGATTGACTTAGCCGCTGCATAAATCAGAAAAATTGAAAACTACACAGGATAAACAGGATTTGATGATGTCTCAACATGCCAAAATGTAAAATTTAAAAGACTAGTGCAGATTGAAACCTCAACATAAATCAGGTTTATTTAAAACTACACAACATAAACAGGAGTTGACCATGTATTATCTCTTGACATGCCGAAATATATATTAAACGATATGCGACAGATTGAAACCTCACTGCACAATATCCTATGGAACTGAGAAAGCTTAGATCATTACCTTTCTGAAGCGTTTGAAATTTACAACTCTGTGGTTTGCAGTAGTAGCAATGGTACAAGGTATGCTTGCATCTCGCACAATCAAATCTTGGCTATAAATAATATCTACATTTCCACTTTCAGATTCATCAAGCTTGCCTCTTACAGTGGATATGTCACTACTGTGTCGATAGCTCATGACATAGTTATCCTCGGATTTAGGAGCTGCTTGATTCATGGAGATTTCATGGGGTACATTTTCTACAACTCCTTTGGTGCCAAGAGATGCAGTTGCCAAAACTGAAGTGGCTATTTCTTCCGTATCAGAATCAGCTACCACAGTTTCATCTGTGGAGCATGAAGATGATACAACTACTGTAGAAGAGCACAGAATCAGCTGCATTACCTTTGCAAAAGAATGAAAACATGCACACAAGTACTTGCCTCTTTCACTAGTGGATAATATTCTCGCACTTCAATGAAAAAAGAAACTAGTGTAGAGGCAATACAAAGAATAACAGCAGGAAAAATAAAAATGCAAAAGCAGTACTGTTTCAGTGACAATGGCTGCTATAATGAAGGGGAGAGCAAGGTAACCTAGAAGGATTTCAATTTTAATCAGTTGACACATGTATCCAAAAGATAACAAGAATACTCACCACAAGGTGACTTTAACATAGCTGGATCCAGCCGTCCATTTAAAATGGCAGATATTAAGCCAGTCTCATTCACTCTTAATAGTGAACCAAGCTTATTGAACCAATCATCTGATGATTGTTCTGGGATAACACATACAACATGATCATTTTCTCCGCAATCTGAGCTCTGAAAGGAAATATACATTCAACAAGATTCAGAATAATAAACCAAATATGTAGTATCACAATAAACCAGAGAAAATGATCATGTTGAATGCATATTTCTTTTCAGAGTTCAGATGTAAACCAAAATGTAAAACATAGAATCATACTTGGCTATTCAAATTAAACCCATCAATCGAAAGAATCTTCGCACCACTCACTTCCAGTAAGGACCGCAAGCGATTCATGAATTTGTACTGTGAAAGCACAAAAATACAACAGATCAGCATATAGTGCAATCATTTCAGTTCACAGACAAGAATTGATCTCTCAAACATGAATTTTGAGTGAGCAACAAAACTATCCATTACATCTACCCAAAACCATTTACAACTTCTAGAATCATACTTTAGTAATAAAACATTCAGTGCAGACTGATTTGTGTTTGCCTGTAAGTTTGTCAACAGCTGAATACACACTTGTGAACATCTAACAAATTTCTCTAATATAAAAGATTATGAACAGTTAAACAATTATAATTTCCTCTTGCAATGGTATTAGGAATAAAAGTTAAAACTCATTTGAATTCAGAAAAATGATTCTAAATTTTCTAAAGGTTTAAAGAAATCAAAACTTTACCACAGGTTTTGAGTCCAACAAAAAGGTGTACTCTTCCAAACAGTTCTCACGAGTTCTCGGGTCTGCAAGTTTGACTGATACTCCTTCAAATGTTAGTGTTGGAGCAAAGCTGATTACAGGACAAAAAAAAGAATACTTTTATCAGAACAACCGTTGATGATATACAAGTAACTCAATGAAGCAAAGTTAAATTTAAAATAAGATTATAATTAACACTCACGATTCACAACTAGGAAGCTCTGTGCGAATGTTTTTTTCTGCAAGAAACTTAATAAACTGCAGCAATTAGTAACAATAAAAAAACTGGAATAAAATTATGTTTCATTAAAAATTTCCCAACCTAGTTATAGATAATTCTAGGTTTAACTTTTATTATATCCTCCTCCATCTTCCACCATTTCAATTTAAACTTTAGTAAGCACCACAAATACGATAACTGATGAAAGTTAGAAGAGGTATATAAACCAAGAACTCCTACCTGAAGGTAAAACAAGTCTTTAGACAAAAAAAAAGGTAAAACAAGTCTTACCAGTCCATAATAATACCCATGTATCACAATAAACTAATCAAAGAAACCAAAAAAAATAAAGTTCAATGACTTCAAGCACAATCATTCACCCAACAAAAGCAATGCATGATCTTAAACTATGGCCTACCTCAACCCAACTACCAAGAACAAAAGGTTTCTTTGCCACAATAGCATCCAGCATATCTTCTTTTACTGGCATGAGTTGGTCAACAAGCACATGTGTGCACTCCTGACTCAGATGATAAGTGATATGAGCACCTAATGAAAACATAATAGTTAGTAACCATAACAGCATCGCCCTAACGCCCTAATAATATGACAAGAACACATCACTTAACAAGCAATAGGTAAACTGGCAACTTAACCATATGATGTTTCCAACTAATAACATTTCTTTTCTCTTTTATAAGTCAATATAATCCTAAGTACCAAGGTGGTGCAACCTAAGCATAGAAGAGATAAGGCAAAAAAGAATGAAAAACAATAAGGAAAGCAAAAAAAAGAAAGAAATATGCGTAAGAACTCCTATGAGAGTATTCAAACAAAGATATCAGCTGATTTTTAACTCTACCAAAGAACATTTGATCCACTTTAAAGCTCCCCTATTCCACTCCAACCACAAACAACAAAAAATGCATAAAGGCCCCCCAATGTGCCAATTTGGACTTTGAACAAAACCACCACTCCAACCCCAAAAAGCACATCCACAACTCAACCTGGAAGCACACAAGAAACTTCAGTGGAGAACATAAATCCACCCATCCACCTACCCCAACAAATAAAATAAAATAAAATAAATTAAATTATACATGGCACACATAATCAGAAGCACCCTACAAGCTTTTCTTTAGGTTATTATCATCAAAATACTCCAATGTGCAGTAGGCCTTGCAATCTTAGTAGGAACAACCCCACACAGACTAGATCACCTTATAAGGGAAAGATTAATTACATATGAAATTATGACAAGCAACCAAGAGACATTGCAGATGATATTATGACAAGGAAAAAAACAACATATGGGGCCATGAATGTTTTATGGTAAGCACTATGTTTCTCATTAGTCACTAACCAAATGATGAAAGTTTATCTTCAAGGGCATGATTCACTTGGGTTGGATCTGAGCAGCACGCAAAGAAAATGAGTGGAACAAAGGAAAATCTGCCAGATTTTTACTACAAGATATAAGCATATCAATACGGAAGAAATCATTGCAGTGCAAGTCTTATGCAATAGCATTCACAATCAGCAGACGTAACTGTATCTGGTGCTATCCAGCTGCATCACATTAGAATATATAATCCAAAAACAGCTGTATTCTTTGATGCCACACATGCAGAAAGCAAACTCAGAAAAATAGTTATATTACCTGTAGATTGCATTGCCAGTACCAAATGAAACCAAGTCCCCTTCTCTTAGTGATGTTTCTTTATTCGGTAACTCATGAATCTTTTCCATCGATGTAAGGTTCTTGTTAATAAATGTTCCATACTTTGAGCAATCTCTAATTCGAACTTTTGAAGATAGAATAGAAGATTTTGTTTGCAGGGGGGCAGAAATCATTGCATCAACAACTATTTCCGCATGGACCCGAGAAACTCCTTTATCTTTAGTAATATTTACATCACAACCTACAAGGTTGCATAAGGTGATGATTTAAAACCATCGGCCACACATAGAAAAATAAACAAATTTAGTAACATAAGCATACTAGGAGAAGGGGACTTGTCAGAGAGAAGAGGAAAGGAGAAGAGGGTGTGAAACTAATTAATCAAACAAAAAGGAATTCATGGCCAAAAGAAAAGAAAAATGTCATTGGTAAGATCGAAGATGCTTATGTGGTTGGTCATCAGCTTGGAATTTGAAAGAAAATCATTCTGAAGAATAATTGGATTTTAGCCCAAGGTGTTTAGCGTAAGTGTTGCCTTCTTTCTGCCTAACCAAGGAATGAAGAATCAACTATACAAAAGTGGATTATATGATTATGATCACAGAATATAGACACATTTTCCATCTACAATATGTACTCAACAAAAAGAGTAACTGGTGCATATAAAATGTCAGTTAAGTAAGTACCTTTCCGACCCACTTTGTACGTTCCCCTTGCGAAGATATAGAACTTATCTTCACCTGTCACATTATGCTAACCCAGTTAGACATTGATGCGAACTAGACCCTTAAAACATAGGGATTTACTAGAACCTAAAGCATCAGAAACATTAAAATACGCATTGTCAACGACAACTTCTACTCTACATTCCCAAGTACTTTCGAAGCGACAAGCTACAAGAAGTTAATAGTTTACGGCTGAAGAAGTTAATATAACAAGTTCAATTTCCTGGTTTTTGGTTTCATTTTCCCGGCGGGGCTAAGTTACAAAGCAAGTTCAACGAGCAGAAGGCGCCAAAAAGAAAAATGAAAAGAACAGATGAAGATATTACCTGAGAGAGGGTCATCGGGGAAGAAACCCCAAACCATGGTTTCCTTTTATCGGAGATGAGATGAGACTGACCGAGGATGGCGACGGAGTGCCGGTGCGTTATATTAAGGTGCAGAGCTTATGAGACGAGGGTATTAAGGGAAAGTTGCACAACCTAAACTTCTCATCGAGTTACAATTTGGAACAACCGTTCACGTTCATATAGTTTTCCGTCAAATAGTTTAAAATTTTGTAACTTTAAAGATTATTATTGTAAATTCTTAAAAGTTAGTGGCCAAATTGTTACATACACCAACTTATATGGGTACAAATAAACATAAGGGATAGTTTTCAAAATCACCCCTGCGTTAACGCGTACCTCCTCCTCTCTTCCGCCGCACTCTCACTCAACACCCCGCCTTTTCTCGATATTCCTCTCTTCCTTTCCTAAATCCTAAGACGCCAATGGCTTTGACCGTGGAAGTAGCAGTTTTCGTAAACACCAACTTGGGCACTCGCATGGCCATGGATGTCTCACCAGATATCACAGCAAGAGACTTAAAAAGTAAGCAAAAAACAAAAACTATGTTAGGAATAAAAGTAAACTTCATTCCAATTATGCATTTTAAACTGCAGATTTTGGTCTCTCTCCTTTGTTTGATTGAGTGTGTCATTTTTCTTGTATTAGTTTGATATATTTTTGTACTTCTATTGTAGAAGCACTTGTTGTTTCACTTATCTCTTGTTTTTGTTCTGGGTAGTGATTTGTTTGAAACGTCCAGTCTAGTTCATTGGGCATTACCTTCTTTTTCCCTCTTGTTAGTGATTGCACTAGTGGTGACGCATTGTAGGATTTAGCTGCTAGGTGGGTTTTGTTGGCAATGGCATATGTTTTTTCATGCCTGATCAAATAATGTTAAGGATTCTCAGGCTTTTTCTTTTTGGCATAAGCTTCTCGGGCCCTTTCAGTATCAGACAGATCGGACACTCCGTTACATTACATTTACACAATCTTCTACAAAGCAGAGCAAAGTGTTTACTTTTGTAGTTAATGATGTGATGAAGTTATTGAACCTTAGTGCAGATTGTAACATCCTGTCATTATCTGCCTTGCTCCATTTACGCAATGGTTTTTATTGCCAAATCTTTTTTGCAGGGGAACTTGAGGCACAGCACTTCAATTGTTTCTGGAATTCAGGAGAGATCCGAGTTTCCAGATTGATGGTGAATTGTTTTAATTATCTTTATTTCATAGCTTGATTTTTTACTTCCGCTACTCTTTCCTTTCTTCTAGCTCTTGACCTCATACATCAATCTTTGGTTGTTGCTTCTACTTTTTTTAATAGGTCAAGCGAAAATCATGCTTGTATCACCTGCCTGATTCAGTGCCGATGAAGAGTGCTTTCCGGGGAGTGAAAGGAACATGGTTTCTTCATGTGGAAGCAAGATTTTTGAGTGATTGCAATAGGCCATGTTTACCTAAGTGTGCAGCCTCAAAACCTAAATTTAGTATTACTCATCCTCTGCATCCAGAGAATATTGTTACAAGCACTGCCAAGAGTAACACAAAAGGCCACTGTAAAAGGATGTTGCGGGAAAAATTATTTCGATGCCACAACTCTTTACTCGGAAAGCTCAGAAGACCTTTCTACTTTACAAAGATAAGGAAAAGAAGAAAGAAAATCTCCCCAGCATACGAAGTGAATAGAGTCCAAATTGACAAGGAGAAGTTTCCTGATTGTGCATCTAAATCAATGATAGATGAGCCCACTCAGACTTCATCAGAAGTAGTATCTGTATCCGGCATTATTCACAGATACTTTTCGAATCTTAGTGAAGATGGCGGTCCTTCAAGTCCTACAAGGTCTGTTACATCCAGAGTTGTTCAAAGTTGGCCTGAAGAACACTTGAAGACTAAAGCAGATGATATTTGTTCGAGCATACAAGTTAGCCCCTTAAGCCAGTTTTCTGCCAAAAGGACCGCAAAGCCGGTATGTTTACCTTCGCCTACTGGCTATGGTCAAAGAAGATATAAGCCTAATAAACCTGAAGTTGGAAAGCGTCTTGTCGTGGCGTCATATAGTCTTGGGATTTCTCCAAGTAAGGAACACCCTGCAATATCTTTGCAGCTTCGAAGGTGAAAAAGTTTAGTTCAGTTTTTGATATCACTGATGAGGTCTGAAAAAAATAAACTTTTCAAAATGCCTAATTGCTCTGTATAGCCTTATTTATATTTCGTCTTTCAAATTTTTTAGAAGTTTTTTTAATCAGTGTTTTTAGAAGCTTATTTAAAGTTAACAAGAAAAAGAATGAGAGAGAGAGAGAGAGAGAGAGAGAGAGAGAGAGAGAGAGTTCGGTATTGCACAAGAAAAGTGGCAAATTAGAACCTGTACGCCATATGGTATGGGCTGGTTGGTTATAAGTTATAACTGATAAATTTCCCTACCGGCCATAACAAGAACACACTATGAATAAAATGTACCAGAAATTGCAACCGCTAGGATGTGACCAAAGTTGGCCATCCTAATTTCTCCAAAAGCAGTTACCCTAAATGCCATTGTTGTTGGTATATATAATGTGCAGGTTAAACTCGTTTACTCAATCATCTAAAAACACAACCTTCTTTCCCCTTCTCCCTAACCTCTTGTTCCTTAATTGTCTCTCCTCTTGTACCTCCTCCTGTAAAGAGAAGAGAAGAGACAATGGAGCTCATCAACAGCCGGGTCTTCCTCCTCGTCCTCCTTGTCCTCCTCATATCCATCTCTTCCGGTCAAGTCTCATCACGCCCAACCCCGCAGGCGGATGCGGCTGTTGAAAAAATCTGTGCCAAGACTGCTAACTCTGCTCTTTGCTCCAGCACCGTCCTTCCTAACCTACGCGTCAATGCCGACCCTACCACCGTCCTTCAAATAGAGATGAAGGCATGCTTGGACCTCACCAAAGAGGCCCTCGGCCAGTTGAAGAAGACGGCCAGCAATCCTTCCACATCGCCAGCAGATGTGTCGTCGATCGAAGTATGCCAAGAAGTCTACGAATCTGCCGTAGATGATATCAACGGTGCCAGTGAGGCCATTGCCGCGCGCGACGTCGGCACTTTACAAACCAGGCTTAGCGGAGTGATTACCTATTTTGGTACTTGTGATGATGCTGTCGCCGAGTCTCCCGGCTTCAAGCTGCCTTTGAAGGAGGAAGATGTTGTTACATTGCATAAGCTGGCAAGCAACTGCATGGCCATCTCCACATTGCTCAAGTAGACTAGCAATAAACTGCTCCCTTACTTAACTCTGTTTCACAAACTGCACTGCACCACTTTTGATCAGAGATGGAATATGCTGTTGACAATATTATTAAATAATTTAATACAAATTTGAATATTCGTTTCAGAGTTTAATTGTTTTTTCCTTTTCCCAAACGCATGACTTCCCCATTATCAGTTCTTTTTCCTTTTCTTTGACTAATTACAAATTTGAATAAAAACCTCATCTGCCAGCATATCTAACAAAAACTACAATCCGCATTCCAACCACCATTTCCCTAGTACAATGAGAAACAATCACCCAAACCCACCAGTAAAATGCGCAATTAGCATGCATTTGAGCAATAACGCAAACAATTCCTCCCTCCCATCTTGTTGTGTTTATGTTTACCCTTTAGTTTGTAAAGAACTGAGATTCCAGAAAAATCATTGTGCTCTCCTCATTCATAAAAACATAAAGGATAAATTGTACTGCACGAGTGCATTTTGAAACAGCTGCCGTGTTTCATTTTTATGCAAAGATCTTGTAGCGTCAATCTAAGGCATGAGGGAAATAAGGATATTTTTTAGTCCAACATCCAACAAGTAACAAGAACATGACAAATAATGGAACTTTAATGTCATGAGTACTCAGTCCCATAAATCAAATTCACAACCCTTTAATTGTAAACTACGCTACTTTCTCATCATCATCAGTGTTTAAATGGCATAATCCTCACTTTCCCCCCAAAACAACTTCATGGGGGCATGAGCCTGCAATATCTTTACTTTTCTTTTATATATATAAAAGCCACCAAAACAATCGAGATACAGATCCGATGAGGGAAGCCTTAGCCTATCATCACCAGACAACTAATGGCTAACCTAATTAAGTTGACTATTTGGAAATTTCAAGTAACACGACTCGTTCTTTCTTCCGCCATCCTCAGTAGAGAACGATCCATCTCATAGTGTTTGACCGGGGGGGAATAAAGTAACAAGAAACCGATGAATCATCTCGAAGCTTGTGAATGTAATTACAGCAGCTGGTGTTGTCCTCAAAAGATTGGTGGCACATCCACGGTAGAAACCAGGGAGGCCCTCTTGCTGAAATACTTTTCTAATGCAATCAACAACACCAGAATAACGCTTCTCAGAGTGGTGGCCTTGTTCTTGAAGCCTTGAGCGTACCACCTACATATAATTTTTGTTAGTGCATGATTTTTCAATATGCTACTTTAATGGATGGCTTATTCTGCAGCTTCTAGAAAACTTCCGCTAATATGGTAAATTTTTTCTGCATAGTATGCTTATCACTGAAACATGGCTTTTACGTTTTTCTGCCCTCCTCCTTCATGGCAAGTATGTATTTTGAACTGATATAATCATGGGTATTTTCGGGGAGAGAAAATTAAAGAATTCAAATTTGACCAAAAAAACTACAAAAGGTTAAAATCAAATTGGGAAATTCATTCAAATTAGTACCTCATGTGGGTACGTCAATGTTGATGCAAATATCTTGGATACAGATGAGGCAATGGCAACATCACGTGCACCGAGTTTATCTACCGTAGTGTTATCTGATATAATGACATCAAATTATATAACACACCTCTTTCAAGAGTACATAAAAGACTAAATGCAGGGGGCTAAACCCTATCTATTGCAGTGCTATATGATATAATGACATCAAACCATACATCATAACTCTGTCAAGAGTACATAAAAGACTAAAAGCAGGCAGACTATTACCTCGATTAGCTAAATAAAATTTTATTTTCTCATAGGTTGGAAATTGGATGGCAACATGACTGATACCAGCCAAAGCAGGTACAAGACCACTGTCAAACAACACATTACAGGCATCATCATCAACATAAATAATTAGATACAAATTGATTAATACAACTTACTAATGATATGGGATACAAAACCTGTACAAACCACGGATGCCTTCTTCATGAGCTATTCTCCTCAAAGCAGAAAGTGTACTCCTATATGGCACCACACCTGGTCTCATTCCCTGAGTCTGCAGAATAGAACAGGAAAATTGGGAGAGAAGACAATAACAGTATGCTAAATCAACACTTTTCATTCTACTGCTGCTAGTTCTGGTAACACTAGAAATAAGACAAATACTTCAACGAGAAGCTCCTTAGTAGACACAACTACAATGAAATGAGACACACCTGAAGTCTAGTCTTGACAACCCAAAGCGGATTTGTAGCAATAGTTGTCGCAGCTCCAGCACCCGAAGCAGCTAGCATATTGGCCCCGATGGGAAGATGATGATTCTCGTCTATACATGCACCAATGTCAAAACAAAAATACACACACACACTTGGAAATGAGATATAGATGGATGGTGAATTTACCTAAAAGAAAAATATGGTTTAAAGTTTAAACAATTCATCTAAAAAGAAAATGGTCATGTACTAACCATCAGAGCAAAGGAAGTTTTTGAGCTGGTCATAAATTGTGAAATAAACCTACAAAGAGTTACAATATGTGATTATTCACAAAATTTATAAATTTCCAAGTTCCAAGGTAAGAAGGCAGAGGGAAAGCATGAGCAACAAAGAGAATATTTGTGGTGAGAAAAATATATGATACCTAACAAAAGCCTCAATTATCAGAAAAGTTGTGTTGTTTGTGGCCAATATAACCAATGGATAATAAGTAAGCCAAGTTGATTTCTCGTTATTCAACACATGTATGGAACTTATTTTCTACAAACTATTAGGTTGCATTTGGTTATGTGAATAAAATGAAGAATTTGGTTTTAGAAAGTATCAAGACTTACTGCCCAGTTAGGAAGTAATGCCAGGACAGTTGGAGAGAGCCCACGATACATGCCACGTAACCCCTCCTTGTGAAATATTTGTTCCAAATAACCAACTATGAGACTACCTGATGACATGGAAAAATAAATTGTCCATCAAATAAACATAAAAAATATCATGATACTCATATAAAAACAACATTCATTCAGAAAAGTTAAGAAACTGTTAGAGTGCTTGAAATAATAGAAAGCAAACATATTGATATTGGTGTCGTGCAAAGTCAAAGCGCATACCTTTGACATTCCCATTACCGAGCCTTGGCAGCCCGTGAACTTGAAGCCTAGTCTTGATAACATCTAAAGGACACACAAATGTTGCAGCAATAACCCCTGCCCAATTCAAACAATCAATAGCTGAAAGTATAAAAATATCAAATGATTCACAAGAAAACCACAAGTAGGCATCATAAACAACAAGTTTCTTATATTCAATCTACATGTATATATATATATATATATATATATATGTATGTAATCAATATCTCATTGTGATAAAACATATCAATGCAATCAAAATGGCTTTCCAATTCGCAATCAAAGCACAACAAATTACTCAATATTCCAACTTTCGCTGAATTCATTTACAACCAAACAAAGGGTACAAAAAAGGCACGAGAAAATGACATACCGGCGGCGGCACCAGCTCCCGCGTTGCAAAGATGACATTTAGGGTTAGGGGCGTGAGTATCGGCTGCAGCCATGGCTGAATTCCGTACAATAACCTGGAAAACACGCCAATTTTAGGGGTGATAATGCGAGTGAGTCCTCTCTGGAGAGGGAGATGAACGCAGTGAACCAGAGTGGCATGGCCAAACGGGAAGCGAGCGAGTAGTGGTGGTCGATCTGAGTCGAGTCTGTCCGAGTTAGGGGTTCATAGGATTGGGTTAGGTGCGACGGGAACCGCGGTCAAGCACATGAGAGGCTTCGGTTTGGCTTCGTCTACCACACCACCAAAGCCTATCAGGTCTCGGCCGGACGAGTCGCCACAAATGGGTCCCGTTCGTCTAAATTATTTATAAGTGAGGAGAATTCTATTCCATTCCAACCCCGCAAAGCCTCACAATCTGATTCTGGCACATGTGCGTGCGTGCATAATTGTTGTTTGGTCCCGCGCTTTTTCTCAAATTTCATTGCTTTGCCCACATGAGCTCTAAGCTGACGCCATGTGGCAAAGAATAATTAAAAAGTATTTATGATCTTTCAAATATGTTGGGACTTTCTGAAGATAATAAGCCGCTTTTGTTTTGTTTTTATCGAAACCAGTCTGTTTTGTTTATGAAAATAATTGAAATTTTCATTTTGGATTAATCTTCTCTGACCAAAAAGCCAAAAAAAAACAGAACGTTAATCTCCGATCCGAGATATGCATTAGCAATTTGGTAGCATCGCCAATACATGTAATTTAGACCCCATCATCTGATAAAGAAGAATTGGCATAACGGATTTTCAACCATAAAAAAATGGAAGTAAATATTGACCATCTTTATATTACAATCTCAAATGTATTACAAGCAGCACAAAGAATGTACAATGCAGTTATATTAAATTTAGTCTCGATGCAAAACTTGGGCTTCAATGTGCACCCACGATCAAAATGCTCTGCATGAACTTCTGCTAGCCTGCCCCGCAATAATTCCAAATTAACCTGCAATTTTTTTATTTTTGACTCATAAGATAAGATGGTCAAGATGATTAATCAAATTGACAAACTATATAAACTAACGTCATTTGGCATTTTATCTTCAAGGATACCTGTTTCACAAACGTGACACATTCAGGCATACTTTTCCCATACGAAAATTAGTTAGGAAATTGAAGAGGATAAACCACTACTTTGAAGCAAAAATGTCCAACTACGTTTGCTAACTATTATTCTAAGCTGCATGTGTTTCAACAAAAACACTCTAAATTGATCTATATTATAACTTAATAAGGGAAGGACGCAGCATAATGATATTTGATAAAATCTTTTGATGGCTAAATTCTTATATTAATACATAGATAGATAGGTGAGCAGCACAGAAGAAAGCATTAACTCATAAGCATGAATAAAATCAAAAGAAGATGCAAGACCTCATCGCCTTTGTTGAGCCGAATTTCACATAGGCTGCAGTAAATCAGATGATAATTCTCTTGTAGTACTCCATGCTTACAGATGGGGCACCAAACTTCCTCCTTGCGCAGCTACCATTAAGGTCAAAAAATTCTAATCAGTATCCAAGATAAAGAAGGCACTGATAATGATAAGAAAAAGTAAAGTATTATAAGCCTCTTACTCATGTGGACACAAAATATATGGCATGATATGGATCATTTTAATACACTTTAATATAATGGGAAGCATGTTCACAGGACAAACTTAGAATTTCAAGCTGAGAGACCATAACTGTAATAAGATGCTCAAAAATTAAGAGGCAGGATTTTAGACTTCAACAATCCATATACCAAAGACCTGACAATCCTTTCCCCTGTGAACTTCAAAATCCAATTACACAAGGCAGCCTGATTAAGAGACCCAAGTTTTCTTACTCCTAATTTGTAACGACCCACATCCACATACCCACTTTGGGCGTAACCAGCCTTTCGATTGAAGAGATGCTATATATAGCACTTCCACTCAACTCAAGTAGGTTCTGTGAGACTCAACACATGGACGTTGTGTTCACCTCTCACGCTATCTCCTCAACCATCTTGGTTATATCTGCCTCAGGTAATCTTCGCAATCTCAGTCAAGGGATCTTGGGTTTCACAATGCACCCCTTTGGGTCACAACTCTTTGTGTGGGGGAAGTCCACACACTTGCAGCTGGTTTAGACTCTCATACAATCTTATCACACCCTAAACTTGGTAAAAAAGGTGAAGGGGTATGTTCTCAGACCCGAGGTGTGACGTACTACAATTCTAATAGGGGGCACGCCCATACTCAAATGCCCCTCCCAACACTACTCCATAACAATCACATCTGGAGCCTCTGTTATTAATTGGTCATCAATAGAAATAGTGAACACGAACATGTACTAGTGAGAACATTAAGAGAGCATAAACTTAAGAAATGTGATTCCGCCACCCTCCTGTAAGTCAATTTTATTCAGTTCTGACAAGTGAAAACTGTCCTCGAGCAGGAAATAATATATTCCCACACAACTTGGGCCTAAAATTGAAGTTCCCACCATCAGAAGGGGAGCCCAAACCATGAAAAGCCTCCCACTGCATCCAACTTTTCAAGTTCACTCTTGTCTAACTTAAGTTTTAAAACTGCTACTGCACCAGAAAAATTTTATGGAATGCATCTAACATTGCCTAACTGAGCTAATGAGTTTTTTAATCTTCCAAAAATTGGATGACCAAATTAACACTTTGTTGCTCCTACCATCCAGTGAGTGCTAGCCTTCCATGGTATGAGTAAATGTTCATTACAACATCTAATTGGATTTTAAATCATAACAATGACAGCATTAATAATATTTTGGAATTAATCAATAGCTACAGTGATATTCTCTGAAATGTCAACAATACATTTCCTTGAGTACAGTTTCCTTAGTACAAATTTACAATAAAGATTAAATTGATAATATTAGCAATCATATATCTTCATCGATCAACAATTATTATGCTATAATAAAATGTGAAAATTGGATATATACTCGTATAAATTGTGGGTTCTTCATTGAATACTCGAATTTTTGGTGTTATACCTGCTTGTCGTTCAGTTGCATATGCTCATAAACCGCCTGGGCCAAATACTCATCCTCTTCATCTTCCCATGTTTCAACACGGATTTCTGTTTCTGCAAAGAGCTAGAGTAAACATCTCTGCTCAAAATGATGAACTGACCAATGAAAACTTCCAAGGCACATGCAGAGAAAGAAAAAGAACAACAGTAGGAAGGAAAAAGGATAACTACGGCTTCAGAAAATTTCATTTGATGATCATATTCATATTATTGTTACAAAAACATCTAAACAGTTGTATCTAGCGACAAGGAGATAAGAACAATTCTTAGAAACCTCACACATTTGTGAGCCAAAGAAGAGGAATGTATAACTGCTTGACAAAAGCTAACAAGAAACAGAAAGGATTATATAATAAAATATCATTGTAGTTCACAAAAACTACCTTATAGTTTTTTCTGATAACAGCTCTATATACAGGAATATATTATTTTTTCTGTTATTTCAATTTGCATTATGAGTTGATAGTCAGGAGACTTTCTGCTACAAAAATTGAGACTATAACAAACTTAATTTCACCCATTTTTACCTTTTGTAGTTGGCTCTGTACTCAGATCTTCGTAAAAGATCCTTTGCATTTCTAACAGCATCTCTTCACAATCACCTTGGTATGCGTCTGTAAGGCCTTCATATTCCCATAACACATCATTGCCCTCAGGAACAGATTTCGAAATCCTCGTATTGTCATCCAATGACGAGTCCTTAATTTTTCCCAATTCAGCGGAAACTATGTCCTGGAAAGCAGATTTGATCAAATCCTGCAAACAGAAGACCAGGAAACATTTACTAGCCTATTGGATGAATGAACTACTTCCACCAAATAGGAAAAGCAAGATATATATATATATATATATTAAGTGTAAACTAAATTTGCACACAGAAACAAGAGGAAGTAAAAGAAAAAAAGGAATATAGCTGGAGTACATTTGGAATGTGATTGAGAAATTGTGGAGTGGGCACCATTCTCATCTTCCAAAGCAACCGCCTTCTGTCTTCTCTTACCCTTTTGTAACAGTTCTCTCTCAACTACAAAACATACAGATTGGAAGTAAAATTTATTTGTCAATTCATCACACATAGAGACACTAACAGATATTTTCAAGATAACTGTTAATTTTATTTGTACAACCAATTGGATAGACTAAGTTCTTGCAAAATAAAATCCAAGGATCAAAACTACGAATTTACAAATCACAAACTTCGAATTTTGTCGACAACCAAAAAAAAATGGAGAAATAAGACGAAACATAGATTGGAACAAGTTGTGGATCGTGAATTGGGATAGAGACCTTGTGCTTCCAGCTGTTATAGTTATTGAAGATAGGGTGGGGTTTGAGAGAATGCTTTCTTTCTGTTGATTTCGTTGAAGCTGCGCCTGCGGCTGCTTCTTCTTCTCCCTCCATTTCCTTCTTTTCTCAACCGCCCTCCCTCCCTCCACCGTTTCCTTGTTTTTTCGTATATATACTAGAGAGACTGATAAGACGGCTTTTATTATTTTGTGGCTTCACCCAATGATTTAGACAATTTGTGGATTCACCCTAAAATTTAGGCCAAATAGCTATTGTGGTTTGCCGAATTACAAAATATAAATTGTACTTTTGTACCTTAAATATCTTTGAATTGGCAGACGGAACGGAATGGCCAATTTAGTTTGAATTATTTTCACTTCGGACCCAAATTGTTTTGACTAGTTTTTTTAACTTTGATCCATGCAAGTTGGAGTATTTTCACTTTGGTCTCCACAAAGGATGGGGGCTCATTATGATTAAGCTTCAAACTAAACACTGAATTAAGGTCACATCATAGATTGAATTGGTTTAGTTGGGTCACAAATTAATAGCATAATTGAACCAAATCCATCCATTAGTAATAAATTTGGTTTAGTTTGTTCATTTTCCTATAAAAGCGTGTTCTTTAAAAGGAATTTGATATAGGACATTCAACAATAATTGAAAATTTAATTAATCATTGCAAATTGATAAATCTTTAGATAAATAATTTTTTGGAGTGCCAATAAAAACTATCATTTTAATAGAGAAATAAAAATAACATTTTACACATGAGCTTTGCACATATACGGAGAAATGACAAATATCAAAAAATTAGGACACAGGAACACAACAATTAAAAATATATATATATTTATATTATATATATTTTTTAAAATAAAATATTGATGTTCATACTCCAATTTCATAGTGAAATTCAAGCTTCCCAAGTCTTTCAAAGGTAGTTTATTAATTTTATATGAATTATAATTGAATTAACACATTTGTTCACCTTGAGTATGAATTGACCCATGTTCGGAGAGTGTCTTGATCGTGGACACAACGTTGACCGTTGAACAAGGGTATTCGAGGAGTGCCCAAGTGTTCGACACTTCAACACTTGGGCTTAATAGGGTGTCCATGCAATATAATATGTATAGTGGTTCGTAATTATATTGGAATTTTTATAGGGTATTTAATTGTGCAGAGCTCATGTGTGGTTCCCATATAAACTACAAATTTATAGGTAATTTATAGAGGGATTATGTTTGTTGTATATGTTGAGTTTTTTCCTATATTCATATAAACCAATTCTATTGAGGCAACTTATGTGAAGACTTATTTATGTAGTGTTCTTTAAAAAAAAAGCCCATATAAGCACACAATTAGGAACTCACTTTTGCCATGTAAACATTTAACAAACAAAATTAAGAGATTAATTAAAAGTGAGATTAATTTGTAGGGTTTATAGAAATTCGCATGAGTTTTGAATCATCCTTAATTCATGTATGAATTTTGTTTGAACTACAAATATTCAAATAGTTAACATGAAGGTAATACAATTATATCAAAGAGGTCTCCAAGGAAAAAGGGGTTTTTTTTGGAGAGAAGGGGATTGAATATGACAAAGTGACAAGGTTTTTCTTCTTATTCCTTTTCTCTGGCAGATCTCAAAAGTCATATATCTTTTTTACAAGGACTCCTACTCTATTTATAGGGAGAACAAAAAATGAATTAAATTACAAGCCTACCACCTCTCCTTGGAGCTGAGCTATTTGTGTCACATCAAATGTCAGAGGATAGGTGGTCGGGGTTCGTCCACATCCTCCGCTCATGAAGACCCTCTTACATTTTAACTAGGGGGCAAATGTGAGCATAATAGCCTGCTGCACACAGTTGTAGTCTCATCTGGTGGGGTGGAGACCTGGACAATTTACACCTGGCTTTCAAAGGGACATGGGCATGTTTCGTGAGGCACGTCGGGTTGGCGGTCAGAGGGAGTCTTGTCATCGATGTAGCTAGTTTATATCCTTTCGATCTTCCTAAGACAGCTTAGAGGCCAAGGCCGATGAATGACAGTTTATTCTGGTGCGTCGTACGAAACCCACGTGTCGTGCTTTTATTGGACGAATGGACTCAGTGTATGCCGAACGTCAACAAATTTGATATATAGGCAATACTTCGGAGAGTTATATGCGTCTTCAATCAAAAGCTCAATCCAATATGCTTTCAATTTTGACTAACACCCTCAATGACCACATGATCACTACACATATGACGAAGAAAGATGAACACGTGATGAGGTATGAGTTCCACGATTACCACGTCATCTAGAAGAATTGACGGAGTTGCTGACTGTCTTGGATTACAAATTCGAAAATTCAGGGGCATCTTTGTAAAAATTAAAACCATATGGATGACTCCGTTATATGAGTAAACCTCATGGTAGCAAATTGTAATTCGCATAATCGTTTTTATTTAAAAAAAGAAAAGAAAAGGAAAAGTCAGGTTCAGCGAATCGGACCAAAAGCCAAAAATACGACTTGAAGGAAAAAAAAACTGTACAAGAAAAATATATAAACATCAGAAATATCCCATCTCTCATTGTTGAGCAGCTTGAGCTTTTGAGCACTTCTTTGTTTCTGGTGGGTTGGGTAAGAGTCATCACACTGACCCACGGATGCTGGAAAATCCGACATCAGCGGCAGCAGCCGCAGCAGATCCACCGGCAAACGTGAAGCGCTATGCTCCTCCCAGTCAGAGGTACTCGTTCTTCCATTAGACTACTTTTGTCTCATTTTCTTTCAAAAATAAATTGTTATACAATTAAATTTGTTGGACTGCATTGCAGGAATCGTCCTCTTAACAGACGCAAGTCCGCAGGTAATTTTTGTGTGTGCGTGTGTGTGTCCAATTCTCCGTTCTCCTTGTGTTTCACTTTGATTTGAAGTCCTCATGTCGGAAGCCTCAATTTCCTTTTGATATAGAAGTCTGAATTCTCCTTGTTACGATGATCCAGCTGCCAAAGCTAATAAGCACTTTTGTGGCAACAATGATCTTCAATTTGTTTCTCAACCCCTTTCTCACATTTAGCATAATTATATACTATGAGCGTACCATGTTATGACACTTACTAAATTGTCTTCTTCCATCCTTTTTATGTAGTCGTTACTTCGTTTTTTTGTTTTGGTCATTTTGCATCACTGATCGTAAATATCAGAAGCGATTTGTTCGAGTGATCCTTTGCTCCTGAGTTGTTAATCATATGTCTCTGTTGAATTTGCACTCCATATATTCTGCTATAGTTCCGCTCATTCTTGAACCCTTTGATTCTTATGCATTCTTCATGTTTCGAGTCTTGTGAGAGGTACTTCTTTAGAAGTTCCCAACAAAACTATGTCGTTAGGAACCATGGAATGCCTTGCCTTTCATTCAGCACTATTACAAACAGACATTGACAGGGAGCAGTGTTGATCCTTACTCCAACGCTACTTTTATTAGGAAATCATTAGTTTCCATGACTTCTAGTTTTTGTGTCAGTACATAATATCTTGGTTACAAATGTTGATCCTTACCCTTTCCCAACCGCAACCCAGTGGCATGTGGTCTTATCTTTAATCCCCTTTTTTGTGTGTGGTCATATGTTTGATCCTATCGTGTTAACATCCAATGAAAATACTTGGTACATTTGACCTGTTTCATTGTTATACCTGTGCATATGCATATCATCACCAAGTGCAAGTTATCCTAACTGATTCATCATTAAGTTGAAAACCTGTTTTAATTCTGTTTGTTTTGCTAAGTAAATTACAGGTGCACCATACTAAACCCCAGACTTGCCCTCACTCCACCCTTGTTATTAGGTGCCATTAGGCTTAGAGGCTGTTGGCTGTCTGTTTTGATTTATTTGTACATATCTGTTTATTCTTTTGTTTACCAGAGATTGAATGACCAAGGAAATTGTGATATTTCCATGGTATATATAACTAATATAGTTATAAGTTACTGTTTCAGATCGGTTTGATCGAACTAACAATCCTCAAGGCGGGAGTGATTTGGAGAGGAATCAAATTTCTTCTTCAAGAAGTTTATCTGGTATGGATCATGGGGATGCAAGTAGCAGCAGTCTTCTGAATGAGAACTCTCGTCCAGGGTTACTAGCTCTAGAGGGGTGTAGCAGCAGTGCGGCTTTCCAGCTCTTAAATAATCGTATGTGTCAACAGTTGCTTGAAAAGGCTGATGCAAGCTATTTCAACATGATGATTAGAAATTAAATTAAATGGATAATAAGCTATGATGCCCACACTGACATCCTCCTTTCTTATTGTTGGTCTTTTTATAACAAGAAATTCTGAAATTAAAGTGTCCTTGCTACTAAGCAGGCTCAGATGTTAAATTTATGAGGTGACTAACCAGTTTATTTGGAACAAAGTTTGAAAATGTAAAGGCTTTAGGTTGTATATCCAAATTCTTGCACAAGTTTTCTCTGGTCATGTTTGTGTCTTTATCTCCAGCTATGCTGTCATAAGTCAAAGATGAAAAGAATGTTTCCAACCAAGCCCTTTTTTGGTGATTACTTGTATGAGTTTAGAGTTGGATGATAATAATTGCATACTTTGACGCAATGCAAATTTTAACATTTGAAAACACAGGCTGGGCTGCTGCAATGCATTGCTTCAATGATCCATCTGTAGATTTATCAGGTCAGTAGGATAACATTTTGGTTATTTTGGGGATTTATAGCATACTCTGCATGAAATTAAAGACATTCAAGTTATTAAGATGCCCAAATTGATGCATGTATGATGTAGTTTATTCAATGACATAAAGTTCTTTTGCAAATTTTTGTGATAACTGAAGGAAATATATCAGGTTTAGTACTGTATATTGAAGATGGCTGAGCCTGAGGGTGAATAATTCTTTGGTGGTTCAGAGCACAAGCTTCAAAGGAGGCTTATTAGGGTTTAAACTTCTGTTAAAAATGTCTTATTGTTATCTACCACCTTCTTCAGAGTGTTCAGTAAGAGTGGGAAGGATTCAAAGGAGTCGAAACCAAACCTGGGGCAGAAAGAGAAGAATTGGATTGAAGGAATAAGGGTCTTGAAACAAACCTCATTTAAGCATGTGCTAATAATAGATCTAAAATCAGCATGTATGATGTCTCATTCATGCATCGCAAATGCGAGTTTCACGATATTTTGGCTGGTTTGTTTACTTTTAGTTTTTATTTTTCAGAAAGACCAGTTATGTACACAGGAGGCGGAGCAGCATGGGGTCAGTTCCAACTTCCTCATCAGGTGAGTATGGAATATCTCCCTTTTTCTCCGTGTCTGTCTCTGTCTGTCTCTCAGGATTTGATGTTTGGATTGGCTATCTTTAGTTAATGGCTTCGACAGGCGGTGCTGGGTCTCCTGGTTCATCAGTGGATTTCTTGAGTGAACTTCGCCGCTTAAAGAACATTTCCCCTGCCAGTTTTAGAACCTAGAAATTAATCCGCATAGCTCAAGATATTCATCAGGATATGAAAGCAAACTTTGAGCAGGATTCCATGGTTGGTAGTAGCTTGTTGTATTTCTTTCAGCCGGTGTTAGTAGCTGTTGCATTTGTTCTCTGAAACTCAACAATGTCCATCTAATTTAGCCCACCTTGGATTTATCGGACAAAAACATGGATGTTTCTGCGTCTGGCATGTGACGCTTACAAATTATGCGGTTTGTGTATGCATACATAAGTGGTCCTGTCCGTCTCCTGGGCGTGTCTGCGAGAGTGTTCATTTGCTTTGGTGTTTGTGCGTGTTTATTTGTTTTACTGTCATGCTATTATAGACTTGCCACTCATCTGCGGTACAAAATATAGAGGATCAGTTCCCCACAACGAAACCACAAAATTTACATACCATCATTCTTTGGCCAGTAATTTACACTATATTTCAATTTCGTTTTTTTAATTTTCTTCTCTATTTTTATAAATTTTTATGTGGCCAACTATTTATGCTATTTCAATCTTTTATTGGGATGAAAATCAAAGAATTGTATGTATTAATAATCAAATTGAGATTTAAACTTCGAACCCCTTCTTACATCGAGAAGGAAAGTAACATTACATTGATCTATGTAAGAAATTAATTCCTTCGAAGGTTACAAATTTCACTGACCCTTTTTAATTTTTTGGGGGTAACAAGGAGGGCTAAAAGCCCAGAACAAACAGACGAAGCACAAACAACACGGGACCCGGACACCCCAAATTTCACTGACTCTTTTGAATTTAAGGCTTTGCTGCTTCCTACTTCTGACTAATTAAATTATGGAAAAAGAAAAGGAAAAATGAAACAGTGGAAAGAAATGGACAAAAGTGGATAAAAGAATATTCCTTTTATTTGGCGGTACAATGGTTGAGGTGGCAAACGTTGATTAGCTGTCTTCCTTCACCATTGACGCCAGCCATGACACACGAAATTAGCAATTTAGCTCAGCAATTAGACAAATAATACAAAAATGTCATTTTATTATTCCCTAAACCCACCTACCCCTCTCCCCCCACTTTCTATAAAAGCCCCGTTCCACATCCTTCTGAACCTTCTTTCACCTTCCGTCTCATTTCGTCTTAATTTCTCCGCTGCGCGTTTCAGATAAGTTTGTTGCTTTTTTTCTCTTGCTTTCCTTTTCACTTTCTTTTTCTGGACGTTACTCCCTAATATTTCTTTGATTCCGAAACCTCTCTGTCTAGATCTGAGGTCAATTTTGGTTCCTTTTTCTTCTTGAGGTTTTAGTTTCTTGAAATCTTTTTCAATCCTTTGGATGTCGATCTGATTTGGGGCCTGGAAATTCTGGGTTCTACATCAATGAGTCTAATGTTTCTATGACACTCATGCGTCGCGTTCGTCTGATCCACTCGTTCTCGGTTGTGTTCCTCTACTGGTTCTACGTTTTCTCATGAATTAATCGAGTCAAATCGTTGTCTTTGTTTCCAATTGCAATCCCAATTTTTTTGTTGCCCCAATTGTAGAAACCCTAATTCAATTAGTTTTAATTTTTTTCTTCACAAACACTCATTCCTAATTCTTGGGTTGAAACACCCGAAAGAAAAAGAAAAGAAGAATGTCTTCGGTTCAGCAGCAATCAAGCTCGGGGTCAGATGGGTCCGCAACGGTGGACGAGAAGAAGAGGAAGAGGATGTTGTCGAATCGCGAATCGGCGAGGCGATCGCGGATGAAGAAGCAGAAGCAAATGGATGATTTGACGAGCGAAATCACCCGACTGGAGATGTCAAACAATCAACTTCAGCAGGGAATCGAAGTGAAGGAGCGGGGCTACTCTGAGATAGAGTCTAGGAACAACGTGATGAGGGCTCAAGTAATGGAGCTCACCGATCGTTTGCAGTCGTTGAACTCGGTGCTCCAGATCTTCGAAGAGGTTAGCGGCCTTGCTGTGGACATACCTGAGATACCTGATCCGCTGCTGAGGCCGTGGCAGGTTTCCTACCCAACGCAGCTCATCCCGGCCTCTTCCGACATGTTTCTAGGCTGACAGTCTTTGAATAGCTTAAGCTTGTTCTTGTTTTATGTTCATTGTACAAGTCTTTTGTGTTTGTTATTTTGATGATGGTCTTTGGATTTTCGTTGTTGGATTTTTGTTAGTCGTCTTTGTTGTTTCGATTTGGTGTCCTAGTAATTGTAGTAGTCCCTTTGCACAAGCTTGTTTCATCTTTCTCTGTATAAATGAAATGTTTGTGGTTGGTGGGTGGTTTGGTATGAATCCCTCCTTTTTCTTCCGTGCTACTATTGGCTACTGATTGTTTTGCTTTGATTATATTGGCATATTAGTTGGCTAATTGAGATTGTTTAAACTTTCCCAAGTACTTATCCCAACGGGTTGGGTTGGATTGTAAATTGCCGTCTTGCTCGGGGCAAGATATTCATTCAACAACACGTGGTGGCTATTTGTATGGTTAATCTTCGTCGAGTTCTGGGACACAAGGATCAAAACAAACCCATGGACCGAGGACTCCCTCCTCTTTGAATAAAAAGATTACAGCTCACTTCAAATTTAAACTTAATAAAATACTTTTAGGTTTTGAAAATTGAATACTTTTATACTGCAAATCTTTTTTAATCATCCGGGATATGCAACACATGGTGTGATTTCCAAATTTGATGAATTTCCCGTTAAGCAACAGAAACTTTGCGCGTGATTGTAGTCACGTCACGAGTGTTTTGTTTTGGACTTGTTTACAAGTGACCAAATATTATATGCCTCAAGAGGAAATGATAGTTGATAAGATCATCCACACTTGAATAAAACCTCAACTACTAATTAAGGAATGAAATAGAAGATAAATAAATAAAAAAGGAAAAGCTTCTGTATAATATTTGGAAGCTAATAATAATCACCAATTTATGTTGCAAGATTATATGATATCATCATCATCATGTGAAATAAGGGGAAGCAACCCAACGTATCATGACGCATTAGCAGCAGCTGCTAAGCTTGCATTTAGTTTTAACATAAAGCAACGCTAAATTCATAGTACTGTGAAATCTAAAACATGACTAGTGATTGAGAATTGACAATCGACAACCTCAATCAAAGGCACTTGAGTGAGTGAGTGAGAGAGAGAGAGACCACTCAGTTGTCGTAAGTACGGCACTCGTCTGTTTCGGGGTTGTCCTTGCAGAAAGTCTCCAACGGGTCGGAAGTTTTCTTGTTGTCGCGGGCATGGCTGGCCGCAGCACTCAGCTCCTCAACCTCGTCCCATGCTGCCACGCACTCCCCGCTTGCTGGGTCGTCTGAGCAAGTCTCCTCTGCACTCTTGATGCTTTCAGCCACCTTCTCCGATATTTTATCTGGGGCTGCGCTCACTGGCCTTATCATGGTCATGCGGCCACCGCCCAATTGCTGCTGGCCACCAGACCTTCTCCAGGGGTTGCTGAGCCATGCTGGCTGGAAAGCCTTTGGTGTCTCGGTTGCTTTGGCCAACACTCTTGGGGTTGAGAGGTTCACTCCAGCTACAGTTGCTGTTGCCATTTCTCCTCCTCTTTCCTTCTCCTTGTTTCTGGTTTGGTTTTGGTTTGAAGTGGTAGGCTTGCTTGCTTCTTGACAACAATAGAGAGATTGGGTTTGGGCGATAACGAGCATGAGGGTTATAATTGGAGTCTGCAATGTTTCACGATCGCACACTTCTTATCGAATCACAGCCAATCATCTACTTCCACGTTGGAACTACTTGAGATATTTTAGTAGGAAAAAAATCGCACTTTTAGAAAAGACGTGCCCATCATTCCTATTACTATTCAAGTTTGTATATGTACATACATACATACATACAGTAAAACGACGGGTATGTATGTATGTATGTGTGATTTTGTTGATACTTGAGAGCTTGATATTTTGGACCTTTCAATTCTATCAAGTATCAAATTATTCATTTGATTCTTCAGAGGCGTGTAGCACCATGATCCAGTTAACTCCTCTCGCTAAATGTCAAGAGGAGAGAGCACCTAGAGTTTAAGCCAACCAAATAAAAATGCTAGAATTATTCAGGAGCACCTAGTTTAAGTTTAAGCCAACCAAATAAAAATGCTAGAATTATTCAGGGGAAGAAAACTATTAACAAAGATTCTCAGAGGAACCACTGCTTTTCAGTTCTTATCTCAACCACTGCTTTTCAGTACGTAAGCACTTCTTGTTTAACACGTTTCCACATGCCCCAAAACCTTACGTACCATGCAACTCCAAAAATTAATTAAATTCTGAGAACCCATATGCACTTGAACAATCACTTTTGTACTCTTTGTGCAAAGGCTACAAGAAGCCCAGCTCATTAATTATAAATTGTAAGATGCGCATAGGCCGAGCTTGAATTACACAAAGATATAAATGGAAACCAACTTCAACTCACATCCATGTAAGTCCACATACAAACTCGTGTCACAACATCTAATGAGCAAATTACATGCTTGAGGGAATACGAAGCATAAATCCGCGGTTTCCATTTCCATACGTGCATCACGATTAAAAGTAACGTTTCCGTGCATTTATCCACCATCCAGTGGCATTTACATATTACTCACGCAATCAAACTATGGCAAACATCTGGAATTCCAAGCACCTAGAAATGAGAAACTCAATGACCAGCTGATGGATTCGTCAACAGTTCAAGTGATTTAATTAAGTGATCTACTGCAACTGACACATCATCAAATGCCAACGCCCCAACTGCAAATCTGGCAGCCTTATGTGCCTCGGCAATTTTCTCAGGTGATGGCTGGTAGCTACTGTCATACTGGTATGTCTTTGCAGGAGTAGGAGTAGGAGCAGGTTCTGGAACAGTCCCATTTCTGTTGCTCGACTGGTATTGGGCAGTTGAAGGAGCTGACTGGGGAGAGTAGGAAGGAGCTACCTGGGCAGAGTAGGAAGGAGCTGACTGGGCAGAGTAGGAAGGATCAGAGCCCTGATAGTAAGAGGGATAGTGGGATGTGACTGCTGGAATATTGCTTTCTGTAAAACTTGGATAAGATTGGAAATTAGGATAGGAGAAATTATTTTCATGAGAGGGATAGTTATGTGGCAAATGCTGTTGGGGTTCATGCGGGTAGGGTTGCTGCTGGTATGGCTGAGAATAATCAGAAGTTTCTGGTCTATTTGTTGGAGGAGGTGGAAGGAAATCATGGGAAGAGTAACCAGCAGTAGAGTAAGACCGAGGTGGTGGCACATTGTTAGAAGAATGCTGGCCATTGACTTCATCATGGAACTCAGGTGAGGATTGAAGGCTAGCTGAACGCTGGATTTTGGCATTATCATGAAACTGAGGAGGTAAAGTGTCTGTAGAGTGCTGCTTGTTGACTTCATCATAAAACTGGGGTGATGGATCAGATTGTGGTCCAGGACTGGTAACTGCAGCTTCACTTGGCCCAAGATCCTGCAAGGATAGACATAGGTAAAGATCATATCATACAACAAGCTCAAAAGTAAACTAGTGTTAAGTCTAGAACCATACATATGAACCACTCATCCCACTCGATGGAACTGAAAGATCATCATCTCCAGCAGGGGGCCCTGCTTGAGGCTTCCTTCCTTCTTTCAAAGCTTTCCTTATATCTGCTGCTTTCCAAGCTGCATACTTTTGTTTCTGCTCAAGCTGTAAAAAGATAATAAAAATATAAGCCACCCCCAAAATCCAACCGTCCCCAAAGAAAAATGTACATCACAAATCATTCTAGATGGAGTTGTCTAATCTTAATGAAAAGGATAAATGACACTTCAAGTGGCATTGCAAAACATAATCAGAAACTCACATCAGGCTGAAGCACGCCAAACTGGTTAATAATCTCAAAGAAAATGCTAGCAGCATAAAATGTTTTTGCAGTATTCCTGCAACAAAGAAAATGTAAAATCCCGTCAAGAAACATGAGCTGACAAATTCACAGCACAGGAGATTTGTATTTCACGAAACCTAGAGGTTTAGATCTCAAAAGTTAAACTCTCTGAGAGTGAAAATGATTGTTCATAAAGGACATGAGAACTCAAAGTCTCAATCTTTTTTTCAAAGAAAATGCAAAAAAGTGGAAAATCTGACTTACAAATCTGCTCGACCAGCACGATCTTGCTTGTCTGCCTTCCCAAAAACATTTAAGGCAAATCCCTCAAGATACAGATTGTCTTCGGGCCCCAACTGCAGTGACTTCTTATCCTATAGAGAAAAAGTGTCAATAGACATTGAGATGGGGAACAGAAATCTATGAATTTTATCATAATATAATTTCACAAAAACAGCAGCAGGACAAGTCTTCTGGTCGATAAATTATTTGGTTACAATTCAAGACTACTAATGGGAGATATTTGAGGGCCAACACAAACTTAAAGAAAAAAAAATCTAACTCGCATTGTCACACTAAAAGTAATCATCTTTGCTCCCTAAAGAGTAATCCTAAGAGCCTCCATGGATGAACCTCCAATTATATGGTATAATTATAGGAACCCTGAAACTGCTTAACAATGAAATGGTAGCAAGAAATGCTCTTGTTGTTTAAAAATCACCATTTTTCATTATTGAGGCAAACGTATACGAAAAAAAAATACGGGCATTCCATGGAGCAGAAACATATGAGTTGCAAAACGGATCCCAAAAACTTATTTGGCACACCAAGCTTAGGCAACCAGTACTACTGAGCCTCAGTACTAGAGCAACTAAAAATCAGAGTCAATTAAGATTTTTGTACCCAGTATCAGGCAATGGCAGCATGCTAAAATTTTACAATTATTTTCCTCAGTTTTCTCAGAAACCAAATAGAACCAGTTGATAAAACAAAATTTTAAAAATCCCATCTTCCAAAATAAAAAGTCATAAAGAAACGGTGAAAAAGAAAAGACCTTTTCAAGCTGCTTCATGAGGGAAATAAGGAGGGAATTGGTGGTCTTGGTACGCTCGTTCTGAGGGATCTTCAGCCCTCGCTCCATTGCGTACAATCGACCTAAATTGAATACAAAATCAGAAGATTAAATTAACTTAGACACAAAATATAAAATTCGTAATTTTGTTCTCATAAAAAAAGTTGGGGCCAAGAGAGAGAGTTACAGTAATAAGCGACGAGAGGCTCGTGTTTCTGCAACTCATCGGCACGTTGGAGGTACGGCAAGAGGAGCTTCGCGGGCTCGTTATCGCTCGCCATCTATGGCTTCCTCTGTTCGATCACAGAGAGAGAGAGAGAGAGAGAGAGAGAGGATTTGGGCAAGGCAAAGCTTTGTGTTTGAGTACAAGGCAGAGAGAGAGTCTACAATGGGTCTGACCGTCGTCTGACGATCATTCAACGACGTCGTCAAGACTTAACGAGCACGATTAAACAGGTTAGCTATTGAATTGGGCCATGAAGTGTACGGCCCAACTCACTGGATCAATATGAAGAAGGGCCCACCGAATTCCAACTTCAGGTGGAGTCCACTTACATTTGGGCGGGGGCGGGTCCCATACTGCGTTATGATAGGGCGAAAGGCGAAAGGCGAAAGGCGAAAGGCGCGCGTACGGGAGAAGAAACCACTGTACAGTGCTCAACTAAACTATAAAAAAAAAGGTTAAAAAAAAAGAGAAAAATCAAATGAATGATAGGATGCTCGTTCACAAAGTCTACCATCGCCTATCTCTTCTCTCCCTCACTCCATACACTCTCCCTTTTAAACCCGTCCAATTCCCATCGGCCCTTTCACCCGCGAGCATCAGAGCACGTCCCCTAAACGGCACCGTAAGGTCCCTCAGAACTACCGCCGTCATGGCCACCTCTAGGCTCCGCAACCTCGTCCCTGTCCACGCCGTCGCTTCGGAGGATGGCAGTGGCGGAGCCTCCAACGGCTCTGTCTCTTCTACCGCAGCTACCACTGCACTTGAAGATGAAGGTATTTAATCGTAATATATGTGTTCATGTATATGTTTTTGGATATGAAGTTTCATAATCTCTTTCAACCCAAAATCTGCTTTGAAATTTATAAAATTTTATTGTCTTGCTTTTCCTCATCACTTAGTTGATTGGTATGTGAGTTGCGAATTTTAAACTTGAAACATTTTCTGCTCGTAATTCCAATGTTTGTATATATTTATGTAGAGGACTCCACGTTGGGAGTTAGATATCGTCTTCCTCCACAAGAAATTAAAGATATCGTGGATGCTCCACCACTTCCCGCCTTGTCATTCTCACCACATAGGGATAAGATACTGTTTCTCAAGCGGAGATCTTTGCCGCCATTGGCAGAACTTGCTAGACCCGAGGAAAAGCTGGCCGGCGTTCGTATTGACGGAAAATGCAATACAAGGACTCGGATGTCGTTTTACACGGGCATTGGGATCCATCAATTGTTGCCTGATGGTACCCTTGGGCCCGAAATAGAGGTACATGGATTCCCTGATGGTGCTAAGATCAATTTCGTTACTTGGTCCCCGGATGGTCGCCATTTAGCCTTCTCCATCCGATTTGATGAGGAGGAAAGTACCAGTAGTAAGCTTAAAGTGTGGGTTGCCCAAGTGGAAACGGGGATCGCTAGACCTTTGTTTAAGTCAGACGAAATATTTTTGAATGCTGTTTTTGACAATTTCGTTTGGGTGAATGATTCTTCTTTGCTAGTTTGCACCATTCCCCTGTCGCGTGGAGACCCGCCAAAGAAACCTTGGGTTCCTTTTGGACCAAAAATTCAATCTAACGAGCAGAAAAGCATTATCCAAGTTAGGACCTTCCAGGATTTGCTGAAGGATGAGTATGATCAAGATTTGTTTGACTACTATGCCACGACACAACTTGTTTTGGCTTCTTTGGATGGGACGGTGAAGGAAATTGGTCCTCCGGCTGTATATACATCAATGGACCCCTCCCCGGATCATAAATACCTTTTAATTAGTTCAATTCACAGACCATACTCTTTCATTGTACCATGCGGAAGATTTCCCAAGAAGGTGGATCTGTGGACAGCTGATGGGAAGTTTATTAGAGAGCTTTGTGATTTACCTCTTGCTGAGGACATCCCCATTGCAACCAACAGTGTGCGAAGAGGGATGCGTTCAATCAACTGGAGAGCAGATAAACCATCAACACTCTACTGGTATGCATATGTTGCCCTGCTTTCAAACTGTTTGGATATCTTAAGTGACATCTGTTTGAGACCTTCTCTCTCTCTCACACACACTCATAATATCACGTCAAGTACTCAATGAGGACTCTCTATAAAGGAGTAGTTTTCTAAACGTTAATTAGTTAAATAAATTTCTAACAAATGGGCTCGAAAAATGAAAAAGCAGAATGACAGTCTATACTGTGTTTTAATTCCACATCGTTGTTACTAAACTATCTAAGCTTTCTTCTACGACTTGTACAGAGTAGTTTGTGTATATGGTTTCAGTTTCCTTTTTGACTTTGTGAACTTACTAGGGTGGAGACCCAAGATGAAGGAGATGCGAAAGTGGACGTTTCTCCACGCGATATAATTTATACACAGCCTGCTGAGCCACTAGAAGGTGAAGGGCCAACGATCTTGCACAAACTTGATCTCCGCTATGGGTATGAATTTAAGCTATTAATTTTTATCTTCTATTGGCATTAATGGAGGATGTGTGCTGGAAAATTATTTCAACCTTTTCATATGTCTGTTTTTTTGGGATTTTTGAAAGAATGATGTTTCCAAAGGGCAATGTATTTCTAAAGACTTCTAAAATTGTGCTAAGGAAGTGTAAATACTTTATGGTGGGCCCAACACTAGCAATACTTGTTTTGATGCATTTGAACTTTTCAATTTCACAGAGGGATTTCTTGGTCTGATGATTCATTGGCTCTAGTTTATGAGTCTTGGTACAAAACAAGGAGAACGAGAACCTGGGTGATTTCTCCTGGATCGAATGATGTCAGTCCGCGCATCCTATTTGATAGGTCATCCGAAGATGTATATTCAGATCCTGGCTCTCCTATGCTGCGGAGAACTCCTGCTGGGACGTATGTGCTTGCAAAAGTAAAGAAAGAAAATGAGGAAGGCACTTATATACTACTGAATGGAAATGGTGCTACACCAGAGGGAAACATCCCATTCCTCGATTTGTTTGACATGTAGGTTTTTTATAATTTCTTGTTTCTGTTTCGTTCTTCAAGTGCTTATTCGTGCTGTGGTGGCATAAACCAAATTCTTTCAGAAATACAGGCAATAAAGAAAGAATATGGAAGAGTGACAAAGAAAAGTATTATGAGACTGTTGTTGCTTTGATGTCTGATGAGAAAGAAGGAGATCTGCCCATTGATCACTTGAAAATATTGACTTCCAAAGAGTCAAAAACTGAAAACACCCAGTATTATATCCTAAGCTGGCCAGAAAAGAAAGCATTCCAAATTACAAATTTCCCTCATCCATATCCACAGCTGGCATCATTACAGAAAGAGATGGTCAAGTACCAGAGAAAGGATGGGGTTCAACTGACTGCAACATTATACCTTCCACCAGGCTATGATCCATCCAGAGATGGCCCTCTTCCATGTCTAGTCTGGTCTTACCCTGGAGAATTCAAAAGCAAAGAGGCTGCTGGACAAGTTCGTGGTTCTCCTAATGAATTTGCTGGCATAGGTCCAACATCTGCTCTCCTCTGGCTAGCTCGAAGGCATGCATTGCTCTTCTCATTTCTTACTATGTTTTGGTGTTTCTATTGTTCGTTTGGTTCTTATCTGTATTGGACCTTTTGGTGTCTGGATTGTTTTAAACATGCTGGACCTCTTTTTGATTGCTCCAAATCCTGCAGGTTTGCTATTCTATCTGGACCAACAATTCCTATAATTGGTGAGGGTGATGATGAAGCAAATGATAGGTAACGTTTTAGTCGCATATGTATTAATATGAGTTTCTGCTTCCAGTCATAATTAATGTTCTTTATGAACTCATCAGCATTTCTCACAAGTTAAGTGACAGAAGATGATCCATATAACATAAATTCATGGCATTATTAACCAGGAAACAATGGATCAAATGAATTATAATGCTTATTCTTTGCCAGGTATGTGGAGCAATTGGTTGCAAGCGCAGAGGCTGCTGTGGAGGAAGTTGTTCGACGAGGAGTAAGCAACTTCATTTTTGCAGTGTGAACTTTTTTAGCAAGTTTCTGAATTTGAAATCTTTACCGAAAACCTCTTTTGGTGCTACCCTTACTAAGGTGGCTCATCCAAACAAAATTGCTGTTGGGGGACATTCATATGGGGCATTCATGACTGCAAACCTCTTGGCACATGCCCCTCATCTTTTCTCTTGCGGAATTGCTCGATCTGGTGCTTACAACAGAACACTTACTCCTTTTGGTTTTCAGGTACCTTACCAGAAGTTGATTTAAATATATATCCATGTGTTTTGATATCTTCTCTTGCCATGATATTATCCCTATGTAAATACTTTACCTTTTTTTTTCATGGCTTGACTCTTTAGTTTATTGGTGTAGAATGAGGATAGAACTCTTTGGGAGGCGACTAGTACTTATGTAAAGATGAGTCCTTTCATGTCAGCTAATAAAATTAAGAAACCAATCTTGCTTATCCATGGAGAAGAAGACAGTAATCCCGGAACATTAACCATGCAGGTAAACCTTCACTCCCTTCCTGCATTGCTGTTAACTACTGTGTTCACAACATCCTTTATGCCCTCTCAAAAAGAAAAGGGAAAGGACCTTCATGCCCTCTCATTCTTTCACTCTTTCACGAGAGGGGACCTTTGATCTGTTTAATTTGTTCAACTCTTTGACAACATGAAAAACCATTTTTTCCCCTCTTTGTGCTTAGTGGAATGATGAATTTCTTGTTGTTTATGAGTTGTCAACTTATGTGCTATGCAGTCGGATCGTTTCTTTAATGCTCTGAAAGGTCATGGTGCTCTTTGCCGCCTTGTGATTCTTCCCTACGAGAGCCATGGCTATGCTTCAAGAGAGAGCATCATGCATGTGCTATGGGAAACTGATAGATGGTTGCAGAAATATTGCGTGTCACACACTTCCACTGTAAATGTAGATCCTGATGCGAGTAAAGACGACTCAGGCACAGTATCTACAGATTCTGAAAGCAAAGCAATTGCTGCTAGTGGAGGCAGTGGCCCAGAGGTGTCAAATACTGAGCATGAAGGATTTGACTCGTTGCCAAGGTCATTGTTATGGTAATTTATTTACTGTTATAGAAATAGAGGAGATAACAGAAATAACTCTGAAATGAAAAGAAGCAAGATAAGTACTTGAATTCTTTCACATTACCTTTATGCTAAGCTCTTAAAAAATCCAAGCCTTGGTGTCTCAGAACTTCTCTTCAAACATATATACCTATATAAACGTTGATGAATAATAGGTCCTTTTCTTAAGGGGGTTTTTTCTTATTTGTTTCTCTCATAATTGATATGATGTAGAATAAATTGCTGATCTTGGCTTGAGGACTGTGGTTTGCACATCAATGTGGCGTACAAATGATACCTGACAACACAGATGCTTCGTCGTCGAAGGGCAAATTTGCATTTGTAACAATAGTGATGTATTATTATTTGCAAGATGCTTCCTCGTCGAAGTGAAATTTGCATTTGTAACAATATCGATCGATGTATCATTTGAAATTGTATCCCAAACTTCTTGTGCTCCAAAATCCTTTCAGCATTGCCGATGTTGAGTAGCCAATGCTTGGATAGGAGGGTTAGGGGCAGGGTAGGATTAGTCTTGCTTGTGTACCATAAATAAAGCTCTTAAATGAAAACAGAAAAAAGTATTTATGCAGACTATCGCATCGCATGCGCTATTGAAGAGCTACATTTATTTAATTTTTTCAATCAAGACTATTATAAATCCAATTATAATTTGACGAATGTCCATGGGTATTCTTGAATTTGTTACACTAACCCACCTTCCTTCAGTGCACCTAATTGTATTCGAGAGAGTTTGGAAATGAGAAACGCATAATCCTCATGAAAATTACCACGCTTGATTCAATAGAAAACATCCCATAAATGCAATCACAAGGGAGCAACAAATATCAACAACATTAATTTGAAACAATACTGTAGCGCACAATAGTACGATAAACTTATTATTTCAATACCCAAACTAAGCTCATCTCAAGTTCAAGAGCCATGGAAAGGAGAGACTGATTAATACACTGTTGAAGCCGTCCATCAAATCATGATGGAAACTATCTATTCCTCAGCAACAACACTAATTTCACCTTTTTCAAGCAAGTCATAGAACACCCTCACTTTCCTCTGCTCATTCCAGTGATGCATTTTCCAAAGGCTTCCAGCAGCCAGAGCAAGCACCGTGCCGTAACATATCTCCTTGACAACGCTTGGTCCTTTCAGTGTGGCATGAGCAATCTTATGACCAGCCATTCCGCTTGATCTGCAATAGAAGAGTTTCATATTCTCATTATGCTTGCACGATTAGGCACAAATCTAAAATGAAACATATCAACAAGCAACAAGCCTATTGCATTCAAACTAAAGCTGAAATTTATGCATATAACATCGTTCAGACTAATTTCAGAACAGAAACTAGGATTAGATATTACTCCGTTATAAAATCCATTAACCAAAAACTTCGTTTGAAGTTGGGCAACAAAGGGACACCACCTGGGATTGAACCCAAAACAGGACTTGGATTTTTGTGGCTTTATGAATAAGGTGTGTGTCCCCATGGGAAAACGTATACAAGAACGTAACTAAACAGACCAGTATCACACTTTGGCAACAAAGTTTACGCCTCAAAATTTAATCTTTTGATAGGATGCCTAGAAAGTTAAAAACCATGGGAAACTTTCAGAACAACAAGGAATAAATAAATATTTATTCACAAAATGAGTTTGGCATGACAAAAATTTCTTTTAGTTAGGATCTAAACCTGTTTGCACAATCCATGAAAGTTTTACAAGTGTGTTATATGCTTGTTGGGGTCCAGAGTTTGGTTTCCTCCAAACCCTTCATCCCAAGATCGAATTTTATCATACATTTTCAGGTGATTCAAACAGATAAGTAAAAACAACACGAAAATCCGGATCGAATCTACTAGAAACGCAAAGTAATTGGATTCAAATAGCAAAGTAAAGAAATCATTTCAGACAAACCCTATAAACACGATTTGATAGTTCAAAGAGAATAATAAGCGAAAAAGAAAAATCAAAATAAAAGAGTGAAAGGCGGTCGTCGACGTTAGGGTTTTACCTGAGACCGAGAAGGAGGCTGCGACAACAAGAAACGGTGGTGAGATTGTGAATCCGAAAATTGGGGCTTGCGACAAATTTCAATCGTTTGTCAACTGATTGGCTGTGAGCCTGCCCTGCTCTGTAGTATAGGCACTTCGTTCTTAATTGTGAAATCTCCTTTCTGCCCTGAAACGTAATTTGTTTGTGGGCTTTATAATGTCCTACTGTAAGGTTGGGCTTTATAATGCTCTACTGTTTGTTGTTTGTTTGTGGGCTTCGAGTCTTTACAAAGTTTACTGCTCATGCAAGTCTGATTTAGCCCATTTGATGTCTTCGTTCGTATTCTTCTACAAAACATACTCTTGAAAATACGTATATTTCATGTTTCTTTTTTTTATTGTCGAAGCAGATGTTCTATACAATAGAATACGTATATTTTATGTTAAGCGGTAGGGTTTTGCATACCACAGATATTTTCATTTAAGTCAAATTTAAGTACTGATAATTTGATATTCCCTAGCCCGTTTGATTTGCTATTTAATTGTTTGTTTATAGCAGCTTTTAGGTGTGACTACTTTTCTGAGAAAAAGCTTTAGTTGTGTTTCTTATTAAAAATACACCATCATTTTCCACATTTGGAATTATTTTAGTGTTGGTTGCTTACGGTGCAAAATTATAGTCAATGGTCGTAATTGGCAGGCAAATGGCACAGGAAAATGGTTATTTGGTGAGAATTTAATACCGAGCACTGGCAGCCTCAGTTTTCAACAACCTCCTCACCCTTTCTGTAAATGCCAGATGTTAGCCTTTCCGAAAAATAAAACAAGTAACAAATTTATTTACCCAAAAAAAAGCAGCAGAGCAGATTTTCTAAAACAGTTACGTACATCAAGAAGACAGAGACACTTTTGGATTATTATTTTGGTTGGTAAATGAGACACCTGTGTGTGTATGAATGAATGCTACTTTTTCTGTGGATGCTAAACGGAGAAACGCTAGACATCCAGCATGCACTTACGGACAAAACACTAAACGTTGAGCTTTCTTTTTCGTTCTTTCTCATTTTACGTATATTTCTTGTTAATTATCATTTACTATATATGAATATCATACACGGAACATAGGCTCTGCATTAGTTCAGGTAACATCCATATAATATGAATCTACACCAAACAAATATCATAATGTATTAATCATTTTCCTTTTTGGGTTCTTATATAATTGTAATTTATTGGGAAAAAAGAGACGGAAAAGCAAATTTCATATTTATTCCTTTTATTGTCGTCCATTCATATTATAATAGAATACATAAGTAGCAATATTTTAGTACCCTCTACGATCATGTATCCAAGTGGGGACTCATAGTATAGAATAATTAATATAGAAAAAAAAATTAAAAAAGGCGAACCTCGTTCTTTTCACCCTTGGGTTTTGGGTTTTTTATGAACATCTTCTATATTTATTTGTTTTTGAAGAGGAAGAAGAAGAGGAAGCCACTCCCCACTCTTCACCCAAACACACACAAGTGACGAAGACGAACCCAAAAGAGGCCAAAAAACCGACACCCCATAAACTCAAGAATTGACCAGCATGGCCTGCGCTTCACTGTGCTCCCCCAAATTCCTGGTGATCTTCTTCCTACTCTCGGCCATACCAATAGGCTACCTAATATCCTTGGAGTTGGCCAAACCCACCACCCACGTGTACCACTACCACAGCACCGGCTGGCTCCGAGAGTGCGCCAAGTGGGACGATCTGAACCGTCGCTTCCTCGTCTCGTTCTTGGGCGGCGGCATCGGCGAGATTCACGTGCCCGAGGACGAAGATCACAAAGTTTTGCAGGAAGTGGCGGTGGTCAAACACGTTGACTTGGCTGGGAATGCTTCGCTGGGACTCGTCATCGACCGCCCCAGGAATCGCCTCCTAGTCGCCACTGCCGACGTCAAGGGAAACCGCTACGGTGCGCTGGCCGCCTACGACTTGTCCACGTGGGAGAGGGTCTTTCTCACCCAGCTCAGTGGCCCAAGTAAGATTTTTTTGGGTTGGCTTTTTCCGTGTTCATTGATATTGGATCTGGGCCGTTGCGCGTTTGCTTTTACTTTACTTACTTTACCGTTATCTGTATTTAATTGGGGGCAAGCCCGCATAAAAGTTAGACTGCACTTATCTAATTCAGGTCAATCAAATATGTTAAAATGAAAAGAGGCATACATATGATTTGGTAAATTGGTATTTATTTCCCAAAAACTAAACTTAATGGTATTGTCTGCTAAGCTGTAGTGGTAGGTAGGTGTGTGGTTTTGCCTTAAATATCTTTAGGAGTTGGGTAGTAATAATTGATCAAACTAATGAATGACAGATGCGGACAGGTCACAGGTCCACCTGTTATATTTTTTATTTCAAATAATCGTAGACGTTGGGGTTGTGACTTGTTGAATTCAGAAGAGGCGTAGGCATGGGGTTTTCTTTTTTCTGCTGTTTGTTATATCCGCTAAGAAAGAGACGTGACCATTTCTTACTATAAAAATATTTGGTTACCTTACCATACATCCCACCACAACACATATTTCACAATGGTAGGATTCGCGTGAGGCTTTTCGCACAAGATGTTGGTCCTTAAATTAAATGATTTGTTAAGTGAGATTCCATTTAAATAAATGTGGCTGTTCATTTTTTACCTTTAGGGCTTGTTTGATACGGAGAGGACACTAGACTCGCAAAATGCCTATATTTTAGTAACTTATCCCCCTAATCCCCTTGAAAATGGTGGGATATTATGAGGGATAAGTTTTACTCATCAACCTCTTATAAATAGTCCTCCTTCATTCTTCAAGTTAGACAACAATTATGCCACATGAAATGTTAGGCATTTTGCTAGTCTAGTCTATCCCTAGCAAACAAGGCCTTAGTGAATACTCAAGTCTAATCCTCCCTAACAAACAAGGCCTTAGTGGATACTTGAGTCTAGTCCTCCCTACCAAGGATGACAAATGTATTACGAAAATGTAATTTTTCTTCTAATGTAAATGTTTTAAGAATCGGAAATTTTATTCTAATGTCCTTTTTGGATGGCACACCAACTGAATTGGAATGTTGAACTTAGATAGATGGCCAAGTTTGTTTATTACTAGCATCTTTTTAATCAGGTACTGAGAAAGAAGGAAGAAATTTTTTATGGAGAATTGTTCAAATATTGTTTTATCCAACTTCCCACATTCTTGCATCCTTTGATTGATATGGATAATGGATTAGCATTCAATGTCAAAGCATGATTGCAGTTTATAGGGTGTTGTTTTATAACATATTTTTCCCATTTGTTTGCGGATGTGGATGTAGGTGATGAAAAATCATTCGCAGATGATGTTGCAGTTGATGCAGAAGGTAATGCGTATGTAACAGATTGCAAAGCCAGTAAAATTTGGAAGGTTGGAGTAGACGGCAAGTTCCTATCGATAATCAGAAGTCCTCTCTTCACTGAAAAGGAGTGGTACAGAAACTTGGTTGGGCTGAACGGAATTGTTTACCACCCGGATGGGTTCTTGATAGTTATTCACACTTTCAGCGGCAATTTGTTCAAGATTGATCTAGCAAAGGGAGAGGAAGTGAAGCTAATTAAGGTAGTCGGAGGACCGCTAACATTCGGGGATGGTCTAGAGCTACTATCTCCCACCAAGATTGTAGTCGCTGGGAACCCTTCTGCTAGGTTAGTGGAGAGCTCTGATGGCTGGGAGACAGCTTCGGTAGTGGGAACATTCTCAGGGCCGAAGCATCGGTTGGCCACAGCAGCAACTGTGAAGGATGGGAAGGTGTATCTCAACCACATGGTTGGCCTGGGATACCCTAAGAAGACGCATACCCTCGTTGAGGCAGTCTTTTCTGCTTGAAACGTAAAAGGGTCTGTCTCAACTCAACTCAGCAACCACCATCATTTTCACATGTAGATTAGATGTCTGCGGAATTTTAATTGGATGTCATGTGTGTATCAGTAAACCACATTTTTACATTTTTATATATATTTGGAACAATCAGGTTTCTGGGCTGAATTGATGTATTAACAGGCTGGGTTTTTGCGTACTATGTTTGGGGTTCTAGTGGACCTTTATTTTCAGGCAACTCTGTCTATATCCTCCACAACATTTGTTTTGTTCAATGGCCCAATCTTTTTTGTTTTTTTTTCCCTGCTGAAAAACTTGAAAACATTTGCTTCTTTCGATGTATGACTAATGACATGTTTTAGTGCAAAAACCAGATTGTATGTATAGACAAGTTGGTGGGTTAAGGGTTACGATCCATCCAGCTCAGGATGAGCGCAGGAGCGGCTGCGGCTGATATTTTAATCCCACCCAACAACAAAAACGTCGTCACGACTCACGAGATAGGATCTAAATTGTCAATTCAATCAATTTGTCTCTCCATTTACTTACATAATTATTTTAATATGTGGTCACAAGAATGGATATGTTTGTGAGAAGATAACTGTTTTGCCATGCTCCTCTTCCTCTGGTTTATGTATAATGTACCCCCTTCATTTCACATATTCCCAAAAGCGATAGATAGTATCACTTCCAAGAGAAGCAAAGCCAACGACGACAATATTTAGTTGTTGTCTGGGCTTAGCCTTCTTTGTTACTCAAAAAAAAAGAAAAAAAGAAAAAAAGAAGGCCAACGACGACATATTAGGAGAATCTGATTATCATGGACAAAAGAGTTGTCCAATTTACTTTCTACAAAATATATACGCTAGATGGGGATTCTTATTGTTAATTAAGCTGAGAATTGGGATAAAAAGAAGAAGAAGAGAAGAGTTCACAAGCAAGGCTAAATAATTTATAAATATGTTGTGATTTGCAACTTTTGTACCTTTGAGCAATTTTTGGTGTGTGTTTTCATAAAAAAATTTGTTGAAAGCATGCATATTCTCCGACTCTGGCCACGCTATCTTGTGTAGAAAATGGAATGACACGTAGTAATTGAAATCAAATGAGGCTATACCTGTCATTTTACATGTATTTGTAGTTACGTAGTCAATTCCGTCAAGAATATTGTAATTTTAAAAGGCCAGAATAGTACATGGATTATGATTATCTGTTATTTTTTAACAAGTAACAACCCACTTTCCCAATTAGCAACTGCTCTGCTTTAGCATCGCCTTCTCACATCACATCACTATCAAACACTCTCAAATCTGCGAGTTTTCTGCACATGCCTTGCTATCTTTCCCAATTGTTTTCCAAATCTCACCCAACACTCATTGACTTCTCTCTCAGGAAGCTTATCTTCCCCCCACTCCCGAGTGAGAAACTGTGAGAGACTGAGTTATGGAGAGGCAGAGAAGTTTCTCCTTCAAACCCACTAGATTCTTAGTATTTTCTTTTACCATCTCTTCCTCTGTCATCTTTCTCACTTTCTTTACCATTTGGATCATCAAAACAACTCCTTCAGTACCCCAAGAAACCCGTCTCCAGTTCAACACATCCTCACTCGTTTTGGGTTTCAAACCCATAGCTGTTCACACATTGACTGGTTTCAGTAGGAATTTTTCAGTAAATGGTCTTAAAGATTCGATCTTGAAGGGTACCCGTTTGAGCAAACCTGAAAATGCCTCTGGGTTTTCTGGGATTTCACTTATTAGTGGGTTACAGTTACAGAGGAAGGAGAACGAATCCCAAGTGGCAGAACACGAAGAGGAAAAAGGCGGTGAGTCTGATGGTAATTTCACAACAATTGAACACAGTGCACCTACTACAATCCTACTTGTGAACGTTGAGAGGACTGAAGAGAAAAATGCTGCATTGAATAAGACTGAAGTCACAAGTAAAAGGAGGATTGATGAGAAGAAGACTAGAGGAACTTCATTTGAAAATACTCAAATTTTAAGTGGCGGGCAGGTTGAGAACAAGAGAGTGAGAGGATGCGATTTTACCAGAGGGAGGTGGGTCTACGATGAGAGCTATCCATTGTACACAAACGGTTCCTGTCCTTTTATAGATGAAGGTTTTAATTGTCAGGGTAATGGAAGATTAGATAAAGACTACATGAAGTTGAGATGGCAACCACAAGATTGTGACATTCCAAGGTAATTCCTCCTCCAATATTTTTATTTATTTGAAAAACCAATTCTAGCCATGTATGTATGATGAATTCTATAAGATTGCTATTTTGGTCTGTACATAATGTAGTTAGATTGCAGTTATGATTCTTGAACTACTGTATCATAGGTTTAATGCAACAAAAATGCTGGAACTGATCAGAGGGAAAAGACTAGTTTTTGTGGGCGATTCAATCAATAGAAATCAATGGGAATCCATGCTGTGCATGTTAATGGGAGCTATCAAAGATCCAAATAGGGTCTATGAGACGCATAGGCGCAGAATCACCAAAGAGAAGGGGGATTATAGTTTCAAATTTGTGGTAATTCTTCACAGTTGTTCTCTATTGTTGTTTCATTTGCAGGTTACTCAGTATTTAATTTCTGAAGAAGTTTTTCTTTACAGGATTACAAATGTACAGTTGAATATTATGTGTCCCATTTCTTGGTTCATGAAGGCAAGGCAAGAGTAGGGCAGAAGCGGGTGCAAACTTTGCGAATTGATTCCATTGATCACGGCTCATCTAGATGGAGAGGAGCTGATATTTTGGTATTCAACACCGCACATTGGTGGTCTCATTACAAAACTAAGGCTGGGTCAGTTCCATTACTGAATTATTACTCGTTTTGAAGTCTGATGATGGATTATAACTACAAAGTGACGTGTTCACGGAATACAAGGGATACATCTCATATAATTAGATATTTCTTGAATTGGAACCCTGACATTTGGAGCTTATAACAGGATTAATTACTATCAGGAAGGGGGCCAAATTCATCCACAGCTTGATGTTTCCACAGCTTTCAGAAAAGCTTTGATGACCTGGGCATCATGGGTTGATAAACGCATCAATCCACGGAAAACCCAAGTTTTCTTTCGAAGTTCAGCACCATCCCATTTCAGGTTTGCATGTATTCATGTTGCATAAGATTCTTATATGGCAATGTCGAACTTCTGCATGGTAGTTGCTGAGTGGTTTGTAACTGATTGAACAGGGGAGGTCAATGGAATTCAGGCGGGAGTTGTAAAGAAGCAACTCAACCGCTTCAAACTTCAAGCTCCTCTCATTCTGAGAAAAATGTAATTGCAGAGGAGGTCATAAAGCAGATGAAAACTCGTGTGACTTTCTTGAACATAACCGGCTTGTCAGAATATAGAATTGATGGTCATCCATCTATACATGGAAGAAAATCAGGGAAACACTCCTCTTCAGGCATTCAAGATTGCAGTCATTGGTGTCTTCCTGGCATTCCTGATATCTGGAATGAATTGTTGTATGCTCATTTGCAGTAACTGAAGGTAAACAGATTTTTTATTATAAATTTTTTATCTAACTTGTAAATAATTATTTCATCGTTTGTTCAGTGAGCTGGCTTACTGGCTGGCTTATAATTTTGGTTTATATATAATTCTTTGAGGGCTACCTGGGAATGCAAGTGAAATTTCATGATTGTTTGGGACTGTAACATTATGTTTTGGTCATGTATATTGGTTGGTCACAGCAGCAACCGTGAAGGATGGGAAGGTGCATATATATCTCAAACTCAACCACATGCTTGGCATGGGATGGGATAAGCCTAATTTAGTAGAAGGCATGTTGTTTTTGTTGAGGTAGGCAGTCTTTTCTGGTTGAAAGTTGGAATGGACTACCACCACCATCATGCATTCATATTCATAGGTAAAGATTAATTAGATGTTGAACTTGGGAATTTTAATTTGATTTATGGATCAGTAAACCACTCGTTTTATAATGGGCTAGTTCATCTGGGCTGTCCTTTTGACCACTAAATGAGGCTTTTAAGCTCTGAATTGGAAAATTGGGCTACATTCTTGTCTAAAATTTCTGTCTGGGCTTTAGCGGATCTCTTTATTCTGGTCGTGGGCTCAATTTTCATGCATTAGTCTACACCATTTGTTTAATGGCCCAAAGTTTCTCTCTCTCTCTCCTCTCTCTCCAAAACGAAAAGGAAAGAATACAAACTACAAGACGCTAGCTAGACTAGACCAGGCCACAACATATGATATTATTCCCAACACAAACAAAAGAGAAAAGGGTACGATCCGTACAGCTGAGCTGAGCAAGATTCATATTATTCCCAACACAAACTGAGCAAGATTGATAGATGCTATCCTGCCAGTGCCATGCCCTCTTGATCATAACATTCTACTCTATCAGATATTTTGATATGATTTTGCCATGTCTGATGTCTCCAGGAATTTTCCTGTGGCAAAATCAAGAGGCTCTCAAACATTGATTTTGAAGAGGACCTTATATATTAATTAATTAATTACCAAAACTTGTAATTTCTAATAACCAGTTCAAGCTAGCTAAGATGCACACCACTTAGCTTTGCCTTCTTAGAAGCATTTTGTCGAACACCCTTGCCCTCCTCGCCAGAAAATGAGGATTTGAATGTCATTATGATGCCTGAATTCCAAGTTCTTTGTTTATGGTTAATTAATAAGTGGTTATTGGAACGAATGGTCTTCCTTTCATTCCAGAACGTTAAGTGAAAGGGCAAAAGTAGCCAATTCATGCACATGCCAAAATTGTCATGCACGCAGCAACACACGCACCTCATCCGCTTCCTACAACGCTATCTAAACCAACCCATGTAACATTCACCAATCTCAACTAAGCCTTGAGCTTCCAACAATGATGTAAAATAATGAAAGACAAATAGATGGTTTTTATTTTATGAACAACCCACCACACACATTCCCAATTAGCAAAGCAACTGCTCTGCTTTAGCAAATTAGTCAGTACTTACTGCCTACTCACTTTTTCTGCAAGTTTGCTGTACAAGCCAAGCCTTGCTACTTGTTCTGGACTCTCTCAGTCCAAGTGAGAAACTGATCACAAATTATGAAGAGGCAGCCGAGTCTCTTCTTTAAATTACCCACTAGATCCTTGGTATTCTATTTTAGCCTGTCTTCCTCTATCATCTTTCTCACTTTCATAATCATTTGGGTCAACAAAACCACTCCTCCTAATTCAGTGGTGCAGGCCCAAGAAATAGGCAGCTGTCTACAGTTCAACACATCCTCACTCGTTTCGGGTTTCAGACCACCCATAGGCGCTGTGCCTTTTCACACTAATTTGACTGGTAATTTCAATACAAACATTTCAGTTACAGTAAATGGCCCGGAAGAATTGGTCTCCAGTAAGCCTGATGAAAATACTTCTGGCTTTTCTGGGATGAATTCATTTGTTAGTAGTGGGTTACAGACGAAGGAGAACCAATCCCAAGTGCCACGACATGATGAAGAAGACAGAGGCGGTGGTGAGTTGGACGGTAACTTCACAGCAGCAGCACAAAGTACACCTGCAATGTTATTTGACAAGATTGAGATGAAGAATGAAGAGCAAAATACTCCATGGAACAAGACTGAAGAGAAAAATACTCCATTGAACAAGACTGAAGAGCAAAATGCTGCTTCTGGCTTTTCTGGGGTTAATTCACTTGTTAGTGGGTTACAGGAGAAGGAGAACCAATCCCCACTGGCACAACGTGATGAAGAAGACAGGGTTGAGTTAAACTTCACAGCGGTGGCACCGCAAAGTGCACCTGCAATCTTATTTGACAAGATTGAGCTCAGCACCGAAGAGCAAAATGCTCCATTGATGAACAAGAGTGAAGAGCATACTGCTCAATCGATGACCAAGACTGAAGAGAAAAATGCTCCATCGATGAATATGACTGAAGAGAAAAATGCTTCATTGATGAACAAGACTGAAGAGCAAAGTGCTCAATTGATGACCAAGACTGAAGAGCAAAATGTTCCATTGAGGAATACGACTGAAGAGGAAAATGCTCCATTGTTGAATACGGTTGTTGAGCAATATGCTCCACTGATGAACAAGACTGAAGAGCAAACTGCTCCATTAATGAACAAGACGGAAGTGCAAGATGCTCCACTGATGAACATGACTGAAGAGCAAAATGCTGCTTCTGGCTTTTCTGGGATTAATTCACTTGTTAGTGGGTTGCAGAGGAAGGAGAACGAGTCCCAGGTGGCAGAAGTGGCACAAAGTGCACCTGCGGTCTCATTTGACAAGATTGAAATCAAGACTGAAGAACAAAAGGCTCCAGTACCACTGATGAACAAGACTGATGGGCAAAATGATGCATCGAGTAAAAGGATTGAAGTCATAAGTAGAAGGAGGAGAAGAAAGAACAAGAAAAACAGAGGAACTTCATTTGATCCAAATACTCAAGTTTCAAGTAGCGAAGTCCCCAAGAACAACAGAACAACTTCATTTGATCAAAAGACTCAAGTTTCAAGTAGCGAGATGGTGCAGGCTGAAGACAAGAAAATAATAATAAAAGGAGGATGTGATTTTAGTACAAGAGGGAGGTGGGTGTATGATAAGAGCTATCCCTTGTACACAAATCGTTCATGTCCTTTCATATTTGAAGGTTTTGACTGTCAAGGAAATGGGAGATCAGACAAAGACTACATGAGTTGGAGGTGGCAACCACAAGATTGTGACATTCCAAGGTACTTACTTCCTTGTTCATAATTTTTAATTACAGTACTGTATCTCTGGCCTGCTATATATAACATTTTATCAATATGATAGGTTCAATGCAAAAAAAATGCTGGAACTGTTGAGAGGGAAAAGGCTACTTTATGTGGGCGATTCCATCAATAGGAATCAATTTGAATCCATGGTGTGCATGTTAGTGGGAGATATAAGAGATCCAAATAGGCCCAGAATCAAACATGAGAAGGGGATGTATAGTTTCAGCTTTGTGGTAATAAATAATGAATCTTCATAGTTCTTCTCTTCGCTTCGTTCGCTATTGATGTCGTTTCATATTTTGGGTCTTCTCATCATAATTTGTGATGTAGTTGATCATTGTTTTCCACAGGATTACAAGTGTAAAGTTGAATTTTCCCCGTCCGTTTTCTTGGTTGATAAAAGCATGAAAAGAGTAGGGAAGAAGCAGGTCCCAACCTTGCGAATAGATTCCATTGATCGCATTTCATATCATTGGAGAGGAGCTGATATTGTGATATTCGACACTGAACATTGGTGGACCGATCAAAAAACTAATGCAGGGTCAGTCAAAACCATCATTATTGAGTATTATAGTGAACTACACTAAGGATAAGCTTTATTAATTTTCAGGACATATAGCTTAGCTAGGCTATAGTAATTAATAAGTAGTAGCTGGCTAGCAGCCTACCAATAATACCGTGCTCATTGTTGTGAGATTGAAATCAATGTGCAGGGTTAATTTCTACCAGGAAGGGGACCAAATTCATCCATATCTTGATGTTTATACAGCCCTCAGAAAAGGTATGATGACCTGGGCATCATGGGTTGATAAACACACCGATCCACGCAAAACCCAAGTTTTCTTTCGGACTTCATCGCCAACACATTTCAGGTTGTTATTATGTGCCTCCAGAATGTGTTGTCATATGCAGCATTTCAGGTTTGTTTTGTTTTCGGGTAATTAATCTTTGATTATATTGAACAGTGGAGGTGAATGGAAATCACGCCGGAGTTGTATAGGAGCTACTGAACCCCTCCTCCGAGATTCAGGAATTGCAAACGAGAAAGATAGAATTGCAGTGGAGGTTATAAAGCAGATGAAAACTCGCGTGACTTTGTTGAACATAACAAGCATGTCAGAGTATAGAATAGATGCTCATCCATCAGGCATTCTAGATTGTAGTCATTGGTGTCTTCCTGGTCTTCCTGATATCTGGAATGAATTGTTGTATCATCATTTGCTCACTAACTGACCAACCAAGACACACAAATTCTTTTCGCAACCGGTTTATGTGTATCAAACTCTTTCAATCAATTTATTATTTTCATTAGTAAGTTCTACGGAATTTGTTTACAGGCACCAAATTCTCTCTCTCTCTCTCTCTCTCTCTCTCTCTCTCTCTCTCTCTCTCTCTCTCTCCGCTAGCTAGGTAGACTACAAAAAAGGGATAATGCTCCTTTCGCCCACTACACCACGAGACATTGGACCACATCACATCCATGATGCATATGTTATCTTCATCATAACCATTCCCATCGAATATTTTGAGGGTATAGTATCACTTGCAATTGAAGAAACCAACTACTAATCTAATTTACTACTACTACCACAGCAAGGTGAAATCAGATTATTATGGACGCACATGTCATTGGATGGAATCTGTTCTTGTTTTTTTTTAAATAATTGTGATGGAATACCATTGAATTCCAAGTTGTTTGTGGTTAACTAATAAGTGGTTGCCATTCAATCTTCATGGAACAAATGGTCCAAACCAAAGCATGCAGGGAGGGACGTCTTCCATCCAAAATAGAATATCAGCAGTTTGTGAAATTAAAGGCAAAAGAAGCCAATTCATGCACATGCGCGCCACAACACTAGAATGCACGCAGCAGCACATGCACCTCATCCGCTATTACCACATCTAAACCAACCGACCCAAGTAACATTCACCATTCTTCACCACCTCAACTAGTTCAGGCTTCAACATCATCATCATCAGTTGAGGAAGATGGTTTTTTTATGAAGGACCGACATTCAACAACAATGCTCTGCTTTAGCTAATTAGCAAATTAGCAAATTAGCAGCACTGTCTACTTATATACACATATATCAAATACTACTAAATATTACCGAGCTCTCTATTTGACTCTTTTTCAGGAAGAGTATCCTATGTCACTCTTTTAGTCTAACAACTGAGAAACTGAGTTATGAAGAGGCAGAGAAGTTTCTCTTTTAAACCCACTAGATCCTTAGTAATTTACTTCACCATCTCTTCCTCTATCATCTTTCTCATTTCTATTATCATTTGGGTCAACAAAACCAACACTCCTTCAGTCCCCCAAGAAACAGCTGTTCAGACTTTGACTAGTAATTGTAATCCAAATATTTCAGTACTAAATGGTCCGGAAGATTCAATCTTGAAGTTGAATGCTACACCCTCCATTCACCCTGATGAAAATGCTTCTGGCTTTTCTGGGATTAATTCAATTATTAGTAGTGGGTTACAGACGAAGGAGAACCAATCCCAAGTGGCACAACATGATGAAGAAGACAGAGGTGGCGATGAGTTAGATAATGCTAACTTCACAGCAGTGGCACAAAGTGCACCTGCTGCAATCTTATTTGACAAGATTGAGATCTGGCCAGAAGAGCAAAATGCCCCATTGATGAACATGACTGAAGAGCAAAATGCTGCTTCTGGCTTTTCTGGGGTTAATTCACTTATTAGTGGATTACAGGGGAAGGAGAACGAATCCCAAGTGGCACAAAATGGTTTACATCATGAAGAAGAAGACAGAGTCAGCGGTGAGTTAGATAGTAACTTTGCAGATACTGCACAGAGTGCACCTGCAATCTTATTTGACAAGACTGAGGTCAAGACTGAAGAGCAAAATGCTCCATTGTTGAACAAGACTGAAGAGCAAAATGCTGCTTCTGGCTTTTCTGAGATTAATTCGCTTGTTTCTGGATTACAGAGGAAGGAGAATGAATCCCAAGTGGCACAAGATGATTTACATCATGATGAAGAAGACAGAGGCATCGGTGAGTTAGATGGTAACTTCACAGCAGTAGCACAACGTGCACCTGCAATCTTATTTGACAAGATTGAGATAAAGACTGAAGAGCAAAATGCTGCGTTGAGTAAAAACATTGAAGGGAAAAGTAGAAAGAGGAGGGGAAGGAAGAAGAAGACCAGAGCAACTTCATTTGAAAATACTCAAACTTCAAGTAGCAGGTTTGTTGAAGAAAAGAGAATAATAAAAGGAGGATGTGATTTTACAAGAGGGAGGTGGGTCTATGATAAGAGCTATCCGTTGTACGCAAATGGTTCTTGTCCTTTCATAGAAAAGAGTTTTAATTGTCAAGGTAATGGAAGATTAGACGAAAACTTCATGAAGTGGAGGTGGCAACCAGAAGATTGTGACATTCCAAGGTACCTAATTAGTTCCTTCTTTAAGCTTGGTATTTAATTTGTCTCAACACAATTAACGTACGTAGTTAGATTGCAATCTAACGATATACTTCTGGCGTGCTAATGCTATATATAAAGGTTCGATGCAACAAAAATGCTGGAATTGATGAGAGGGAAAAGGCTAGTTTTTGTGGGAGATTCACTCAATAGGAATCAATGGGAATCCATGGTGTGCATGCTAATGGGAGCTAAAAGAGGGCGCAGAATCACCCAAGGGAAGGGCAAGTATATTTACAACTTCGTGGTAATGAATCTTCGTACTTGTTATCTATTGTCGTTTCATATCCAGTAAATTATGTCGTACTATTTATACTTATTCTGAAGTGTTTTCTTTTGTTTCACAGGACTACAAGTGTACAGTTGAATTTTATACGTCCCCTTTCTTGGTTTATCAAGGTATGGCACGAGCAGGGAAGAAGCAGGTGAAAACCTTGCAAATTGATTCCATGGATCGCGCTTCTTCTAAATGGACAGGAGCTGATATTTTGGTATTCAACACAGCACATTGGTGGAACGATCACAAGACGAATGCTGGGTCAGTTGGTTTCATTATTATAATGAACTACTATTAATGAGCTCAATTTTCAGGACCTAGAATGACAGCACGACAGCATGTTCCATCACAGAATATACATACATATAAGTGATATATATAGCTAATAGTGAATTCAAATTTCTTGAATCGGAATATATCCTGACCTGACATTTGGAGCTTATAACTGCAGGATTAATTTCTTCCAGGAAAGGGGCCAAATTCATCCACATCTTGATGTTTCCACAGCTCTCAGAAAAGCTTTGATGACCTGGGCATCATGGGTCGATAATCACGTCATCCACGCAAAACCCAAGTTTTCTTTCGAAGTTCATCGCCGACGCATTTCAGGTTAATTTGCCTCCCTCCTGGACGTGTTCTTATGCTAACTGCATGTGTAATGTTGATCAACTAGTGCGTGCATATCATTTGCTCAGTGAGTGGTTTGTTTGTTGTAATTCTTCATTCAACTGAACAGGGGAGGCCAATGGAATACAGGCGGGAGTTGTGAGGAAGCCAATGAACCCCTCATCCAACTTTCAGGAATTCCAGAGGAAAAAGATATAGGGAGTTTCACTAAAACACCCAAAATGGAGGCTGAAATTATAAAAAAACCCAACACCCAAAACACTTTATAAACACACCCAAAACCCATCATTACACACACTCAAAACCCATTTATAAACACACCCAAAAAATATACAATTGTTGATTTTGAGGTTGATTTTGGGTGTGTTTCTATGTTTAAATAGTGCTTGGGTTTTTTTATAAATACATGTATAGGATTGGGTTTATTTATAAATTTGTAAAAGATATAATTGCAGAGGAGGTGATAAAGCAGATGAAAACGCCTGTGACTTTGTTGAACATAACAAGCTTGTCAGAATATAGAATAGATGGCCATCCATCTATATACGGGAATCAACGCTCGGGCGTACAAGATTGCAGTCATTGGTGTCTTCCCGGCATTCCTGATGTCTGGAATGAATTATTATATCTTCATTTGCAGTAACTGACACAGTGAACAGCTTTCTGTTCGTCAAATTCTTTCAATGATTTTCACCTCATATTAAAATAAATGTTTCGAGGGCTCGGAGCTGGGACATCCTGTATGCCTCGTTTTAATTTGTTGAACCTCAAGTTTACTTGCAGCATTTATCTGGGGAGGTTTCTGTCATGAACTCAAAATTACTTTACAGCAGTACGATTTTCATGGACCTACAACTCACAGAGGTCCATTCCTTGAAAACTTTTGTAAGTAAAATAGACATACACTTAATGAATATATATATTCGCGCCCAGCAGCAAAGCATGGGCACTGCCGACTTCTGCATTGGCTCTTTGCACAGTGGCATTCCCTGAACCTATTTTTGCAGCTCTTTGAGCACCTGAAAATGCACGAGTTAGTTGGTCATATAAATATTTTCCAATTCAATTATAGGTTCACTAGTATGCAACTAGTGGAAACTTTTGCAGATGGAAAAACTTCGAGTGAGTACTTCACATAGTGGAGTCATCTAAAAAGTGGGTTATAAGCTGTTTTAGTTAGAATGGACTTAACCAAACTTAATAATCACTTGAAGAAACCAAGCTCAACTTTAGGAAATTAATAGATGCGGGATTCAGGATTGAAGCAATTCACTAAGGCATATAATTCCTCTTCTTTTAGCCAAAGGGCTGGGCGTAGGAATCCTTACCTATTTAACTCATCTCTCCCCCAACATTGATGAAGGAAAGATGAATCCAGTACCTTGTATGAGGCTTTAAGAGATCAAATATACAGGCAAGATGGCACCTTCTACATGTCATGTAAGTCACATTTCCTATGGGATAAATTTCGACCACACACAGAGTCACACAAAGCCCAGCACCTATTTATTGTTCATTTTATATAATAAAAAAATAAAACCAACTTACCGGCAGCATGTAAGGGTGTTTCTTATCATATTATTATTATTATCAGTATCATCATTTTTCTTTACTTATAAGAAACATCCCATCACTGGTTTTATGCATTTCTTCAGATCATCAGTTAAGTATTTTTCATAGCAGGTTCCACTATGCTGACAAACAAAAGAGAAACGGGTACGATCCATACAGCTGAGCTGAGTAAGATTCATATTATTCCCAACACAAACTGAGCAAGATTGATAGATGCTATCCTGCCAGTGCCATGCCCTCTTGATCATAACCATTCTATTCTATCAGATATTTTGATATGATTTTGCCATGTCTGATGTCTCCAGGAATTTTCCTGTGAGGCAAAATCAAGAGGCTTCAAACATTGATTTTGAAGAGAAGGACCTTATATATTAATTAATTAATTACTAAAACTTGTAATTTCTAATAACCAGTTCAAGCTAGCTAAGATACCCAAGACTGCACACCACTTAGCTTTGCCTTCTTAGAAGCATTTTGTCGAACTCCTTCCCCTCCTCGCCAGAAAATGAGGATTTGAATGTCATTATGATCCCTGAATTCCAAGTTCTTTGTTTGTGGTTAATTAATAAGTGGTTACTATTCAATCTGCATGGAAATTGGAATGAATGGTCTTCCTTTCATTCGCTAACGTCAAGTGGAAGGGCAAAAGAAGCCAATTCATGCATATGCCAAAATTGTCATGCACGCAGCAACACACGCACCTCATCCGCTTCCTACAACGCGATCTAAACCAACCCATGTAACATTCACCATTCTCAACTAAGCCTTGAGCTTCCAACAATGACGTAAAATAATGAAAGACAAATAGATGGTTTTTATTTTATGAACAACCCATCACACACATTCCCAATTAGCAAAACAACTGCTCTGCTTTAGCAAATTAGTCAGTACTTACTGCCTACTCACTTTTTCTGCAAGTTTGCTGTACAAGCCAAGCCAAGCCTTGCTACTTGTTCTGGACTCTCTCAGTCCAAGTGAGAAACTGATCACAAATTATGAAGAGGCAGCCGAGTCTCTTCTTTAAATTACCCACTAGATCCTTGGTATTCTATTTTAGCCTGTCTTCCTCTATCATCTTCCTCACTTTCATAATCATTTGGGTCAACAAAACCACTCCTCCTAATTCAGTGGTGCAGGCCCAAGAAATAGGCAGCTGTCTACAGTTCAACACATCCTCACTCGTTTCGGGTTTCAGACCACCCATAGGCGCTGTGCCTGTTCACACTAATTTGACTGGTAATTTCAATACAAACATTTCAGTTACAGTAAATGGCCCGGAAGAATTGGTCTCCAGTAAGCCTGATGAAAATACTTCTGGCTTTTCTGGGATGAATTCACTTGTTAACAGTGGGTTACAGACGAAGGAGAACCAATCCCAAGTGCCACGACATGATGAAGAAGACAGGCGCGGTGGTGAGTTGGACGGTAACTTCACAGCAGCGGCACAAAGTACACCTGCAATGTTATTTGACAAGATTGAGATGAAGAGTGAAGAGCACAATACTCTTTGGAACAAGACTGAAGACAAAAATACTCCATTGAACAACACTGAAGAGCAAATGCTGCTTCTGGCTTTTCTGGGGTTAATTCACTTATTAGTGGGTTACAGGGGAAGGAGAACCAATCCCAACTGGCACAACGTGATAAAGAAGACAGGGTTGAGTTAAACTTCACAGCGGTGGCACGTCAAAGTGCACCTGCAATCTTATTTGACAAGATTGAGCTCAGCACCGAAGAGCAAAATGCTCCATTGATGAACAAGAGTGAAGAGCAAACTGCTCAATCGATGACCAAGACTGAAGAGAAAAATGCTCCATCGATGAATATGACTGAAGAGCAAAATGCTTCATTGATGAACAAGACTGAAGAGCAAAGTGCTCAATTGATGACCAAGACTGAAGGGCAAAATGTTCCATTGAGGAATACGACTGAAGAGGAAAATGCTCCTTTGTTGAATACGGTTGTTGAGCAATATGCTCCACCGATGAACAAGACTGAAGAGCAAACTGCTCCATTAATGAACAAGACAGAAGTGCAAGATGCTCCACTGATAAACATGACTGAAGAGCAAAATGCTGCTTCTGGCTTTTCTGGGATTAATTCACTTGTTAGTGGGTTGCAGAGGAAGGAGAACGAGTCCCAGGTGGCAGAAGTGGCACAAAGTGCACCTGCGGTCTCCTTTGACAAGATTGAAATCAAGACTGAAGAACAAAAGGCTTTAGTACCACTGGTGAACAAGACTGATGGGCAAAATGATGCATCGAGTAAAAGGATTGAAGTCATAAGTAGAAGGAGGAGAAGAAAGAACAAGAAAAACAGAGGAACTTCATTTGATCCAAATACTCAAGTTTCAAGTAGCGAAGTCCCCAAGAACAACAGAACAACTTCATTTGATCAAAAGACTCAAGTTTCAAGTAGCGAGATGGTGCAGGCTGAAGACAAGAAAATAATAATAAAAGGAGGATGTGATTTTAGTACAAGAGGGAGGTGGGTGTATGATAAGAGCTATCCCTTGTACACAAATCGTTCTTGTCCTTTCATATTTGAAGGTTTTGACTGTCAAGGAAATGGGAGATCAGACAAAGACTACATGAGTTGGAGGTGGCAACCACAAGATTGTGACATTCCAAGGTACTTACTTCCTTGTTCATAATTTTTAATTACAGTACTGTATCTCTGGCCTGCTATATATAACATTTTATCTATATGATAGGTTCAATGCAACAAAAATGCTGGAACTGTTGAGAGGGAAAAGGCTACTTTATGTGGGTGATTCCATCAATAGGAATCAATTTGGATCCATGGTGTGCATGTTAGTGGGAGATATAAGAGATCCAAATAGGCCCAGAATCAAACATGAGAAGGGGATGTATAGTTTCAGCTTTGTGGTAATAAATAATGAATCTTCATAGTTCTTCTCTTCGCTTCGTTCGCTATTGATGTCGTTTCACATTTCGGGTCTTCTCTTCATAATCTGTGATGTAGTTGATCATTGTTTTCCACAGGATTACAAGTGTAAAGTTGAATTTTCCCCGTCCGTTTTCTTGGTTGATAAAAGCATGAAAAGAGTAGGGAAGAAGCAGGTCCCAACCTTGCGAATTGATTCCATTGATCACAGATCATATCATTGGAGAGGAGCTGATATTGTGATATTCGACACTGAACATTGGTGGACCGATCAAAAAACTAATGCAGGGTCAGTCAAGACCATCATTATTGAGTATTATAGTGAACTACACTAAGGATAAGCTTTATTAACATATAGCTTAGCTAGGCTATAGTAATTAAGAAGTAGTAGCTAGCTAGCAGCCTACCAATAATACCGTGCTCATTGTTGTGAGATTGAAATCAATGTGCAGGGTTAATTTCTACCAGGAAGGGGACCAAATTCATCCATATCTTGATGTTTATACAGCCCTCAGAAAAGGTATGATGACCTGGGCATCATGGGTTGATAACCACACCGATCCACACAAAACCCAAGTTTTCTTTCGAACTTCATCGCCAACGCATTTCAGGTTGTTATTATGTGCCTCCAGAATGTGTTGTCATATGCAGCATTTCAGGTTTGTTTTGTTTTCGGGTAATTAATATTTTATTATATTGAACAGTGGAGGTGCATGGAAATCACGCCGGAGTTGTATAGGAGCTACTGAACCCCTCCTCCGAGATTCAGGAATTGCAAACGAGAAAGATAGAATTGCAGTGGAGGTTATAAAGCAGATGAAAACTCGCGTAACTTTGTTGAACATAACAAGCATGTCAGAGTATAGAATAGATGCTCATCCATCAGGCATTCTAGATTGTAGTCATTGGTGTCTTCCTGGTCTTCCTGATATCTGGAATGAATTGTTGTATCATCATTTGCTCACTAACTGACCAACCGATTTATGTGTATCAAACTCTTTCAATCATTTTATTATTTTCATTAGTAAGTTTTACGGAATTTGTTTACAGGCACCAAACTCTCTCTCTCTCTCTCTCTCTCTCTCTCTCTCTCTCTCTCTCTCTCTCTCTAAACGCTAGCTAATGTATCCTAAAAACAAAACAAAACAAAACAAAACAAAAGGCTAGCTAGGTAGACTACAAAATAGGGATAATGCTCCTTTCGCTCACTACACCATGAGGCATTGGACCACATCACATCCATGATGCATATGTTTTAGTGCAAAAAGAATATTACTCTCCTGACATGCTCTCTTCATCATAACCATTCCCATCGAATATTTTGAGGGTATCGTATCACTTGCAATTGAAGAAACCAACTACTAATCCAATTTACTACTACCACAGCAAGGTGAAATCAGAAGAGGGATCAAAAGGTTTGCAAAGGAAGGAGAATCTGATTATTATGGACACACGTCATTCATTTGGATGGAATCTGTTCTTGTTTTTTCTTAATAATTGTGATGGCATACCATTGAATTCCAATTTGTTTGTGGTTAACTAAAATGTGGTTCCCATTCAATCTGCATGGAACAAATGGTCCAAACCAAAGCATGCAGGGAGGTCTTCCATCCAAAATAGAATATCAACAGTTTGTGAAATTAAAGGCAAAAGAAGCCAATTCATGCACATGCGCGCCACAACACTAGAATGCACGCAGCAACACTCGCACCGCATCCGCTATTACCACATCTAAACCAACCGACCCAAGTAACATTCACCATTCTTCACCACCTCAACTAGTTCAGGCTTCAACATCATCGTCATCAGTTGAGGAAGATGGTTTTTTTATGAAGGACCGACATTCAACAACAATGCTCTGCTTTAGCTAATTAGCAAATTAGCAAATTAGCAGCACTGTCTACTTATATACACATATATCAAATACTACTAAATATTACCGAGCTCTCTATTTGACTCTTTTTCAGGAAGAGTATCCTATGTCACTCTTTTAGTCTAACAACTGAGAAACTGAGTTATGAAGAGGCAGAGAAGTTTCTCTTTTAAACCCACTAGATCCTTAGTAATTTACTTCACCATCTCTTCCTCTATCATCTTTCTCATTTCCATTATCATTTTGGTCAACAAAACCAATACTCCTTCAGTGCCCCAAGAAACAGCTGTTCAGACTTTGACTAGTAATTGTAATCCAAATATTTCAGTACTAAATGGTCTGGAAGATTCAATCTTGAAGTTGAATGCTACACCCTCCATTCAACCTGATGAAAATGCTTCTGGCTTTTCTGGGATTAATTCAATTATTAGTAGTGGGTTACAGACGAAGGAGAACCAATCCCAAGTGGCACAACATGATGAAGAAGACAGAGGTGGTGGTGAGTTAGATAATGCTAACTTCACAGCAGTGACACAAAGTGCAATTGCTGCAATCTTATTTGACAAGATTGAGATCAGGCCAGAAGAGCAAAATGCCTCATTGATGAACATGACTGACGAGCAAAATGCTGCTTCTGGCTTTTCTGGGGTTAATTCACTTATTAGTGGATTACAGGGGAAGGAGAACGAATCCCAAGTGGCACAAAATGGTTTACATCATGAAGAAGAAGACAGAGTCAGCGGTGAGTTAGATAGTAACTTCACAGATACTGCACAGAGTGCACCTGCAATCTTATTTGACAAGACTGAGGTCAAGACTGAAGGGCAAAATGCTCCATTGATGAACAAGACTAAAGAGAAAAATGCTACTTCTGACCTTTCTGGGATAAATTCACTTACTAGTAGATTACAGAGGTTGGAGAACGAATCCCAAGTGGCACAGAATGGTTTACATCATGATGAAGAAGACAGAGTTGGCGGTGAGTTAGATGGTAACTTCACAACAGTGGCACAAAGTGCACTCCCTGCAATCTTATTTGACAAGATTGAGATGAGGACCGAAGAGCAAAATGCTCCATTGATGAACAAGACTGAAGAGCAAAATGCTGCTTCTGGCTTTTCTGAGATTAATTCGCTTGTTTCTGGATTACAGAGGAAGGAGAATGAATCCCAAGTGGCACAAGATGATTTACATCATGATGAAGAAGACAGAGGCATCGGTGAGTTAGATGGTAACTTCACAGCAGTAGCACAACGTGCACCTGCAATCTTATTTGACAAGATTGAGATAAAGACTGAAGAGCAAAATGCTGCGTTGAGTAAAAACATTGAAGGGAAAAGTAGAAAGAGGAGGGGAAGGAAGAAGAAGACCAGAGCAACTTCATTTGAAAATACTCAAACTTCAAGTAGCAGGTTTGTTGAAGAAAAGAGAATAATAAAAGGAGGATGTGATTTTACAAGAGGGAGGTGGGTCTATGATAAGAGCTATCCGTTGTACGCAAATGGTTCTTGTCCTTTCATAGAAAATAGTTTTAATTGTCAAGGTAATGGAAGATTAGACGAAAACTTCATGAAGTGGAGGTGGCAACCAGAAGATTGTGACATTCCAAGGTACCTAATTAGTTCCTTCTTTAAGCTTGGTATTTAATTTGTCTCAACACAATTAACGTACGTAGTTAGATTGCAATCTAACGATATACTTCTGGCGTGCTAATGCTATATATAAAGGTTCGATGCAACAAAAATGCTGGAATTGATGAGAGGGAAAAGGCTAGTTTTTGTGGGAGATTCACTCAATAGGAATCAATGGGAATCCATGGTGTGCATGCTAATGGGAGCTAAAAGAGGGCGCAGAATCACCCAAGGGAAGGGCAAGTATATTTACAACTTCGTGGTAATGAATCTTCGTACTTGTTATCTATTGTCGTTTCATATCCAGTAAATTATGTCGTACTATTTATACTTATTCTGAAGTGTTTTCTTTTTGTTTCACAGGACTACAAGTGTACAGTTGAATTTTATACGTCCCCTTTCTTGGTTTATCAAGGTATGGCACGAGCAGGGAAGAAGCAGGTGAAAACCTTGCAAATTGATTCCATGGATCGCGCTTCTTCTAAATGGACAGGAGCTGATATTTTGGTATTCAACACAGCACATTGGTGGAACGATCACAAGACGAATGCTGGGTCAGTTGGTTTCATTATTATAATGAACTACTATTAATGAGCTCAATTTTCAGGACCTAGAATGACAGCACGACAGCATGTTCCATCACAGAATATACATACATATAAGTGATATATATAGCTAATAGTGAATTCAAATTTCTTGAATCGGAATATATCCTGACCTGACATTTGGAGCTTATAACTGCAGGATTAATTTCTTCCAGGAAAGGGGCCAAATTCATCCACATCTTGATGTTTCCACAGCTCTCAGAAAAGCTTTGATGACCTGGGCATCATGGGTCGATAATCACGTCAATCCACGCAAAACCCAAGTTTTCTTTCGAAGTTCATCGCCGACGCATTTCAGGTTAATTTGCCTCCCTCCTGGACGTGTTCTTATGCTAACTGCATGTGTAATGTTGATCAACTAGTGCGTGCATATCATTTGCTCAGTGAGTGGTTTGTTTGTTGTAATTCTTCATTCAACTGAACAGGGGAGGCCAATGGAATACAGGCGGGAGTTGTGAGGAAGCCAATGAACCCCTCATCCAACTTTCAGGAATTCCAGAGGAAAAAGATATAATTGCAGAGGAGGTGATAAAGCAGATGAAAACGCCTGTGACTTTGTTGAACATAACAAGCTTGTCAGAATATAGAATAGATGGCCATCCATCTATATACGGGAATCAACGCTCGGGCGTACAAGATTGCAGTCATTGGTGTCTTCCTGGCATTCCTGATGTCTGGAATGAATTATTATATCTTCATTTGCAGTAACTGACACAGTGAACAGCTTTCTGTTCGTCAAATTCTTTCAATGATTTTCACCTCATTTTAAAATAAATGTTTCGAGGGCTCAGAGCTGGGACATCCTGTATGCCTCGTTTTAATTTGTTGAACCTCAAGTTTACTTGCAGCATTTATCTGGGGAGGTTTCTGTCATGAACTCAAAATTACTTTACAGCAGTACGATTTTCATGGACCTACAACTCACAGAGGTCCATTCCTTGAAATATTTTGTAAGTAAAATAGACATACACTTAATGAATATATATATATATATATATATATCTCAAATTACTAGTGTCCAACAATTCTTTGCATTTAGCAAGCCTTCCATGAAATAAGTTATAGTATCAAGATAAATAAAGCAATTCCGACCTTTTTATTATATATCAATAAAAAAGGTTGTATAAATTCCCATTATTACCATCATGACATGCCTCTAACTACAGAATTGTCGAACCCAACCTATAATATCTAACTGCTAGAAGAATTTCTAGCTTATTATTGCCTATAAATTCTATAAATTAACCTCATTGCCAATACAACCTTATTGTTCAATTTTTCTAAAGTCAAGAAGCAAGCTTTGACATCAGCATCTAGAGCCAATTTCACTTGTAAGGGAGCTGGCTGGCATACCTACCTAGATGCTTTCTTCTTGAGGACGATTCACATCCCACCTGTTGTGGATAAAATCTCCAGAGTTGAGATATGCACCATAGTTGATACTCATATGCATCCCAATCCATGCCAATTTTCCGTTCAGTGAGATTGGTGTTTCTTCGCTCTGCCTTGAGAGACAGATGAATCATCCCTCTTAGAACCCTCAGGTTTTTGAGCCCATGGAGGTGCTTGATCTGGTCCGTAACGATAATCATAGAAGATCTCCTCACCAGAATCAATATGCTCCTTGGCAAATATGCCTACTCGATGATCTCCGGCAACCAACATAACCTATGCAGGCCACCATATTAGCAAAACCAATAATAACTAATCAAACAGGGGAATCACTGAAGCTTTATTACCTTCGCATAGCAGTTAGGGTTCGATGAGTGGTTTGCAAATTTAAGCTTGTCTCCTTTTCGGTAAGCATCTAGGACATACTGTAATTAAACATGTGACTACCTTGAGATCTCATGCCAGAGTAAAGCTATAGGTATTACATATTTTCCATATATGAAAAATGCAATAAAAAGCTGCAAAGCACTAAGCAAAAATGAAAATAGACAAAAGTAGAATTGGCGGGGAATAACATATGAACAGAGGGGCTGAACCTATGTTCATTCGGAGGAAAGTGTGGTCAACTAGAAAATCTGTTTCGTTATCTTCCCTTCTTAAATTTTTGGGATAGTTAGAGAAAGGCTCCATGAGCCATGCAACCCTTGCGAAGGAAAGCAGTGAATAATATTAAACATGAATTTTCCCTTGCCTGATCATTCAAGTCAAAAAGGAATGATGAGTTTGCACGATCATAAATCTTCCCACGCTTATCTGCTTCCTGATGGGAGATGAGTTCACCAGTATACTCTCCAAGATAATCATTTTTGTTTACAGGGTTCTGAAATCATATAATTCAATTTGGTGAGAAAAATTAGCTAATGTTTAGTAGGAAGCCAAATACAAACAACATTATCTTCTAACCTTTAAAAAGGCTCCCCAACCAGCAACATCAGATTTAGCCAAGAGAATCTGAAGAAAAAGACAGGGGTAGGCAATCATAAATCAAAAGGTGCATTATGTAGACCACAGCAGCAATTTATTAACTAAACACTAGGAATTGCTCACCCTCTGTTGTTGCCTTAAAAGAAGCCTCATGTTTCCACATTGACCATCTCCCTGTCTCGGAGGCTCCCCTAACGAACCGTCCCCACAACTGCATAAAGTATTTGATATTTAAAACCACAGCCAAAAGTATAACAAACTCACTAAAATTAAATAAAAGAAACTTTTGAAATGCTTAAATAGACAGGATGTCAACTGGGAACACAACACAAGATTGGAGCTCAAATTGAAAATATGTGCACGATTCAAACAGCTCAATCAGCTCCATCATGAAGCCCATTACCTAGTGCGACAAAATTGCAAACATTTTCTTTTTGCAGTAAATAACATGCAAGTGTCCAAAGTCAATGAAGTATACATACAAAAACTCATTACCTAACCCAACAATTGCGACAGACATCTGGGTCACATTCGCGCCCAGCAGCAAAGCATGGACACTGCCGACTTCTGCATTGGCTCTTTGCACAGTGGCATCCCCTGAACCTATTTTTGCAGCTCTTTGAGCACCTGAAAATGCATGAGTTAGTTGGTCATATAAATATTTTCCAATTCAATTATAGGTTCACTAGTATGCAACTAGTGGAAACTTTTGCAGATGGAAAAACTTCGAGTGAGTACTTCACGTAGTGGAGTCATCTAAAAAGTGGGTTATAAGCTGTTTTAGTTAGAATGGACTTAACCAAACTTAATAATCACTTGAAGAAACCAAGCTCAACTTTAGGAAATTAAAAGATGCGGGATTCAGGATTGAAGCAATTCACTAAGGCATATAATTCCTCTTCTTTTAGCCAAAGGGCTGGGAGTAGGAATCCTTACCTATTTAACTCATCTCTCCCCCAACATTGATGAAGGAAAGATGAATCCAGTACCTTGTATGAGGCTTTAAGAGATCAAACATACAGGCAAGATGGCACCTTCTACATGTCATGTAATTCACATTTCCTATGGGATAAATTTCGACCACACAGAGTCACACAAAGCCCAGCACCTATTTATTTTTCATTTTATATAATAAAAAAATAAAACCAACTTACCCGCAGCATGTAAGGGTGTTTCTTATCATATTATTATTATTATTATCAGTATCATCATTTTTCTTTACTTATAAGAAACATCCCATCACTGGTTTTATGCATTTCTTCAGATCATCAGTTAAATATTTCAATGACAATTCCAACATACCCACAGTATTTTTCACAGCAGGTTCCACTATGCTGACAAGGACAATGCTTTCCACACATAGACTGGCATCCACATGGTGTATAAAGTTTACAAGACTGGTTTTTGCCATCGGCAATTCTCTTCCACATTGATGGGTGCCCAGCAGACTTCCAAGAATATTTGAGCCTTCGAGCTCTTCCCCTTCTACGAAGTAACCGTGGCTTTGTTGGCAGCTCTTGGTCCTAACATGAGTAAAACAAAGGTAACAGAATCATAAATCTATGTTCCAGAGCCAAATGATGAAAGATTGACTAGCAACTGCAGAACCAAATAGGAAGAGTATCATAGCCACTGTTCTTGATCCTAAAGGGAAGGATATGCAAGCTAGCTCAGGAAACAAATCAGTACTAGTTTCCCAGGCCTTGCCAAAACACCTTCCTTTTTTTGGTTTTACTAAAAACAATCACCTAAATAAAAGAGATATATAAACAATAAAAGAAACAGGAAAGGAAAAGTTCTTCGATGCTTACTGTCTGATCCACATTAGCTTTCCCATTGTCTTCCATAAATGATAATGGTCCAACAACAGATCTGTTGGGCATTGAAGCTCCAGCATTATGCATGTAACTGGACACCTCCATGCAAGTCTTCAAGCCAGAAAGTAAGTTCCTGGCTATGAGGCAACTGCAGAACATGAGCTACCAGTTAAGTACAAAGAAAAGAATAAAATATAATGTATGTCATCTAAAACAAACAAAAGTAGCAATGTCAAATGTAAACTGGGGTGCACGGTAGCCATGCAACTTTTTTTTAAGGTAGGAAAAATAGTAGTTATATTAATTATAATTGACGTTTATGACAAAGTGGACCAACAGGCAGCCCACAACAATGCCATCCTAAGCCTACAAAATCCAGGCACCAAACTAAGTGAACAAGCTGCACAGCCTTACAAAAATCTAAAACTGTAACCATTCAATTTACCCTAGAAAACTAAGAATGAGCAGGGCATGTAGAAGTGAAGGATCCATGTAACACATATTGATGTAAAAAAGGTCTACCTATTTCTCCCAAATATCTCTAATCCCTTCATATATAATTCTTTCTCCACTGGCTTCCACTCAGAGCTGCTGCACACCGTTTTTACTTGTGCTTGTGTAGAATTGGATGGTTGCCTCAGTTCAGGCACTTCTGTTACATCTTGTTTTACATCTCTGTCGTTGTCTCTATATTCATCATAGGAAGCACTACCATAACAAACAAGTTCCTTTGAAGTATGCCCAGCAGATTCATTTAAAAGGCCTTTTTTGGTCATTTGAAGTTCAATTTCATTGGGTAAACCAACATCTGCGTCTCTAGCTTTGGAAATGGAAATGTGATCCTGAACCGTGATAGGTTCACTAGTTGCAGTTACTAAATCCAAAGCATCTAATCTCTTCTGTTTCTTAGAGAAACCCTGGAAATCATCAGGTACTATAGTTACGTCATTTGTCACTTTATCTTTGTGCTTTACAACCTTGCGCTTCCCTGAATTTTCATTGTGAATCCTCATGATATGTGTATCCAACTCTAAACCTCCTGCAATGACATCTGAACTACAAATAGCTTCTGAAGTGACAGATACAGCTTTTCCAGGAATGCATCTTTCATTGTTTATGATGTCTGTACTACCATGAGAACTTGGTTTCTCAGCATTGAAGGATGAGGCTGGAGCACTTTCTCTCTCTGAAATTATTGTATTCATCCTATGCAGAGCACCAATATCTGGATCATCTGGAACGTTTTCCACTACTCTTAACTGCAAGAAGGACGTGGAAGTCATACTTCAAAATCCCATGGACAGAGGCAAAACCCAAACAAAATATGGATCATATGAATCATAATAGTCATGATAGATAGGCCCTTTACTTTACCAGGAAAACAATTGTGCAGCCAGCCTCAGATTAGAACCAAAAGGAATAAAGTGGTAGGTGTAGTCAGCCTCAAACTAGTGGGTTTCAGGCATATAGCAGTATATCTCATAAAAGTGTAGTAATGAGCTAAATAACTAGAGAGTTAAAGGGTTTAACTTGTACAGGTCCAAGATATGAAGAACCATTAGATTAACAGAACGCCATACATGAAGCTTTCATAATAGTTACAGAACACTGGAAGTCAAAACTAATATGTTAAACATAGCACATAGAATAAGATCTTAGTCAAAGCAAATTGAGAACTAGAATGCGGTAAAGCAGGAAGTTCACAAACAAATTATCAAGAGTGGAAAGACCATGTCCTCAGAAACATCGAGAAAGGAAAAGCCATACCCTGAGGTAACATTGATCACTGCAAGGTGTCCTCTCCTCATCCTGTTCAGACCAATGCACCTGCTTTTCACTCTGTCAAACAAAGCCTCTAATAAAATATATAAATAAATGAAATGAAATCCAGAGTAAGCTGAGACATATAAGCAACACAGCTACTTACAGGATAGATTAAAGGTTGAGAACATCCATGCAGACGACAATCAAATAGCTGTTAGATAGAAAAAGCAGTCAAGAGTTATATCAGAAAACACAACGCTAGTTGTTTTATTTAACTATTTACGGAAGATGATAACCCATACCAAGCAACGACGACAGAAAAGGTTATCGAAAGAATCTAAGGCGGCACTAAGACTCTTATCAAGAGAAATGCACCAATTGGACCCAGAGTCCCCAGAACCTTTTGGTTCATGTTTCTCACGGTCCTTGATTGTGTTGTAACGAACCTGCAAATGTAGAATTCCAGAACTTTTAGGCATCAAAAGTTAGATTTCAAATGAAATGAGAACATGGACCATCCTCCCAAAAATCAATGTGAAAACATGTTAATCCCAGCTACCAGGATCTCCAAAGTGGTGGCTCCAATAAACTGGCTCACAACTTTCACTACTTCCTCGCCTATCCCATGCTCCTGAAAGGCCATCCTAACAAATTCACACAGAAAAAGTAAGACCCTTCACTTGGTCCTAAGAAAAGCAGGACTGTGACAAGTTAATAAGCAGCACAGTCATTGTGATTCTCTAAATGTCTATATCTCATTTAAAACTTACGACATAATTCGATCTTCGCCTGCAGTAAATTCATGTTTCACTTCTTCGGGTTCTGCTATCTCTTCGTCAGTGTCACTGCAGACAAGAGCTTCACTGCCATCAGTGCCATCTTTATCGTAGTAAATGCGTCTCCTCCCAACTACTGATTGGTCGTCAGCCATTCTCTGATTTCTGTGCTGTGAAAGACAAATTTGAGATAGGAGAAACACAACAACAACATTTTCGCATTAAAAACAAAAGGATTGCACAGATTAAAGATATATAAAATTTATAAAATAAAAAATTACCGTTCTTTTCATAATCTCATAAAGGATTTAAAGAAACGAATATCAAACCTGTCCAAGAATATCCAAGTTGTATAAGGTGGTAAATTTTCAGCAGATGGAAGCTTGGTACTTGATGAGAATACCACCTCTTGATTGTTAATATAGTCTTTATCACCATATCCGTGAGCAAATCCACTGAACTTGCAGAGAGGCTGTTCAATTCTTGAAGGAAACAATTTAAAGCTCCCATTTTTCTCTGAGAGTGTAGAAGTCGCTCTTGATGTTGCTGATATAATTTGCGAAATGTAACCTCCTAGTTTCTCCCTGTTCTTCTCAACTTTTTCCTGGGCAAAGTATAAGCACGAGGAAGGAGTCAATTGCGCATTGCCTACCATCGTTCATCGTTATCGCTTATATAGTGCATATTATATATATATATATATATATATGCGAAAACTCACTTTTACTGAAACCATTCTCTCTGCTTGAATTTGCTTCTTAAGCTGATGCATCTTATGTTCCAAGTTTCCAACACCATCGCTAGGCTCTTCTCCATGTGATTTCTGCCCACGTAAAACACAGAGTGCATATAAATTCGTGAATTTCATATCAAACATAATAAGATTTTGTTTACCTGTTTGGCTGCAGATTAATAGTAGAACCACAGGGATTTCTCTATAAATATTTCTCAATGACTACAAGAAGCTATGAGTTCTAACTTCTAACTAATTAAATTCAAAATTTTCATTTCTTTCATATCCAAACTGCAATTTGAAAATCCAAAGATAAATTCTCATCCCTGTTTGATCATCTCAATTCCAATTATGATGAAAAGCATCGAAATTTTTATTTAAAAAGCAAACACGAGCCAAAATCGCGAGAAGAAATAACGAATTCAAGGATCGAGAGGTCAAGTTTTGAGATACTGACTCTGAGTTTAGTTGCAGAGTCCGTAGCTTTGGACACCATCCCTGTTTTGCTCATCTGCCGTGTCTGTGCGCTCAACCAAGGAAGAGTGAGAAACGGAGGAAATAAACCTTTTCGGGAGTGACACGTGTAAGGATTGGTGACGTGGCCTACGTGCCCAACGATTAGTGACGTGGCTTACACGCCGGAAGGACGGTTATTATATATGCGTCGGTTATATATAATGTTCTTTGTCTTCTAATTTTGACCCTAGTGAAAGTTCTACAATCATAGGGAGATTTTTTTTATATAATCGGGATACCGTCAAATAATATTATCAATTCACTCATATTATAATTCTGTGTATTCATTTATTAATCTTGTACATCTATGAAACATCAACAATGTCCTTATTTATATTGTAAAATTTGGATTAATGAAGCTATTAGCATTGTAACTGCTGAAGAATTACTCGATTGCATGGCCTCCATGTCGGAGGATGTGGGCTGCATATCGGAGGAAATATTATTTTATGCGTCGATTTTTAGCCTACATGTCAGAGGATTAGTGACTCGGCCTACAGATAGGAGAAAAAATAACTCTAGACCGTTTGCTCTTCTATTTTCTTACCTAAGACTCCAAACCACAAAGGAGGAGACTTTAAGTACTCATTCTCTCTCTCTCTGAATTTGGAAAGTTTCAATTCAAACACTGAGGAAAAATTCAGAACTGGTACGGGTGGGAGTTTGATTCTCATATTTCTATGTTGATGATGATATTGTGTGAGGTTGTTTTGGGTACAAGTATAAGATCAATACAGAATAATACTTAAAAAGAGAGGAGACGTTATTTACATGTCATATGATGTTGCTGTGGAAGGATGAAAAGTTTTTTGCTTTCATTATTCAGCAAGAGCATATATTACATATGGTTTTGAAGACACTGAAAAATCTATCTATCTGTCTCAATTCTCAACGGAACTTCCAAGCTGAAACGGAATGAATTGGGGTTCCCTTCCACCCAACAATGAGACATTTGCCATTCCTATCAAGTGTGCAAGAAGGACAACCAAACCTTTTAGCCACTAAACTAGCTTGATACAAAGATGCATTACTAAAGTTCATTTCCACCATTCCGAACCTTGCAAAGAAGGCTCTCCACACATCCATTTTCACACTTCGAGCAACCCTTTCACTCCCCTCTGCCGCTACAATGTTTCGGATGCCCTCCCGGAACAAGTCTTCCGTCAGCACTCTATACTCCTGTTTCATGCAAGTCTCAAGGCAGTCGAAAAACGCACTGTAATAAAACAGCGCATCGATGAAGCGGTTCACAAATGACGGTGAGTTGTGGTTAGCTTCCACTTCAATCACCACCATTATACAAGGGGTGAGATTTCTCATCACCCTCATCAAATTTTCCAAGCAACTAGGCCTTGAAATCATTGTCCTCAGTATTAACGGTGCGTATACAGCCACGGCTTCATCATCTTCAACATCAAACAGTTGGTCTTTGATATCTTCCATGGCTGAAATAATCACTGCCTTAAACTGAAAGGGTATGTTCAGGGACTCGGCAACGCTTGTTAGCCTCTTTCCTGTCTCCTCTATCTTCTGCTTGCCTGCTACTCCCACAGCAGTTATTGTGAGAAGCTCAACTGGACATTCCTCTCGTTCTGCAAGTGATTCCATCAGCCCTGTCCATTGCACTCCACTCCTGATCTCGAGATCTATCAAATGAACCTTACTCCCCAAGGCAACACTTTCGATTATGGCTTGGATCCCAGTGAACTGCATTACGGAATGGAAAGGGACTTCTTGGTGGTATGCAAGGTATGTGAGGTTTGTGCTCAGTCCATGACCAGATATAGACATTTCTTCTGCCTTAGATGGGATGCTTCCTGTTTCTCTTTCGATCCTCTCCCGAAGTGCCTCAGCAAAGTAGAAGACGACCCTCTGAATAGGGTTGCCTTTGAAGGATGCAATCCATTCACAACGAAGAAGCAGTCTGTTTGCGCGTTCAAATTGTTGGTAGCCTACCTTCTCTGCTGCAGCTAAAAGTATGTGAGCAAGTTCCGCATCCTTTGTTTCTTCTTCGGACAGACCCGTAAGAGCGTAGCCAAAAGGGTGCAGAGGGTAAAAGTCACCATACCCCTGATTAGAGAATTGCACATACCTTGCTCCAGCAACCCTCATGATCTCTTCGGTTGACAATTTTTGCGGTCCCACATAGGAGGAGGCTTCAGCTTCATTTCCTGTGTCGCTGCTTGTTCTTTCTCCCCTCAACTTCTTGAACGCGCTACCATAGCTGTTGAGGAGCTCCAATACTGCTAAGGAAGATTGATGGGGCAAGTGTTTGTTGGTTTCTGCAATGTCTGAGCCTCCGAATTGGTTGTATGTAAGCTGGTGAGTGCCATCCTGGATTGGTTGTGCTGGTGGGAAGGCAAAATCAAAGTTGAAATTATCCAAATTTGACTTGGGTTGTTGCTGCTGGTAATGGTGGTGTTGTTGGTAATGGCGGTGGTCTTGATCTTCGGACAAATGAGCTAGTCCTTTCTCGGACTTGTTAGATTGGTGGAAACCATGTTCAGAAGAAACGATATCAAAGTTGAAATTATCCGAAAGTGCATAAGTTGGCTTGGGATCTTTGGAGAAATGGGATGATAGTCCTCCTTTATTGGCCTTACAGTCTTCTTGATAGAAACCATGTTCAGAAGAAAGAGCACTATCCACCTCTCCCAACCCCAATTCTTCTATGGCAAACAAATGCCCTGGTTTCACTTTGAAGGCCACTTCCTGATCTTTCTCATAATCTTCAAGCTGGGGGGTCAAACCACCTAGGACACCGAAATCAAACGGTGTGAAGGGGAAGAATGCATTAGCCATATTCTGCAGAGAATAAGAATATATGCAGAAGAAAATTTGGAAAAAGTATTCTCAAGTCTCAACTGATCATCAATAGGATTATGGGACTGGATTAATATCGACGCATATCAAGTTGTATCTTTGGTTGATAACAACGATCACAGGCATGATAACTGAAGCACCCTTGCACCCTTCACTAATAAAAGAAGGCGAGGATTGCAACTATGATAGTGATATTCCGATATTGTCAACAAAGCCAGCAACCATGAAATGCCAAAAACTTGTCCAAACAAAGACCCTTACAAACCCTTCATATGATATATTAAACTAAACTCTGCCACAAAGGCAGGCAAGAACAAAAATAAATAAGCACGTCACTGCCAAGCAGCACATTTAATGAAATTATTCTACTCAAAAGTTACAAGGTTGATTAACCAAACAAGATTGGGATATGAAATTATTCTACCCAGAAGATGTGACTGCCCCGGATGAGTAGGGAGAATAAAATGACAAACTCAAAGAGAAGACAAATAAAAGGTTTGATGAGGAAACTACAAGACTACAGCAGTAATTAGTCCCTCTGTAACTCTGTTATTATCAGCTTACCATCTGTAACCTTGTCAATTGAAGAAGATAACTAAAAACTTTTATCTTTTTAAATCATACATTTGAGTGGTAATTTGTGCCTTTGCGGTAACATCTACAGCTTTGATAAACATAAGGTATAGTGTAGTTTTCAGCTTTGTTTTGCCTCTTTTTATGTACATGTACAGGGTGTGTGTGTTTGGCTTATTAGTTGACGTTCACGATTGATTTTGACATGTTCATAATCTATATACAAAAAATGCACATCTGCCGGTGCCGAGAGTCATACAATTAAATAAATATTATGATACAGTTGTTGTCCAAAAACAAAAACAAAAACAAAAACAAACAAAAGAAAAAAGAAAGTACAAGTTTGGAACAATTACGAATTCCTGTGTGAAAGAAAAGAAGAGGGAATATTTCTGTGCTCAAAATAATCAATCAATCGATCCAATCAGATTATGAGATTTAGACCTTGTTGTCTTGAAGATCATGATCTTCTGCGCAACTGTTCGCAACATTGCCTCCTCCTGATCTCCTCCTACATAACAAAACCATGGAAAGCCACATAACACCCTTCACCACTCTAACCATTCCAATAGTTACAGTGAGGTAATATAACCACCAACCAACAAAGTCAACCACACCTATGCCCATTGACAGCTCTCTTTTGGCCTTAGCTACAACGACCAAAGACTCCACCTCGTCCCTCAACCTCCACCACCATATAAAACCAAAGCTGGCAGCCACTGCCACCCTCTCAACCCATTTTTCTCCTCTAGCTGCACCAAAAACCGTGTCGTCCACCACCGGCTTCACCACAACTCTGCACCAATGGAGCATGGTCTCATGCAACCCCAGGAAAAATATTGCTCTGCTCAGCAGACATATTCTCTCATCAACGCCACCTAAAGTAGCGCCATTGATCCCCGCGGCTATGCTCCCTTCGATTCCCAAACCAACGCAGACTTGTAATGTGCATAGGAAAATCCAGGCAGTGTACAAACGGGGACGGAAAATGGGAGTTGGGAACTCGGTTATGATGGTAATTTTACCTGTTAGGCAATGGATGAAAGCGGCTGTGCTGACAATGGAAACAAGAATGTAGAGAAGAGAAGGGGTGGCGTAGCGGAGCAGAGAAAATAGAGTATTACTAGTAGTGGTGGTGCTATAATTAGGATCAGGATGAAGAGGGGTGAAGCTTAAGTTAAAGAGATAGTTAGCGCAAGAAAGCCTGGTTAGGAGGAGGAATGAGAGGGGAAGCAATAGACTGAGAAGGGTGATTGTGAGAGTGTGGAAAGGTTGTTTTAGAAAGCTAGTCAAACTCATCAAGAGCTTCTTAGCCCTCTGTTCCCAATCCAAATAGCTTTGAAAACTCATTTTTGTTCTAAACCAAATTCAAAGTGATATCTCGAGTTTGTCTTGTCTCTGCTGCACAATAATTATGAAGAAATTATATATATAGAGTTGATGATGACTTGCTTGATCATAATAATTAGTTGCGTGCACGCCCATAGTTGCATTATATGGTTGACATCTTAGACAAGGTCGTCTTTCTTACTAGCTCACCTAATTCCCAATCATTTCCTGGATATGAATGAACATGAATCTTTTATTATTTCCATTAAATATTTGAATTTGAAACTTTCCTTGGCAGGTCATGGGACATGCATATCTATTCTGTCACACCTAGTCCATAACAAAATGTTTTATGTCTGGTCGTGGAATATGCCTCTTATTATTATATATATACACACACATATTGGTGATCACGATGAAGAATAAGCTTACCCCAACTCAACGGTCCACCAAAAACATATTTTCAAGTTGATATATAATAATATATAGTTGAGCTTGAGCTCATGTTGGCTAGGCCCAAAACTACTTGTTGGGTTTCAAAATTAAAGACCTGCGCTGGTCTCCATGTCTACTTGTTTTGGTTTTTCCAGGGCATGACGTCTACAAAAGGAATCTTGTAAGAATCTAATCGACAAGAATTTATAAGCGCCATGAATTAGGTGGTCCAAACTCATATCATGATTCATACGTCATACATACATATCATAGAATAGTTGGACCAGTTCAAACTTGAAGCTTCTCATTCTCAAATTATGAAATTAAGCCTCATGTCATGTGTGACACTGGCAGCTACCATTCCCCATAAGCGCACACGAGCAGAACAGGAGACTGACATCTGTTTGTACAGGCACAGCTAAAAAGGCAAATCCACCGGTAAAATAAGCGCAGGGGCAAATCTGTCGTGTTCTTTTCCCAAAAAAAATTAAATTCACCACATCTTCACTTGAGGGATTCTGACTTGTCCCATCCTATTTTTCGCATACAAAACAAAAATAGCTTGCCTATGTAAACAGGCCAAAAATTTACAAACAATTCTGCTATAAAAAGAAAATAACAAAGAACTCGCCGTTGCCGGGGATCGAACCCGGGTCACCCGCGTGACAGGCGGGAATACTTACCACTATACTACAACGACTTAGTTGTTAAAGGTTCAATTTCATATTATAAAACTCATTACAGCTAACTAATCTCGTTTTGATAATAACTCAATTAAATATTTGGGTTTTGGTTTTGGATGTTGGAGATTCACTTCTTGTTGTGACATATAATTTTACCAAATGCATTCATTGTCTTTATATCATGCATCAAAAGGGGTATGGGGCCAACATGTTTTGTCCATGGAAATATCACTTGCATGGTTCTAATGGATGGACTATGATATTGGATGGTGGGGTGGGGTGGGGTGGGGCTATGAGGGAGGGAGGAGTGAGGTGGTGATATGATGTGTGCATATAGTTCATATTAAATGAGTGAAAAGAAAGAGAGAAAGCAACTTGGGATTTTTGATTTGTCATCTCTAGCTTATCCTCCTCCTTTGCTTTCCCTTTCTCCTTCTCTCTCTCTCTCTCTCTTTCTTAATCAGTTGGGAGGTCTGATCTTGATCCATTTTCCTTAGTTATTGCTTCTGCAACTTCCTCCATCACCAGAAAAAAAAACAAAACAAAAGTCTGACTGTCTACTATTGTTATACCCTACTTAAGATTTTTATCAGAATACATACACAGAGAGAAGATAGAAAACTAAGGAGGAAAAGTCAGCATGGATGAAACCCTCTCTCCAGAACCAGACTCAGAAGTTCCAAAAGAACTCAGGCCAGAAGGTCAGGCATCCAAAAGAAGGTGTGTGTGTGCGTGTGTGTATATTTCATCAAAAAAACTTACATATAATTATAAATACTACTTCTTCTTTTTTTTTACATAAATACGTTTATTGTTATAGGAAGGTGGTTCATGAGAAGACTGTTGTTACAGTGAAGATAGGAACAAATGTAGGGAAACTAAAGAACGAAGGGCCGCCTTCTGATTCTTGGTCATGGAGGAAATATGGGCAAAAACCTATCAAGGGATCACCTTATCCAAGGTTTTTTTTCTTTTTTTCTTTTTGCTCATGATCAATATTGGTCTCTTAATTTTAACATCTTACATGGCCTCACATTTTATCTTTTAATTTCCTCTAATTAAATCTTAAAGTCCCCAAAGAAAAAGTTATCAATTCATTATTTGTAGTCATGCATGTTATCATCTCTGATCACGTATCATCAAGAATTTGCAAGCGAGGCTGTATTTAATTTCAGAAATGAGATTAACAATTAGGACTCTCTGTTTAAATATTGCTGCTTTTTAATTCTCTCTGATGATGCAGAGGCTACTACAGATGCAGTACATCAAAGGGTTGTTCTGCCAAAAAACAAGTGGAGAGAAGCAAAACTGATGCTTCAGTGCTCATAATCACCTACACTTGTAACCATAATCATCCAGGCCCTGATGTCTCCACCACTAACTTGACCCAATTGCAACCCAGCACTGAAGATCATAATCTCCCAGCCCTACTTCCCAAACAGGAAGAGCAAGAGAAAGAGCCAGAGAAAGAGCAAGAAGAAAAACAAGGGAAACTAGAAGACCATCCTGCAATGAAAAGTGATCATGAAGATCATTTTCACTACATTCAGTCCCCAATTAGATCTTCCCAAAATATTATGATTGACCAAGAAGAAGACCCTTTCCTAGAGAAAACCCATGTCTCTAGCACTCTTGGGTTCCTGTTGGATGAAGAGCCCCTCTCTTATTCCCAGCTCATGAGCTTCTCAACACCCAAATCTGAAGAAAATGACTTCTTTGATGAGCTTGAAGAACTACCCACATTTTCATCTTTCCCAAGCTTCATGAGGAGCAATCTCTCCCTTGAAAGGATTCCCTCTGTCCCCTCTTGATCCCAGTGGACTTGTTTTTAGTGTTTTTAGTGTTTGCAGCCCTTAGAACAATGTACCTAGCAAAATATTGTTAATATATATGTCATCTTCATGCCTTTAGCCCACTACCAGCGCTTGTTTCTAGTCGGCATCTTTTCTAATATTTCCCATTTTGGGTTCTCGAAATGAGAAAGTTGCATCACTTTGTCATGAGCAAAAGTTAATGGGTGGGTGACTGGGCGGTCCCTCTTTCACCACGAAAACACACAGACACACAGTGGCAGAGGTTTTTCATAAGTTAATTTAAAGATGGCACGAGGTCCACGAGTGCTCTCAGACATCTTTTGGAGATGAGGTGTTGAGTGTTCTCTTTTTCTTTGAGTGGTTTGGTTTGGTGGAAGGCGTTCGTCCTCCTTTTTGGAGAGTTATGTGATCAATCAAAGCAGGCTAAGCTCCTTTTTAAAAAAATTCAATGGGTGGTTGATTTGGTGGAGGAAGATGTTTGTTTCTTTGGCATTTTGTTCCTATTTTCCTTTGATACAAAAAGATTAGGTTCTGGAATCTCGATACCTACAAAGTCTATATGCTGCATTTGGCTTTTGGTGTTTTATCGTTGCAGATTCTCTCTAGAAAAAGCCAAAACATGAAACTAACAATTATATCCGCTTGTGGGAAGAATCTGCATAACTTTCATGCAAATGGAATATCACTTTTTCTATCTCGATCAACGAACACACAAAATAACTTTTTCATATGTCATTGCATTATCGGTTAGAACTCTCCGTCACATGAAAGTTTTTCTGCTATTATAGAACTCAATACTGCCCATAGTTGTCAAATCGACGGGACCATGTATGCAAGGCATTTGCCGTACACGTCACCTAAGGCAGTAATTAATTGGATGGAATCAGAAAAGTCGGGCGCTTCCTCCACCACAGATTGGAGTTTTATCTGAGCTTGTTAAGCAGCTTATCCGAACCCAAATGAGAAAACTACTGACATAAGCATCGGTAGCAAGTCAATTGTCATAATTATCACCATGACCTAAGAGGATGCTTAAAGAACACGAGATGCATTAAGGGAATTTTCTATTCTTTCATGAATCAATTATTAGTTCAGAGGGAATTAACAGCAAAACTAACATTTCTCTTCACTGATTGACGGATATTAACATCATTCAGCATTAAAAACGAACTCCGTAAATGTTACTCTCCTTCCCATATAACCCTACAACATAGCCCTGTCGGTACTTGCCACAGCCGGAGAAGTTCAGACACTCGATTCACCTTTACTTTCCGCAACAGTTTGCTCAGCTGATTCATCTTCACTTGCTGTTGCGGCTGCCAAAGGTTGGAAAGCTTTGAGAGGATTCGATATCACACCATCTATAAGCCCATAATCTTTGGCTTCCTTCGCACTCATGAAGAAATCACGATCTGTGTCTTGATTGATCTTTTCAAGACTTTGACCAGTGTGGTAGGAGAGATAACCGTTCAAGTTTGCCTTATGATGCAGCATCTCATTTGCCTGTACAGCATGTCAACTCTTTAATCAATCTTATTTGCCATCACTTCAGTTGCTAAGTGTTTCAAATTTTTACAAGAATTACAGACTTCAAGGATTTCTTCTTAAAAACATGTAACTCTATTGGTGTACAAAATAAGGCACCCAAGCCACTTCAAGAAAATAATGGACCAAAACTTTCTATAAATCATCACCAAAAAACACATAACAATAATAATAATAATTTTTTTAATTGCGGGTTAAAAAATTTCAAGACATCATGAGTTTTACTTCAATATTTAAAGGTTTAAGTACCAAAATAGACAGGTATAATAGCCAGCATTTAAAGATTATGCAAGATGTGATTGTTAAATTAACATGAGGTCCCCACTATATATTGAGAGATTTTTCCTTTTTGGCTTTTGGACAACATGGATAGAGGTTTCAAAAATGTAAACAAGTAACATACCTGAATATCTATGTCAGTTTGCCCACCTTGAGCTCCACCAAGAGGCTGATGGATCATTATCCTCGAATTTGGCAAGCTGTACCTTTTTCCTTCAGTGAAAAAACCCAAAAATATTTAGCAACTTCAGGACACAAAACCACAAATTATACAAGTCACAGGCCCAACATGGATTGGTTACCTTTGGTACCAGCGCTGAGCAGGAAAGCCCCCATGCTGTTCATGAAAAGGCAAAAACATATATCAATTATACGCATTCAGCAAATGTAATCTTTCACAAACTAGCAACACTTGAAGCTTAAATCTGCCTCAGCATCTTTAGCCCATACAGCCATAAGAATGATGAATAAACCACCCTTACAAATTCTGGACAAAATGGGAGAAAAATCAAAGGCAGAATAGTAATGACCAGCTGCACCACCCACAAAGATAAGGCAGAGGAGGAATAGAAAAGCAAAGAACAAAAAATCAAGTCAAACGTATCTTGAGGCAGGAAATAGAAACATGTTTAGAATAATTTTTCATTACCAACACCGCTAATTATATCTATATAAGTTAACACCAAAGACATACAGACACACACATGAAGACTCATTAATAGTAAAAAGGGGAAGAGAAGAGTATTATAGGGGCATGTACCTAGCTGCAAGCCCAACACATACAGTGGATACATCAGGTCGTATATGCCTCATAGTGTCGAAAATGGCCATACCTAAGCAGATAAAGAGCTAGTTATTCAAGTAATATACAAAACTGCCTTACGAACAAAAACTGTAAACATAGCAAGACGGTTTCCTAGGATAGATCATACCAGCAGTAACAGATCCTCCTGGTGAATTTACATACATGACAATGTCCTGTTCAAAAATCAGAAGACACACTAACCGATCAATCAATTGCACAATGCTGTACAATTCCAAAAATCACTGCATGATGCATGCAAGAGGGAGAGAGAGTCAGTACAAGCGAAGAGCAGAAATAGAATAGTACAGACCTTCTTAGGATCAACAGCATCAAGGTAAAGAAGTTGAGCAACAATTATGTTTGCCATATCATCATCAACAGCTCCCCCACAACGTATTATTCTCTGACAAAAAAAATTAACAAGAAAAGCATTAGTTAAAATAAACTATCTACAGGTGCAGAACCCACCAAATTCCACAGGGGAAAAACACCAAAAGCTACTCCTTACATGCTGGAAAAGCTGACTAATAACACTCTGAAAGCGTTCTTGCACCATAGGGGGTGGGCCCTGTCCCTGTGCATATGCTGGAAAGTATGGAGAAGATGGAACTTGCACATCCTCCCTACAGCATCAGATTCAAATTGACATAAACATAAACGAAAGATATGCATGAGCTTTCTTATCCAAGAAAAGATTAATCACGCAGGGATGAATCAACACTAAACCCACCTTATGGACCAAATTCCTTGACGAGAACTCCTTTCTGGTGCCCAATGTTCACCAGAGTAAATAGCTTTCACTGGAGAACTTTGGAGATTTTTGCTCTTCCCAACTAACTTATTCAATTTCCTGCAAAACATTAAAACCGTAATGTTTTATCCAACCCCAATAAGCTGGAAATAAACCCATAAGTTTTTCTTTATGTTGTGGTAAAATTTGACAAATTTTCCAAAATTTCAAGAATAAAGTAGAGATATAAAATATAAAGAATTGGGTTAGGAGAAATTCAAAGTGTCTGCATCCCATATGATTGGTAACTCCCTATCAAGTGAACTTAAGCTGAAGAAGTTCCCCAAACTCCCAGATAAACAATACAACACCGAGGACCAAACATACAAATACAACTCATAACTTTCAAATATCCCCATCAACTTTCTCAGCAATTAGTTGGATTATTGGGTTTGCCGCAAAATATGAAATTCCTAATCTTAACCAGTCCACATAGTTATATTAAGGCTATAAAGATGAGACTCACTAAATAATGAAGATGTTAACAAATTCAAAATCAGAAATGAATGAATATTCTCTAAAAACCAAGCATCGAGAAAAAGAAGAGTTAAAATTCAAAATTAACACATAGAAATTAAAGTTAGTGAGAAAGTACCTTGAAGGTAAGCGTTGGAAGGGGAGAGAGAGGGCCTGTGGTTGGGGAGACGAGCTAGGGTTTGGGACGAAGCCAAGGGAGTTGAATCTGAGAGACGAGGCCGATGTGGAAACGCACGTCTGCGACATTTTGTTTTATTTAACGTAAATGAAGTAAGCAATGAAGTTAAATTGTTGGCGCCTTATCTGCAAAATAAAGCTCAGGGCTCACGGCGGCAGAGTAGACTCTTGAGAGTGGAGTGTTGGAGCAAGCAACAACTTACCACCTTCCACCGTAATATCTTGTCCTGGCGCTTTTCTGATTCTATTGCATTGGGCCATTTTTCCATCAAAGCCTAAAGGCCATGGCCCAATAAAATCTAGCCCACAGTTTTCCACTATTTGTGTACTTTAACACTTAAATAAAATTATTTTTGAAAATAACACTTGAATTAAAAAAAATTTGAAACTTTTTTTAATAAAACTGTTCTATTTTAGTTCTCCATCATCAAATTTTTTTTTTTGTTATCTTATCATTTATGAGGGTAATAATTGAATTTTTGTTAACTAAAGCCTCAAGTATTGAGAAAACCTCAAGGCACTAGTCAGTATGTGTGAGAAAACCCTACGGCATTGCTTGTATTTAAAAACAAGCCTCTGAAGTATTGAGAACATATTCAAATAAAAAGAAGAGGCATCGCCAATATGTCTTTTTTTAACTTTGCTGAAAACACGATTGGAATGCGGATGCAAATTGCAATATGAAAGGATAACCTTTTTTTTTTTCTTTCTACAATGACATATGGACATTTAAATAAGATGGAATATTAAGTTGAACTGAAGTCAGTTTGCGACAAGGTTAGATCAAATTGAATGGTCAGAAACTTCTATTTATTATAAATTTCTCAACTTTATAATGTTACACTACGCCGAATGAACCCAAAGTTAATATAAATAACAAACAATGCACAGGCTTCTCTCACCATGAAAATGAACCTTTCCAAAACCACAACAAAAAAACTCAGGTATCATAAAACATGGAAGGTATTATTTATATATTAACCCTAGAGGCTTATTACAGCCGATAAACAATGTGTGTACTTGTATAAACTTCTCTACACCGAGCTAAGAATGTTCTCCCACCAACCCCAAAATCTATACTTAGACATCTGCAGAAGTACCAGCATACTTGAAGGCTAAAACAAGGTTGTTGCCGACATTAGCCCATAGTTTATGCTTGCATCTTTTCCTGGATTGCCTTGTAGCACTTAAGACTGCAAAGAGGAAGCTTTGACTTAGAATCCCTATACTTGTACGGGTTGGTACATGATGGACCCGCACAACTCTCACGCGGAGGAGGATAACTGAATTTCCATACCACAAGACGTTAAGACCATCACCAAACGAGCATAGATATTGGGTAAAACTAGCAACAAAAAGAATTACCTGCAGGGTTTAGAGTCAAATAAACTGGGGAGACCCATATCATTAGAGAATGTCACTACAGTCCCCGTTGGCCCCATCACGTATCTGATGGAGTTTGATGGAAGTGTCAACATGTTAGCAGCCTTCTCCTGCATAAAGTACAGTGAGTACAAGATGGAACTGCTAGCATTTTACAGAGGCAGAAGCACAAGGGGGGAGGGAAGGAGGGATACATCCCATAGTTTACAATACCTGTGCCAATTCTTCTTGGCGCTTCTTTATCTTGTCTTCGCGCTTCTTCCTGCTGGAATCTTGACCGAGTATTTTTCTAATAGCCTCAGCCTACATAATTCAATAACAAAAATAAAGGCTGATCTCCAATTCAAGAACTCCAAAGAAATTAAAGGAAAATGACAAAGGAATAAAGAGCAAAATAAAGCATACCTCTGATTCCCTAGCAGCCTTCTCAACCTGCAGTCTGCGTCTCTGAGCAGCCTCAGCTTTCTTCAGTTGCTGCTCCACGTCCGAAAGTTTCCCCTTTTGCTCTGTGATCAACCACAACAATCATAAAATGGAAATATTACAATTAACTACACTAACGAAAGAATTTTAAAGTATACAAAATATTGGTGGAAAAGCTCACTTCTAGACGGTGCAGGTGGTAATCCATTTGGAAACTCAATTAAGCTTGAACCAGGGGATGAAGAGACATCTTTGCTTGACTGAAGGGCCCGTTGACGAGTTGTGAGAGTCATTTCCTTCTTACCATCCATCAAAGAGTCAACAGATTCCTTCTTCTGTTTCTTTTTACCTTCAAGCTCACCATCAGATAATGAATCTTCATCTTCCTCATAATCAGTGTCTCCAGATGCTCTATCTGTTCTCGACTTCTTCTTAAGGTCTTTTCCCAACCTTGATGCACCAGCATTATCAATATTAGAAACTGCAGAAAGTTTTCTATGTTTCTTGCTAGACTCTTCGTCATCTTCTCTATACCCTGCAGTAACCTTCGATGTTTTGAGTTTCTCCAGATACCGAATCTCGTCATCCTCTTCATCATCTCCAAATTCTCCATCAAGAACACGCCTCTTAGGCACCCGCTTGCTCTTACGAACTGGTTCAGATCTATCTCCTTCCTTTCCAGAGGTGGTTTTTCCCGATATCCTGCCCATCGAACAATTATCCCTCCTAAGACTGAAACCACTTCTCGAAAAATCCTTCCACGGAATTCCTTTTAAGCCGCTCTTCTTATCTGAAGGGGAATGATTATCATCTGAATTTTCCTGCTATGGAAAATTTTGTTTACAGAAAAGATCTCAACAGACTAACAATAATAAAATGCATTTATTTTGTAAATATGCACACATAAATGCAAAGGATAATTTTCCATACATAACATATTCTAAATTTCCATTTATCCAATTAAAACGGTCCACGTGGTGACAAGTAGATACTCTGATCTGGGTCATACCAACAGTCACGTTGATTATCAAAAATTTTAAACACAAAATAAACATTCTTTTATAATAAATACACTCAAAATTCAAAATTTTCAACAACTCAGACATTAATGGCCCATAACCCAAATGCATATGCATCAATCGCAAATAAGATGATGCAAGTGAAGAAAAAAAAAACTTAAAATCCTCTTGGTATAATTGGGGCGATAGTGATTCCGTTACTCACTATGAAAGAGCAATAGTTTATTACCGGAAGATTTGGCTTCTGCCGCTGTCTAGACACATCTGACAATCGAGAAGTCTTCGTAGAAGACCCACCCTCTGCTGTACCATTGAATGCAGAGTTGGCCTGAATTGTACGTGTGACACCACCAACCTTGAGCTTAACCTTTTTTACCTTGTTCTCATTTCCAAATCCATCTAATCCTGACAACCTAGTACTTGGACTTTCACCATTCATCCCGTCAAATGCATCAGCACTTCTTGACTCTGATATCAAACCATCCTTCATTATGCTTGTGCTTTTCCAATTAGCAGGAGCAAGGACACCTTCGCTAGACCTTTTGTTATTGATCCCATTTCGTCCTGGCTCATTATTGTAAAATGAATTAAATTCACCATCCTTACTACCATTTTTGTGAGGTTTTTCGCCGTTGCCTACGGCAGAGGAAACCCTGGCCATACATTCATTAAGACTACACTCTTTTCTTTTAGAATTGGCATCACAACCTGCATTCTCATCACTTGAGACCTTGCTCTGATCATCTGAAGGTGTCGCTGATGACAATGATGACTGATCATGGAGTTCGTTGTATTGCTGTGAATCAGGTCGAGGTCGGCGAAAAGTTTGACTTCTCTTCCTTCTTACAGCATTGCTGATACTGTCCAATCTATGACTATTGCTAATGTTTTCCATGACGGAGAGTTGTTACAGCCCAATTCTTGTGATGCCACTACTTATCAAAACATGAATAAGAAAAAACACACCAACGAAGTACTCCAGCGATGCCAAAATCCCTACCCAACAAAAAAAAGAATGAAACATATATAACTATTTGCATAATTATAAATAAACAAATCATATGCTGTTATTTTCAGTAACATAGAGCAACAGAGCATAGGATAAGGATGTGAAGCATTCATTATATGAAAACCATGCGAACAAACAGCAAACATAAAATTAAACCATGACAACCAATTTGGAATGAAAGAAAATTAAAAACAATTTAGGTTTTTGGAAGGGTTAAGGGTGTTTAACAAAAGCTCTTGGCAATAACACAAATTTTTTTGGTTAGCTGATCAAAGTATACAGGTGAAAACCCAGAATCCCAGAAAATTGTGCCTTAGTTGCTAACATATAACACACAAAAACTACAACAATTAAATCGAAAACATTCAAATGCAAAAAATGGGGCATTACAAAACCTAAAACCTATAAAAGAAACCAAAGCAGGTTCTAGCTAAAATTCAATGAATTCATATATGACAAAAGCCCACCCAAAAACGAAACAAACCAGAAGCAAAACGCCCATTGAACACTAGAACAAAAACCCCAAAACATCCATTCACATAATTTAGAAACAATCGAAAGCAACCCCACATAAATAATTGTGAAATTTAAAGCACGCGAACCACAAGAATACATACATCCAAACCTTAAACAAGTGACCAATATAAAACATAATCAGCATACACACGCCGAATGACACACTCATCATTCATCAGAACAAAGAGAAAACAAATAACAAAAAACAACCCAAAACCCGCTGTAACATATTAAAATCAAATTACCCAGATAGAAAAACCTCACATAATCAACGAAAACTCAAGCAAAAGACCGATCCAATACCTTATGAATCGAACTGAATTGGGACACCAGAAGTCGCGGCAGTGAAAGAAAGCGCAAACATTCCGAAAGAAGAAAGGAAGCAAACCCCGAGAGGCAAAGCAGAGAGAAGAGAGAGAGAGACGCAGAGAGATAATGACTGGGAAATAAAATTGGGTGGGTGAGTAAAAAGAATATGGTGGTGTCTGGTGTGGATAGAGACACGCGGAGTTAGGGTTAGAGAATGGGAATGAGATAGAGTCAGAGTTGGAGTTTTTAGGGTAATGTGAGAGAGAGAAAGGAGGTGGTGGTGGTAAAGGAGAGGAAGGGCTAATAATCTTCGTGTTCACCATTTTGCTAATTCCACACCAAAGACCCAAAGCCCAAGTTTTCCCCGACCCCAACCCCAAACCCCTCCTGTGGTTTTTATTTTGTTTAGATTGGTCTTTGTTGTTTCTTTCTTTTGTTGATCGGTCACCCAACTCGTTCAACCCACTCAGTAACAACTCAATCCTCTTTCTCTCTCACTCTCTCTCTCTTTCCTTCGCTTTCCTTTTTTATTTCCCTCCTCTTCTACACAAGGTTATGCTGCAAGTGTATGCGCAGGTTAAGACACTGCGCACAATCAGCTTATGTTAGCGACTTCGTTTCTATTATTTTATTTCCACATGGACTGGGGCGTGTTTGGACTGCTACTAATGGATCATTTTTTTCTTGGACAACGCTTGAACTTCCATTTCTATGTTCTCTCTCATCCCATTATTCTCATATTTAAGTGTGCTTTGATGATCATTTCTGCGGAAAATAAATCAAATAAGGAAATCATTTAGTCATCTAATTGTTATCGATAAAATATAGACAAACACAATGTTATTGTTAACTTTTCATATATTAATCAAAGATTTACACAACTTTCAATTTGATATTTCATCTTTTATAGGAATCATCATCGAAAGATCACCTGAAAAATAAATGGTTTAACCTTATCATCAACTCACCACCACCACCCCACTCTTGTATGCTTCTTCTCTCCCTATCTCTCATATCTCTCTCACGCTCATAATCTTTCTCCATCGGTGCCCCAATGTTGGCGGCGAGAAACTTCAACATGCTCCATATCAGAAAGAGAAGCAAGATGGAGAGTTGCAGAAGAGGAAAATAGTAGGGAGGTGGCGGATTGATGGTGAGTCGGGAATGGGGGCTACTTTGGGAGAGATTTTTGGCATTAGTAGTTGTATACAATCATTTGCATAATAAGAGAAATAAACACATAATTGTATACAACTTATGAATATGGAATATTTTCTCTTTGTTGGGGTTGTTTAGTTGTTGAATATACATTTTGTTTTTAAGAAATGCTTTTATTTTATTAATAAGGGCAAAATTGGAGTTGAATGTGTAAAAGAATTTTGCTGGGTAAAGTTGGGGGATATTTGCTGAAATTCAAATAGGAAAAAATAGAACAGCTTTTCTTCTTCCTTTTTCCGGTCGAATTAAAATAACATTGGCTAGCGAATTTGATATGGGACAACAAGGAATAGGTCAAAAGCCCATTGGCCAGCGATTACAACGAAGGTACTCAGTAAGGCCCTTATCCCACTGAGTTATTGACCCAGAAAAAGCCCAATTCATCTCCAGTCGCACATGTAATGGATCAAATTTTAATGTTAACTGGGCCCAGATTTGTTCCCAGACAATCAAGGCCCATCATCATGCGTGTGGCGCTTTAGCTTTTCAGACTCGAGTTTGGTAATTGGAAGTTGGAACCACCTAATTGAACGTGATTGCAAAGCCATCAAATATCCACTTACCTAAGCAAACCCAAAACAACCAAATGGAACATTATAATACCCTTTTTTTTCTCTGCATATAAGAAAAATTGCATTTGCAAGGAATGAAATGGAGAAGAACATAAAACAAAATATCTCCCTTTTTTTTATTCTTTTGTCTTTCGTAAAAGTTTAATTCACATGCACATTGCAAAGAGTTTTTAGCTTAAGTGGCTAAGAACAGTTATCCCTGTATCTGAGAATATGTGTTCGATTTCCCCTATCCATATATATCGCTTGTATTACAATTATATTACATGGGGTTTACATGAGTTGGAATGTTATTAGAAACAAATGCTGCACCAGCCAACAAGTACAGAGTATTATGATTAAGGGGAATGTGAGGTGCAAAAGGAGGACTGCCATCTCTCCATCTATCTCTCTCTCTCTCTCTCTCTGAGCCCTCATCATAGTTTTGTGTCGGCTCTAAAAGTATACATGAGCTACCAAAAGATGGAGGAGTGCAATGCTTTCATGATTTACAGGGAATGCATGTTGCCCCACCCCCACATTACTAAAACACCAAAACTTTTTTCTTCTTTATTTCCTTTTTTTCTCCATATTATCTGTTACACATTTTAAATAATTTTTGCTAGTTTATTAAACCAAACCTTCCAAGTTCTAAGAAGAAGCATTTACAACCTCACGAGGGACTAGGAACCACCCACTTCCAAGTTTGATCTCTTAACAAACTGGTCTTTATATTTCTTGAAAGAAAAGGCTTGACTTTTTCATTTGTATATGATTTGTTTATACCATTTGGCTTAGATTTCTATAACTGTTACTGTGTATATATATATATATATCATATAAAAATATGTATGTGGGTGGAAGCGGCTGGTGGTGGCTTTCCAGGGAGGATTGCTATTCCTATGATCCATATTTGCCACCAAGAGCCTTTTTACACTCTGGCCAACCAAAAACTATAATCACAATTATGATGATGATGATGAGTGCTTTAACTTTGTAATGACATAAACCAATATATATTCTTTCTCTGTGTAGAGTTGAGCATATGTTGTTAATGTGAAAGGAAAGCAACCCTTTCAAAAAGTCATTGTAATTATTCTCATGAAAAAGAAAAGGCCAGTGTAATTATATTAAGGCATCAATCAAGTGGGAACTGACCATCTTTTTTTTATTTTTTCCGGGTCATGGCTGAGACTAAGAGACATCAAACCTCAAGGAGGATATGCCACTTCTGTGAAAACCATTAATTACGAGTCAATTATTCTTTAGGGCTTTTACCCTTCTGAAAAGGGGAGGATTAGATGCCAAAACAAAACCTTACCCTGAATTGACAAAATAAAAGCAATTAATTCGGATTAGATGCCAAAACAAAATCATGATCACAGTAGAGCTTAGGTTGCATGATCCAATTTCTCAAAAAAGTCCTTTGTTTTTACTTTAGTGTAAGAATCAAAAAGGCTATTCTAAAACTTATAGCTCGAGTTGTTCGAATCTCCTCTTTCAATATCGCTCGTATGAAAAAACTTATGAACTACTTTATGTATGAAATATGATTTCTGTTTATCAAGTATGTATGCCTTTGTTTATTTTTATTTTTATTTTTGTCTGAACTAATATGATTGCTTTACATGATAGTTTTACTGCAAAATTTCTTTTGCTTCAGTTGGAAGAGCACTGAAAATCAAACTTTTATGGGGTAGCCGAGTAGGCTGATGACGCGTGTACGGTTTCCATGATATGACATTATAATGCGGCACAGGCCTGAGGCTTCCCATCTCTCATGTGCATAATGTTGCAGCAGCGGAAAGTGATATGATAGGGGTCCAATCCAATCTAATGGAATGCAATTCGTGAATAAAATCATTCATGGGAAGGGAAGCACCACCTTCACCTTAGCTGGGCGCTGGCTTAACATAGCATGTGAAGACGATAAATATTGTAACAGATAATCTATCCGAATTTGGTAATTGCAATTATAGTCCAACTATTATTGACACCCTTTTTATTACAAATAATAATGAATTATTAACAACCGTCCAGGGCCTTTTAATTTGATTACTTTGAGAATTACATAATTTCAACCCATTCCCTTGCTCAAATGACTTGGTTGGCAATCTCTCTCTCTCTCTCTCTCTCTCTCTCTCTCCCCCTCCATTTACATTTAATTTCCTCCTTTTATGACACTTCTTTTATTGGATGGCAACCAATTTAGTTTAATCAGTTATAATCTGTACCAACCAGTAAGCTACCTTTTCGGTAAATATCACCTCTCTCTCTCCCTCCATTTACATTTCATTTCCTCCTTTTATGACACTTCTTTTTTTGGATGGCAACCAATTTAGTTTAATCAGTTATAATCTGTACCAACCAGTAAGCTACCTTTTCGGTAAATACCACCTCTCTCTCTCTCTCTCCCTCCATTTAAATTTCATTTCCTCCTTTTATGACACTTCTTTTATTGGATGGCAACCAATTCAGTTTAATCAGTTATAATATGTACTCCAACTAGTAAGCTACCTTTTCGGTAAATACCATGAAGTGTCCATACATTTAAAATGTGGGATTAATCTCTGCTCGGGGTTTGGCTTACTTTTGGCTACAAAGTGCTTCCAATTGGTTTCAAACCCCTGCTATTGAGGCACTAATTTACTGATGAATTATTTATAAAGGAGTGACATGATACAAACTTTATATAATTTATCAGCAAAGCAACAAATTGAATGTATATGCTATGATGAATTTCACTAATTTACTGAATAATTATTTATAAAGGAGTGACATGATACAAACTTTATATAATTTATCAGCAAAGCAACCACTTGAATGTACTCTTTCTTTAAAAAAATTATATTTGCCAACCAAACACGTATTTTAAATCAAATCTGATAAAATTTCAGGATCTGCCAAACAGGCCCTCATAGGGGAAGATGCCTTCCCACGCGCTACAGGTGCGAGTTTTGTAATTGAGCAACCCTTCCGCAAATTACAAAACTTTTACGCTCGTTACACGTTGACGGGGCAGCAGATTGATATACCCATACCTTATCCAATCAAAACATGTCACGTACAAAGCAACCATTGTCCATTGTGCTTGACCGCTGACACCCATTGGCTGTCGTGAATCTTTTCCTTAACTTCCTATGGGTATATCACTCACTCTTGCTATTAAAATATTAAATGCCCGCCGAACGGTCGTGAGTGGGACCGGTAAAGACGCTCTACGTGGGTCTCAACTGTATCCATACCTAGAGGTTCGGGACCCGACCTATCATTTGAATTTTTCGAACGTTGAAGCCATCGAGATTGTAGTGTTCTGATCTGTATCTGTATGCAGTATGCCCATGCCTCCTCCACTCGTGTCCCATTTGCTTGTTTGCTTCCCATTAATTTTTTTTTAATAGACAGAGAGAACATTTGTCAGAAATTATGTGCACATAATATTCATATCAAATTTATTATAATCGACAAATCCGTTAAAAATAAGAAAGACACAAATTTATTGAATATCAAGACATATTGATCCTTGATCTTTTGAAACAAATCATGTGTGCTGGCTTTCCATCAAAATTTAACGAATAACTCTTATTATCAGCTTGCTTAAAAAACACTCTAGTACTATAGAGGGGTTCAATCCAACATTATGGATGAAAGAAAAGATGGGCGGTAGAAAAATTCCAAGCTTCTCTTACTTAGAGCTCAAGGTCATAGTTTATCTTTTGTATTGGTTAATCCATCATTATTACCTAAGTGGTTATAGGTGTTCAACAACCATTTCTATGTGATAGAGACACATGACCAACCAGATAATCGCCTACAATTTCATGTATATATTCATATTCGATGTAATTAGATGATTGGATAATGTTTATGCTTGTAGCTTGCTTTCAAACTTTTTACTTGCCCAATATATTGTGTCAACGTTCATACTTTCTACATATGCTTTCGTTGCTTTGAAACAAATTAATATATATATATATATATATATAATATTTGAATTTGAACTTGTATATGACCAAGGGTAGGTTTAAAACATATAATTTGGCTTGAACGCTAGAGGTTATTTTGTAAATATTGTGAAAGTACTCATAACACACCAGAAACTGAATTGGATGAGTAAACATGGGCATGTATTTCAAATAAAAAACAAAATTCTTTCCTTCCTTTTTCTCTTGAAAGGAAGGGTGGTTGGCTAGCGGAACATTTGAACCAATAAAACGAATAAGTTAGCAAACGGTAGCTATAAAACTAGTTGAACATGACTGTAGCTATATGCAAATGAAATGGACAAACTCACCCACTCGCGAGAATATTATTTGAAAGACTAGTGTTAATGTTTTTGAATTCATGTGGGGGGATTTTGTCCTCTAATTAAAGCAATACTAATGACACACACCGTCATTCAGTGTTCAAAATGATGGCAAAGTTTATATAGTTATATCTAAATTCGAATCATCCTCGATTAATTAACAAAGATTTTCGTAGTTACAATTATATCTGATATAGAAAAATGGTTACTGCAACAAAATAATTGTACATGATGAGTTTGTAAAAGAAACTATGGTCCACAACTACATAGGATCCAAAGTTATGGTGGATATCGTTTTCCTTGATTGAAAGCAATAGCTTAATAAGAGGTTAGAACATTAAATAGCTTTTCATTGAAATGCCCGGATCTATGTCCTGTAAGTAGGATCTCAACCCGAAATCTGTAGCCAGCCACCCCTCTGGTGCGCGTGAAGATCCAGGTCTAGCTCGCTAAACTTGCCAAATCACACGCGCCGTAGAAGCAACTGCACCGGATATTTTTGTTTTTGAATGGTGTTTAGATGTTTGATTTGAAAACGGGTAAATGGGTTTAAACCCGGGAAGGCTCGGAAACAGGTTTGGGCAGTAGCTTTGGGGAAAAAGGGAGGTCGGACGGAGAGAGTATTAAAGCAGAGAGCGTGAAAAGAGAAAGAGAGAAAAGCAAAAGGTCATGGACTGGAGGAGGAATGTGAGAGTCTAAATTGGAAACAAAGAAACCTTTACATCAAACACCATCTCCAACAACAAAGATAATATCATCTCGAAGCCCACTCTCTCTCTCTCTCTCTCTCCGTCTCTGAGTTACTGTTTTGGTTGTAGATCTTTCTGTGAAACCCTCGTGGTTCTTACTTCTGTTTCCTCAAGAGCCGGCAATACAGGGACATAATCTACTTGTTCTAAGTATACGTATTTAAGAGTTTAATTACATTGATTTGGTAAAAATCTTTTTGAGAAGTTGTGGATTTGATGGCGAGATTGTGAAGTGTGGTCTTAAGTTTTGGCTTAGAGTGAGAAATCGTTAGTGTGCCGGTGGTAGGGAAGCAAGAAACAATGGCGGCAGGAGGGACATTGTCATTTTCGGTAGCGTCCATGGTGGAGGATGTGCTTCAACAGCATGGTACTCGCGTCGGAGATCTCAATTTGGAGTCTAGAAAAGCTGAGGAAGCTGGTAATCACTTTTCCATTATTGTTTCTTTCTTTCTTCTTCTTCTTTTTGTCGGGAAAAAAAAAATTCTCCAGCTAATACCTAAGAATATGCATTGATCGAAGTTTCTTCTATAATTCTCTTCGAATTCAATATTGTGTTTTCATCCATTTTCTCAGCAACCAAACAGAGGATCAGCTCTCTCTCTCTCTCTTTTTGTTCTGATCTAACTTTACCAGTTAGATACTTGAAGAAACTTGTTTATTTGCTATAAATTTTTTGAATTTTGTTCCAATCTACGATTGTCCTACCATCCAACCGATGATTCTGTATGTGTGGTTCTCTGAAGCAATGTGGGCACACACTGGCGAATTGTGTTACTTATTCTCTCTTAAATTGTCCAATTTTGAACGAGTTTGAAATAGTAAAAATTGAGTACTTGAGAGTTGGGTTACATTTCATTGCTTAAGCTAAATGAGCTAACCTTTGTTGTGTAGCATCAAGAAGAAATGAGGCTGCTGGGTGGCTTAGAAAGATGATCGGTGTTGTTGTGGCTAAAGATTTGCCTGCTGAGCCTTCCGAGGAAGAGTTTAGGCTTGGATTGAGAAGTGGGATTATCCTCTGCAACGCTATCAATAAGGTTCAACCTGGAGCTGTGCCCAAGGTGACCCTGATCCTAATTTCCAGCTTTCTTTCAATTTCATTTTCAATTTTTTAAAATTTATCCATTATTTACCTTACATAACTTTTTCCCAGGTGGTAGAAAGTCCATGTGATTCAGCTTTGATCCCTGATGGGGCGGCATTGTCTGCGTTTCAGTACTTCGAGAATGTGAGAAACTTCCTTGTTGCTATTCAAGAAATGGGGCTTCCCACGTTTGAGGCTTCCGATTTGGAACAAGTATGTACTCGTGCAGAATCAAATTCTGAGGTTTAATAACAATGATTTAATGATAAGCTTTTACACGAATGGTTTTCTTCATTATTTTGTAGAGATTTATTTAAGACAACTACTATGCACATCAAATTTCTGGAATTTGTAGTCAGAAAACTATAATTTCAGAATTAGATTATCTAAGATAAGTATTTCTTTAACATCTGTACATTTTATCTTGTTATCTTTCAGGGAGGGAAATCTGCAAGGGTTGTGAATACAGTTCTGGCACTTAAATCCTACAGTGACTGGAAACAGACTGGGGGTAATGGCATATGGAAATTTGGTGGAAATATAAAACCTACTACGTCAGCCAAGTCTTTTGTAAGAAAAAATTCCGAGCCATTCACGAACTCGTTGTCAAGGACCTCCTCAATGAATGAAAAACCGTTGGCTGCTCAGGCCTCTGATCTTGATTCTAATAAAATGGTTGGTAAGCTAAACTTTTGTTATCATTATTTCTGTTTATATTTATTTATTTGTATCTCTGCATTCTTTCTCAATTGAATTAGAAGAATAACCATAAGCTTTTCCTTTCCTGTTCGCATATTTGCAGTCTAGTTCTCGCACCTTTAGTATGCTTGTCCGTGCACTTCTATTAGATAAGAAGCCTGAAGAAGTTCCAGTGGTAAGGGCAATGCACTCAGTAGTGTGAGTTATATTGTTCAGCATTGCTATTTTCTAATTAAGATGGCGGAACAGTCTTTCATCTGTACCAGTCATATCTGCTACTTGTTTTTTTTCGTTCACAATCCTAACTGGTTTGTGTTTGACCACCCAATTGCGTTTTTAACTTGCATGAAAAAGGGGGCAATTGTTGATTCATTGATACCACCACCTATAAATTACTATTAATCACTGTCAACTTTATCTTCTAACATTTCTGCTCGCTCTTAATTGGATTATTTTATCCTTCTGGCTGTAACAGGTGGTAGAGTCTGTGCTAAGCAAGCTCGTGGAGGAATTTGAGCAACGTATTGCCAGCCAATATGAATTGGTATGCCAGTCTTTCTCATTAAAAACTTTTACCTTTTTTTTTTATATAAACATTATTAGGAGACTTTCACCTGTTCAACATGACTAGGGTCATCATTTATATGTTTGCATGTGTTAGACAAACCTAATATCAGAAACTGAGGCATCCAAGAATTTTTACATTGGAAACATGAGCTATTAGATTTACATACTGTTTGTTCCTTGTCATTTTAATTTAAACCTAAACATGTACCTATTAATATATCTTACAGACAAAAACAACTCCGAAAGATGCGGCTGTTTCTCACAGCAAAAAGCCTTCAATGAAATTCGCTTCTGGTGACAAAATGGTAACTATTGTGCTTTACCTTTTGAACAGCAAGTGAAACTCGTATTTTGACGTCAACGTCTATAACTAGATTAAAACTCATATATTTGTGTCTTTTGCAATAATAATTAGATGGAAGACAAAAACTCGTTCAATAAAAGTTACGTCTCTGAAGAGGAATCAAAAGGTCGGCTGCTTAAGCAGCAAATGATCTTCGATCGACAACAAAGAGATGTTCAGGTGGGTTTCAGCTGTGAAGTAGTCTCCATCATTTTATTTTGTTATTGGTTCGCATATTTATGCCATTGCCACATGTAAATTTTGCAGGAACTAAAGCAAACTCTTCACACTACAAAATCTGGTATTCAGTTTATGAAAATGAAGTTCCATGAGGAGTTCAACAATATTGGTATAAACTCATAAGAAAACTAATTGTTGCTTTTGGTTGCCTTTTCCCTTTGGGGTTGGTATCTCTTTTTCTAATTCAAGTTTTTGCTTCCATAGGTTTGCATATTCACAGCCTAGCTCATGCTGCGAGTGGGTATCACAGAGTACTTGAGGAAAACCGAAAGCTTTACAATCAAGTCCAAGACCTCAAAGGTAATAATAAGATCATTAGTTGTCTATACTTAAAGTTTCACACATGCCTAAATAATGATAGTCCTCAAAATGGTTAATGAGTTATTTGTTGTGTTGGTTAGGAAGTATCAGGGTTTATTGTCGAGTGAGACCTTTCTTATCTGGACTTTCAAACTATATGAGCACTGTGGATCACATAGAAGATGGAAATATCACTATTAACATCCCCTCAAGACATGGGAAAGGACGTAGGTCCTTCAACTTTAACAAAGTCTTTGGGCCATCTGCAACCCAAGGTTGGTATGGTTTTTATTAAGAAGGTTTTTTTGGAGAAAAACAATCTTCAGAGTTTTATTATCTTAACATTAAGCTTATATTTATAACAATATTTTGTTCTATTTTATTGCAGCGGATGTTTTCTCTGATATGCACCCACTGATTCGGTCTGTCCTTGATGGTTACAATGTTTGTATTTTTGCATATGGCCAAACAGGATCAGGGAAGACTTACACTATGGTAATATATGCTCTCTATCTCTGAATACATGCTATTTTATGTAAATTGTTGCTTGATTGATTAATGCATGCATACTATCGTTGATTTTTGGTACTTGCATGATTAGACTGGACCCAGAGAGCTTACAGAGAAAAGCCAAGGTGTAAATTATAGGGCATTGGGAGACTTGTTTCTGATAGCAGATCAAAGAAAGGACACTTTCAACTATGATGTTTCTGTTCAGATGATTGAGATCTATAACGAGCAAGTCCGAGATCTTCTTGTTACTGATGGAACTAACAAAAGATATCCTTTACTAATTTACTGCTTAATTTAGTTTTTCCTTAATGAGGTCAAGAAACTTGACATTGGTTACTTGGCAAAAGACAAACAGAAAACTCAAGATATCTTTTGAACATCAGTTTGTTACTTTTTTTAAAATAAATTTGTTTAGCTGTACTATTTCATTGGATTTTAAATATACCTAATTTTCAGTATGGGTCAAAATCAAGATGAAAATGTGCTTGTTTATCTACAATTGCCAGGCTTTTCTTAACTGGTTGTTACATTAGAAATTCGTAATAGTTCTCAGACAGGTCTCAGCGTGCCTGACGCAAATCTTATTCGTGTCTCATCAACATCTGATGTTATTGATCTGATGAACCTTGGACAAAGAAATCGTGTTGTGGGTGCAACTGCCCTAAACGACCGTAGTAGTCGCTCTCACAGGTAGGAATCTAGTCTTCTGTGGTGCCAAGTTTGTACGAATACTTAAATGGGAATTAGCCAACTCTAACTTTTATCAATATGCAGTTGCTTGACTGTTCATGTTCAAGGAAGGGATTTGACATCTGGAGCTATTCTTCGTGGCTGTATGCATCTGGTTGATCTTGCAGGGAGTGAGAGGGTAGACAAATCTGAGGTGACCGGAGATAGATTAAAAGAAGCTCAACATATTAACAAGTCACTCTCGGCTTTAGGGGATGTGATTGCTTCCCTTGCCCAAAAGAACTCACATGTCCCTTACAGAAACAGCAAACTAACACAGCTGCTCCAAGATTCACTTGGTAAGTTTAACTACCACATGCTTTCTCCTTAGATTATCCAAGAAAATTTGATTACGACTCTTTGTTTGTAATCTTATTTTAGGTGGACAAGCCAAGACACTTATGTTTGTTCACATAAGTCCTGAGCCAGATGCTGTTAGTGAAACAATAAGTACACTTAAATTTGCAGAGCGAGTAGCCACAGTTGAACTTGGTGCTGCCCGGGTAAACAAAGATAGTACAGATGTCAAAGCACTCAAAGAACAGGTTTTTACATTGTCTCTCAGACTGTCACTTGTATGGTTCTTCCAGACGGTTAGCTTAAGAATCAATTCTTACTTCGCATTGTTGAACTTCTTGTGATCAGATTGCTGGTCTTAAGGCAGCACTAGCCAGGAAAGAGGAGGAAGATGAACACAATAAACGCCCAGCCTCTGGTGGCTCCGATAAATATAGGACAAAAGCTAGTGAATTGTCACCTTTTCATTCCAAACATCAGGGTACAGACATGCTAGGCAATCAGATTGGCTGCCGGCAACCAATGGGCAATGTAGTGATCACTGAGGTAAATTTTACTTTTTGGTTGTGATTCGGAAGGAAGCCATCATTTTATAACTGTCAGTAGATTTCTAGCAAAAATTTGAGTTTGATGCCTTATGGCTCTTGGATACCAAGAGACATTTGAATTATGGGGTTTCTAGTCCCTTGCCCTAGATTAATTTTAGCAACCATTCAATTAGTATGTTCTAGTGTTGTGAACTTAGTGTTGTCGCGTGATGTACTTGTTTTGTAGCCCCACAACAATTCGGCCTCAAGGCAAAAAAGAGAGAGCTTTGATCTTGATGAGCTACTAGTGAATTCACCTCCCTGGCCCCCAGTTGAAAGTCCTAGCCAGAATTATGGGGAGGATGATAAAGACATGGGCTCGGGTGAGTGGGTGGATAAGGTTATGGTGAACAAGCAAGAAGCAGCAAGCAGAGCTGGAAATCCTTTAGGATGCTGGGGAGCAGACAATGGGAATTTAACTGATGTTTTCTACCAGAAATATCTCCAGGATTCTTCCAAGGTTTATACAGAACAGTCGTACAATATGTTCATGGGAAGCAACGGGTTCAATGTCGCTAGTACAGATGACATGGATGATCTTGATGCTGCCACCAGTGACTCTTCAGAGCCAGATCTGCTCTGGCAATTCAATCAGACTAAACTTACTAACATGGGCAATGGCATTGGGTCAAAGACCAAGAAATCTAATGCAAAGCAAGTGAAAAGCCCAGATCTAAGGTAAATTTTGAACTTGGCCTTCTGTTATGCATTTTTACATGCCGTGTAGTGAGTTTATATAATCAGCTTCCTAAAAACTTGCTAATGATTTCTGCAGCAAGAGCTTTAATCCTTCTTCTCTAGGCCCTTCACCTTCACGGAAACCTTTGAATGGGGTGCCACATAGGATTGCAAGGCAGCCAGCTCCAGCTGAGATGAAACGCAAAGCTGGGAATAGAAAGTAGAGGTGTTAACTTAACACGTTGAGAGAGAGTGATTCAAATATTTTTTTTTCGTAGTGATTTCTTTGATTTTGTTACACAGAGAGAGAGAGAGAGAGATTTTACTATTTTCTTCATTTTTTTTTCCGAAAAGGAAAAATATTGTAAGTTTTATATACAGTTAAGTGCAGCAATAAATCCAGTTGCTTGTAAATTTATGAGTGAGTTGTGTAGACAAATACTGCCAGACTTGGTTTGGATGACGGATAATTCTGTTTATAAATTTATAAAACTTTCTTTGTACAAATTTATGGTTCCAGTTATTGTATTAACGATCACCAAGCAAACCAAAACACTTAATTAATTACACTAACATTAAACGAAGATTCAATTCTTTTATCTGATATCTATCTAAACAAGTTGGTGCGTTAAATTTTTTAAATTAAAAAAAATGATTTAGATGCTTCTTTTCCTATCTATAATCTATCAACTAACGACAAGAAGAGTTGGTTGATTCTTAAATAAATTAAACGTTGATGATTGTAACAGCAACAATAATAGAGATATCTTTTTGAAGCAGAGAAGTTTTCATATCGTTCACATGCAAAATTATGATTATATAATTCATAACCTTATAGTGATATACCCAAAAGAATTTCTCTGTGGTCAAATTTTGTGTTCCAAATCCACGACTTATAGTAGGTAAGGTTAATTCATTTTTGGAGGCCACAGGATATGCTGAATTTAGTGTGTGTGATCATGACATATTCCAATCTATAAAGATTGACATAAACTTCCCCCCCATTGAGCCAGCCAATTCTCAACCCCAACCAACCTCACCTCTCAAGTCTCATCATTTTCATATCAGCAAGCAAGAGACTAGATAACATGGCGGCCATCAGTTTAAGCCAGGAATTTGCCAGTCCAGTAGCAGCGGCCAGGTTGTTCAAGGCCTTGATCCTAGACTCCCACAACCTCATCCCCAAGCTCATGCCTCAGGCCATTAAGAGCATCGAAATCATCCATGGCGATGGAGGCGAAGGAAGCATCAAGCAGATCAATTTTGCTGAGGGTAATTAATAAATTAACCACACATGTCGACTTTATTTAAAATCATCAATCACATTTCTCTGTCATGTTTAATTCAATAACATATGCATGATATGCAGGTACTCGTTACAAGTACATGAAGAACAGAATAGACATCCTGGACGTCGAGAATTTGGTGTGCAAGTACACACTGATTGAAGGAGACGTGTTGGAGGACAAGATTAAGTCTATTGCTTACGAGGTGAGGTTTGAGGCTTCTCCTAATGGTGGTTGTACTTGCAAGATGATGAGTGAGTACCAGGCTGCTGGTGACTTTGAGATCAATGAGGAAGAAATCAGGGGTGGCAAAGAAAGAGCAATGGGCATGTACAAGGTTGTTGAAGCTTACCTCTTCGAAAGTCCCGGTGCCTACGAATAGCTGCAGCCTCAAGAGTCAAGACGTATTTTCTTCTCGCCATTCATATCCACCCGTCTCTCTTCTTTTCATCGAGTCTTTGGTTGTAGTCTTTGAAATATATGGACATGTGAAATATTATAAACCAACAGCCATAGTTACATAAGGTTAATTAATGGTTCATTTTCATCTGCTACACAATGTCAATGCCTGTTTGATGTTTCAAAGTCAAGGAAGTGGGGACAAAGTAAGAAATAATGTCGTATACCAAGAATGAAGAAAACGACGGGTGGAAATTGATCCTTGTATAAGCAGCCAGGGGACCAGGACAGAAAATAACCAAACTCAGACTTAATCAGCAGGACATCAACCTTTTCAATTACTCATTATTTCAATCACATCAGTCACTTAACTTAACACCCTCTCTTTGCCAGAATATCAATGATTAATCTGGTCTCAGTCCACATTACATGAATTTACATTGTAACTAAAGATATTCCAAAATAAAATAAAACAATGGAAGCAATAGCTATCTGAGTTGTACTGCACTACCAAAATTTCCTTGCACACGAATGAAAAAATGAGGCTCTACATGAGCCTGTATTATCAGGATGACACACCACTTCAGAAGATCTCGTAGCAAGGCAGAGAATGCTTGTTCGTATGAGAAGAGATGGAAGATTATAAATTGGAGCTTTATTGGAAAATCTCCTGTATAAACGGTATCTCATGTACAGATTGAACAGAACGGGTATTTTGTCTTTTTGATGATGATCTCACAAAACTGTAGCATAGTTGAATGGGTATAAGGAAAGGAAGCAAGCTGCGGAAGAGTTAAAAGTTGAGTCCTGGAGGTTTGAACATGGTTTAGGAGACACCTCCTTTGAAAAACCCATCACATTGGAACAGAACCATGAGGTAGAAGAATTCCAAGTGATGGAGAATGAGATATTTGAGAGACAGATAGATGTGAAAGGCGATTTGTCGAGTCCAGAAAAATTCCCAGCAAAAGTGATATTAGTGCCGACCATATTCTCAAAGGTGACTCCTTTAACAAATGGCAGTTCATCAGGATCAAATTTTTCATCAGGGTGTGAGCCACTCTGACCTGTAGCCTCCATTGCCAAGTGAATATTTTCCATTTCGACATTGGATATAATTATGTCCTTCATATAACCTCCTCTTCCCCTAGTTGTCTTGAGTGCAATGCCAATGAATGAGTTACGTAGATGAAGCTGCTCTACAAGTATGTTCGATATGCCTCCAGACATCTCACTGCCAAATGCCAGGCCAGCGCCTAAAGTGGATTGAAGGTTAACACCCCGGATATGCACATTTTTGGTGGGTTTGCCATAGGCAATTCCATACTCATCCCAACCGCTCTTAAGAGCAATTGCATCATGACCCATACTAATGTTGCAGTTCTCAATGCAAACATTCTCTGAAGAATCTGAAGTCACGGTTATACACACGTTGCAAAAGATATTTAGGCTCTTCAAACTTTTCATAAAAACTATGCAAGAACTTCAGCATAGAGAAAAAAAAACTAAGAACCTATACATTTCTCATCAATGAGGGGCTGAATCTCTAAATAAATAACTACACAGATTGATCAGGGAAAGGAACGCAGAAGAGATAAAGCAGTAATAGATAAATGGTCTGAAAAGTAATGTTTGACACACCTGGGACTATACCACTAGTATATGGAGATGCAGGAGAAACATGAACAGTTATGTTCAGAACTTGCACATACCTGTATTATTTTAACATATAATCAACAATATCAGTTCAGTTGAACACACAAGAAATGTGACATTGACCTAAAAAGCTACCAGCAGTACCTGCAGTACGCCGGATGAATGTTCCAAGCGGGGGAGTTCAAGAGGGTTAAATTTGATATAGTGACATTATCACACCCGGTGAATTCCACTAGATGTGGTCGGCTGTAATTCAAGGCATGAGAGCTAAATTGCTCCCACCAGACAGAACCTTGTCCATCAATGGTTCCATTATCACCTGGTAAAATTTATTGAATGTGGAAGAGTTACATGAGGAAGGCAGAACTTGGATGCATCTCAACAGACAACTATTTATGCACGAATATCCTCACCTGTTATCACCACATCACTTAAATTGTGTCCGTTGATCAAGCTACGATATCTCCAACCAGGCAAGTCAATCCCTCGACCATAAGAAGGTAGAGGTTTCACAATATCCCAGTGAGTGTAATCCTGCATAACCATTGCCAACACTGAGTCTTATACACTCTTGTTATTATTATTATTATTTTTAAAAGTGAGAATGATTCTTTTAGATCAAAGCAGAGAAAAATTTGTGTTATATGTGAACCTGGGATCCAAGAATGATGGCACCTGCTTCCAGGAAGAGTGTGAGGTGGCTGGTAAGGTTAAAACTTCCAGTAAGCCAGCTGCCAGGCGGAACATAGAGCTGAGCACCACCCTTGTCAGCAAATGACTTGACATAGAAAATAGCATTTTGAAAGGCTACCGTGTTCAATGTTTTCCCATCTCCAACTGCCCCAAACTCCAAGAGTGACACGCTGTGAGGTCTGGGATCCAAAGACTTCTTGTTTTCACATTGTCCATTCTGTCCTTCTCCATCGTACTGAACAGCACTACTAAATGCCAGAAACAGAACCAGAGCCAACTGAAAAATAGGAAAACAGAAGAAATAAAGGTTACTGGGAAGTTTGAGATGCCTACCCGTCACACCATTCGCAAGAACCGAAATGTTAATATAGGATGCATGTATATTGTATATCAATAACATCATGGTAAAAGAACAGAAAATGCCTTACATTTGGTTATCTCATTGCACATAAGATACAAAAATACTGCAACAGACTTGGTTGAACACCAAGACAACACTAAATTGAAAGAGAATACGAGAGTAAAAGAGATACAACATAAACTTACTGGGTGAAAAGTCTTGAAGTAAAAGAGATGCATGCGAACCGGGGAAAACAAGATTTATACCCCTATTCTACAATGAATGCAGTAAAGCAAGAAGCAATCTAAGAATTATGAATTCATAAATAAAAACTAGGCTTTCAGTTTCTGCTCTTGAAAATGTGTCCCTCTGTAGGAGACCGTATCTTGTGTTAAGATTGTGCTTTCTGCTGATGTCTGAGATACTTTTTTATATTTTTTTTCCTGGTGTAGTTCGAATGTTTGTCTGTAGCTTTTTATTTATTTTTTACTTTTTGGTGATGATGCAATGGCGGTTTAAAAATTCAATAATCTCATAGCAGATGTTCACGTACCTATTAGCTAGTTTACATTGCCAAACATCCAATGTAAATCCCATATACAATCTTTAGATCAAAAAGCCTAAGAGACAGGAAAAGAGAGAATTTTTCGCAGACACACAGATGATGAAGAAAAAAACCAGTAAATATATTTATGAATCAAATACTAGATATCAAACCAACGTACTTACTAGCCTCTTCATGAGTCTTTACACTTCCACTTAGCAGCAATGAACCAAATTCAGACAGCAGCAGCAGGCTCTCTAAAACAAAACCCCAGTCAGGAAACCAAGGAAGAAGGAGGAGGAGAAGAGGAAGAGAAGGGAAAAAAGAACAAGTAAGAGGCTTGTGTTATAAAATGGCACTGATGTACATGAAAACAAAAAGAGAAGAAAAACAAACGGGGGTGAGAGAAAGCGACAGCTAAAAAAGAAAAAGCCAGCTGCTTGATTTCCATTTTGCATAACAATAAAAAGCAATTTCGACGCATCAAAGTTGGAAAGTGCAATTTGAATAATATTTTAGGAAATCCTTGACAATAAAAAAGCAATCTTCACAAACAAAATTACCATCTACAACACAATTCCCAACATAGAATCATGTCTTGCCGACACAAACAATTTTGGCACCGAAGCCTCAATCAATCACAAACATTAAATCAAGAGAAACAGAGTGAAAATAAAAATCTTTGTAATTAATTACTTAAATGTTTAATGACAACAGCAGAAAGAATAAACAAAGGTTTGTTCATTCATGTAATGAACAATGAAGGCAGGCAGGAGGCAGGGGACTTGCCATGGCATGCGAAGAGAGACTAGTGGCGTGGGGGCGAAGGGACCATGTCATTGATGTGTCGACATTGAAATTTTGCAAGGCTAGCGTCACCCAAGTTTGCCAAAGCGCCAGATCCCAACCACTTGTGCCGTCATCAGTGGGCCCACTCAACTCAACCCTTTCTTCCCTTCCTTTTACCTTACCTCCTTGTCCTTGTGCCCTCTCTCGTTCCTCGCACGGACGGTCACATTGTTTTACCAAAAATCTGCGACGCCAACTGTTGCGGAGCTGCTGCTACTGGATCATGAATTCATTAATTTGCCAACCATGTTACGTATAGTTACATGAATCACAGTTGTCAAGTTGGGTTCGAATTGGTAGAAGGCAAGCTACAGCTTATCTTATCTGATTAGTAGCAGGACAGGATAACTACTGATACATACATAGGATAAGTGCTTCTAGTTCTAGTGATTTTAATTCAAGTGTATTGACCAAAACAACCTTGGTTAAAGGAGACAATCACATGGGGAACCCGCGGCAGTGGACTGCGTCTGTGGAGGAGCATAACAAAGAAAGCCAGCTGCCAGTGCCACCCACAATTTTCATGTTTGGCTGCTAACTAGAAACGGCCAGACAGCCACTACATGAGATCCGTATATCATAATCAATTCATATAACGACATGAACAAATGAACATAATTAGGTAAAGCAGCGAGCTCTACACTTTACACCACCAAATTAATTTCACTGAAAGCTTTTTCTTTTTCTTTTCCTTTTTTGTTTCTCAAGTGGAAGTGGAACAAATTAATGTGGCTGTTGTGTTGTATATGTATATACTCAATAGTGAGTGAGTGAGTGCTAGTAGTGGCCCCTGGCCTCAGCTGAGTGAGAGGGACAAATTGCAACACATGGGTCATGTGGTTGGTTGGTTGGTTGGTTTGGTTTTGGTTCATTATGAGGAGTTAATTTCAAAGACCGTAACTTTTGCTTTGATTATCGTTGAAATGGAGCCCAGTTGTGTAAATGTCTGTCACTCATTATGTGGAGTGAGTGTGAGCGTTCCTGAACAGCAGCAGCAGCAGCAGATCTGCAACAAGACTGCAGGGAGAGGGGTCCGGCATCGTACCAGTTGTACCTGATGGGATCCACTTACTGAAAAAGTTACTTCTTTCTTAGCCACAAATCTTGCACGCTCTCATCTCAGGTCTCAACCTCACTCTGGAACTCTGCTGTGAAGAAATCTATGTATATACCAAGACAAGACCTTTTATTTCCTAATGAATATGAGTATATACGTACTCAAATTGGTTGCTTGCTTGCTTCCAAGCTAAAGTCCGAATGGGAATTGGAACCCAACAACCAAAATTCCAGCTACCAACACAAAACCAAACCCAAAACAATTACATAGAGACTGTAATGAGGGGTTATAACACGAGGGGTCCTTCATAGCTATCAGATTAATTGCAGAACTATTATGAGACGATCAAACCCTAGCTGCACAGACAGAACAGGACAGGACAGTAGTTCCTTATTGGGCAATATGCATCTTGGACTGCCCCATATGAGCCAATTAATGTACCAAATTGGGCCTTTCATGGACTCAAACTTTTAACAGAAGCCATAGTATGCCAAATTGCTTGAGCTTAAATTGAAACGAGAAAAGGCTTTGAGGCCCAGCGCAGCCACATGAGGACATCAAAGTTGAAAGTTGAAACAGACAGTTGGGTTTGTTACATGAATTTTTTATATATAAAAAACACCAGTCCAAAAGCATCCCACTTTCTGGCACGCCGCCCAATCATTTGGACTCAACTTCCATTCCCTACTTCGCTCGCTCGCTCTCTCTATCATCTCTGGCCCTTCATCACTCCGATCACTGACTCGTTTAACCCCAAACCGCGTCCTGCCTCGTTTTCCAGCTCAAGCTCCTGCTTATGGCGATGTACATCATATCGCGGCGAGTAGTAGGTGGATCGACGCCATCAACGGCGTTCCGTTATGCTACTTGTTGGAGACCCTATTCGACGGCGTTTAGAGAGGAAAGAGACACCTTTGGACCCATTCTCGTTCCCTCAGACAAGTTCGTCTTTCTCTGTTCTCAGCATTTTTTTCATTTCCATGTTTAATTCGATGGGATTTATTTATTTAATACGTAATTTTTTTTTTCAGGTTGTGGGGGGCGCAAACTCAAAGATCGTTGCAGAATTTCGATATCGGCGGCGAGCGTGAACGAATGCCCGAACCTATTGTTCGCGCCTTTGGCGTACTCAAAAAATGTGCTGCCAAGGTTTGAACTTTTATCTTTTGTTTTTGGGACTTGCCGAGTGGGATTGGGATAGACACCTATAACGTGTTTGTTGTATTGCCTGACTGCAGGTGAACATGGAGTATGGTCTTGATCCAACTATAGGCAAAGCAATAATGCAAGCTGCCCAAGAAGTCGCCGAGGGAAAGCTAAACCAGCATTTTCCACTTGTTGTATGGCAAACTGGCAGTGGAACCCAAAGTAACATGAATGCCAATGAGGTTCGCATTGATTCATGAAAGTATTGTCATGGTTATCTTACTTGTATACGTTGATTTATGGGGTACTATTGGACTGTGCCCAGGTCATTGCGAACAGAGCAGCTGAGATACTTGGCCATAAGCGTGGTGAAAAGATTGTCCACCCAAATGACCATGTCAATAGATCACAGTCTTCTAATGACACTTTTCCAACTGTAAGCCTTTCTTTTCTTTTCTTTTTGTAATTTTTGTTTCCTGTCTTGTGGTTTATTGAAACGCTGTGTGTTATTTACAGGTCATGCACATTGCGTCTGCAATGGAAATTAATTCAAGATTAATACCAAATTTGAAAACATTGCATACTTCTCTACATTCAAAGGTTTGATTTCTCTGGATACCCTTTAAAAGCAGATAGATATTTCATGTATCTGAATTATATTCCCATGAAGGGATCAAAATTTGTTATTGATTCCATCTGTTTTACTATGACCAGTCAGATGAATTCAAAGATATTGTGAAAATTGGACGCACTCACACGCAAGATGCGACACCTTTGACTCTTGGGCAAGAATTCAGTGGCTATTCAACACAAGTGAGCTTACATTACTCTTGCAGATATTGTTTCACTATTGCGTCATGCCCATCTTGTTACGAGGATAGGCCATGCTTGATATCTTGTTTATCAAAAGCCTTTTCCTTCGGCTGCAGGTGAAGTATGGAATTGACCGAGTCTTGTGCACACTACCCCACATGTATCAGGTTGGCAACTCATGACTGTCAATTGCTTTTCCTCCCCTTTTATTTTTTCTTTTAAATATTCTGACTGATTGGTAATTTTGTCTGAGCAGCTTGCACAGGGTGGTACTGCTGTTGGGACTGGATTGAACACAAAGAAGGGGTATGAATAGCCTTAAGGTTGAAGAATATTTGGGTTTTGTTTTTCCTTGTTTTTATCATTTTACATTTGTCTGCATTCGTGTTAAAATGTGACTTTGATTATGGGAGTCCTGGTTTCATTTCAATTCATCTTTTTTCTTTTTCCCGCACTGATATTTCAAGATTTAAGTTTCTTCAATAGGTCATCTTATTCACCATTCCTTTGCCTATTTATTACTCCTGAATTAGTATCAGATAGAAAGATGTATGCTCTGTATTTTATTACTAAAACTTGAAAAGATTATACCTTTCGTTATAAATTTCTTGTGTTTTGGCATTTGCATTTATTTCGTCATCTCCCATATTTTAAATGAGCAATCCTTCTTCAGTGGTCCAGGGTGATCCACATTGTGTGAAACTGACAGTGGTAATTTTCCTGCCATAATCTAGATTTGATGTAAAGATAGCTGCGGCAGTAGCTGAGGAAACAAACTTACCATTTGTCACCGCCGAAAACAAGTTTGAAGCTTTGGTTCGTAGCTACACTAAATGATATCTTCTCTTCTTCTTCTTCTTCTAGTGGAGTGGATATTTAACTTGATGGAGCAGTTGGTACATATTTTTTCATTGTACACAACAAACTAATATTGCATGCTGTATGCTGTACGTTATTTGTTTCCGCCAGGCTGCACATGATGCTTTTGTTGAAACTAGCGGAGCCCTAAATACAGTTGCTACTTCTCTGATGAAAATTGCAAATGACATACGTTTATTAGGAAGGTTAGTCTACTATTTGGACCTCACCTGCTTTTTCTTCATCACTCCTTGTACCCTTGTTGTAAGAACTTCATGGTGCTTTTCTTGTATAGCGGTCCACGTTGCGGCCTTGGTGAACTCATTCTCCCTGAAAACGAGCCTGGCAGCAGCATTATGCCTGTAAAACTCTCATATCTTGCCCAACATATGTTTGACTGAATAGCCCAAAACCTGTAACTAGCTTTTTGTACAAATTAAGTCCCACTAAACTTGACATCTTGACTGAGTTTATCCTGTTTCAGGGGAAGGTTAACCCTACTCAGTGTGAGGCTCTCACAATGGTCTGTGCTCAGGTAAAGTGTCTCCTGTTCTGTTTCATCAAGATAATATGAACAATTAAAAAGTCATTAGTAAGTTGTTGTATGATGTTAGGATATTGTAATCCTGCTATTTAAAGTTTTTCTCATTACGAAATGGTATTTTAATTTTTTGTATGTTGTGCAGGTTTTTGGTAACCATGTGGCCATTACAGTAGGTGGATCAAATGGTCACTTTGAACTTAATGTATTCAAGCCAATGATTGCTAGTGGTCTCCTACATGTACGTTCTGTTGTAATATTGTTATGATTTGTTCTTCAAATGTTGTATGCACAGAGATTTCAGAAGTAAAACTGGTAGCAACTAGGTACACACACATTTCCTGCCAGTAGATAGTGCTTTGTTAAGAAAGTCACTAGTCTGGAAGTTCACCTTGGAAGAAATGCAAAAGAGTTATGATAGAATCTGTTTGAAGATTTGGAATATTATGTGCACATTATGTGTTAAAATTGAGAAAGAACCAAATGTGATTCTTCTCAAGATGTGGATACTGGAATTGGAACGTAATTTGGTGGGTACGATATTTTTGTAAAGCATTTTCACATATGTGGATGCATTATGATTTATTGAGTTTGGAGTCTCTTGTTCTGCTATATTGCTAAATACATGCACTTTTTCATTGAGCTGGTGTTTTCTTAACTCTTTACTGGCAGTCTGTGAGATTGCTTGGGGATGCATCAGCTTCCTTTGAAAAGAACTGTGTAAGAGGAATCAAAGCTAATAGGGAAAGAATTTCAAAGTTACTTCATGAGGTCAGTTTATTCTTGGTGAAGAATATAGAACTTTTTAGTATTCCGTATCTAGACCCCATGGCTAATTAATTTTATGCTCTTTCTGTATGGAAAATGCATGGATTTGCAGTCACTAATGTTGGTCACATCATTGAATCCTGTAAGTTTCCACCCATTCATGTGTACATTTTCCTTGTGTACCTTTGATTTGAGTCAGACTTATATTTCTGCTTCTTTTTCAGAAAATTGGTTATGACAATGCTGCGGCAGTTGCAAAGAAAGCCCACAAGGAGGGATCCACTTTGAAGGTAATCATTGCTTCCTTGTCTAAGTGATAATCTGTTCTGTTCCACAGTACTGGGTCTAGTTTGGTGGGAATTTAGGAGTTCAGATGTAATGAAATTATTTATTCTGGCCAGATGGCTAGCTTAAATTCAAGTACTGGAAAATTCTGGCTGATGTTGTATCAAACCATGTTTGAGCATAGGCTGAATCAGTAGGAAGGAATGAAATAAATGCAATGCATTCACACAAGTTTGTAGAGAGTTGATTTGGCATCATAGCTACTTTGAGTCCTTTGCATATTTATATAGTTGAAATATTGAATCTAACAAAGCTGTAACAAACAACTCTGCAGGAAGCTGCATTGAAACTTGGAGTGCTAACCAGTGAAGAATTTGATACACTTGTGGTGCCTGAGAAGATGATTGGCCCATCTGACTGACTGACAGACAGACAGGTTTAGAAGCTGTTGAAAATTGATTTTCCGGCATGAATTGCCTTTATGATTCATCTTTGCATTGTCTCTCCGGGTGAAATAAGGATTAAAAGTGATGTATGTAATTCATAACGTTTACAAACGATATAGTGGTGGAGGCTTTGTTATTTGGGTTAATTTTGTTGACAAAGACAGCCGCCAACTGGGTCACAGAGGAGGAGAATGCCTCCACAAATTTTTGTAACAATACAGTGTATTGAGAAACTCACCCCGCAGAATAAAATGAAATAAAAATTTTACTTGTTATATGTAGGTGTAATTAATCTACTTTTACCCTTCTCATTCTGGTTTATTTCTTTATAAATGTCTATATTTAAGTTGGTTAACAGTCCACAACGACCCTTTGATAAGAAAGTTTATCTCTGGAAGACCAGAACTTTTCCATTCTTGAGGCGTTCAACCCTTTATTATCTGCAACTGCAGCATGACATCGCCCATCTTCCAAATGCAATGCACCTTCCTCTATAATAGATTGGTGGTGGGTCCCAGATTTAGAATACAATAGTCTGCTGTTTTAGAAATTGGGGACAGGGAAGACCTACCATTACCAAACTACCATCTGCTTGTCTCTTTGGGACTGTGATCCTTCCAACCAACAGATCTTTATCACTTCTTTTTAATTTTATTTATTTATTTTATCAGTTGAAATTTCAATATGTGGATGTCCAGCCTTACTTTAACAATTTTACTGCATTATTATTAATAATAAATTATGGACAAAATTTAATCAAGTTTCCTGATTTGGGAAGCGGCCGAGACAACAAAGCACAACAATTAATTTAATTTACGGAAAGGAAAATTAGAATCTAGGTTCAAGAAAGTAAACTCAATGCTTTGATCAATTGATATAACCCACATTTGTCGTAAAAATTAATTTGTATTTTAAAAGATTGGATTATGAGCATAAACCACGAGTGCAGTGCGAGCTCGATGCCAATATATCTTTTTGTTTTTGTTTTTTTTTCGTATTTTGTTTAAGGAGGAAAAGAAAGAGAAAAGAAAAAAGAAAATCTTAAGTTCCAAATGAGTCTTTCGCACTCGCAAGGGCAAGACCCTCGTATAGTCGTATTCCTGTATTATTGAATTGGCGCGTGGCGTACTGAGAAAAAAAAAATTTGGTGCGTGGCGTTGTTTGTCCGTGACGCTTTTTGGCTTTCTGAGTCTGCGTGCGTACTGTCTCGGTCTTTCTTCCTCCACCTTACTCATCCTACCCTCCCCTTTTTCTTCACTTTTTACTGTTCATCTTCCTCTTCCTGACCATGAAAATTGAAACGCTTTTCTGTTTCAGAAACTCAGCTCCTACGTAATGGACGCCTCAGATCACTCCTTCAAAGTTCTACAGTTGATCTCCCACCCTCACTTTGTCTTTGTCGTCAAGCCTCAAGCTTGGTAATAATATAATTAGAATCTCTTTCTTTTTTGTTTATGAACTGCGAACAGATTACTCTTATTATTGGCCTTGTTTGTTTGCATCTCTGAGACTGGAGTGAAAATCTCTTTGGCACCTTTAAGCATTGTCAAAGTCATTGCCAGATTAAAGATCATTGCAAAAAATTAGTTTCAAGCATGTTAATTTGTCTGGAATCTGGATTTGAACAAATGTAAGGAAAATAGAGAGGGATTATTAGTTCCTCAGCTTCTCTTTGTTTTGATAAGTATTGCTTCCAGGGAAGGAAAACTTAAACTACGGTGTATGATGAAATGAAAATGCAATTTTTTCTTTTTTTAACCAGAAAAAAATTAATTGCAAGATTTCACCCGAAGGGTCATATGTCATTATATGTCAGTTTAGTTGACTCATATCTTTTTGTTATTGTTTTTGAATTCTGTGAAGTTCTCAGATTCGTTAGAACAGCAATTGGATATGGATTCCTGTGATTGCATAGACGCACAATGGCCCCCTGATGAGCTTCTGGTGAAATATCAGTACATCTCTGATGTCTTTATTGCCCTCGCCTATTTCTCCATTCCCTTGGAGCTTATATATTTTGTGCAAAAATCCTCTTTCTTCCCATATAGATGGGTGCTGATGCAGTTTGGTGCTTTTATTGTTCTTTGTGGAGCAACCCATTTCATAAATGTCTGGACATTCTATATGCACTCCAAAACTGTGGCTGTGGTCATGACTGTTGCAAAGGTTTCCTGTGCTGTTGTATCATGTGCTACTGCTTTAATGCTTGTTCATATTATTCCGGATTTACTAAGCGTCAAAACTCGGGAGCTGTTTCTCAAAAACAGGGCTGAAGAGCTTGACAGGGAGATGGGCCGTATGCTAACTCAGGAAGAAACAGGAAGGCATGTTAGAATGCTCACTCATGAAATTAGAAGCACATTGGACAGGCACACTATACTCAAAACCACTCTTGTTGAGCTGGGTAGGACTTTAGGCCTCCAGGAATGTGCTTTGTGGATGCCGTCCAGAACTGGTATGAACCTACAGCTTTCTCATACTCTGAACTATCAAATACAAGTTGGTTCTACTGTGCCAATAAACCTTCCTATAGTCAATGAAGTCTTCGCTAGTTCTCGAGCAATTCGTATACCATACACCTGCCCACTGGCCAGGATCAGACCGCTTGTCGGGAGATATGTTCCACCTGAGGTTGTTGCTCTGCGGGTACCCCTATTAAATCTTTCGAATTTCCAAATCAATGACTGGCCTGATCTCTCTGCCAAAAGCTACGCAATCATGGTTCTGATTCTACCCACAGATAGCACCAGAAAGTGGCGAGACCATGAACTGGAACTGGTTGATGTTGTTGCAGATCAGGTGTCTTCTATTGTTCGTTTGTTTTTTTCTTTTCATTGATCAGGCAAAAATAACTGATATATCACTTGTCTTCCTTCTGATTCCTACATGCATGCTAAAGGTTGTAACAAGAGTTTAGTTGTCCTCGGCCCTCTGCTAAGGTGGTCAAGAGTTGTAAGATTGGGTGGGCTAGGTCTTTTACAGTCATGAATTTAATTTTAATATGTCATACAGGTAGCTGTTGCTCTTTCACATGCTGCTATTCTGGAAGAGTCCATGCGAGCTCGTGATCAGCTCATGGAGCAGAACGTTGCTTTAGATTTAGCACGGAGAGAAGCAGAGATGGCAATCCATGCTCGCAATGATTTCCTTGCTGTCATGAACCATGAAATGAGGACACCAATGCATGCAATTATTGCACTGTCTTCTCTACTGTTAGAGACAGAACTGAATTCAGAACAAAGAGTTATGATAGAGACAGTACTAAAGAGTAGCAACCTTTTGGAAACACTTATTAATGACGTTCTTGATCTTTCTAGACTTGAAGATGGCAGCCTAGAGTTAGACATTAGAAAGTTTAACCTCCATGGAGTTTTCAGAGAGGTACATTTTCCGGATTAGGGCTTCAATGTGTACTTTCAAGTACTTTGGTTTTTGGTGAACTTACATGCAACCATTTTGAAACTGTAGGTAATCAATTTGATACAGCCCATCACATCTGTGAAGAAGTTGTCTATGAGTTTGATTCTATCCCCAGATCTACCTGTGTGTGCTGTTGGAGATGAGAATCGGCTTATGCAAACTATTCTAAATGTTGCTGGTAATGCTGTGAAGTTTACAAAGGAGGGATATATTTCAATTGTAGCATCTGTGGCAAAACCGGAATCTTCAAGAGACTGGCGACCACCTGAATTTTATCCAGCATCCACTGATGGCCACTTTTACCTGCGAGTTCAGGTCAATAACTGCATTTAATCTTTGTTTAGCTTGTGTTAGTATTGCATTTTGTATGCTGAGGTTGGAGGCATCTCTTAGTAAGTTGTACGTTATGGACAAGCGCAATTTTGATTGCATTGTAGTCCTATAAACTTCAACAATCTTGTAAATGTGATCTAATTGTATTCCCGGTGTTGCAGGTTAAGGATTCTGGCTGTGGTATTCTCCCACAAGATATTCCTCATCTTTTCACCAAATTTTCTCAACCCAGAAGTGGATCCAATCGAATAAATGATGGTGCTGGACTTGGACTTGCCATTTGTAGACGGTAGAGTAAAAAATTTCTGACTTTTCACCATTTCCATAGTGCAATTGAAAAAAGATATGAATCTGATAAAAAAAGAGTTCATAATAATAATTGGAGTTATCAAGTAGGGTGGTGCTTTTGGTTCATTTCTTCTTGTTCATTCAACTTGATCAACTTATTATGTGAAATGACTGGATTAGGTTTGTAAACACCATGGGAGGTCACATCTGGATTGAGAGTGAGGGCATTGACAAGGGGAGCATTGTTGCATTCATTGTCAAGCTTGGGATATGCGACAATCCTTGTGATACAACAGCAGCACACCAAATGGCACCTCAACCACTACCACAACCACAACCACAACCAAATTATGGCAGTGGAGATCTCATTGCGCACAGACCAACTTTCAGCTTTAGGGATGGTTGTTACACCTCATCAAATCCACGCTATCAAAGAAGTGTTTGAAAGCCGATGGTCGTACATGTTTGACATTTTAGCACGTTGGGGATTTAAGATGTTCGTCGAGGTTGTAAAACATTCTGGTTTTTTCCTTTTCTTCTTCAATTTGAGCTCAATAGCCCGAAAGGTCTCCCATTATGCCATCAAATATACAAGATAAGACGCATTAATGGGATTCAATGATACTTCTTAATTATTGCTAAATCCTCTTCTCTAAAACAAATCAGGTAGCTAAATCTGTTTAATCATGAACGCAACCATATCCATCAATCCACTTATTCACGGCCCTGTGCGACTCCGGGTTGAGAGAGGCCTACAGCCTCGCTTACCCCTCACAAAACAACAAAACAAATTGGAATGCATCGGACAACACCATGGAAATTAGAATACGAGCTTTTCATATGAAATCCCAAAACATAAGTAGGTAGATCGAGACCAAAACCGATCAATGGATAACAAAAGAAAACTAAGCTTCATACAGAGTACAAGGTTTTTGAAATCTCTTTTAACCAGGAAATAAAGTACTGAAGTCCAAAACAAACAAACAAACTTGCTCGTCAAAACTAATCTACCCAAGTAACTTGAGACAAATGGATCATCACGAGTCATCAATCCATCAGTTCTCATTGGACTCACTTCTTGGATTTCTTAGATCCCCTGCAAGTAAAGAGATTATTCAGTAAAATAAGCAAAAACGATATCTATACATTATACGATCTCAAAGAAGCATACTATACTTACTGTGTCGGTTGAGATGGGGCAACAGCAGCTGGCTCAGCAGCTGGCGGTGCTCTCTCTCCAGGTCCCTGAACACATTTTAGAATAATCAGAAATGCGGGTCTCAAAAGAAATGTGAATAAATTATAATCGTCAGTTTTTTTTGAGGTACACTAAAAACAGGATCAACCTCTTGAGCATGAGCCTCTTTTATTTTCAATAAAGTTGTAGGAAATGATACTATCAAATGTTTAAAAAAAGAACTAGAGCATCCCCTCACTTAATATATTATATAGGTTTTAACAATACCTGAGCCAAGCGTTCCTCCCTCCTAGCATGTTTCCTTTCCCTGCTAGCCTTGTTCTTTGCCCGCTTAGCCTCAAACTGATCAGACAGAGTCTTCTCTCTCGCCTTCTCAGCCTTTGACTTGTGGATACTCTCCATGAGGACTCTTTTATTCTTAAAAACATTACCCTTAACCTTCATGTACATGTCATGGTACATGTGTTTGTCAATCTTCTTTGATTCCCTGTACTTGCGAAGCAAACGCCTGAGCACACGCATCCTCCGCATCCACAGGATCTTGGTAGGAAGCCTTGCCTCCCTTGTACCCTTACGCTTACCTAAAAAATTCAGAAACCACTCATTAAAATGTATGATCAACCAAACAACAAAGAAGCCATTCAAAAGAGGCCTAGCCTCCCTTGTATCGCGACAAGCAAATACTAGTATATACCTACAAATGGGAATCTATGTGACATGCCCAAGAACTATAAGTATGATCAACGAAACAACAAAGCCTGCATCTCATATATAATCGACCTACCATGACCAGAGTGACGCCCCTTCCTCTTAGCCTCCTTCATGCGGCGTGCACGAGATCGAGAGTGGATCTTGGTTGGCTTCCTGATGATGAAACCATCCTTGACCAACTTCCGTATGTTTTGGCCTGCACTTGACAATCAAAGCCATCAAAAAACAATACAAGAACACCCAAACATAACCGTCGAACTAATTTCATAAGCATCTCATAAGGGCAAAATGCAAACAAAACACGATTAAAGCATTGAATGTCACTGTAAAAAAAACTTCCAATTTATATCCTAAACTTGAAATACGTCAAATACAATTCCGAGCACCAAATATTTTCAAGAACTACGCACGATGCAACTTAGAACTAATTTGGAGAAAATACAAAGTTAACAATCAAGCTAAAGCTCGATATAGATGTCCGCAGCTCATAGACTTAAACAATTCTCTATATTAAATGTAACACACATAAAACCAACCATCACTCAAACCTAGCTTCGGTCAGCTAACAGAATCCTAGAAACTTCAACATGATACTCAAATCACATCCGTACAACATAACTGTATTTGTTTCATATGGTTTCACGATATATCAGTAGCCATACGGTGTATAAACTCAGGTTTAGACAAAGACAAAATCAAACCAAACAGATGATATATCATGGCATACAGATCAAAAGAAACAAATGAAAAAATGAAAATGAAAAGAAAGAAAGGGAGCGTACGAGAATTGGCCATGGAGATGTCGCTGACTTCATTGGGGTCGAGCCAGACCTTGCCGCGACCACACTTGAGCACGCTCGCGGCGAGCCTCTTCTGGAGCTTGAGCGAAACCATGTCTTACCTCCTTTTGTTTTGGCAGCTGCTATGGCAGAGAGGCTGAGTTGTGTGGAAGAGACGGTTTTATATATCACACAGGTATGCGCTTTAGAGTTTAGACCTAGGGTTTCCAATCTGGGTGGTGAGGTGGGCCTTATTTGCTGCCGTAGGCCTTTGTTTCCTTTTGAATGGGCTTTGCTGCATTGTTTCAGTTGGGCTTTGTAGCTGGTAGTCCAGCCCAACAATACAGCAATTGGGTTAGTCTTAGCTGGTTTTTTTTATTTTTTATTTTAGATAGCTTATCCAAAGAGCTTTTTATCTTTATCTTTATTTATTTTGGTTATGGTTGAGTTTATTTCCTTAATGAATAACATTATCCTTTATGCATATGTAGGTTATGTCAGTTGGTCAAAGTATGGCGCTTTGGAGGACCTACACAAGGTTATATGTGGGTGGCCGCCTCCACAATATATTTTTTTTTCAAGCTTAAGGTACTTAATCTCTACATTAGAATAGTTATAATATCATTTTGTAGGGAAAACAAAAAAACAACAACAAATTAAGTTCTTTATGGCTCACAACAGTGACATCCATCCATTGACCGTATAAGTCATCACTTGTATGATATTGATTTGGTTAAGAAGCTCCCAATTGTGAGTGGGATTAGTTGGCCTAAACAACAATAGAAAGTTTGTTAAATGGAAACATATATCCCAGCTCAAAGTGACCCATTGAAACTTGAAATGCCTGAATGCTGCCGGTGACGATGCTGGCCAGGATCATATTTTGCAGTGCAGTCCTGTTGGCAACCCTGGCAGTAATTCTGCTGGCTTTGTTTTCACCACTACCTAAAAGAAAGCCATCACCGCCATGGCTGGACCTCTCCTTGTACATCCAGCAACCACAAAGTCCTAATATTATTGATGCAACAAGCTCCAATAATAATAATGATCATGTGGCACAATCTTCCCAATCAGACGGGGGAGGAGCATTCATCTTCCACCGCATGCTCACAGAGGGACCCGAGAACACTTCTCGGGTGGTGGGGAAAGCGCAAGGGTTCATTATCCCAGTAGAGCAGTTTGCAAACTCAGGTTTCAACATAATCTATCTCACCTTTCACACGCCTCAGTATTCAGGTAGCCTAAGCGTTGAGGCCAAGCATGTCTCCCCGAAAGACACCGAAGAGCTTTCTGTGATGGGTGGAACGGGGTCGTTTGCTTTTGCAAGAGGACTTGCTGTTTTTGCTCAGAGTATCCATGGTGATGCCACTTATCATGTAAAGTTGCAGCTTAGTTTTCCTAATAATCAGTCTCGGACGACCACAATTCCGGGATGATCATGATGCACTGGTTTTGTCTGTAATATGTTACTTAATTGATAATAATTCTTTGTTTTTAAAAATGCAAGTAATGAATTTACATGTTCCTTCCATTTTCATGTATTTTCAGCAACATGAGGAGTTGTTATATGGAAACGAGTGTTCATCAACGGAACAAAAATTTATTGGTTGGTTGGGCTTGGGTTACAACTAGAGCCCAGTCCTTATCAAATTGTGATAGCCCAATCCAGAGTTTAAAATCCTGACCAATCCTCTAAGGTGGAAGAAGTCCAGGCCCAATGATGAAAAAGGAAAGGCCCAGTCAACCCGTCACGTGTTCATCGACCCTGAAACAGTAAGTGTAGTACAAGAAAACATAAGAAGTACAAGTTTTTGAGTGAGAAGGCAGAATATCTGTAGGCGCCCACCGGCCACACCTCAGTGACTCAGTCGCTGTATTGGTCATAGCCTAGGAAATATCGAAACTGGAAATTGGAAACCAGCAGCGCCGCTGGGATTAGAAACCGGCTGCGAAGCCAAGCGAATTGCTTGCCAATTTTACATCTGCATTCACCTAACCTAGCTCACACCACGTCGCTTTCTCTCTCCTTTCACAATAGAAAGGAAAAAATAATACCATATTTTATCTTCTTTTTTTTTCTCCAAAAAAATTGGTGGATGGAAAGATTGCTCCCCGCATATCACACGCACATTTATATATCGCAGTTAGAAAATTGGGATTTACATGAACTTATTTCTTTTTTTATAAATGTTTTCTTTTGATAAATATATTTAAAAAAATTAATTATATTTTAATTATGATAAAATGGCACTCCTGAAATGAAAGTGCACCATGAACGATCCTGTTGAAGTTAGAACAATAACAAGAAAAAAACATAAGAAACGAGGATGACAACAATAAACAAATTGAAACATTTTGTCCAGAGTTACATTTGGATTTGGGTACAAAAACATAAAAAAGAAGCAGGTTTTATAACTAGGCACAATTTAAATAAATGAAACAACGCCTCTAATCGTAATTAATCAGCAACAGTCAATAATGATCAAAATACCCCAACCAAATGACCAAATTTACAACAACATTAATTTACAGAGCAGAAACGCCTTCGTCATCGAAGCTCCAGAGATCACCAACCATGCCTTCCTGAGCTGGAGGATGCTGGGTAGCTGTGGACTGCCCGTCCAGATAGGGAATCTGATAGAATTTCATCATGTTCTCGTACGCCATTAGTTCCTCAGAAAGCTTTTGCACTTCGTTCTCTTCCATCATTGCAATCGCATCCTTATTCAATATCCCTTCTTTCGTTTCCTCTGCCTCTTTCACCTCAGCTTCACCATAACAACAGCTGCTCCCATTCTGATTGCAACCCAGTAGCCCCGCCGTCGAAGAGTAAGCGCCATCTGAACCAGACCCGGAGTTTTCTTCCCCGGAAATAACAGTTGGGTCTGTGTTCACAAGATTCATGGAGTTCAACCCCTTGGAATTGGAATTGGAATTGGAGGAAATTGTTGCAATCTGGTTTAGATCATAGCCAAATCCCAAATTAAAGCTTTTTGGCATATGACTATTACTCAAATTCTCGCTACTGGTTTGAAACAGAGGAGGAGCATGGGGGTTTCTCAGATAGGTTTGGGTGGGAATGTCGTCGTCTTCGTTAGGGAAATTGACCTTGGCTTTCTTACCGCGGATTTTGCGAGCCTCCCTATCGTAAGCTCTGGCTGCCTCTTCAGGGGTGTTGAACGTACCAAGCCAAACTCGAACCCCTTTTCTGGGATCACGAATCTCCGCGGCCCATTTGCCCCACGGACGCTGCCTGATGCCTCGGTAGAGGTTCTTCCTCGCCCTCTTGGGGGGCTTCTCTTCTTGCCAGTTACCTGTTTGTAAAAATGCCAGGCTCAGAACCCAGAAGGATTTAGCTTCACAGAAAAATAAGATAGGGGAGAAAGAAGACCGTACCTGAAGTGGGCTGGGCTCTTTTGCGTGGGGATGAGTCGGTACGAGTGAGTGGGCTGGGATTGGAGTCGAAGAAATTGTCGGGATCGAGCTTAGCGAAGGGAGAATTGGGCCATATGTCGGAGGCGGTGACACGAAGGCCGCGGTTGCGAGGGATGAGATCGGCGAGTATAGCACCGCCACACATTCCTGGACTTGAAGAAACTTATGTGTATGTATGTATGATGAGACTCAGAGACAAATTTAGAAGATGTGAAGAAAACTGAGAAAGGGTTTTAGGAGGATGGACACATGAGTAAGAAATGAAGAGAAATGAGGGAGGAGGGAGGGGGTTTTGTACTGAGAGAGAATTGGCAAATGCACTGCTAGATATATGTCTTTATCTGGAACCTTCCTCTGATTTACCTACCCCTTTTTATTAATTTCTTACCATAGTCTTTATCGGGCATTGCGTGGCTGGCAAGGCTATCAGCACCCAACTCTCGTTGAGTCTCTACTATTTGTAACGCGTGACACTTTGAAAAAAGCTGTGATGATCAACGTGACACTTTGGAAAAAAGCTTTAATAAAAGAAGAGGGGACCGATTCTAATTTATAATGAGAAATATGCATTTGTACGTAACTCAAGTAGTTAAGTGTATTTTTTCTACACTCGAGGTCCTAAGTTAATTCTTATTTTCAATTGTATGGAAAAAAAAATTGTATTGAGTAATTTTTCTATGGTGGGCCTTACCTTATATGTTTATTTAATGCATCTGTGAAAAAAGCAATTTAGTAATTTTAATAAACCGAGCAAGGGAATTTGTTCTTCTTCTTTTTTTGGGGTCATAATTGAACAAGGGAATTAGTACTTAGCAATGTTAGCAACTTGGCAATAAAGGAATTAATAAAAAAAATAATGGGACAATCGCTACAACCCGATTATTGTATATAAATGAACCTTTTGTCAAACCCACCACAAAAAAAGGTTAGAGCGCACATCATAGTTGAGTAACATGTTGCAAGTGGAAGAGCAATTCCAAAACAGGTGGTAGTATACCAGTATTGTTGGGTAACAATGTCGAACGATTTTACATTTGTTTACTCCTAACCTAAACAACTTTGCTTTACTCCAACACCTCAGTGCTGCATACCTCGCAAGTTGGTAGGTAATTAACGTAAGCGAGATGCGATGCTAGAGTGAGCGATGCAAGCTAAACTTGTTTACAAACCGCCAATTAAGCCCATGGTGTGTAATGTATGTGTGTGTGTGTGTATAACATGCTGGTTGACAAACAAGGGAAGGGAAGAGTTCAAAGCCGGGTGTTGTGTTTACTTTGAATTGAAATGTAAAAGAAAACTAGGTAGCCAGCTGACGACTAGCTGCATATCGACTGTCAATTTTGTAATATCTTAATACGCACCTCTTTCGTACTCATGTCGTCTACTGCAATATATGGCTTCTCCTCCTCCCACCCAAAAAAAAAGGAGAAGAAAAGAAGCAAAAGCCCATCATAACACAAAGTCTCTGAGCCCAAACCCATAACAGGCATGAGGTTGGCCCAGAACCGAAGCGGCAAACACCCACCAGCCACCGCCCAAGTTACTCTCAATGCCAGCACAGTTTGGTTGGGGATTTCTTTACCAACGTGCACCCAACCCATGTAAACTCTGTGCAGTGCGCAGCACATATTTGATCAATCAATTAATTTGGATTCTGGATATCACAAACTTGAACCATTCCTCTGGCCACAAATACTAAAAAAGAAAAGAAAACTTGAGCCACTTTTCCTATATAAGAAAACTCTAGCATTGGCATTGGCATTAGCATTAGCATAAGCATACATTGGTTACAAGAGTTGTAATAATGGCTCTCACCCGTTTCCTATATGCCACCTCTATGCTTCTCTTGACACTTCTAGTCATTGCCTCTGCTTCTGATTATGGCTCTGCTCCCAAGCCAAAGGTTGATGATCATGACACTCCAAAACCACCAAAGGTTGATGATCATGACACTCCAAAGCAGCCAAAGGTTGATGGGCATCCAAAGCTACCAAAGGTTGAAAAGCCAAAGCCACAAGAAGTATATGCAAAGCAACTGCCTCACATAATTGGTATTCAAGGGCTTGTTTTGTGCAAATCAGGCCTTAAAAGCTTCCCCATTAAAGGTATATATAGTCTCCAATTCTAATTCTATGTTAAGTAATCACCAGTTATATCTTAAATCAGTGAGTGCTGATCATAATGTTCTGTTGGGTTGGAATATTAATTGTAGGAGCTGTGGCAAGGATAACATGTCTGGCTGAAGATGAATACGGCTACGAGACCGCCCCTTTCTCCATACTGAGTGGAGCCACTGATGCAAAGGGTTACTTCTTCTCAACATTGTCACCTTCAGAGCTTCAAGATAAGTGGAAGCTCACAGAATGCAAGGCCTTCCTTGATTATTCTCCCTTTCAATACTGCCAAGTCCCTACCGATGTTAACCATGGAATTACTGGTCATCTGCTTGCTTCTTATCGCATCCTTAACACCAAGAACATCAAGTTGTACTCTGTGGGACCCTTCTTCTACACCTCTGAGACTGAACCTAAATCAACCCCTAATAATGGCTATTAATTCAATTGATTGATTCTTCATTGTTGTTGCTTTGCTTGCTTTATTTTTTTTTATTGGTGGTAAGAGGTTTTAGCTCTGCCATTTTGGGATTATTAATTTGTAATAAGGTGCTTTGCTTTGCTTGCTCTGTTTTTTCCTTTTGTTTTTTCATAATACAACAATACGTTTATCATTTCATAAGCTTTTGAATTCCCATAATGAACCTCCTCTTTTCTTCAATTGGACATATGTACTTCCCATAATCTTGTTGAAGAATAGACACACAGATCGAGTTCTTCTTCCAAAATTTTACTCAAATGAGGTTGTCAAGCGACATGTTTTTCCATCCTTCTATCAATATATAATTGCTTGAGATGCATTTCTTGTGTGAATATAGCCACTGAAAAACACATCTCACACATTTTTGGAGGCTTAAATGTTGTTATTTTTTACCCATTCAACTAATTTTGTCCCTCTGTTTCAATTTGATTACTTTTGTCTATGTGTTTTACTTCATTACTTAATATACTTCATTCCTCTCAATTACCATTTGTTGAAACTTTCCAGCCAATATGGTAGATGTGTTTTACTCCATTAGCCAACATAGTCATTTCGTTCTATTGAAGTCAATACATTACAAATCATCTAAAATTACTCACTTCCTGAAACTATGGTCAAATCCCACATTGTTCTCTGTAAATTTAATAAAAGTAAAGTACAATAATTGTATAAAAGAAATTAAAATACAATATTGACTACATTGACTGCCTAACTGAGTAATACACATGCAGTTTTGAAGAAAAATGAATTAATATCTCCTCCCTTGTCCTTCCTGGCTTCCTCAACTGGCCATGGCACTCCGACTCAGGCCAATGCCATAACCAGTATTTGGAAGAGAATACTTGTAATTGTAATATTGCTAAATGCATGGAATAAGAGGGTCGTGGATGCATGAACATGAACGACGACGGCCTGAATTTTTTATCGCCCAAGTTGTAATGATTTTCAAGCATTATCTAAACAAAATCTGGTTTCTATGTAAAATACTCCAAACCACCTCAACAAGCTACATTCATTGCATCCAAAAACGACGTGGCTTATATTATACATATATATATATGCTTGATGTATTATCTATCATGTAACCTATGTCGATCGTGCAACCAAGTCAGTTCCTGTAATTCATTTTCCCTTTATATATATATATGTATATGGACCATGGTGATGCTCTCTATCCATATCTATCTTATTTAGCAAGCGTACCTCAAAAGTCGTTGACAATAATCTCAATGGCTTTTAACCGTTTCTTCTCTGCAACCTCTTTGCTAGTCTTGGCACTAGTAGCAGTGCTGATTACGCCTTCTTCTGCTGCTAGCAATATTCACTATGATGAGATGAACCTACAATCAACCAAATCCATTTTGGGCATTCAAGGTCTTGTTTATTGCAAATCAGGCCCTAAAGTCATCCCTCTCGAAGGTACGTATTTTCATTAAATTCTATGAAAGTCACTCGCTTAAAAAAGTATATATAAAAGTATTGATTGAATGCATCCCTTAATTAATTTCCGACCCGAATTCTGAGTTAACCCATCCATCTCCATGGACCGTGCATGCAGGGTCGGTGGCCAGGATAACATGTGAGGCAGCGGACGAATATGGGTTGGAAAGTTCACCCATCACCATCTTGAGCGATGCAACGGATGCCAAGGGTTATTTCTTTGCAACACTTTCTCCTTATGAGATTGAAAATCACAAGAAGCTCAATCAGTGCAGGGCCTTTCTCGAACTCTCTCCATTGGAGTCTTGTAACGTTCCCACAGACTTGAACAATGGAATAAGTGGTGCTGTGCTTGCTTCATATCGTCTCCTCCACGACAAGAACATAAGGCTTTACACTGTAGGGCCTTTCACGTTCACATCATCCTAATAATATCAATGGAATAAGTGGAGCTGGGTTCGCAGCCCACGAAACAAGAAGAAGAACAAATGTAACAAGCCTCATTTGTATTAATCTTTGTTATTATTATAATTTTACTGCTTCATTGGGCTCATAATGGGATTGAGCCCGATATACTTGACTTGAACCACAAGACAGAGCCCGTGATTCTTTGAATTTGACATCACCGGAATCTTCTTGATCGTACCTATTAACTCCTTCACAGAGTCATACCGACTCAACTCTCACTCTCCTATTCTATCACTCACCAAACAAAGATATCGTAATTATTAAAAACCTTTGGTTTTCTCACGCCTTTTCTTCCTCCCAATCCCAAAATAAAGATGTATAGATATTACCATCATTATATTAATTAATTAATTAAATAAACCCAGAGAAAGCATGGCAACAGAAGAAGAAAGACATATGTAAAACAATACAAAAGACGAGCAGACGAGGCAGACAATTTCAATTAGAATTGGTGGTGGTGGTGGTATTGGAGGGGAGCCTTGGCTATGGCACGTTTGGTAGCAACCTTCTTCACCATCAACGAAATTAGAGAAGGCCGCCTTGTCAATATGGAAAACGACTGCTTCACAAAGGATGATGATGACGAGGGAACCGCACAACGCCAGTATGTTCCTTACACAATTCATGTTTGTTTGTTTATTATGGGCTAAGTTTAGTTTTTTTCTGATGGCTATGCTTTAATTTACAGAGGATCAAGTGATGAAACTTCAAAGACTATGCCTGCCCAAATTGAGCCCTACCAGATGGTAATAATCCAATCCAATCCAATCCAATCCTATCCTATCCTATCCTATCCTATAATATCCCTCCCTTCCTATGACCACTCTAGTTAGTTGCACATCAGGATTTATAGTATCTCTATAAATCAATGAAAATAACGAGACATCCTCAGTATGTAAACGCCAATGAAGAGAATCTCCTCACCCATAATGACTTGGAAAAACCAAGTATTGCAAGTGCAGCCTTGTTGCCAGCAGCGCATGGCAATGAACATCTTTTTCTAAGTAAAGCAAACGTGGGCTAGTGAAGACTAACATGGATAACAACTGCTCCAAAGAGCATGTTTTAGAGAGAGTCGGTGATGGAGGCATGAGGGAGTTGCCAGAGAACTCATCGCCAAAACTAGAGGAAACAAACGAAGGCCTAGAGAAGTTGGAGAAAGAAGACAAAACAGTCCAAACAGAAGAGCTCGGCAGGGACAGTAATCTAACAAGAACGAGGAGGTTGTTGAACAAGAAGGAAGGGGAGAAAGAGGAGCCCTTGATGGAATACATTGCTAATGATCGTGATTTTGCCGTTGTATAATTATGTTTTTGATCCTGACCATTCTTTCTTTCATTGATGATCAGTGAAGCAACAGAGAAAATTTAAGTCCACAAACAGTTTATCTTTGTTACTTGTTTACGATTGAACGTTAAACAATGACTCCAAAGCAACCCAATCGCATTAGGCGACGCAAATACCAAGGCAGTTCAACATTTAAAAAATAATAGTTAAAACGAAGAGAAAAAAGATACGAGAACACTGCACCACAGAAAAAAGAATTATGTATAGCAAGATTCGTACAACCAACCACTCTGTTTCTTGCATAGCTTTTTGTCATTTTCTGTCGTCTCCTCTCCTCTCTCACAATTTTCTTTACAAAGTGTACATACTAAAGCCTAAGTATCCACTCCGTTTCCTATATACAGTACTAGTACCCTGAATTTAGACCTTGCTCATTCTCATGCTGCCAGCTTATTTGGCCCTATAGTCTCCAACAAATAGATGAAAAGAAAACTACGGAGCTAATTAAACAAAAATCTTTCCTTTTTTTATTATCAAAACATGGCGGAATTTCAGTATTTCTGTAGGCAAAACTTCATACCCATGCCTGTATGCAACGGATGGATGGGTGGATTGAGCTTTAACGGCTCCATGAATTAGCATTCAAGATATCGGGGATTGTCCACTGAGCTAGGCCAGCTGCAACCCGTAGACCATCCCAAGACACCTAGAATTACATCAATGCTTAAGCATGCCCTAACCTGGGAGGGGAGAAAAATCTCATGTCAGGACAGAAAAATTCACCAAGTCATACAATCAGGGTTCAGAGATAATGTCTGCAAAATTACCAAACTTTCCGCGCTTCCTTCAACATGAAATAACATGACAGCCATTCCCCTTTCCTTGTCGATCTCAGCCTGGTCATTGATGGTAAAGGTGTTACGGACATAGAAGAGAGGGGAGATATATAAAAAGCAGAAATTACTAGCTCCAACCACTCACCACACAAGAACAAATAGTAATGCCCACAGCTGACAGTGCTGTTGTAACCTCAGCCATCATACCTGAAATTATTGTTTTAAAGTTTAAAAAGGTCCAACAAGTAGATTGAAAAGATTTTTTACTAGTGTCACTTATGTTTTAACCTCCAGACATAACAAAAGGAAATCTAAAAACGATTAGTTCAATAAAAGCTGTACCTTTTCGATCTACGGAAACCACACAAAACCATTGTATGGAGTGCCCTTCAATACCATGCCAAGAGGCAACCTTGCTGGCCTGCCAACTTTCTAAACTGGGCAAGGCTTCCTTGCACATTGGAATATTAGCTTGTAACATTCTGGCAACACCATTTCCTTGTGACAACATCTCCCCTTCCGCCTTCAAACTTACATGGTGGACATTCTTGTTGTGTTTTCCATTCACCTTGGAAACCCCAGCACTTCCATTTCTAATTTGAAAGGGATCTTCAGAACTTCGTTCTGGCAATGACAGTTCTACAACATTCACCATCATTTTCTCCCATATAGGTTTGTATCCTTTGGAGGCTTTTTGGAGCTCTTCTTCTTCACTCTCTTCTTCAGAATCAGCAATGAAGTCATTTACTTTGTCTGCTGTTATTTCAGCAGCAGACAGGGCAGCTTGCTCCCTTAAGAACTACAGTCATGATGAAAGGTTTACTATTAGAGCACAGCAGAAGTAAAAAGGAAAAGTAAAATTAAATCATAATCCAACCAACACAAGCTACCTTCATAATTTTGTGTCTGGCACTACGAGTTTTTGCATGTTGCAGCCATTGCTTGTGCCTCTGAAAAGCTGATTTTCCGGTAAGTGACTGGGGAAAGAGATAAAGAAAAATATGAGCCCTAAACGCACAAGCATGAGATAACTAAATGATGAGCATGTCAAATTACATGGGAATTACTATAAATAACTCCTATAGAAGTCTGTACAAATTAGAATTCTATCCATAAAAAGACCTGCCTAATGATCAAACCTAGAACGTATCAAATTTTTGTTCTTCCAAATAATTGAGACCTAGAGCTGTTTCATAGCCACAATTTACGGAATCATAAATTGGGTATCAAATACCAATTGCTACTTTTTTAACCTTGACGAATTGAGCTTGAAATAATTAGCAGCTACTGCTGAATTCAGCTTAGACTATTCCAAATTTTGCCATATAATGTGTGCGCGCTAAAATTTTGTACATCTTATAGTATACATTTAAAGAAGGCAAAGATAGATAACGGTTGACAAATACTGACATTATAAGTGATTATCTCGACAACTTCTGCATTTGCAAGTACATGCATAGGAGAAACAAGATTGCCATTGACCTGCAACAAATCGAAGTTCATCCTAGTTTTAATTCTATAGAATGAAACTAGGAATTTAGAATTGAAAAAGAATCAGTCAAACGTAAGGAAAGTACCTTAGCTGCTACCATTTTGTTGCCAATTTCAGTGTGTATCATATAAGCATAGTCAATAACAGTTGCTCCTTTAGGAAGATTTTTTATCTGTACATATTGTAAAAATATCTATCAACATAATCAAGCATAATTTTCTTGTATGTAAAGATTTATGTTCTTCTTATCCAATTAAATATAACAACAATCCCAATTATGAAGCAATCCAATTTCTTACCTCTCCCCTTGGCGTAAACACAAACACACGACTGCCTAATAGATCTCTAGTTATAGTTTCTACAAATTCTCGAGAGCTCATGTTGCCAACAAATTCCTCTTGCCACTCTCTGATTGCATTGAGCCAGCCAATCTGGAGGAAACAAGAGACTTGATCCATGAAATTAGAATCAAAGTCATGGGACATGAAAGGGGTCTGCCAAGAACTCCCCCCAAGGACAACTAATAACGAATCAAAAAATAGCAATGAATACAGGTACAATACCCTGAGTGCAATGTTTGCATTGTTAAGGCAGACAGTCTTCCCTCTCGAACTTCTACCATAAGGGATAGTACGCCCAACAAAACCAGTAACAAAGCCTCTCCCACTATAATGAGAAGCAATGCCTCTCTGAGCTATCAGATCCATCTCTTCTGTTCTTATCTGCCCAAACAGAAAGCCACTGATTTAAATGAACTCCGAAATAACTGAAGTTACCCAATATCAACTTTGGAAAATATGAACATGCTCAAAAAGAGCATCTGATAATACCTGCACTTCTAGCCGCAACATGCTCTCATACAAGAAAGGAATTACAGTTGTATGGAGACTCTGATAGCCATTCGGTTTTGGGGTGGCAATATAATCTTTCATCTGCCAGAAAAATAAACAACTACTTGTAAATTTACAAATAACTTCTGCTGATGCTTAACTTGTAAGAGTTCAAAGAAATACGCACCGTTCGAGGAATAGGGGTCCAGATTCCATGAACCAGCCCAAGAACATGGTAGCAGATCTGCAGAGAAAACAACAATAAAATGAAACATATTAGTACAGAGTCAGCAAAGAATTCCCTATCTCCTGGAACAAGAAAGGATATACCTGCTGTGGTGTGCACAAAGGCCCAACTCCAAGAGATGGCTTTGGTTTGATTACAATTCGGAGCTGGTAATAACGAAGAAAAGCTTTAAGTCAATGAAGAAATATGAATCATCATTAAGTGTCCTCAACAAAAGTTGAAGGTTAATTGAAGGTAAATATCAGAACAAACCTGTGCAATTTGATTGACCTCATTAATTGAACCTTTAGATTTGAGCACAGCTTTATAGATACTGCAAGCGAACATAAGAACTGTCAATGTTAGCCTGAGAAATAGTCCTCATAATAACTGTTGAAAATAGACCATGAGAAAAACTAACTACTGAAATATGAAGCAGAAATTCTGATTTAGCAGACAAAGCATGACACACTAAGCTTGAAAGTAACATCATCTCATTACAAGGGTTACAAGAGGGATAGGTGGTCACGTTCCATGCCACCTTAAATCTCTTTGAATAATGTCCTTGTATTTCTTGTGCCAGATAACAAAACAGTATTTAAAGCATATAATCAAGTCAGAAAGAATAATGCTTGTAATGAGTTTAGACATACCAAGCAGGCTTCAAAATGAATGAGAAATGTAATAGGAGTTATGGTCTGACCTGTATGGTTCCTTACATACAACGCGAGCTTCAGTTTCAACGGTCACGAGCTCTAAGAACTCATCATCCTCAATCTTCTTCATCAAAATTTTGTTTGCCTAGCACAAAGAACTAAGGTTTGATGAGCAAACGTCACTGATAACACAGTCCTGGAAAGATAAACTGAGAACTTCTATTGGATGCCAAAACAGTAACTATGAAATAGATAATCTTCCTTAAGCATTATGTAGACCTTGTTTAACGAATTAATGCATTACCTCCACAAGTTCTCTCTCATGTTCTTTGTAGAGGTCTGCAACTCTTCTCTTGATCTTAGCATAATCTTCAGCGTTTGTGTACATGAAGGAAAGGTTTTCAAGTTCCAACTGCAATATGGTATCAGCGCATTATTAGACTACAAATTAACAGATGCATCATATATGAAAATAAAATATGATTTAAAACTTTATCACTATAAATTATCTCAGTCATCATAAGCTTGAAATTCAACTGTGAAACCCCTCGGCCCAAGACAAGAATAACCTTTTTGTCTTGTCTAAAGTATACCTTAGGATGTAAATTTAAGTCACAACTCAATGACATTTCAAATTTCAGAATGTGACGACTTGCGATCAGAAACTACTTATTTAAGCTACAATCAATCATAATATAGGTCCAAGGGTGCCATTATAGTGCAACATTTGAAAACTGAAAAATTGAGAATTGAAAAGCATAAATGTGTACCTTGATTTGGTACATCCCGAGCAACTTTGCTAGTGGAGCAAAGACCTGCAATGTCTCACGTGCAATGCTGGACTGGACACAACAAAACAACAAACTGTGTCAGGCTATCAGCTAGCTGCTTATAACCAATGAACTTTAAACAGACAACACATCACCTGCTTATGTGGGGGCATGTGTGAAAGAGTACGCATGTTATGTAATCTGTCAGCTAATTTGACGATGATAACTCGAACCTGGGGCAACAACTAATTTAGTTTCCGAATAATTTCATCTACACACAACATTTAGAAGCATGATAATAAATAGATCCACCTCCTCTGTCATGGCTAGAAGCATCTGCCGTAGGTCATCTGCTTTTACATCTTGTACAGAATCCTGCTCGCTCTTACATTTCAATTTTCCCAGCTTTGACACCTAAACACAAGGAGAAGGACATTGAAGTACTGCATGCCGAATTAATTGGGAGGTTTTTGAAACATTAAAAGAGCTATTTAAAACATAAAAGCAGAAAGTTATTAATACTAGACACATTAAGGCACGGCACCTTAGTTTCTCCTTCTACAATATGGCGCACAGTTGCACCAAACTCCTCCTCTATCCTTTCGAAAGTAACAACATTGGTATCCTCGACTGTATCGTGTAGTAATCCAGAAGCAATGGACTCCCAATCCAACTCCTAGGACAACAGATACAGTCAGAATCAATTGAAATATGGGAATAAACATATAGAAAGAGGCCTACTTCTAACTTTGCAAGACTCACAAGTTCCCCTAAAATACGTGCAACTTCGACTGGATGAATGATGAAGGGCTCTCCACTGCGCCTTTTCTGACCATCATGGGCCTCAAAAGCCAGCTACACAACCAAAAACTAATGTTATATACAATCACCAATCTTATTCAATGGACTTTGAAGACAAGAAACTAAAATTTCTTGTTAGGCATATAGCTGACCTTAAGAGCATTGTGGACAAGTTCCAGTTCTTTGGGTGAGAGGTATGAGATAGTCGGCTTAAGATCCTGGGATAATCAGATTAAAGATAACATAATTCACACCATAAATATCTCTGTTGGAAAAACACTATCATTCTCATTAATGCGTACTTAGGCAATAATCAAAGTTTACCTCCCACAACTTTTCAGGAGAAACCTCATTCAAGGCATCTGAAGACAAAGATGAAGAACACTGCAGATGCCATCTCTTACAAGCAACATTAAGCAAACCTGATTTAAAAAGTCTTCCAAGAACTACAAAGTCTGAAGTTTCGGCAGAATACCAACCTCCTTTGTTAGAGGGTTCACATCTCTGTAAAGAGTACATTATCAAACAGATTCCATGATTAATAACCATGCAAGATTGTTGTGCGAACAACATACCACTAACACTATAAGGGAGGCAGTTCAAAAATTTACAGAGTTGCATCAGTAAGATTCTTGAAAAGAAAACTATCTACTTGGTGATACTATGCTTATTTTAATAGCTGCATTGATATGGTGCACCATTCTATCCATTTATGGAACTTGAATGCTGCCTAGGGACTAAGCCAACATGCCAGGATGTAAGTAGCAATACTTGCACCCAAAATCAAGATAAGCCGAAACTATCTCTAATCAAGAAACTTGGTTTGGTTTTCAATCAGTGGCAGAAAGTAAATCCATAATACATAAAGAACTTACATTATTAATCCGGTTTCTTCTTCCATTTCGTGCATACGGCAACCACGAACACTGAGGAGGATGAGCTGTGCTCGCAAGAAACCCCGTCAAGACTCTTGGAGCTTTCCACGCACATGAGAGCACGCTACAGTCATATCTCCCACTCCCGTCCCCTTTCGACAGCTTACATACGTTCACGCATTCTAAAGAAACTGCAACAATTCACACATTCCGAAATCAACTAGTGAAATTTAATTCCCTAATGCCCTGTTTGGATGCTCGGAAAACCAGTACAAAATAATTCGAGAATTTCAGGTTCACGTTCTTGCAATTTGCAAATCAAAGGAAAACAAAAACAAAAAATGGAAAGTGCAGTGTCCGTACTAGGCTAAGTTCACTAGGGTTTGGTTAAACCAAGTCCAATACAAGAGAATCCAAAATTCATCAGTGTCCTACATTTTCTGAGTAGGCAACGAAGAAGCGAGCAGAGATACATACCTGACATGGAAGGAGCGGAAGCCATTTGTAACAGAAGAGAGCAATCTCATTGAATCGAACTGAGCATTAAACGACACAGACGAAGGACACAACGCAGAAGGAAGAAAGCAGATTGGCAACTGATTGCAGCCAACCAAAATTCAAGCGCGCGCGTTTGATAAGATAGAGAGGGTGTTGCTCCACTGAGAATCGGAGAGGGGTATGCGGTGTCCGCAAAACGTTCGGTTTCGGACAAATAAGCGACGGACTGAAACTAAGAATTTGGCAACAGATAATTTAGAGAGAGAGAGAGGGAGGGATATCGAGGAGCTTAGCCAAGGCCACACAAATGCCGTTTGATAAAGATATTTTCTTTTTCTGATTTTGAATTGTTTTTTCTTTATGAGCGATTTTAAGCGACATGCTATGGTGTGGAGAGAACAGATTTGGACTTTAAGCCATCATGACCACATGATGACACGCCATAATTTAGGATGCAAGCGAAAACGCTCTTAAGCACTTTAACTACAGTTAATCTACGATTTTGTATGTTAATTTGAAAATTATGCCCTTTATCTTTTGTAAAGTTGCTATTAAGCCCCGAGCAATACGTCCTGGAATTTCTCTACGGAACTCGAATTTGGATGTCTAAAGGGAAGCTAACTATTCTAGTCAACTGACCTAACACATGTATGCGTGTACCAATTCTAATACAGCTAACAAAGCGCTTTATTTGGTCATTATTGATTTTATGTTAAATTAATTTGTTAGTCATTTGATACTTCGAAATTTCTTTGGTGATTTTAAGACTCTCCTAAAATACTATAATCAAAATATTTTTTATGATTAACATATTTATTACTATAATTAACCAAATGTACTTAATTACCATAGTCTACAATATCGATAATATCGGCGAAATATTAAGGATATTATTGTTTTTTTGGGTCAATAATATTTTGGAATGTATCCATACACATATCGTATAAATATCAGTAATATTGGAAAATATCGATATCGATAATATCTCTCACACTTCAACAATATTTGGCCAAAATATCGCTATAATATTGATAATTTTGAGATGATGAAGACAATGAAAATTTTGAATAGTTATTTACACTAACACCTCATAAGGTTTCTTGTGTTTTCACAAAACCCCATCATCTAAAAAATTACACGAACACCCCATGAGGTTTCAGTTTGTTTTCATGAAACCCCTTTTTGTTGATTATTTGTCAAAAAATTGATGATTTTATTTATAAAAATAATTTGTGCAAATGACAAAATTAACATAAATGAAGTATATGTAATCTAATCTCAAAGGCCAGCTTTGTCATTTGGATAAATTTTTTTGTATAAAATTATTAATCTTTGGATGAAAAAATGAAAAGGAGTTTTGTGAAAATAATTTAAAACCTCAGTGGGTGTTCTTATAATATCTAAAACCTCGAGGAGTTTTGTGAAAAAACTGAAAACCTTAAGAGGTGTTAGTGTAAATAACTCAAATTTGAACTTTATAGAAACTCTACGTGGTACTAAGTCACTCATGTATTTTACCATGTAATGTGTAAAGTGTAAAATATTATAGTAAATCATTATAAATAAATGATTATGGTGTGTTTAATATTTTTTTTCATTAATTACTATATATTTTATACACTCACAATGTTTGTCAACTCGTTATATAATCAATTTAAATAAGTTAAACCCATCATGCAATATATTTCCTTCCAATTTTTTTTGTGATAAAGTAATAGATAATTGAATAAATGCACATTCTCCAAAGTTTCAAGAAAAATTTCTAAGTTTTTCTTACCATTTTTGTGGGTTTTATTCAATTTTTCCAATATTTTCATCAACATTTCCGTGTTTTTGGACTATTGATATTTTATACATTAATAATTACTAGATATTCCGCACATAGAGGGTACCACAGTAAAAAAGTGAGTCAAATTCTTCATTTCCTCCCCCTCCTCCTCCAAGTTCGATTTCACTAAGGGACAATTTTAAGACAACCCATTCCCCCTTCCTAGCGAATGACAAAAACATGACTATATATTCCATTGAATCTGGTGGCCAGGGAACTTAATTATGGCTAATATTTTGACATGTGGAATCTGTGCATGTAAGACGAGGCAAACTTCGTAATGTCTGCTGCTTATGTTATGTTATGATATCCTTCTGCAACAATACAACACATTCAACCGAAAAAACAAAGACCTTTTTGAGTTTTGACTTGGTGCAAAGTCTCCGAAGATAAAATAATAAGAAGAACCCATCTTAATATACGTGGCCTCTTTTCCATTATATATATTTGGCTGCTAGAGTAATAAGAATATACCTTTTTGCCCAGATAAAACATCCATCTGCTGCCTTTTTGTTTGTGCTAATGTTTTCATACAGATTGAAAATTGTAATATATATCATCTTTGTGTGGTCCTTGGGAAGCCAAATGAGTCGTAAATAAATAGAATACATTGCTTATAGCCAAGGGGGAAGTATGAACAGACGAAATCGAGGAGAAATAAGAAAAATGAGAAGTAGAAAAAATGTCACAAAAGGCCTAATTCAAACAAGTTTATCCGGATTAGATTGAGATGTGGCTGAAACTAGGCGACCATTTTCCCCAAAGTATATAGCAAAATACTCTCTTTAAGTTGCCTCAACTTATATATATATACATATGTGTAAGCCAGTCCAATCAACATCAATTGCAAAAGATAGTCCAATCAACAAGTCCTTCAATATCTTTTGAAAAGAACAAAAAAAAAACAAGTTCTTCAATCTTTGCACAACATCATGATGTTACAAAAATATAAATATATGTAGCTCTCAACTTTTATTATTTGTACCCTTTTTATTCTAGATACACTGATTTGATATAGCATCCTCAAGGTTTTGCAGTTACATGAACGCCATTGCCAACCGATTGAGCTTGGGTTGCCAGACAGACTGCAGCAAGCGTATGGATCGATCTCGGCTTCTTCCTCTCTTTCATGGTGGTATCAGATATTGATGGGAGATGATGATTGCATTTCACAAAAAATTTCTCCTTTAAGATAAGATAGAGCCTGAAAATAAATAGAGAGAGAGAAAACAAAAAACATAAATTTATCAGCAACTGCCTGTGCAACTCTCTTGGGTGGCAAAATTAAGTTTAACAATTAATGAGATCGATGGAGTTGTTACCTCGCTCATGTAAGGTCGCAAATCTGGACAAGGCATTGTGCACTGACAGGCGGTGCACATGACTCTAAACATTTCATGCATGTCTACGTCCTCCCAGTCTTCATCTAGTAATTCATGGAATGCTCTCTTCATCAACAGTGGACGGGCCTATCATATACATACACACACATATATATATAAATGTTGAAGCAACAAAAGTAGTGTTATTATTTAATTAGGCATTAGGTTTAGAACAACTAACCCATTCAAGCAGAGTTTTGTCGTCCTGTGGCACGCTTGTTTTGCAAAACAGCCTCAAAAGCAAGACACCATAGGATAGGATGTCGGATTTTACTAGAGCAATTGATTCGAGGTCTAAATAATCCCGAAGTGAACACCTACCAATTGCAAACATTAATATATAAATAACAAGTAAAACATGATCATGCATGGGTTAATTATAATAATTAGGAAGCTATATGCATACTGTTGGTTGTTGATTGGCCTTGTTAATTGCTTCAGATGAAGCCAGGTAGCTCGACCGAAACCAGAGATCTGTTCAAACAATTAACAATAGTAATTAGTGAAGAAAAAGAATAACACACAATTAATTAGTTTGAAATTAATTTGGAGATTAATTTTAATTTTAATTTCACCAGTGGGCGTAAATCACGTCTGAGAAAAATGTTGCTGATGAGTAATTGGCCGTGAACAACAGGACCCTGAGGACTTTCTTCATGCATATATCGAAGCCCTCGAGCAATTTCTATAGCTATCTTGAGTTTATCTTGAAATGTCAATTTCAAGTGTTTTCCTCTAGAGCCGTAGAGGTTTGTGTCTAATGAGCCTCTTTTTGTTGAGGGAAAGACGAGAATGGTAGTATTTTCACTCTGATAGTAACCAGCCAAGCTGAGTATATTTTTGTGGTGCATAGACAAGGCTGTTTTCTTTTCTGCTTCAAGAACGTCCCTGCTCCAGCTCCTGCTCGAATCCGACGTGCTGTATCTCTTCACCATTACTTGGTAGCCATAAACAGGCAGCAAACCCTCGTAAGCCAAATACTCACTCTTCTCATCCCCCAAAATTATCCTTGTCCTGAACCCAAACGTCATCTCTTCCACCATCTCCCAGCTCAGCTCCAATGGCACTCCCAGCACAAAATCAGCCTCGCAGAATTTTCTTGATGAAGCATAGTAGTTTTGCAGAGAAGGCCCTTTTGAGAGTGCCTCAACTATCACCTTTTGATCACTTTCTTCGTGTGCCTCAGTCGACATAGTTGGCTTGGCTTTTGAGGATCTTTTTTTTTCTTTCTATCTTCTCCAACTTGCTTGAGCTTCCGATATATTACAAAAATGGCTTCCACAGCATCACTCAGCAGTACGCACTAGAGACACATATGCAATTACATATACCTTATAGCGAGTTAGGTTTTTTAGTTAGTTTTTTTTTTTTTTTTTTTTTTTTTTTTTGGTTTTGGTTTTTTAGTTATTATACACACAAGGACAGACCGTGATTAACTATTCCTTGGTCGGACCGATGATTGCATTAGTTGTCTTTTTGCTTCTTTGATTACTAGGGTGTTGCCGGGCCGGGCCGGCTTTTAATTTCATGTATTATTAATTTCGTATATGGATCATGAACTATTAATTAAAAACATAGCAAGGTTGCACATGAGTTTGATTTCTCTTCCCGTACATTACAATAATTTAGAATATCGCTTTGTCCAAAAAAGAGAAAGTACTTTCAGTTCTGATTAAGCTCTCGAATTAGATTAAAAACAAAGAAGGCATGGATGAACAAACATAACGTTTTTGGCATATATATTATTCTAATAAATGGGAAAAACCTTTCAATATTCAAAACACAGCATACGATAAATGTACTTGAATATTGGCATTAGATTGGGGAATATATATAGCATCATGAGATCCATTGTTAAAGAGTATTTAAATATTTATAATATACACTCACCAAAAAAAAAATTATTTATAATATACATAGACCGAGAGAGATCATAGACAGAAAAGGAAAGAAATATGAATACTAGACAGATATTCGGTTAGCACATACATTTTTTTGTTTTCTTAATTAATATTGAGTCGAAATGAAATCTTGTACACAGAGGATGATGTATTGATGACCAATTTAGCGGCAGAGTGGTGGAATCTGTACGCCCTTGGGTGCAATGTTGGCATTGTAACATTCAGTGGTAAGGGACGTGCCCTTCACAGCGGCGCCCAGGTAGGAGAAGTTAATGTCGGCCATCTCAATCCCGTCGCAAGGGTTTGAAGAACTGCATTGTAAGGAGACGGCAATATTTCTGGACGAGGTTCCCCTAATGTTTCTGAAATGAACGTTGCTAATCTTCCACTTTGATGCGGCCCCACCTGGTCTAGTTCCAGACGTCGACTTCTTCTTTCCGTAGTTTTGATCAATCACAATTGGATTTTGAACCTGATCCATGACAATGTTTTCGTAGGTGATATCGCTTGCTTCTCCTGCACTTTCCGCAGCCCAGGTCTTGATTCTGGCACCATTGGTGGTGTTTCTCAATGTGCAGTTGCTCACATGGATCTGGCTCACGCTCTTGTCATCTATGCGCTTCCCAAGGCTCCCCACACTGTATTACCAAAAAAGAAAGAAAGTAAATTTGACTTACACTCTTCAAATTCAATTTACCTTAAATAATACACAATTTTTATAAAAACTCATGACTAGCTTGACCAAAAAAAAAAAAGGGAGATTCACTAATATACCCAATATGGGAGCCCAAATTATAAAAATACCCCATATGAAATGAACTTTATAAACACACCCAAAACTCATTTACAACATAACAAAAATGCTTTGACTTCTTATAAATTACAAAACTACCATAAATTTCTTAAAACAAGCCCAACCCCAAAATCTCATAAAAATACCCAAAACACTCAATAGGGCATTAAAGTAATTTAATAATCAATATTAAATTCAATAAGGCCAGCTATTATTTTTGGGGTTTTTTTTGGTTTGTTTATAGAAATTCAATGATGGAGGGTTTATCTATAATATTAGTGCTAAGAATGGGTATATCACTAAATATCTCAAAAAAAAACCCATTACTAGGATCCAACTCATCAAGTTACCTTATTAAGCTCAATATCTGATTTATTATAATTTTTTGATTGCAAATATACCCCTATTTATATTTCAACGTGTAATGGGGTGGTGTTTTAATTTTTGGTTCCCCAATTTATTGTGGTGATTCCCTCTAAAAATTTTGTCTATAATTAATTATCCATTTTATTATTATTAAAATTCATCATTTATTGTACCTAGTTTTTTCATGGATAATAATTTACCTATTATTTTTGGATATAAATTATTGTGTATTTATATTTTATATAAATTATTGTGTACCTATTTTTCTATAATAATCTACCTATTTTTATTTATTTATAAATTATTGTGTATCTATATTTTCTATAAATTATTGTGTACCTATTTTTATGTAAAAAAATTTGGTAAACAATATACCTATATTTTTATAAGTATATATTTATATTTATATTTTCATAGGTAAAATTATTGGATATGTAATTTACAGATTTTTGTGTGTGGCAATTTTAGGGGTGATTGATATGCTATTGATATGGAGTATTAATTACAATTATAGCAGTTAATGAAATGCTTGAAATAAATTATAAATAAAATATGAAGTCTTGTGGCAACGATATAAAAACATAAAAATACTATGATCTCTTATATCCTACTGGTAATTTAAATTTGAAATTGGCTTTTACACATAGATTTATAGAATGATGGATATATGTCTAGGAAATAGAAACTGTAGGGACCTATAATGGACAAGCCCTACCAAAAAAAAAAACCCAATTAATTATTAATTAATCCTCATGAACGATCTTAATTAAGGATTATTGCATGCATGCATGAAGTGATTACCTGATGCCATGTCCTGGGCCACAAGTGATGTTGTTGACAAGGATGTCGTTCGAGCCCTGGCCGATGGAAACACAGTCATCACCGGTTCCGATAACGCTATTAAGGACTTTGACATTAGTTGAAGTGCTTATGTGCACGCCATCCGTGTTAGGGCTATCCCCTGGAGCAGTAATGTGGACGTTGTTCATCGTCAAGTTGCTGCAGCCAAATATGTGGGCGTGGAAGAACTTGCTGTTCAAGGAAGTGATCCCCTCGACCAGGGAGTTGTTCACATGGTTGAACTTAAGAGACTGCAACAAACAAGAATCAAATAATTAATTAAATGAGCACATAACATAAACTCGACTGCGTGCTCTTCTATTAATTAAGTATGCTTACAGATGGGGCTTGAGCGCAGCTGGACTTGTCCTTGCAGCCACTGCTTTTCCATGTACTCTCACCTTGACCGTCGAAAGTGCCTTCACCGGTGATTATCAAACCGTCAATCATCTCAAATGTAAACCATTCTGGAGACGCGTATAGACTGAGATCAGTGCTGGCTTTCACATATCCCTCAACTTCGACTAGGATTGGCTCCTTTGAGCTGGTGCATGGCCCTTGAAATATCACAGGCCCTGTCATAAATGTCCCTTTGGGAATCAAAACCTTTGTTGGACCAGAGTAGTTTCCTCTACATGCAGCTACCCATGTCTTGATGAATGCCTGCATGCATGCGTAGACACAATTAATTAATACACGTTCATTGAAGAATAATTAATAGGAGAACAAAACGACACAAAACAAAACATGCATGCATGATTTTGGTGGAAACTCACCGATGCATTGTCATCACTAGGGCTTTCACCAGGGCCGGCTTCACCTGGGCCTGCTTCCTCTTCTGAAGAGTCCATCTTCTCGTCATCGACCTTCTCATCATCACCCGGCAACGACGGTAAATCGAGCTTGGCACCAGCTACTACGGTGCTCTTACCTCCTTGCATCTGGTCTTCGGTCTTAGCACCGAAGGCTGTGACATCAAATACTTTCCTATTGATATCTGTAACGCTACGACGGGCACTAGCCTTGAAAAGATGTCCACGGGATACGCCATCGGCCACGCAAGAAAGCAAAGCTAAGCCAAGAAGAATAATAGCCTTGGCTGATGATCTCCTTGCAATGGCCATATTTCCCATAGACATCTTTCTATGTACAGATTTTGTAATTTTTTTAGAACTTTTTTTATCTGTTTACTGAGATGAACAATTGGGCATTTGCCTCCATATATCCATTTTGGGGATCTATTCTTAGAAGCTCCAACCGGAAAACTATCTAAATATTGTGATCCTAGTCTTTTCTTTTCAATACTAGTTCTATGTTTAGTGATATGTCCCCAAATTTAGCCATGCAACCTCTCTAAACAGGCATAACAAACACCTATTGTTCATCATCCTCCGCTGCACCACTCATTAAAAGGAAAAAACAGTCCTATACCATCGAATGCGGGACCCGTATTGCATACCAGTCATGGCCCACAAAGTAAAACAATTCTGGTTTTGTCTCAAGCCAGCCCAAAGCTGACCTAAAGTCTTTTGGGCTGGGTCGAGAAATATTCACTCACAAGCACAACTAATTGGGCTTTCTTTTTTCTTTTTTTATTATTATTTTTTCCAATTTCTTACGGAAAAACCAGAAACCAGTCGGGATATTTTCGTGGTATGTCAATTACACAATTTTCAAGTATTTTGCTCCGATTATATCCATTGAATTTGTGTCTCAACTCCAATCCAACGAACACATACTAGGCTTTAAATTGGTGATTATGGAAGTAGTTTGCGAAGTCCAAGTTCCAGTCCGACTGAGAAAATCTGCCGCAAGAGCCTGGATCCTAGAGCAGAGCACTCTCTCTGAGTCTCTGAGCCTCTGAGCCTCTGAGCCTCTGAGCCTCTGAGCTTGGCTTGGCCGCTGCCATAGTTTTAACAAAAGAGTAGGCTTTTCCCTCTTTCTCACTTTTGATTTCATTTATTCTTTTCAATACTGTTAATATTAGAAATTTATTTAGAAGAAGAAGAAGAAGAAGTTGATGATGGAGGCACTGGAATTTGTAATGTCCGTGGAATTCTGGAGAATGGCGGTGCTCTGGACATTCTGTCTCCTCATCTCTTACTGGAAGCTCATTGCTTCAAATTCTTGTCCTTCCAAACCACCACCTTCACCTTCAGCATTTGGACATAGGCCTCTCTGCATTATCACTGGTGTATGTATGCCTTCTTCACTTCTTCTTCTTCAATTTCATTCATTGCTTTATGTAATGTTATTCAATATTAATACTTATCCAGGCAACGTCTGGATTGGGTGCTGCTGCTGCCCATGCTCTCTCCGCCCAAGGTTTCTTCGTGGTTCTTGGTAAGCATATTCCTGTTTGTTTTCACTCATCAATCAGTCCTGATGATAGAAAATTGTCATTTCTTTGCAATAATATTGTCCAATAAATGCTAATTAACAACTTCTTTCTCACTTTATAAGAATTATCTAAGATGCATATTCCTCTCTGCAGTTGGACGCACATCCCACTCGTTAGCAAAGGTAGGTACCCTATAGTAATAAATTATTGGATCTTGCTTCAAATGATTTCCTGATATTAATTGTTTGTGTCATAGACGATGATGGACATCAAAACTCAGAATAAGAATGCACATCTCAAAGCATTTCAGGTTGATCTCTCATCGTTCGACTCAATTCTCCAGTTCAAAGCCTCCCTACAGAAGTGGCTTTCTGACTCAGAGATGCACTCTTCCATCCAACTCCTTATAAACAATGCCGGGATACTCGCAACTTCTTCCAGACTCACTTGTCAAGGCTACGATCAGTAATAACTATATTTTTCTTTTTATCTATGTACTGCTATAAGAATTTTTTCTCCCCTACATTAGTTAACATTTCAATATGGCACTTGGCACTACATCCAGGTTTCCTTATCTCATGCATTGCTTACTAATGATCTTACTAATGATTTCACATTTTTCTTTCTTTCTTTTCTTTCCTTCCTTCCAGGATGATGGCTACAAATTACTTAGGTGCATTCTCTCTGACCAAACTATTATTACCACTTCTCAGAAACAGTCCAATTCCTTCCCGTATAGTGAATGTAACGTCCTTCACACACCGAAGTGGTAAGAATCTTTCCGATATGTGTGCTGAGAGCTTTTTAATTCGTATTACTTTGTTGGACTATACATCCATAAAACCGTAGTTACATCGCTATGTTTGTCAGGATAGTTTTGTGCATGACTCCCTAGATCATGTTTGGCAAATGATATTTGCCCAATTTTAATGAACTTTATAATACAGGGCAGGATATGCTGTAATGAGAGTCCTTATCCTATCATTTCTGGATATGGATCAATTTGACTAGACCTTGGATGAAAAATGTCTTTCAAGTTTTCTACTCTTGTTGAACTGCTTTACCTTAAGATGCTTAAAAAGTTATAAAATGTAAATTTATTACTGATTCTTCCCCTCCCCCGTCTCTTCAGTTTTGAATGTACAGGTTAACAAGGACATTGTATCTGGGAAGTGCTTCGGCAGATCAAAACGGTACCCATATGCTCATGTCTATGAGTATACCAAACGTAAGCTCTGATTACCGTACGAGTTACCCTAGAAAATCTGCTCTTTCTATTCTAATTTGAGCATGCCCCTTTTGTTGATAGTATTCCTGCTGCTCTTCTCCTATGAGCTTCACCGGCAACTTGGCTTGATGGATATTTCTCGTCAGGTCTCTGTCATGTATGTGCTTATAACCTTTCTTCCATATTTTTTCTTTCTTGAAAGATTTATGCAGAATTGTTAATAGTGAAAATTACCAATTAGTGCATTTCTATCTCCGTTTGCAATCATTAGACATTGAATCTTAATTTTTCTCAGATTCATGCATTAGATACTAGGTTTTGAAACTTTATTTTAATCATGATTAGTTTATTTTGAAGTGCTGTGGATCCCGGAGTTGTGGAAACCAATATCATGCGAGAAGTTCCCTCATGCCTATCCAGTCTGGCTTTCATAGTTTTGAAACTTCTGGGCCTGTTGCAGTCACCTGAAATTGGGGTTAGCTCCATTCTTGATGCAGCACTTGCCCCACCAGTAAGATTTCCTCATTCTAACTATTTGCAGTTTGCTCATGTGAATGTGAATGCCACTGATTGTTTGTCCTATGTGTGTTGCAAACTTAATCAGAGTTTTGTGTCAAACTATCTCAAGAGCTAGCCCAACACCAATTCATGTCATTGCCAGTGTTCTAGTACTGCTGCCACTTGTGTGTTGTCTTATGCAAATGAGTATTAAGAAATGCAGTATATTATTTTTGAATAGTTCAGCTCCAAAGAACAATTTTAGGGTAAACAAAGCAATGTTTTCTGCAAGTTCATAGGTATTGCATCTCTTATGGTAATACAAAGCAATTGAACTGTAACAAAGCTGGGATGAGCCATGTTCTTATGTATGGTGTTGATGGGGCAATTTGGTTCAAGTTGTTTAAAATAAAAATAATGTCAACTTTTGCTGCTATTTATTACTGAAGTTTCTAACATGAGAGTCACCATCTTGGCGATGCTGTCAAACATAACCTGGGTTGTTTAGACTGGTCCTCTGAACAAACAAGGTCTTTTGAAATTGAATCATGCATATAACCAGAAATCTGGTGGTTTGAGTGGTGATATCCTTGATTTGAGTTTAACAAGTGTATCGGTATGAATTCTTCTTGCGTGTCGTAGAAGCATAATGCTTGCTTCAGTATGTCCTGCATAAAAATGTGAATGCTTATTTAGTCTCTTGAAATGGATGGAGTTTTCAGTGAGATGTAACAATTCAGAACACCAAAAGTTTTGTAATCTGAGGAGCAATTGTGTGTTAATTTCAGGAAACATCTGGCGTATACTATTTTGGTGGAAAGGGTGGGACCGTGAACTCCTCCGTGCTTTCATATGATGCCAAACTTGCCAAGGAACTTTGGAATGCATCAAGTGATCTATTTTTAGAGTCAGAGCTTGCTTCCAAGGAAACCATTTCTGCATCAAATGGTATATCATAGGTAGAATTGCGTGCAAATAAACGGACAGCGGCATGTGACTCTTTTTAACAGTAAATTAGATGAAATTGGTTGTTGAAAAAAGATTAGGCGGCAAATCGAAAATTAGCTACAAACTCCACAATCATCACAATCATGACACGTGTACAAGATATCTGTGTACATAATTTATCCAGGTGTTTTCAACTTTAGATATTCTTATTTGGGATCTGAGATGTGGATGAGAACATCCAGACCAATTTGAGTTGTGGATAAGGTTAGTATCATCAATTACCAGTCCACTAGACTATAAGTCACCGACATCAATCTGTCGGATGATAGATAATTTACAATACTTCAATCCTTCTTTCTGCAGTTTCGTTGTTCTATATAATTGAATATGATTCATAATTAAATGTTTAATACTCTAAAAACAATGGGTGTTGAATTATGCGTCTAATAACCATTTGTAGTATGAGTCCAAAAAACCATTTATGGCAAATTTAAAAACGAAAAAAACCCAAATAAAGTGATATGAGTCCAAAAAACCAGTGGCCAGTGGGGCTTTGATGGTTTATATAAAAATAATAATAATAAAAAGTCCAAAAAACCAGAAACCAGTTGATGGTTTCTGCTTTATAGCCGTGGTCGGTGGACCCGTCAACCGCGCACTGTGGAAGGACGTACGATAGCTCATATTCATATCAGAAACAGGTGGATATAAACCATAGTTTTAGTCGGTCAGTGGGTTTAAAATTTAAATTATGCTATAAAATAATATCAACTTGTAACTTTTTGCTCGTGCATCATCACCAACCTTAATTCGACGTTAAATATGATTTAGACCAATTGATGAAGATAGTAAATTATGACTTGTAAAAAGAAATAAACTAAAACTAGAAGGAATCCGATGCAATGGTATGGTATATGCGTATGACATAGGACCCATATAGAGGACAACATATACAAGGCATGTGTTTTTCAATTACGCGAATGTCTCTTTCACAAGAATAACTTTTTTGTAACGGGATGTCACCGTGGCGGCTATATTCAAAATCTATTATGTATTGTTATGTTGCAAAATTAAAATACATGACAATAGATGATTGCTCAGAATAACACTAGAGCCATATCTCGGTCGTTAGATCCACTCATCCTCTCCAGTATAGACCAGTGTAGTGTAGCAGTGGCTTACCTCGAGCTACCACGTCACACAATTATTCACACCAAAACTTCGCTCCTTCTCTTTCTATTTATATCTCATCAAGACTTTTCGAAACAGAGTGAGACTAGAAGAGAAGAAGAAGAAGAAGAAGAGCTCCTCCTCCTCCTCTTGTTGTTTGTAACATTGATTTTTTGATTGAATAATGTCGAACCGTCCTAAGCTAACTCGAGCGTTAAGCGTTAGGGAGCGAGTCGAGGACACTCTCGATGCGCACCGCAACGAACTCGTTGCCCTTCTCTCCAGGTTCGCTCATCAAACGAACCTTTTCTTTCTTTCTTTCTTTTTTCTCATAATTAATTATTCTTTCGTCTTCTATTGTTTTCAGCTCCGTTTGTTTCCCGAGAAAATCTGAGATGCACTAGTCTATGTATGTTGTTAGATGACTGAGTTTCGTTTTATGTTTGGGTTGAAGGTATGTGGAGCAGGGAAAAAGCATATTGCAACCTCATGACCTGCTCGATGAGCTCGAGAAAGTCATCAGCGGTGATGAAGCCAAAGAGAAGCTCAAAGATGGTCCTTTTAGCGAAGTCCTTAAATCAACACAGGTGTATTTTCTATCCCGACCTGGTTTTTCTAATTCATATTATTTCCTCACGGAAACTCGATATTGCTAAAATTAAAAACATTTCCAATTAGTTCTCATGCACTGTTTATTGATTTCCATGTGATCTGTCAGTAATTGGACATAGGATCAGTTAGTATAACATAACTAAATCCTTTTCCGCCATTCTATTAACCAACTCCTCTGTGATGACTGTGGGAATAAAATCTTTTCACCATCAATTTTCCTAAACAACTGAAGCTATGGAAATTCAATTCCTTCTACAATTGATCTTTTGGGGGTACATAAATATTGCATTGGCCAACCCAACTCATTTTGTCTAGTATTCCAACTTTTGCTAGTATTTGCTGACTCTCCAAAGAAATAGGACAGATTATCGATAACTGAATGAAAATAGTTTCCAATACTACTTGTTTTACCTTTGGAAATTTTGGATTTGGATGGGGGTTGCACATGGATGGTTATTGTTATCAAAAATGAATTTTTTGTTTGTGGAGGTTGGGCAATTTTCTTGTTTCTTTCCGCACTCCCTGTTTGGTTTTTAAAATGTAAAATTATCTTTCCATGAATAAAAGGTGTATATTATGGTGTCAGGAAGCTATTGTTCTGCCTCCATATGTGGCCATAGCAGTTCGTCCAAGACCAGGTGTTTGGGAATACATTCGTGTTAATGTGCATGAGCTCAGTGTGGAAGAATTGACTGTTTCTCAATATCTTTGCTTTAAAGAAGAACTTGTCGATGGGGAGTAAGTAAACTTTGTCTTCTGTGAAATATTTATTTTCTCTGACAAGTAAGATTTGTATGAACTTATAAAGCTACGAGTTTTTCTCGATAACATAATTTTCTATATACATGTATCAGGTCTAATAACAAATTTGTACTTGAGCTTGACTTTGAGCCGTTTAATGCTTCTTTTCCTCGTCCAACCCGGTCTTCATCCATTGGCAATGGTGTTCAATTCCTCAATCGCCACCTTTCTTCTGTTATGTTCCGTAACAAAGATTCGTTGGAGCCATTACTTGATTTCCTTCGAGCACACAAATATAAAGGGCATGTAAGTTTGCTGAACAAGGATTTTTTTTTATAAATGATTTTTGTTTTTATTGTCTATATGCTACTGTGACCTTTATTTACTTTTATCTTTTTGTCTATATGGTATGAGTTAGTCCTTTTAATTTCATCCTGATAAAGGATTTATAACTTTCTCTAAATATTAAACACCTGGAATATAAAGTATTCAAACTAGTTGGTGTTTTTGTTTGAGGGCTTTCTTGAGATAGTTAACTTAATTTTAAAAAATTGTGTAGGGGTTGATGTTGAATGATCGGATACAGAGCATTCCCAAGCTTCAGTCAGTTTTGGGGAAGGCTGAGGATTATCTTTCTAAGCTTCCACCCGAGACACCTTATTCTGAGTTTGAATATGTGTAAGCTTACATACCAGACACACTTGCACACACAAATCAATACCTATGTTCTCTCTGCCAGACTACAACTGCCTCATAGAACTAATAACTGAAATGGAGATGTACTTTAGAACAGTATAGTTGCAATTCCTGGTATCTTATGCCTTTTGATTTCCTGTTACTTGTATGTAGATTACAAGGAATGGGTTTCGAGCGAGGATGGGGAGATAATGCAGTACATGTATTGGAGATGATGCATCTTCTCTTAGATATCCTTCAGGCTCCTGATCCTTCTATATTGGAGACATTTCTTGGGAGAGTACCAATGGTGTTTAATGTTGTCATTTTGTCTCCACATGGATACTTTGGACAAGCAAATGTTTTAGGCCTACCTGACACTGGCGGGCAGGTATTATTTGTCGTCTTTTTTTTTCTTTCTTTAAATGACTAACAGGCTCCATGATACTTGTTGTTTATCCTTGCATTACCTCTTCATACCTATACTTTGGGTACAGCGTAATCTTTTATGATGAGCTTTTAGATGTTAGCTATCAATGCAACATAACAATTGAGAATTTACATAATGTATATGCAGATTGTCTATATACTGGACCAAGTGCGTGCCCTTGAAAATGAAATGCTGCATAGAATTCAGAGGCAAGGATTAGATATCGCTCCAAGGATCCTTATTGTAAGTGTCTTTATCCTTATTGTAGGAATCCATATGGTAGATTTTGTGTGCACAAGTTCACGCATTTTTCACTGGTCGTTCAAGGTGACCAGGCTAATACCTGATTCAAAAGGAACTACATGCAACCAGCGTCTGGAAAGAGTCAGTGGAACAGAGCACACCCATATTTTAAGAGTTCCTTTTAGATCAGAGAAAGGAGTTCTTCGTAAGTGGATCTCAAGGTTTGATGTATGGCCTTATTTGGAGACCTTTGCTGAGGTAAAATTCGGATAATGCGTCAAGCTCTAATTACTCTTATCATTGAAAATAGTGCTTTAAATCTGACACAGTATATATGGAATTATTCTTTATATTTTGATTGAACTGATAATGCGTCATAAATCTACACCTTGAAGAAAGGGCACTTTCTATATATGTCATTTCAGAGATCCCTGATTTCCACTGTTGTCAGTTCTCTTACAAGTAGTAAATCTGCAAAGTTATGCTTTCTGCGATTTCATCATCTTAAATGGATAAGTTTTCTCTGTCCATCCGCATCACTGTTGTAGACTCGTAGCTTTGGTAACCCTTCTTCTGATGTCACTGATGCCATTGTCTCATGTCACTTCCTTGATTCTGAAAGTACACATGACTTTATTCACTCATTGCATATTCAGAATTATATAGAATTATTCACTCATTCATGCTTTTTCAGTTTTTGATGTCTGATGTCGTCATTGTTTTGCTTGTGATCAGGATGCTGCAAGTGAACTTACGGCTGAGTTACAGGGATATCCAGATTTTATAATTGGGAATTATAGTGATGGGAATCTTGTTGCATCTTTGTTGTCTTACAAAATGGGAGTTACACAGGTTCGATATTTTTGCAGCTGTAAAGTTCATCCTATTATCTAACAAGAATGTTATCTGAAGTTTTTATATGTACAGTGCACGATTGCGCATGCATTGGAGAAAACAAAATATCCAGATTCAGATATATATTGGAAGAAGTTCGAGGATAAATACCATTTCTCATCTCAGTTCACGGCTGACCTTATAGCCATGAATAATGCAGATTTTATAATCACCAGCACATACCAAGAGATTGCAGGAACGTAAGTCTTCCAACTCAGTTGTGTTCAGTTTAATCTGGCATTATCCATGTCGGTTTAGACTGCTTTGGTTTTCTTAATACAAAAAAGCAACCCACCTCATTACTTAATCATCAATGGTGGTTTTGACAATTGGAGTTGTCGTTGCTTCTCCAAATACATCCTCATTCTCTGTTTCAGTGATGTTAATTTCCTTCTTTGCTTAAGGTTTTCTTTATCTGTTCTTTCAGGAAGAATACTGTTGGTCAGTATGAGAGCCACAGCTCTTTCACTCTTCCGGGTCAGTACCGAGTTGTTCATGGAATTGATGTGTTTGATCCAAAGTTCAATATTGTGTCTCCTGGAGCAGATATGGCCATTTATTTCCCTTACTCTGAAAAGACAAAGAGACTTACGTCCCTACATGGTTCCATAGAAGAGTTGCTGTATGATCCTGTCCAGAATGACGTGCACATGTGAGTTCCTTCATGGTATATCAAATGTGACAATACAAGTATTTTGTGGCAGTCACTTGATAATGTGATATTTCTTCTTTCTTGGCTCAGTGGCACAATAGATGATCGTTCAAAGCCCTTATTGTTCTCAATGGCAAGGCTGGACCGGGTGAAAAACATATCTGGGTTGGTCGAGTGCTATGCTAAGAATCCCAAACTGAGGGATCTGGTAAACCTCGTCGTGGTTGCTGGTTACATTGATGTGAAGAAGTCAAAAGATAGAGAAGAGATTGATGAGATTGAGAAGATGCATGGTCTTCTAAAGGAGTACAAATTAAATGGTCAATTTCGATGGATTTCAGCCCAAAATAATCGAGCACGTAATGGTGAGCTATATCGTTACATAGCAGATACACGAGGTGCTTTTGTTCAGGTACATTATATATAGGCGTCAGTCAATTTGTTTCATAGAGAACTCCTGGGGCAATCTAATTTACTTTGTTTGGTGTTTGTAATCGCAGCCTGCATTGTACGAAGCTTTTGGACTGACAGTTGTGGAGGCCATGACTTGTGGCCTACCAACATTTGCCACTTGCCATGGTGGCCCTGCCGAGATTATTGAGCACGGTAAATCAGGATTTCATATTGATCCTTATCACCCTGAGCAGGCTGGTGCACTTATGGCAGATTTCTTTGAACGTTGTAAGGAGGATCCAAGCTATTGGAGTACATTCTCAGATGCAGGCCTTAAAAGGATTTATGAAAGGTTAGTATCTTTTATACACTTGTGTGGTGGGATAGCATTAGTACTTGTTTAAAAACAATGTGTTATATGAAGTCTGGCGGGACCTTTGTAACATTGCAGGTACACATGGAAGATTTATTCAGAAAGGCTAATGACATTGGCTGGTGTTTATGGTTTCTGGAAGTACGTGTCAAAGCTAGAAAGGCGTGAGACCAGACGATATCTCGAGATGTTCTACATTCTGAAGTTCCGTGATTTGGTGAGTAGTTAGTATTATTGTTATTGTTACGTGAATGGCAATCTTTGGTTGAGATCAAATGAATTCTCTTCATAAAATTCATTATGCTTGAATTGTTGTTTCAGGCAAATTCTGTTCCTCCAGCAAGTGATGAGTGATGCGTGGTGATGATTGACATCAAAAGCTTCAATTGCTGAGCTGTTGAAGCCATAACTCAGTGACTCTGATTCACAAGGTAATGGTTGTACAGATAAAATAAAGTTACGCTTTGTGTTGTGTATGTATATGTAATGAAATTGAACTGGATCCAAGCTCTTCTGCTGCGGCATTGTAATATCATATTTATGCTCCGAATAAAATTACAATAAAATAAAGCTCTTGTGAACGGATTGATATGCCTGCCAAAACAAATTGTCATGGGTTACGAATTTGTTCAAAAAACGAAAATCTTATAATTGGACAACAATATAATTTTTTACAAGATGACACAATATCATATCATATGAACGTTTTTGCAGGACACCGCATATGATGAAACCGAAAATGGGCACTGTTTTTCATATGCGCCCACAGGTTACTGGGCTCTACACCAAAAGAGCCTGTGGGTTCAAAAATTCAATCGAAGAGTATATTTTAGGCTCTGCTCCAAGTCAAGCCAATCCAATTCAATCCAATCCTACCTTAGTTGGGGAATGTCTTTTGGTCTCTTCCTTGTAACTTATTATTGCCATGTGCTCTCTCTCTCTCTCTCTCTCTCCCCTTGCCAGAAACAGAAAGACTAGGCCCAAGCCACTTTCTCGCGCTTTCACTCTCTTCTTCTGACACCTGACATCGCTGACAAGCCTGCCTGCATGCATATAACCAGCTTTTTTGACCATATCACATGTTACTACACAAAATCTTCTTCCTTCCATGTATTTTCACACTCATTTTCAACGGTCAAATACTCTCTCTCTCTTTCTCTCTCGTTAACCACCAAAGTACCAACCAACAGTAACTAGAATATTTAATCACTTGTTACATTATCCACTGCCACCCATTCTCCTTGTTCTTAACAATGTTTTTCTTGCTTGTTACTAGTCATTAGGTTTTGAATCTAGGACCATTGTTGTTAGATAGCTTATTTAGGTTTCTTGTATTTATTTAGGTCCTTGGGCAAAACGTTCCACGATTTCCAATTTTAATACCAAACCACACTAAGTCATTGCTAGTTAAACACTAGGGGACAAACGTAGACGAACAAGCTACCAAATTAGAGTAAAGTTGAAAACTTAAAAAGCGTCTCCAATCTTAGAGCCCATAAACTTTTACAAATAAACACCGTTACTGGCACGAAACTTTCTCTTGCACCAGAGGAAACAACAATATTTATATGAACCGAGACCTACTACTACATGATCTAGACCTTGACCATTGTGTTGTGCTTCGCAGTTTGGGAGAGCTCTTAATCTCGACCCTATCACCACGTGCACTTTGCATCCATAACTAAAAAGAAGACCTTACTTTACTAATATTTAAAACAAACCCAAAACACTTAACAAGTTGGAGAATCTCTCAAGAAGAAAACTAGCTTGGGTCTTTAGCTACACCTACATCTGCCCAAATGAGTGAGCAAGATAAGCTAGTGTCCCTACTAGGGGTGCGTTAATGTATGTGGCTGGCTCTGACTGCTCATAATCTGACCGTTGATCTGGAAACCTGTCATGCTGGTCCGGCCCACCAATCACTGCACCCACCAGGATGTTGGGGTTTGGGGACTGGGACCTCATCACACTGAACCCAGAAGAGCACTGGATCTTGGCTGGGTGTGCGGCAATGGACGGCAGGGATGAGCCCCTGTGGTGTATCCTTTGTGGGTACCTTGGGCCATACCCCACCATGTAGGACATCTTCAAGGGATTGTCTCCTAGTAGGTAATCCACCTGATAAAACATTCATAACAAAATTAAAAAGAGATTAATTAAGACATAGACACTTGCTTAGCTGGTTTGTTGTTCGAGTATCCTTTAATTAGCAAAAGAGGAATGTCTTTAACATGAAATGTGTTTGTGGGACACTGACCTGTCTTTTGGCAATAGCTCGGAGCCTCTTAGGGGTGATGGCGGTTCCACCACAATTGACCACCTGGCGGGCAGTGGTTAAGTATTTGGCGTAGCTTAAGAGCAGAAATGAGGTGGAGGTCACATATTGCATGTTGCTATCATTCATTTTGAAAAGAAGACCACCTGCAATAAAAACCAAGACCAATACTAGCCGTTACAAACAGGACCACTCTCTAGTCTTTTAAGAGAGAGCGAGAGAGAGGGAAAAAAAACAATACCTGGGGTGTATTGGGCTGAAGAGTAAGAGGCTCCTGGTATGATTGAACAGATAAAACTATCTGCATGACCTTTGTAGTCATGGAGGGATCTGACCTTTTGGATGAGGAATGCCTGTAAAATCAAAGGGCATTATAGATCAAAAGACTGAGGAACATAAAAGATAAAGCCAGCTGCAAAAACAAGTTTTTATTATTATTATAGAAATGGGACCTTGGAAAGAAGAATTCTTGCTCCAACATGCTTATTATCCCATCCAAATGTGTTATCAAACTCGGCGGCCCCAAGGATCTGGCCATTAGCTTGAATGTAGTTGAGATAGGTTGGATTTTTGGTGGCCTTTTGCAGCCAAGCAGCAGCCCACAATAGCTCATCCTAACATTATCAGGAGACAAAAAAGATGACACCGTTAGGTTTAGCCACCCTCTAGAAAGTAGAAAGAACAATATAATTTGGGTATTGGAAAATTAACTGAAAAGTATACCTGATAACCAGAGTAATCACAATAGAAGGGGCACACATATTTCCTCAATCCAGTGCTGTAGGCTCCTCTGTGCTTATCAGCAAACTCAAACACCTGGACCCAGAAGCAAACATTATCTCAGTTTTTGGGGAACTTTGAAAGACCCACCCTGTTTCTTATTTCTTTTGGGGTTAAAGTTTCAACTTTGGTTTAGCTTCACATATTTACTTACGCTGATAGCCCTCCTGGCCAAAAGTTTGGAGTAAGTACGGTCACTTCTTCTGAAGACCAATGATGCAGCTGCAAGAGCAGCAGCAGTTTCAGCTGCTACTTCAGAACCAGGGGTGTTTTGGTCAATCTTGAAAACACTTCTTGGGGTATCCATGTCTTCTGGTCTCTCCCAACAAGCATGGTCCTTGTTAGCATCACCAACCTACCAAGTAACACCCAGAATCAACCTTAGCGTTCATGTTCTTATCCCCCCATAAATTTTGTTAATTTCAGAAAACAAAAAAAAAAAAAAAAAAAAAAAAAAAAAAAAAAGGAACAAGAAAGATCTATAAAAAAAAAAAAAAAGAAAAGAAAATAGACAAGAAATATGAAGAGTGCAAAAACCAGAAACATACCTGATGGTGCCTGGGTGGGCAGTTGCTTTGAGGAGGTAATCAGTAGCCCAACGAATGGCTTCCTTGGCATTCTGCAACTCACCCTTCATCAACCCACCAAACTCAATAACACTCCATGAAAGCATGGTGGTGGTAAAAGCCATGGGAAACCCAAACTTCACATTGTCCCCTGCATCATAGTACCCTCCAACCAAATCAACCTGCATTTGAGAGCACCACATAGAATACAAATGAGGAAAATCCCAGTTGAGAAAGAAAACCAAAACAAAGAAAGACAGAAAGAAAAAATGTGGGTTTTTGCATACATGCAGGGCTGAGCCATCTGAAAGACCAGAATCTCTCCTCCAAGAAATCCTCTGGTTAGAAGGGAGCTTCCCTGACCTCTGGCCTTCAAAGAAGAGGATGGACTTAGTGAGAGCATCTCTGTAGTTGTGACTGGCAAATCGAGGATGGCGATGGCGTTGGATTGGGTTGTGGTAGTGCCCAGGAAAGGCATTGGCATTGCAGAGCAGCAGAGTGGTAAAGCAAGAGAGGAGGAGAAATACAAGTGGGAAAGAGAAACCAAACAGAGCCATTTTGGCTGCCCCAAGTAAAAAATTAATAATACAATACCCAACCAACAAACCAACTGCCAACCTATGGAACTGGAAGCCGCAGTGGAAGAAGCAGACACCTCCCTCCCTTTGTATTTATAAACTGCACGCTGGGTCTCTCTTTAACTTGCTAGGTCATAATCATAATTAACTCCACACCCTCCAATAATGGCTTTGGCTTTTGTTAATTAAGATTTAAATTATCCTTTCGCAAATGAGGCATATTTGTCACTGTTTTGGTTCACTCACTGTGTAAGGTAATGTGCATGTCCCTTTTGATATTCTGGAATGCGTCTGCCCCCATTTACAATACTGGTCCCATCCCATGGGCGGGCCTTACTCTCATTTGCAAAAGAAAGCTCAAATAATATTTTTGGTGTTTCACTTATTTATCAGGAAATTACAGATAGTTTAAAATAATAATAACAAAAGGCAAATTTAATGCCTTGGAGATTACTGGTCACGGGCTTTTAATCTGTAGAAAAATTTGATAAAATAATAAGTTGGTTTTTGAACCCTTGTTTGATTGTTATGGTTACAACTGAACTGGAGTAAGCTCCAATTGCTTTGGAACTGAGCTTAGAGGAACCGTTGCCCATACTCTATGACACAGAGAGTCAAAAACTAGTGTCAGAGAAAGGTGATGAACACGTATAAAGATGGGCTCGAATTCGACATTTGAACTGAAATAATATGCTGTCGGAGAAAAGTAGTGAGCCTAAACGTGGGTTTTGCTTCCGGTGCAGATGTTTGAGTTGTGAGAATAAATTCACCCATCACAAAATGGTCAATAAAGACCCATTCATAAGTACCAATGCTTGTGATGTAGCTCATGAATCAAGAAATATGGATAAGAAGCCAAAAAAAACACCTCAACTTCTGGTTCTAAGCCACCACCGACCCGACCTTATGGATTTTGCACAAAATTAACAGCAGCATTTGATAACTTGGACAAAGTTAGAAGAAGCTCTCTAAACAGCCTCATCTCTAGTCAGGATCAGGATGAGCAAAAGATAATATCATGATGAATCCCTGCTTACTTTGAAGCATGTGCTGTGAAAAAGTTTTCTTTCTTCCTATGACCACCAGTGCCATGTTGAGAAGATTACTTGTTTTTTTTAATTTTCTAATTATCGGTCTGTCTCGTGTTTGCATATGCGATACAGCATCATATTACATGGTGGGGTATTTTGAGCCTTATTTTTTTTTATAATTACAAGAGGACCCCAAAAGCCAAAACATGTTACTCACCATACACATTCTTGAGTAAGTTTTGTTATACGTACAAGGAGCCAGACAACAAAAGGTAGCAGCCAGAAGAAAAAGAGGAAATGGAACACACAATGAAGACTGAAGAGTTTTGGATAAGAGCATTTACACTGGAACCACCGAAGTTCTAGGTTCGATTTTCTTTTTCCCAATATCGATCAATTGTATTTATAAAAATAAAAATAAATAAATAAGAGTTTTGGATAGAAGGGGTATTAATAATAATGAAAATGAATGATATGATGCATTCAATTATGGAGCTAGCTTCTGGTGAGAAACCGATTGCCCAGATTTGACCCGTGTAGACAGTAGATGGATCAGTCCAGTGTAGAGAGAGACTTTAGAGAGAGAGAGCATGTTTGGGAAAATGGCTTATTCGGATCATGATCATGTGCTCCTCTGTTACGGTGGAACCCTCCCACATGGCTAGAGCATGCATTCATGTTCATCTTCTTGCTCTGCCTCTCTGTAAAACAAGACAAGTTATATATAGACAGTAACGAATCAATTCAACATGACCTAAAAAGCTGACACCGTGACACCATATTCATTTTCTTTCCTGCTTTCCTTTTTAGAATGCAATCAACTAAGAAAAATTAGCTCGACTTCAAAATTCAATGGATGGGGGTCGAGTCGACTGGACTTGTCCATTTCAATGCGCAATGTGTGCTCTCCTCTTCATTTCTGATCCTTGAACTAAATGCTATGTCTTTCAACTATCTTCTACCTCTGCTGTGCATTCATCACATTTGGATAATGAACATACTTTGTTATTGAAGGAGAAAAGGAAAAGAGACTCCTCTGGTGGGGTCCCACCGTCCCAAGCTCATGGCATGACAATTGACATGGTACCTTTATTTTCTTCTCGAAATCTTGTCATGGCATGTCAATTATTTTTTCAGCTCAGCTTTCATTATTTCCAGTTGACACCCCGCCATTTACGGTGTTGTTGCAGAAATTGGCATCATTCTTTATGGAGACGGACTAAAATGGATGCCAATAATTCCAACTTTGAAGACGTAAACTCTTACTCGATGTGTAAATTAATTTAATCTATGAGGAGAGGGACTCGAACTTTGATGCAATGAATAAACTCGATGCCCTGATCAACTGGCATATTTCACGTTTACATTTTCATATATGAATGTTGTGTTTTAGGCTAACCATTGATGTATATGAGGAGACAATTAAGAGGCACACATATAATATATAATATAACGCAACATAATAGTATTATGTTACATTAATTAATTTAAAGATGGGCCTGCCTGCAGAGTGCGTAATATTTCTGCTCAAGGAGTCAAACCAATAAAGTAGGGAATATTGGTAGAATTGAGCCACTCATTTCCTTGTATAAACGGCACAACCGTAAACTGATTCGCCTCAGCTGAGCTGTTGATGACCCGGTAACCCGGCCACGTCACCCTCGCACTTGTATTCGAACCGGGTCCTCGGTTCGAATACTCCCCATAATACAACGTACTCAATGCAAACGTGCCATTCCACTCCAGCCAACCAGCGGGCTCCACCAAATCATCAATGTATGATTTCATGTAAACCGTCCTAGAATACTCTTTCCACGGACGGCCCAGATACGTTTTGAACTTTGACTTTACCGGGACCAGATCAGAAGCGGCTGTGACTTTGCAGTTCAAGATGGAAATGCCAGTGTTCTGGTTGGGGTCCTCACGGCCTTGGGCCGTGAACATGTTCTTCTGGTTTTCGTTTGGTTTGCGCGCGTAGAGGTTGCAGTTCTGGAGGACGACGGCGGCGTTGCCGAAGATGAAATCGACGGTGCCGTAGATGTCGCATTCGCGGTAGAATTGGCGGAGGGAATGAACGTAGAGGGTGTCTTGGTAGCCCACGAAGCTGCACTTGTAGAATGCAGAGAAATCAGAGCCGCTCCTAAAGGCTACCGCTTGGTGTTTGCTTGGGCCTGCTGCGTTCTCAAACGTAATGCCTTGGGCTATGAACCCGTCTCCCACAACAGCTGAAACCACAAAAATAACAAACCCATTAGATTTTCGTTAGTCAAGCCCAGTCTGATTTTTTACATACAAACTTCTGGGCTCAAAATAGTCTACATGGCCCAGCTTAGTAGATCTTAAAGTAAGCCAATTAGTCTAATCTAAGGAGAGGGTGATTTGAAGTGAGGTGCAAGAAGACATGTTCACTGCTCTAACCAAATAACCTAATCCACATATGTCAACATTGATTCATTTATTCATGTACAATTTTGAATTACTCGTCATTTTCATCCGAATTTATGATATATCCATGTTGCTTTGGACATTGTCTTTGTCCAAAACAAGAAGACGTCTAGTCCACATCACCTCATTGTCAGAACCCAAAATGTATTGTCAGACTTTTTTTATATTTTAAAAAAAAAGAAAGAAGGAAGAAAAAGAAATGGGACCAACATATGAAGTTTTCATGTGAAGCGCCAATTATATTTAGAATATGACTAAAACTTTTTGTTTAGATGCAAAGATCCTAGATGTAATAAGATGATTGATTTTTGAAAGTAAAAAAGGATGAATATCTTTTGTCCGACAAATTTATGTTTGTACGCGTTTCTTTCTTTCTATCATCCACAAGACACGGGCATATACGACAAGTGGCCAGATGGGCGCCACCGACGCTTAACAAAATCTGATCATCATCATCGGCCGTGAGAGAGAGGGAAACGCTTCATGGAGGAAATGCTTTAGGGACCCATCGTCATCGACTTTCTGTCGCTTTCTTGTGGGGAGCATGAGCAATGAGCATCCCTTTGACAAAAGTCAGTTAGCTTTGCTAACATGGAGTTGGGATTAACTACTTGTAGCTAGGGGTTGCTTATATTTTAAAAGATCAATGTCAATGATTTGCCTACCCCTAGGCTAAGCTCTATGCCTATAATCAATAAACTTTTCTGTTCCGATTATATATATAATGAAATTTTCAGTACATGTTTGTTTAACAAGTAATTTAAAGTACCAAGAGTCGCTCCCTAATCCCTAGTTGACTAATTTTTGTTTATTCAATTCTAAGGACATTGTTTTGGCTCTAAGTAGTTGTGTGACATGTATGGTCCTACAAGTAAGAGCACGAGTCCTACCGCTTAAGGCACCTACTATTCTGTGCAACATGCCAACATCACATGCACTCACACTCACGAGTCGCCAGCGCACCAAACTTTTCCAAAATTGAAAAATGTTGCACCCCAAAACAATTCAAAAAACAAATCAACTTTTTTTAGTAAATTTGAGTGGTTTTGAGTTTTGACCCGTTAAGCTTCAAATCTTGGCCATATCTTTTCCATTAATTAATCACCACTGCTCACTAGTGCGAAGAATTTGCATGTCACGAGAATACTATTGTTTTGTTATTTCCGTCAAATCACATCTTGTCATGTGAAAAAGTTAATGTAGCAAAATGTGATTGGTTGGGATATCAAAACAATGTTATCCACGTGATATACAAGTCTTTCTCCACCATGTTAATAATTCAAAACGATGAGGTGTAACGGGAAAACATAGGCAATAATGAAATCCCTAATTAAATTGAAGTTGTTAAGATGAGAAGAGCAAAACTCACCGACTGTGGCTGATCGGAAAGTAGTCCAGCCATCCACCACATTCCTACTGGCTTTCACAACCGTCTTTCCAATCCCATCACCCAAGAGCATCAAGTTCGTCTTCTTCCTCACAACCTCCACATTCTCAAAATATGCCCCGCTTTTTATGTATATCACAAACCTATATTTATATATATGAATGAATATCCAACATTTCTCAAAAAACATTACTATATAATTAACTGTTATAAATTGAATTATTATTTAGAAAATTACCTGGTCGCACTTGAATTTGGAGCCACAGCTACAGCCTCGCTGATAGTAGTGAAGTTTCCAGTGCCGTCCTTGGCCACCACCAAATCGTATTTTGTCCCATTCGCCACGGACTGCAAGAGCTTTCGATCTTTCGATGAAACCCAAGTAGGGAACCCATTTTTCATGGGTCCAAACTCAGGGAACATCTCCGACTTAGAGTTCTCGTACTTAAGAGCTCCGGGAATCTTCTTGAGCATGACCAGGGCATTGCTCACGTGCTGAGAGATGGTCTGCAATCTGCTTTGAATTTCCTGCCTCACAATTCCAGTGTCGTTAAACCCATCAAGGCACGTGTACTGGTTGGTCATTGCGCCGCTGAGCAAGGTCTTCAAGTCGTAGTAGCGGTTGGAGCTGAGCTTCTTGATGGAGAGGTCAGAGATGACAGCTTTGAGCTCGGCAATGGTGTCGTCGAAGAGCTCGAGGCAGTCGTCGAGAGCTATTTCCTGAAGAGCGTCGAGCTTCTTGAACTGTTTTTTGATAATGCCGGTGCAGTTGGAGGAGGAGGCTTGGACCTCCGAGACGGTGTGGGAGACGGTGTAGGATATGATCTGTGGGACTGATTTGGTGGTGAGATCTGGGAAGGTGGAGAGGGTGAAGACGCAGAGGTCTTTGTAGAGTGTGTCTTGGCATGCCGAGTGGGCTGCTAATTGAATGCGGTTGTGGACGTGTGTTTTGGGGGTGTTTGAGTTTGAATTTCTCAAATGGGTATTTGAAAAGAGAAGGATTAGGAGGAGAGCTGAAGTAGGGAGCACAGAGAGCAAGAGTTTTGTTCTCCTTCTTAGATTATACATGGTGGTTGTGGTGTGTAAGCTCGCAGGAAAACCTATGTTTGTGTGAGACAAAGACCGAGAGAGGTGGGGAGGAGGGCATATATCATAATCATATATAGGTGAATGAATAGGGGCAGGTGGCTGATGATGGTTAAAATGAGTTAAAAGGCATTATCATTCACCAAACAAATTTGTTGAGTTGAATTTAGATAATGCTCTTATTACGATAGCTTAAAAAGTGTTATTAGTGTATTATTAGGAATGAGTGAGTGAGTGAGTCTGTAGACAGAGATGACAATGGTGATGATGAGCATGAAAAGAAAAGGGCTAGTTAAGGAACTCTCTTGAAATATAATGGTGATATTCCTTCACGATTGGGTTTGGAGGACGATATGTGCAGTGCAAGTTTCGTCCTTCACGCGAGGATACGGACCACAATCTTATCTTTGTTTCCTTAATGTTAAGCTCATGCTCTCTGTTTCTTCTACTCTGTTTTTGTGTCGTCAATTTACTACCTCGTCATATGTCACAAGCCTAGGTGTACTGACAAAGAAAGATGGTCCTATGAAGGCTGTGGCTACTGTAACATTAGACGGCAAAGATTGTTTTCTAGGCGATTATATTTTTCGCATATTTTTATTAGGCATTAACCCTAATTAATTATTTATTTAATTTCCTGAAACGGTATTTAATTTCTTCTATCATTGGATTGGAGCTCAAAAACAGGGCATGCCAGAGAAGAGAAAGGGAAGACAGTGGTCTCAAATCAAATCCGACAATATGCACATTGTGTCCTTCTGTCCGCTTGTGATATGAGACATACACTGCAAGATTGAGCTTCAGAGCGTGCAGAGAAAAACGTCTCTATCTCGAGAAATACTTCCCTATCCCCGTTTCATTGTCCTTTTTTCTTTATCTATGGGGCCGAGTAGAGCAATGAAACAAAGATATCCTCTTAATATGTATGCAAAGTGCTGCTTAGCTTAGCTTAGGTAGCTGGCTTGCTACATTTTATTTGGCGATGAAGAAAAAAAGAAGCTAATGGGATTGCGAAGCATGAAGTTAACTATTTCAGTTGGCCGGGTCGTCTATCATTGACTGGCGTCTAAAGCCCGCTACTAATTAATAACTTGATGATGCAGCGTGACAATTGATTGGCTAAACTTTACATAAAATATGTAACTCTGGAATCCACCAGGAATATATGAGGAAACATCAAGGTTTATTTGATAAACTGGAATAACAAAACATAACTCTAACTACAAGTAAAGTAAGTTTAAACACTCATAGAAACCTTAGTAATAACAAAGGAATTAAAATAGGAAAATAACAAAGTTTCCAAAAACTGTAAAAATTTTAAAACTAAATTTCGGACTAGTAAACGATCTCGGAAGCCTGAAAAAGCTCATACATCAATGCAAAACGATGAGTTTTACTTGTGACGTCGTTCTCTTTAAATTGATGAGTCATGGGCTCAATTATGAGCTCAGAGCCCAAATCTGCAATTTACTCAATTTGCCTTTGCACCTGTCCTCTTCAATTACTTCCGCAATTTGTTCTATATCATTTGAATATTGGTATTTTGCTGGCCTAACTTGTTGGATTATATATTTAACTTTGAATTCAAACAGCTCCATAGTTGACATTAATAGTGGATAGTTTTTCTTCAAGCAACTCTACAAGCACTTCAAAAAGTGCAGCTACTCCTCTCTGTCAATTTTTTTGTATTTTTTTTATCTCTTCTTTGCATTGACTGAAATCTATTGGAACTTGTTCTAAATTAAATTACCACGGTAATTTCACTTCTCATTATATTAAACTAACTCTAGTGTAATGCCCTCGTACCAAATAAAACAACTTCGAATTTCAAACATTCGGTTGCCAAGAAATTCAACTTTCTGCTTAATTTGACTTCCAAGGAATATTAATTAGTGCACATATTACACTTCTGGCGAAAAAGAAAGATGAGGACTCAAAAATAAAGACATCCTCTCGTATATATGGTAATGATAATGCTACGTAGCACATATTTTTTTAATCAATGCGAGTTGAATCATTCGAATTTTAAAACTTCTTTTAATATTGGAGTGATTATAGAACTATACGGTAGTACGGCCACATGATACATCTTGTACACATGTTATAATATAAGAGAATATTTATTGATATAATATTTCCTAAAAGAATGGAAAATAAACTTGGTCGTTCACCTATATTAGAACACGTGTACAAGATGTATCGCATGATCATACTACCATAGTATTCTATAATTTCTCATTGAGAAGAGAGTTGCCACTAGACTAATTGCGAGTTGGTAATGATACCACATTTGTTGTAGCAAGCGAATGGTACGTAGCCCTTCATGACCGATGACAAGATCGCTAATTAATTTGGTTTCAAGTATACGAATCATAATAAGCTAGCTGCTTCAACAAAATGGTTACTAATGATTATACTTGAACAAGAAGTACTATAAACATAAATTTTAATCAAGAGCGTATATATACACATTGATAGACTGATAAAAATGTTAAATTAAAAATAGGTTCACGGTGGGATTTGCCTAATGTTAGGAAACATAGGAGGTAACTCTTTTTCAAGATTTTTGACCGCGTTTGGCTTCCAGCAATTGGACATGAAACTAATTTCATTGAAGCTTAGCCTATATAAATACAACACCACATTGCCTAATTAATCCGTGCAACTCTTCTGTCTATATGCAAATACAAGCCTTTTCAAGCTTACAAAAGCAAAGCTTAATCTATATCTCAAATATCACCCCATTCACGCCAATGGAGAATTTGCAAGCATTCTCTGTGTTCAAAGTTTCCATTTTCGTTCTTGTTTTTTCAATATGTTTTGCCTCTCCATCTTTGGCTGCAGATGCACCTCCAGTCTCCAAGGAAGCCATTTGCAAATTCACCCCAGACCCTTCATTTTGTAACTATGTCCTCCCTAACCAGACCTCAAATGTGTATGAATTTTGGCGCTATGCTGCCCAAAAGTCCTTATCACAGTCTCGTAAATTCCTAAACTTGGTGGACAAGTATCTCAAACTCCACTCCACCCTCTCCAAAACCGCAGTCCTTGCACTCCAGGATTGCCAGTTCCTTGCAGGTCTTAACATAGATTTTCTAGCAAGCTCCCTGGAAACCCTCAACACCACCAAATATCAAACACTTTCTAGCTTGAAAGCCGACGACGTCCAAACCTTGCTCAGTGCTATCTTAACCAACCAGCAAACCTGTTTGGATGGCATACAAGCCACTGCTTCATCTTGGAGTGTAAAACGCGGTCTTTCGGTTCCACTCTCAAACGACACAAGCCTGTACAGTGTGTCTCTTGCTCTGTTCACCAAGGCCTGGGTGACTAAGACTAAGAAGAAGGGGAGAAAACTGCTTGATCAAACCGATCAGCAGATCATCGATACTAATGACGTTTTGGTGAGGGACAAGGTGACTGTGAGTCAGGATGGAAGTGGAAACTTCACCACCATAAGCGACGCGGTTGAGGCCGCTCCTAACAACTCAGCACCTTCTAAAGGTTACTTCTTGATTTACATCAAGGCAGGAGTTTATGAAGAGTATGTGACCATCGACAAGAAAAAGAAGTACCTCATGATGATTGGCGATGGCATCAATCAGACTGTCGTCACAGGCAACCGAAGTGTTAAAGGTGGCAACTGGACAACTTTCAGATCAGCAACATTTGGTAAGAAGAAGTAATGCGAAATTGATTAGTTAAACATGGTTCAAAATTTTAGCTCATATTACAGGGCACTGTATATATACAGATTTTATTCCATCAAACGTTTGATATAATTATGACTTGTACGTGAATTAATTAATGTTGCAGCTGTAGTTGGACAAGGGTTTGTGGCTGTGAACATGACCTTTCGCAACACTGCGGGGGCAGAGAATGGCCAAGCCGTCGCAGTTCGAAACGGGGCTGACCTCTCCACATTCTACAGGTGCAGCTTTGAAGGGTACCAAGACACCTTATACACACATAATCAGAGGCAATTCTACAGAGAATGTGACATCTACGGGACTGTGGACTTCATATTTGGAAATGCTGCAGTTGTTTTCCAAAACTGCAACATGTATCCCAGGCTGCCAATGAGCAAGCAATTCAATGCAATCACAGCTCAAGGCCGAACCGACCCGAATCAAAACACGGGGATTTCGATTCATAACTGTACCATAAGAGCTGCCGATGATTTGGCTTCGGGCGACGGCAGCACCAAGACCTATCTGGGAAGGCCATGGAAGGCGTATTCTAGGACAGTTTACATGCAATCCTTCGTGGATAGTCTGATAGATGAGGAAGGTTGGCATGAATGGGATGGAAATTTCGCTCTGAAAACATTGGATTATGAGGAGTATGACAACACTGGGCCTGGATCAGTGACTACAGGCAGAGTTTCATGGGATGGTTACCATGTGATCAAGGCTAGCGATGCCTCAAATTTTACAGTGTCCAATTTCTTGCTGGGGGATGACTGGCTGCCTCAAACTGGAGTGCCATTTTCTGGTGGCTTATACTAATTAATTATGGTATTACAAAAATATTATAATTGGATATGTACTTTATTGTGATATTTAAGGTTTTTTTTAATATTTTTTTATAATTTGTTTCAAAGATTTAACATGTATTCAAGCCAAGGTTTGGCTTAACCCTAAAATTGAAAAACACGAATTACTTTTACTTTCATTACTCTTTTTAGTTTTAGTTACACCAATTGAACGTGATATTTTGCAGATGTGGGTTAGATTATATGGATAGACAATGTGCACCTCCTTGCATTCGAATTCAATTATACTCCTTTGTAGTTTTTTCTGTTTTATGGATATAAGAAATATTGGTGAATGGGTGAAATCGAACCTAAAACCTCGGATGTATGAGTAAATGCTCCTAACTACTTGAGCTATAAGCCCCTAACCTTCTCTTTTGTATATCTCGACAAGTTCGGTGTCCTAGACCGCGCGAGGGAGATGATGCTTCATAAACGTGAGAGAGAGAGAGAGAGAGAGAGAGAGAGAGAGAGAGAGAGAGAGAGAGGGTTTTCTGAAAGTTTCGTGAGAGTATAGTGTAACAGTGTTAGAGAGGGAGCGAAGGGTTTTCCCAAAAGCTCCGTGCCCGTTGGTATTGATAATTTGATAGCTTGTCCCACAACAAATTATGGTGTGTGTCACTTAGGAAAAAGATGCAGAATTATATATGTCACAAGTTGTGCGTGTATCGTTAATCCAAACATTTGAAGTCCATGCATTTTTGGCTTGTTTTGATGGTAACGAATTCAAAGTCCATATCAAAAGATTATATAAGTTTATTTCCAAAAAAACACTAGGCATGTGACAAATTAAGTGGCTTTATTTTCAACATGCATATACGTGTGTGCTTGGTTTATTAATTTCGAGATTAATATTATTCTATACTATCTCTCCAAATCCATAAGCCAAACACATGTAATCTGATCACTCACCCTTGCAATTTGAACTCCACCACAAGAAATATATAAGATTATTGTGTATTAATTGTTCTTAATGGGTTTGGTTTTTGGCTCAGAGTACGTAGAATTTTATTCGTTATTTAATTAAATCCTTATCAATTAACTAATTCCTTATACTGCTTGTTCTATCAGAAAAAGAAAAAGAAAAAAAAACCCACTTTACGGAGAGAGAGTAACGAATTTTGATCTCTTAGTTTAGTTCTCCGATCATATATATATATATATAAGAGTAATTCTTTAAAATGTCAGTGTTTTGACTTGAGTGTTTCAAACAAGAATCGTTAATTTCCAGAGTTTAGCCGATGGGCTATACTATTTCTTTAAAAAAATTGAACAGTATAGCCGGGCGGCTATATACTATTTCTTTTTTAAAAAAATTAGAAAAAACCGACTCTAGCCGAGTAACGCCGGGCGGCTATACTATTAGTATAGCCGCGCGGCTATTTCTTTGAACAATTTTCAAAAACCAAGTATCGCCGATCTGCTATACTGTTTCTTTTAAAAAATTCCAAAAAACCAATTATAGCCACGCGGCTATACTAAACCGATTATTGCCGCACGGCTATACTATTTCTTTAAAAAAATTAAAAACGCCAAGTATAGCCGCGCGGCTATACTATTTCAGCAGTAGGCATTAATTTTCTGGCATGAGCAAATACCTAATCTAACAACTTGTGGAGAAATTTATGAGTTACATAGAGCTTGCCAAAATTTGCACGCTGCCCATATATAATAAATGTAGCCAACATTTTAAGGGATCCAATTCAAAGCCGCAATACCAAATAATAATATGCGGATGTGTTGGCCTAGTTTGAACGTATGCGTTTCAATTCAAACTTCAAGTCATACTTGCTGGGCCCTGAGTTTGCCTTTTTGTTTTATTCTTAATTACGCCCATTAATTTAATCTACTTCTAGTAACGACAGCATTTTATAATGACTGAAGCTTCATTACAGTAGAGTTTTTAAAAATGATCTGAGTATGAATGGAAAATATTCTTGGTCTGAGATCTTAGCCACTGGAAAACATTATTACTATTATGATGAGTTGAATTTTAATTAACTATCAAGCAAGTGGAATTAAAACATTAAAAGTTAGGGTGTTAGATTGAGGATGCAGGAAGCTTCATTCCATTTGCTGCATGCTTAGCTTAGCTAGTAGCTACCACATCCACATGACATGTTTCCGCATTGAAAGGGAAGGTTTTAACTGGGAATGTAAGTTCGGCTCCTTTGACTATCATTAGTCACTCATATCATATCTATCTATATATATATATATATACAAACCCAACTTGTAATGTAGGGCAAAACTATGCTCTGTCTGTGTCCACCGTCTTGATCAGCTTCACCCTCCCTTTATATATGTATGTCAGTCTACGCGTTTACAGAATGCATGCATATGTTTCCAGTCAAACTTAAATTATATGACTTGTTCGTTAGCTCCGCAAGTCATCGTAGAGAAGAGACGACCCAAAGACCCAAGGAAATTAGACATGAATAATGACCTCCGCGACTTTGTATGCTTGGATTTGAATGCTTTCTTTTTTTCTTTTTCTTTTTTGTCAAAAGGATTGCATGCTTTTTTGAATGGTCCATTATTTAACAATGTAACATGTCCAAATTGTCTATAAAACATATTATACCTTAATTACCTTAATTACAATGTTGCACACTTAATTAATTAGAAAATCAAATGTTTACTGATAGAAAAAGAGTTGAAATGTCACACCAGCTAAAATCAAATATTTACTAACCATTTGATTGTCTTGTTACGTTGTCACGCTGCGTCATTTAACCTTTGATTCATTGAATGATTTTGTTTTTGGGCAACAAGGATTTTAGGAAGTAAGTGAGAAACATGTGTCCTTCCATGATTGTTTAAACCAAATCATACATGAAATGTAGGTTCACATCGCTTTTGGTGCCCTTGAATACATGCATATACTTCCAAACACACCCTCGTCGTTTGTCAACATAACGTACCATAGAAAAATATAGTCAAAATCCACCGTCACCAATGGAACTCCTATAAACTTTTCTTCTTTTCTCCTTGTATTGATTAGTTTATCTTAATTGACTATAATTCTACACTGTGACATGCATACTAATTAAACTTTTTTATTTCAAAATTTAATTACGTTAATCCATATATTGCAATGTTAAGCGCAGCAGGATAATGATATCTTGTGGGTTAGTTGACAATAATTTCCCCATCGAATTTAAAACTACACCCACTACCAGAATAAAGAGACAAAATCTGGAAGAAAGTTCTTTTTACATATAAATCTGGAGAGATTGATGTCCATCTAACGTTTCGATGTCACCAATCCGGCTGGCACCTACCCAACCGTTGACAAATGGCACCATTGGATCCAAGTGTTGAGCCACTGTCAATTCAAACTCAAAGGAAAGGAATGAAGAAAAGGATTTGTTGCACCATCTTCTTAATTGCTTTTCCATTTCTTTAATTTTCCTTTAAACGCAGAAGAAAAGAATGTGAAACATGTTACATGAAATTTTATAAACTTGTGAAATTAACAAGGTAGGTTACCGTAAACAATAACACAGAGAACCCGGAAATCAAAATTTGCACAACAGCTTGTTTCGACCACTGTTGGTGGCAACGCATACAATAACATCAAGTCCAATATCAAAACGCGCATTCTACGAAGTCTCCCAATTGAGTTGACCTCATAAATAAATACAAAGTAGCCACCAAATTTTGTTAATTTACTCCAACGACTATGTTATTAAGTAAGAAGCCAATAATATAATATATTCAGCTCTCTCTCGTCTCGACCCCCTATATATATTTGAACCCGACCCGTAACGTATAGCAACTCCATTCCACTAATAGCATACATTTATTTTCCAATTCCATTTCAAATCCAATGGCTTATTCTAAGCTCATCGTAGCTTCATTTTTCATCCTTGTTCCTTTATTTGCCTCTCTATCTTTGGCTGCAGATAACTCCTCAACCCCAGTCTCTGCAGGCACCATTTGCAAGTCCACCCCTGACCCTTCTTTTTGCAAATCTGTGCTTCCTCACAACCAAACTGCTGAAAATGTTTACTACTACGGCCGGTTCTCGGTCCGGAAATCGTTATCTCAGTCCCGTAAATTCTTAAACTTAGTCGACAAATATCTTAAACGCCGATCCAGTTTGTCCCTGACCGCAGTCCGAGCTCTCGAGGACTGCAGGTTGCTTGCCGGGCTCAACATGGACTTTTTGCTTAACAGTTTTGAAACCGTCAATAAGACTAGCAAGACTCTCTCTAATCTCAAAGCAGACGACGTCCAAACTTCTCTTAGCGCCATTCTCACCAACCAGCAAACCTGTTTGGACGGCATTCAATCCACCGCTTCTGCTTGGAGTTTGAAAACTGGCCTCTCTGCACCCAACGACACCAAGTTCTACAGCGTCTCCCTTGCCCTTTTCACCAAGGGTTGGGTGCCCAAGACGAAGAAATCGGCTACGTGGAAGCCCACCAGGAACCAGCGTGGCTTCAAAAACGGACGCCTGCCGCTCAAAATGTCGAGCCGAACACGTGCCGTTTACGAGGGCGTCACCAAGAGAAAGATGCTTCAAACGGAGACGGAGGATGATGGGGTTTTGGTGAGTGAAGTCGTGACGGTGAGCCAGAATGGAACCGGAAACTTCTCCACCATCAATGACGCCATTGCTGCAGCCCCAAACAACTCTGCCTCAACTGACGGCTACTTCTTGATCTATGTCACCGCCGGTGTTTATGAAGAGTACGTCTCCATTGCTAAAAATAAGAGGTATTTGATGATGGTCGGGGACGGCATCAACCAGACCATTCTCACCGGCAACCGAAGCGTCGTTGATGGGTGGACAACTTTCAACTCTGCAACATTTGGTAAGTCTTAAACTACAACAAATTAAAATACTCTAAATTAATCAGGACCATTTGATTGTGTATATGTATGAATCTTATACATATCAAACATGCTTATTAGTATCTTACAAGAATTTGTACATGAATATTGCAGCTGTAACTGCACCTGGATTTGTAGCAGTGAACATGACCTTCCGTAACACTGCGGGAGCAATCAAGCACCAAGCGGTTGCAGTTCGAAACGGGGCTGATCTGTCCACATTCTATAGCTGCAGCTTCGAAGCGTACCAAGACACCTTATACACACATTCTCTGAGGCAATTCTATAGAGAATGCGACATCTATGGCACGGTAGACTTCATATTTGGAAATGCTGCAGTTGTTTTCCAAAATTGCAACTTATATCCCAGGTTGCCAATGAGTGGCCAATTCAATGCCATCACAGCTCAGGGTCGAACTGATCCGAATCAAAACACGGGCACTTCGATTCACAATTGTACTATAAGAGCAGCTGACGATTTGGCTTCGAGCAACAGCAGTACCAAGACTTATCTGGGAAGGCCATGGAAGGAATATTCAAGGACAGTTTATATGCAATCTTACATTGATAGTGTGGTGGATCCTGCTGGTTGGCGGGCATGGGATGGAGAGTTTGCTCTCAGCACTTTGTATTATGCAGAGTATAACAACACCGGTCCCGGATCAAACACTACAAGCAGAGTTACATGGACAGGTTACCATGTGATTAATGCTACCGATGCTGCTAATTTCACGGTGACCAATTTCTTGCTGGGGGATGATTGGTTGCCTCAAGCAGGGGTGCCCTACACCGGTGGCTTAATTTGAGAAACTTGGTGGACATAGCAGCAGGCCATTTGTTCTTTCTCTTTTTGTCATTTTTTAAAAGTGAAGTAATAAGGATGTAATGCCCAATTAAGCATTCCCAATTTACAACTTGGTTCTGAACCAAGAATAGTAAACCAGTTTAAATTGTAAATGGTTGCTTCTTGTATTGTTTACTGATTGACTTTATTTACAACAACGAACAATCAAACGTTAGAAGAAGCTTTCCTGATGCAATTTACAACTGGTTTGAAGCATAGATAGACATCCAACTGGTTGGTTTGGTCGTCATTTTGGCTTATCAATCATTCTATGAATTCTGTCCTATCTACCTCTGCAGACGTGCATGACTAGTTGGGCGCTCTGGTCAATAAGCCCATGAGGACGTCAAGCACTGTCAAAATCAAACAGTCTCCATACATGAATGAGGGCATTGAATGCCAAGCCACGCCTAATTGAATACAGTACTCTGTTTTGTGTCGGGCAACAGATTACAAATTGAGATGCCTCAGTTTTTTGAAATTTGTGATTGGATTATGCTGACGTGCTCATCTCAAATATGTCGATATCAAAATTCGTTTCTTTCCACATAATGCAGAGTATTCAAGATTGATGTCAGTTTATTTCTGTACGTCTCCTCCTTCCACAAAAATCTAAAGATTACGGGCTGTCAACATCTTTTGATACGTTTATAGTCACGTAATTACGTCTTGTTTGCACCTGCATTCTGTAACAAAACTGATTCGTCCTAAAACTCTGTTTTGTTTATTTTTCCCAACCTCCTAAAACTCTCTTCTGTTGTTTATCTTGGCTTTAGACCGACGCATCTGAAACACTGGAATGAATAGGATCAATCAAAAGCCACCCTTGTTGTCCGCCTCCCTCTCTCACGTGCATGTGTTCATTAACCACCTTGGGATTATTTCTTCCATCGATCCATCCTAGACTAGTCTTAATTAATGAAAATCAGGAACATGTGATTAGGAATTAATTAATATTGCTCTCTTAAGTTGTTACGTTACATGCAGAACCGAAATTGATCACATCAGCTTGGTGACGAAACCACAAACGTTTGTGGTGACATCAATAATCACCTTCTGAGTTTGGCGAGAAATGAGATCACAGCACGTTGAGCATTTCACAAATAAAACCAACAATTGTTATTGAAAATTTTATAATATTAATTACAGAAATGATTTTCAATCAATTAGCTAGCTACTAATTAAAGTGGATCCATTCCATACGTACATAATCACTCCTTGCCGTGGGGTGGCAAGGCCTTGACGACGGCCAAAACGTTATTGCACAACTGGCGAAACGCCTCGTTCTTCTGTAAAACGACGCTTTTCTCTCCGGAGAACGAGTTATCGCAGTAGTCAGCGTCAGAAATGGCAACGTTGACCCAGACTTCGACGTCCTTGTAGTTCTTGGTGGACATGGCGGCTACGCAGTCGTCGAGCTGCTCGTTGGCGTCGGAGTAATGCTCAATGCAGTCGGCGACGCCCTGCTGGACCACCGGCGATAAGGTGGTGGCGTTGTTTATGAGCAGTGATCTCAAGTGCGCGTCCACTTCAGAGGCGTATGCGCCGGCGAGCCTGATGGCGATGTAGGCGAGGCCGGTGAGGTCAGCTCCTTTGCTGTTGGGGTCGTTCTTGAGGGTGTTGATGCAGAGGTCCTTGTGAGGCGCATGCTGGCATGCTTGTTGAATGAGGTTCATATTCACCACGCCTGCTTTGCTGCCGCCGTTTGTGCCTTGACTTTCATGGCCTGCAACGAGGACAAATTGTAGCACAGACAGTGTTGAGAGGAAGACAAATGGTGCTGCTGCAACGGGATTCATTGTTCTTGTTCTTTTTTAATTGAAGGAGATTAATTAAGGCTTTTATTTAATTAATTATACGGTGAGAGGAGAACGAGTATATAAATATGAGGAGGGATACACAAGAACCTCTCAATGTTGCGGTTTATTAGGACAGAGAGCCGAGCCTCCTAATCTCTAAACGCGTCTTGACGTTCATTTTAACCCACTTATAATTAACTAGATTTTGTTCCTCCAATTTTAACACTCAATCTATGGTTATGCAGCAGCTCTCTCTCTCTCTCTCTCTCTCTCTCTCTCTCTCTCTCATGTTTACGGGCCGCTTGAGTTCGATGGGCATAACTCAAGTCGGTATGCCTTGGACTATTCTCACAAATCAAGCCCATTAATAGTGTATATATATACTTTGGTTTTGATGTATACAATACAATACAAGTACCATATACAAGTACCAATTACTAAGACGCGTCCACAGGACCAAAACAAAAGCATATGTGCCAAAGGAAAGCAAAGCAAAACAAGGCTCCAAAAATTCTCCATTGCTGGGTCGCTGCCATCGATAGTTGTAGCAGGTGAGTAAGGCAGCGTTTGGTAGTACTTCAATTTTTTTAAAAGCAGCTTTAATAAAAACAGTTCAAAACTAATCAGCTTTTTTGTTAAATTGTGGTCAGTGACCGCTGTTTGAAACTGCTGTTTTTTCAAAGCAGGGACAAGCCAGCTTTTAAAAGCTGCTTAAAAATATTATGAAGTTGGTTTTCTATTTTTAAAGTAGAAAAAGAATAAGAAAACAACAACTAGTTTCATCGTCATGATTCATGTCCTTTTTGTCATTATACAAAATAATAGCACTTTTGATAAAAAATTATCAAATATTTTGACTACTCACAACATTTTTTTTTAAAACTGTTTACAAAATGCCTACGTGCTTTTTTTCACAATTGATTATTCTAAAGGGAGGTAATTTTTCCACTCATATTTTCTCCACTTACACTTCTTTTTTACTTTTTAATCAATTTTGTTCTTTTTTATTCTTTCTCTTTCCTATTCTACACTTACCCTACGATACCCTCTAATAAGAAGACATGTACAATCACTTACTAATATTTTGAAATAATAAAAATTTGAGACTATTATGCATACCTTTCTCTCTGCATATCTAAGCTCCTAATGACAGTTTGGTTAGTAGCATTTTTTGGTTCTTCTACCTGTAAACATGTTAGCTCAAAAAAGTTATTATCTATTAAATACAACAAAGATAAATAGTACTCACATACTTGATAAAAATAAAAATAAAAGAATTTAGCATACAAATACTTGCATTTCTATCCATTTCCTTTTTATTTTAAATATATATATATATATTAACTTTCCTTAATTACAGTTATCAAAACCTTAATATAAGGTAAGGGTAGAATAAGAAAGAGAAAGAACATAAAAGAAAAATATTGATTAAAAATTATTAAAAAGCAAAAGGGAGTGTAAGTGGAGAAAATGAAAGTGGGAAAATCAGCTTCCATTCTAAAAGCACAAGAAAAACAACTTTTTTTAGAAGTACAACAACAACGCCTAACACTAGTACATTACACACAGAAGCTACCAAAATTCCAAATGGATAAGGTATTCTGTTTCTGTCTCTATATGCTCCAAATCCTCTTCAATGAGAGAATCTTACTGCCTGATGAAGATTTGAAGCCATTGTAATTAATATTTTTGGGTGAACCCAAACCCCTCCTCAACCTCTCATCAATACTATCCCTAATTGTATTATTACAACTATGATAATACGACACCTCCTCCCGGGATACAGATATACTCACCACTTCCATTATTGGCTTTCTCCCATATTCCTCCGCCGAACCACTCGTCGACGGCAAACATCTCGAGCAATCCACTTTAGCTTCAGCCGTCTCATGCTCCGAACCGCCCGGTTCATTCACTGTTATTGCCGTTTCAGGCGATATTTCCAGCCTAGGAAGCGGAATATCGGGTTGAACCGGAGCCCTGCAGAGTGGACAATTGGACTGAGACTGGAACCAAGTGTCTATGCACTCTAAATGGAAGGTGTGGTTACACCTGGGCAATACACGGCCTTGCTCTTCGTCTTCGAACTCAGATAAACACACGGCGCACTCTAGTGGTGCTGGGTTGATGCGGGTGGTGGCCGAGTAAGTAAAAGTAGGGAGGGTCTTGAGAACAGAGGGATCCAAGGCCTTGGGATTGGTCGGAGAGAGGGTAGTTTCGAGGAGGGTGGTGAAAGAAATAACAGGGTGGGGGAAGAGATAGCGTGGTGTGCGGCGAGTACGGCGTGGGTGATGGCGGTGGAAGAAGCAGCGGACGTAGCTGTGGAAGCAAGCGATGGTGAAGATGACGATGAAGAGAATGATGACTGAGCAGAGCATAATCTTACCGTTGAAAGCATAGTTGGCGGGTTTGTGGTTTTGGTGATTGTATTTGTTGGTGATGTCCATATGAAATTATGATCGAGTCAGGAGAAGGGTTTTGGTGAAGGAAATGAAATTGTCGTGGGCGGTGTTTGTTTTCTGTTTTGGGTGTCGAGTTGGAGTTGGAGAGGTGGGTTTTATTGTTATTGTAACGGAAGATTATGGTGGAAGGGGAAGGAAGGTTCCTATCCTATGACTTGTTGGATTTGTCTTTTGTGTGGTGCCTTGTTTTTATGAGGCGAGGCAATTGGTTTGGGCTACGTGTATTATGTAAATATGGTGTGTGTGTATATGGCCGGCTTTATTATTCCTCTGCACTCTCTGAGCTCTGCATTTATATATATTTATATATTTTTATAAGTCCATGGATGGGTATTACGTAATGCGATGATTAAGAAATTAGTGGCAAACACGAAACTAGAATGAGGCAAACATAGAATTCATGAACCTCTCTATATCTGCTTTGTTGGTGTTGGTGTCGGTTTTGGTGGAGAATAATGAAAAAGCTTTCGAAAGCTGGTTGACGATGTGCGTGAACTTTAATGATATTCCATTCCATGTCCCTCACTTTAACTCTAAATCTAACTCACTCATCATCCATCACATGCACATAGTACTACTAGTACACATGATAAAACCCAATTCAATTCAGAATTACAGGATTTTTAGTGGACTTGTTACATGAACAAACTTACTTTTCATCCCCTATTCAATTTCAGGTCGGTATAAAAAAGTTTAATTAACCAACGTACACACAAAAGAAGAGAAGAGAAGAGAAGAGAAGAGAAGAGAAGAGAAGAGGGTCCAAAATTATCTTAGGATAATGAATGACATTGGCAATTTGGCATCTAGATCTACAACTAGAATAGTGGACCGACCAGAGGTATATATAATAGTTTGCCTTTCATTTCATCAGCTTGAATTGAATCATTTATATTCTACCTAATCCACACGAACAACAACTATATATTTATTTATAAAATAAGATGACAAACCAAAACAAAACAAAACAAAAAAGAATCACGATGCCAAGCCAACAAACAAAATAAACCCGCATCTTTCTTTCACACACTCCCCCACTCCTCCACTCAAATCAAATTTAAGGAGCTTTCCATGACATGATGATGCAATGCAACTTGTTTCTGACCTCAATTCACTCACTCACTCACCCACTAGTATCTAATCTGCTTTTATTTTAAGCACTTTGTTTCAATTCAAACTGTGGGTTTGATGCCCAAAGTTTAGCTCTCACTTTCTCGGCCACTGCTGGGCCTATCCATTTCTAATTGGGCCTATACACCTTCTGAAATAAGTGAAAATGGGCCCATGAACCTAATTTCTCCTTCCTGCACAAAAAGAAACATGAGAAACAAACAAAGCAGTAAATTTCAGTTAATGTGTGTCGTGGTCACCCAATAATGATTGAGTACAGTATCGCAACTCTCACCTAACCAGAATGTTGCTCTCAAAAAATCATCTTGAAATGTCGAATCGTGCATTCAATTCAACTCAATTAATGTGTTACAACTGCCAAGTGATGGCAATGCAATCCTGCTTCCCCACACTGGACATCCAACACTCTGATTTGGTGCTCTCTTTAATAATGCTGATGATTATTGATGTCTTCTTTTTATTCAATCTTTTTTCTTCCATTTTATACGAGGTAGGGTCCGGTGAAAATGAACGCATACACTGTTTTATTCAACTAACTTAACCCATATATGGATAATGGATGTTACGAAAAATAGCATGCCATATTTCAATTGGAATTTAATGAAACAGACAAAGGCGCACAGTGGTAGGTATACAACAGAACTGAACTCACCAATGCATGTTAACTTTATCAATGCGTACAGTGTACCATTGTTTGTTTGAATCTTTGAACGACGAAACTGCACAAATATTTGCAGATCGATTTCCTTGGAATGAACGTGCCCTCCTCACCAAGAAACAATTGGCACCCATTTAACTGAAACTAAAATTAGATGAAATAAAAAAAGGACAATTTATTTTGTTGTGTTCATCGTTTCAAGTTTCAACAAATAGAAAAATACAAGACTCTCTCTCAGTAACCGAGAAGAAGCATACACGTCACACGGCTGCCACATAGTCTATCTCTATCTCTCTCTCTCTATATATATATATATACACCCACCACATAACAATACCAAACATAACAGAGCAAGAAACAGAGAAGCCAAGGCACACAGAGAGAGTCAACAGAGATGGAGAAAATTGAGCACACAACGGTAAGAACAAACGGCATAAACATGCACATAGCGTCAATCGGTACAGGCCCAGTTGTGCTCTTCCTCCATGGATTCCCGGAGCTCTGGTACTCATGGCGCCACCAGCTCCTTTCTCTCTCATCCTTGGGCTACCGTTGCATAGCCCCCGACCTCCGAGGCTTCGGTGACACCGACGCACCACCTTCCCCTGCCTCCTACTCGGCCCTGCACATAGTTGGTGACCTCATTGGCCTCCTTGACCATCTGGGTATTGACCAAGTCTTCTTGGTCGGCCATGACTGGGGCGCCATCATTGCCTGGTGGTTCTGCTTGTTCAGGCCTGACCGGGTCAAGGCCTTGGTCAACATGAGTGTGGCCTTCAGTCCCAGGAACCCAAATAGAAAGCCTGTCGATGGTTTCAGGGCCTTGTTTGGTGATGATTACTATATTTGCAGGTTCCAGGTAAATCACATTCTTTCAATTTTTTAATTTCCTTTTCGATCTGATTGAAAAGTTTCAATCTTTTTGTGATTCAGTATATGATATTTATTGGGTCAGATTCCAATTGCATTTTTTTGGCTCCTCTTCGCTGAATTATTCTACAACAACAAGTTCTCTTCTTTTTTGCTTTGCTTCTTTTCTTTTCCATGTTCGCATTTCATTTATGAATTGATTAATTTTTGTGTGGAGATTGCTTAATCTGAATATTCCCCAAGATGGTATAACGTTTATCATATGCATGCGGATTATTTTTATCTATATATTTGGTGTTAACTGTTGGATTTATTATACTGACATTGGGTGTATGCGCCTGTTAAATTCGTTCTCATTAATGATGTATTCAGTCTGCGCAACCACCTCCTTTTAGGCTACTATTACAACTGCACAACCCACACCCCTTACTTGTGCGCAACCCACACCCCTTCCTTGTGCACAAATTTTACTTCTCAGAGATCCGTCCTTCAAAACCAGACGTGGGTAATTTGACCAGCGGTTTGAGATTAATGAATTTAAGCCACAGTTTGAGCTTAATGAGATTTTTTGTACCTGCTCATTGTTAAGGACTGTTTGTTTCTTGGTGATTTTGTTGAGGCATAGCTCTTGTTACTCAAATCCTTATGTAACTCTCATAACGAAAATATATATATGCATCAAATCCTTTTGTTGAGGAATGCTGTGCTGTAGGAACCTGGGGAGATCGAAAAAGAATTTGCTGGTTTCGATACTGCATCAGTAATGAAAAAGTTTCTTACTGGTCGTAGTCCAAAACCTCCACGCCTAACTAAAGAACTAGGATTAAGAGCTTGGGAAACTCCAGAAACCTTGCCCCCTTGGCTGTTAGAAGAGGACGTTAATTATTTTGCCAGCAAATTCAGCAAGACGGGGTTTGTTGGTGGATTGAACTATTATCGAGCTTGGAACTTGTAAGTACCTACCCCTTTCCCTTTGAATTGGTTATCATATGTTGAATACATTGTCTTTCTTAGATTGTAAAGGTAATTTCTCGACAGAAATTTTGAGTTAGAGATCAGCAATCAGATGACATTTAAGTAGCTTGAAGCAAAATTGTTTGTATTGAAATGGGTTGGATGCATATTCCAATTAAGTATTTTCTTCTTGGTTGCAGAACCTGGGAGCTTACAGGACCATGGACAGGGCTACAGATCAAAGTACCGGTCAAGTTTATTGTGGGCGACCTGGACATCACCTATCATATCCCAGGCGTTAAGGAGTATATACATAATGGAGGCTTCAAAAGAGATGTTCCATTTTTGCAAGAGGTTGTTGTGATTGAAGATGGAGGTCACTTTATTAACCAAGAAAAGCCCGACGAAATCAGTCAGCACGTATATGACTTCATCCAGAAGTTCTGATTTTTGTTAGCTTTGTTTCGCAGTTGCTACTTCAATAAGTTTGGCTGCAGTTGCTACTTCAATAAGTTTGGCTACAGTCACTTTCGTGTTGAATCTAGTTTGAGATTTTCGTCCTTAAGGTTTGCTTATGTAATAATAAAATGCAGAGCTTGTTCTATCTTTTGATCATCGTGATTATGCTGCAAGCCTCAATTTGTGTTATGTAATAATTCTATGAACAAGTCATGTAACAATTCTAGTAATAAGTCAAAAGCGAGGCTTATTTATTAGCCCTTTCAAATTACAATATAAGAGTGGTTCAACTTACTATAAGCAATTCATTAATTTTGGAAGAGCCATTGATTTCATTTTCAGAAATCAAAGTGAAGATGAGCTAAATCAAAATATTTGTTTGTTGCTCCATGCATGAAGATGAGTGAGGCCGAGAAAAGTAATAATATCAAACCAAAATCGAATTAAACAAAATCTTCAACATCTACCATACATTTCTGCAAGTATCCATTAATCCTTCAAACATCTAAACATCTTCCTCTCAAAAACTAAAATAGTCATAGGGAACAATGGAAATATAGATGATGATAAGCTATTGATAACATAATAGGTCCAACAATAACGCAAAGTGAGAAAAACAGAACTGAAAATAGGGAGATGACTCGTTTTGCAACTCTTAAACACGGAAACCCTTGCTGTTCCTTTTGCCTCTAGCCTTCTCAAATTTCCTACCCTTTGATCGTACATAGGGTTTGGTGTGACTGTGAGGCACACCAGGAGCAGGTCCAAAGTGCTTCACAGCTTCACGAGCATTCTTTGGTCCTCTGAGAAGAACCTGCAGAAAGAATCGTTGTTTATTTATCAGCATAATCCTTTTATTCAAAAAAATTCTTGTGAACACAGAGGGATGAATAGAAGAAGATAATAATCTTAGAATGCACCAAAACAGATTATCAGATTTCAAAACCGTAACTACCTGTACCAGATGGCTCAAAATTCTCCTCACCACTCTTTTTGCACCTAAAAAGACACTACACCTCCAATTTTCATGACAGCTTCCATTAATCTTCACCAACATATTAAGCTTCCGCTATGAAATAGTCCTCTACATGGTGTCGCGAATAGTTCCAAGATTCTCCTCTCACAATGAAACAGTCCACTTCATAACGACTACTAAGCTAAATTACAGTAGACAATTTGCCATGGAACTTTACTCTCCAACCCAAATACTTATTTTCTGTCATCATATCATATCCCGATAACCTACACCACCCAATAGCACCCATATCTGTGAACCTAGTGTCACATATTAACTACAAGTTTGAAACAATACCCTTGGTTTGGTTTGATGCTGGCACGATCATGATTTTAAATTACATATTGTGAAAAGACTATATAAGATCATGTTACTTTTCTATGAGATTTTACTCTTAGTCAAGTGAAGCGTACGCATGAAGGCAAAATATCATAATTGAACTATCAAATCCAACAAAACCCAAAAACCACAATCTTGCAGGTCATTCGGATAACTACATATACAAATAAATATGAAAAAACAAGTAAACTGGCAACAGACATACCGTGTTCTGGCCAAGAGGGGCCCTGAGAGCCAGCTGGTCAAAAGTCAAGCACTCTCCACCAGCCTTCTCAATCCGAGCTCTGGCGGTTTCAGTGAACCTCAGAGCGGTCACTTTCAGAGCAGGTACTTCATAAACTCGAATGTCGTCTGTCACAGTCCCGACGACCACAGCGATCTTACCATCCTTCCCGTTCATGTAACGAATCAATCTGGAAAGGGAGAGAGGGGCCTTGTTCACCTTGCTCATGAACAGCCTCTTCAAAATCACCGCACTGAACTTACTCCCAGTCCTCCTTACAAGAAACCGATACAGCTGAAACCCAGATCCAAAAACAAATCAATACCCAAAAAAGCTTCACAAAACAAAGAGAAAATAGATATACAAATATTCAGATTCAAAGGGAGGACCTTCACGAGGAGCTTGAGGTAGATATCATCGGACTTGGGCGCTGTGCGCTTTGTCTTCTTGCTCTTTCCACCGGCGACCAAATCGATACCCTGCGAGTATAAACATGAAGAGGAACACAGTTACAGAGCAAGTCGGGGAAAATGGAGATGTGGGTCTTGGGGTTTGAAGGGAGATTACCATTGCGGCTCCTTGTTGCTCTTGAGGCAGAGAAGGGGTCTAGGGTTTTATTTGCTGGGAAAGTCGAACTGGCGTACCTCTCGAGTTTTTATATAAATGGGGCTTTTTCTAAGAAAGGTTTTTGGGCTTCTTGACCCAGAAAAAAATAGGACCTCAGGCCTCGTGTGCTTTATTTTATTTTATTTTTTAAAAGGTTCTTCAAGCCCAAAAGCCCAGTCTATAGAAGGGGTAATCTGCTCCGCACCCTAAAATTTGATTCCTACGCCCATATTTAATTTTTAAGTGTGAAGTAACCTAGTCGGCATGAAATAGTCTAATTTACCTTGATATGTTTCATTCGAAAATGTTATATTCGTAGGTGATGGTTGATATGCAAAATGTGAAACTTTATTTGGTGCAAAATAAATTGTCTCTCTTCCAACTTCCGCAATGAAAAACCTACCTCCAAGCTCAAAAACTAATGGGAATTAAACACCTATGATTTCTTTGTCATGTTTGTATCTATCAAAGATTAATGAATCTTATACTTAGTCTCAAATTTCAAATTCGTAAAACATATATTGTCTTCTAGATGTATTTACTATTCACCTGTAACATATAACGCTAAACACTCTAATAAAACAAATACATAAGTTATGATGACAAAAAATATGGCAATACAAAAGATATTAATATACCTTTTATTTGTATACAAACAGTATTTGAGAAAGGGAATGAAGCAAAAGACATCCGGGTGCAAAAGTAGACTATTAGACTTCTAGCTTGTTAGGTGGAACTTTAGGACATCGCTTGGAGTTATTGGGATGAAATTAAGGACGGACCATAAACCCTAAACCCTAAATTATAGCCCAGCCAATTGAATAACCTACCCTCCCAAGGAATCCTTTGCACTACACGTGGAGAATGAAACGGAGAAGAGGAAAGGTGCACATCTCTACACATAGGAAAAAAAGAAAGAAAAAAAGAGTGCACATCCGGTGGAAAAAAAAGAAGAAGATGAAATTGTTTATGACTGTTTCTTAGAGTTGTCGACTTTGTCACCAAACTCATATAGATAATGAATCAATAATGAATTATTTTAATTCTATGAAGACTCGAAAGGTGCAACTTATATAGTGTTATTTGAGGAGTAAGACTTATTATACCCCCATTGATTAGGTGTATTATTATTTTTTGTTATAAATGAAATTATATTGTACTATCAAGTTTTCTATATACTTAATATGTTTATATATGTAAAGTAAATTTAGACCAATCAATTTTGAAATCTTGAGTCCGTCCCTATATGAAATCAATGGTAAAGGGTTTCTAAAGTGATGTAAATGGTCATGCCAAAATACCATAATTTATGTTTGTTCTCATCTAAAAGTCGTTTTGTTTCGCACTTTTTTTATGTGTAAAAAAATTATTTGATCAGTCAACAAATAAAATTTTAATTTTTCTAACGTGTTTGACTGCAAATGGAAAGGAAAGACGATTTAAAAGAAGGGAAAAAACAAAAAACTAATTGAAACAAAGAATTTGGTTGTTTTCTCAATCATTTTCATATTTTGTTCCACCGCGGCGGCGCCAAGTGGCCTCTACTCTACAATGTCCCTTTTCATCTTTTTCTTTTCTGGTTTGAGGATGTCCTCTGTTTCTTTATCCTTATTTTTTATGAACTTTGCATGGTATTTATATAATTCAGCAACCAGAGAACTCTGCCGATCCAACCTAATCCAACCCAACCCAATCCAACCCAACTCCGTAATATATATATATATATATATCGACATCCTATACATCATACCAAGCTCGCATGTGGGGCAGTTTCCTATTCCTTATAGCTGGCATAACTTCTACGTCTAAGCTGCGGATTATCTCTTCTGCAATGCAATTATCGATTTATTGATTCGAAACAGTATATGAAAATACTTAAGTTCATGAATAATCCAAACTACAAGTTATTTACAAAATACTTTCGAACGGGTCAATACATCATCAGAACAAAACTATACGTATATAAGTATCGAATTTATCACAAATATTTTACTTCAAACGAAAGTGGTGATAAATAATACAATACACTGCTAATTATGATTCATACTTAATGTATAACGTAAAGAATTGGTAATTGAATTCCGTTTATTTGACAAAAATAAATACAGGGTTGATTAAAATCTGTTGTTGTCCTACCGTATTACCAACTCAGTCGTCAGAGATTCAGACACCCCTCCGTCAGAATCGCCGTTGAATTTTATCATCATCCCTCCCAATTACCAAACTACCCCACCGTATTCTTCGTATATCCCTAACATTTTCCCTCGTTCCGAGTGGCTTTTCAGTCAAACAGCAAAACTTCCCTCAAATGTCCAAGTAACTACTCCTCTCTCCCTCTCTCTCCCTCTCTTGTAATTTTTCCTAAATCCCCTCCGCGCTCTATTCCCCCACAAGGACACGATGCAATCCACAAAATCTCGGCGGAAAGTGGCTCCGTCCGCCGCGGAAAGCGCAGACTCGGCTGAAAAACTCGACCAACTGCTCCTCTCCTCGGCCATCTGCAACGGCGAGGATGTGGGCCCATTTGTCCGCAAGGTCTTCACTTCCGGCAAGCCCGATACGTTGCTCCAGCACCTCCGCCACTTCGCTCGATCCAAGGAGTCTGAAATCGAGGAGGTCTGCAAGGCCCACTATCAAGACTTCATCCTTGCCGTCGATGACCTCCGATCCCTCCTCTCCGACGTCGATTCCCTCAAGTCTTCTCTCTACGATTCCAACACCAAGCTTCAGTCGGTCGGCCTCCCTCTTCTCTCCTCCCTCGACGCATTCGTCGAAGCCCGAAACGTTTCCCGAAACGTCAACCTAGCGCTCGAATCGGTTCGAAACTGTATTCGTTTGATGGAGCTTTGTTCCCGATCCAATTACCATCTCTCCAGCAGCAACTTCTACATGGCGCTCAAGTGCGTCGACACCATCGAGTCCGAGTTCCTAGACAAAACGCCGTCGTCTACGCTCAAGCGGATGCTGGAGAAGAAGATTCCAGAGATTCGGTGGCATATCGAACGGAAGGTCAGCAAGGAGTTCGGCGATTGGCTGGTGGAGATCCGCGTGGTGAGTCGGAACCTTGGTCAGTTGGCGATCGGTCAAGCTTCCTCGGCGAGGCAACGAGAGGAGGATCTGAGAATCAAGCAACGCCAAGCTGAGGAGCAGAGCCGCCTCAGCCTCAGAGACTGCGTCTACGCTTTGGAAGAAGAAGACGAAGATGGACTCGGCGGTGGGGTTGGAGATGATATTAACGGTGGAAGTGGATTTCCGGGGGTTGATTTGACTCCCTTGTACAGAGCCTATCATATTCACCAGACTCTAGGGCTTGAAGACCGGTTCAAGCAGTATTACTTCGAGAATCGAAAGCTTCAGCTCACTTCTGACTTTCAGGTATCTTCCATGACTCCGTTTCTTGAATCTCATCAAACTTTCTTTGCGCAAATAGCCGGATTTTTTATTGTTGAGGATCGGATTGTGAGGACCGGTGGCGGTTTGATATCGAAATTGGAGGTTGAGAATTTGTGGGAAACTGCTGTTAGTAAAATGTGTTCCGTTTTGGAGGATCAGTTTTCTAGGATGCAAACGGCCAACCACTTGTTGTTGATTAAGGACTATGTGAGCTTGTTAGGTGTGACTTTGCGTAGGTATGGATATCTGGTTGACCCTTTGCTTGATGTTCTGAGCAAGCATAGGGATAAGTACCATGAGCTGTTGTTGTCGGATTGTCGTAAACAGATTGCTGAGGCACTTTCTGCTGATAAGTTTGATCAGATGTTGATGAAGAAAGAGTATGAATATTCCATGAATGTTCTTTCGTTTCAGATACAGACCTCTGATATCATACCGGCTTTTCCTTATGTTGCACCATTTAGTTCTACGGTGCCTGATTGTTGCCGCATTGTACGGTCTTTTATTGAGGATTCTGTGAGTTTCATGTCGTATGGTGGGCAGCTTGATTTCTTTGAGGTCGTTAAGAAGTATTTGGATCGATTGTTAAGTGAAGCTTTGGATGGGGCTCTTTTGAAGCTAATCAATACGTCTATCCATGGGGTCTCCCAGGCAATGCAAGTAGCGGCTAATATGGCAGTCATGGAGCGAGCTTGTGATTTCTTCTTTCGACATGCTGCTCAGCTTTCTGGCATTCCCTTGAGAATGGTGGAGAGGGGGCGGAGGCATTTTCCGCTTTGCAAAGCCCGTGATGCAGCAGAAGAGATACTCTCTGGGTTGCTTAAACAAAAAGTGGATGGGTTCATGACGTTGATTGAGAATGTGAACTGGATGGCCGATGAGCCTCTGCCGAATGGGAATGAATATGTGAATGAGGTAGTCATATATTTGGAAACCCTGGTTTCCACTGCTCAGCAGATATTGCCTCCTCATGTCCTTAAACGAGTTTTGCAGGATGTCCTTTCTCACATATCAGAGAAAATAGTTGGGGCTTTACTTGGGGACGCAGTTAAGAGGTTTACTGTACATGCAATTATGAGCATTGATGTGGATGTTCGGCTGTTGGAATCTTTTGCAGATAATCAAGCTCCTTTACTCTCAGACGAGGAAGCAAATCAGTTGAAAACAGCACTTGCTGAGTTGAGGCAATTAATTAATTTACTCTTAAGCAATCATCCAGAGAATTTTCTTAATCCGGTAATCAGGGAGAGGAGTTACAATACCTTGGACTACAGAAAAGTAGTGGCTATTTCAGAAAAATTGAGGGATCCTTCTGAGCGGCTATTTGGAACTTTTGGGAGCCGGGGAGGCAGGCAGAACCCAAAGAAGAAATCTCTAGATGCATTGATAAAAAGACTCAAGGATGTGAATTGATTTGTTTACGTAGCTGTATGTATGATCCTTCCCCTTTTCCCCTCCCCTACAATACCCTTGTTGATTGTGATTGGAATTATTTCATAGCTTTTTCGTTGCTAACTTTGTTATTTGCATTGTTGTTTCTCAATGTATCATGGGATATGCAAAGATTCTTCTGTATGTATCAGGCTCATAGTTACTCATCGGTTATTGTATTGATGAATTTTTTTCAAGTCGTTGAAGAATTTGCATTATATCTTTGAAATTCTCCCGCTGGTTGAGTACATAAGTAAAATGCATGCAACCTCACTAAAGCTTGTCTTGAAAGAGAATGCGAATTTATGAGACTTGTCAAACTTATGGATTTGACCGAGGGCTAGCTGGTTTTCTAATCATGACTCTCTTTAGGCTTGTATTTATCTTACTCCCAGTACCACTTGCTATAGGTGGTGTTGTTCTAATATCTACCCTCTTTTGCGCATTAGATGTAAGCCTCATAAGGCTGGGACCTGATGTTTGGTTTGTGCTTGTATAGATTTTTAAAAAATCTTATATCGGTGTAGGATGGACTCCCTCAGCTCACCTTAAATTCAGAGAAAGTCATTGCAATCTATATAGCATTGTGACTTCGCTTCTGATAGATTATGTTTATTTTTAACTGTTTATATTTTAGATGAATTTTAGTTGGAGGGAGAGGGCTTTGGTAATTTTATTGAATCTATCTTATGGCAAGATTTTCTTCCTGCTACATTTTATTTGCAGATGGCATAACATCGATGGATGGGTGTTTTGAGGGGTTAGGAGATCCAGCAAGGGTGAAAACTTTTGTCTCAAGAAAAATTATAATTGGCTGCCTGGTATGTTTGTAAGTTTCATGTGCTGCTTTTTATCTTCTAATTCTTATCAAATAGGTGGTTATTTACACTAGCTGACAGGTTTATGACTGCGAGGTGCCTATACTGCTCTTTAAAATTCTTATGGTTTCTGCTTACCGTCACTTAGAAATAGTTTTGATAATCTGCACTAGAAATAGTTCTTATAATTATGCTTTCTTCTACGCTTGCAATTGCTTTAGTATATTGTTTACAATTTTGTTGTCGTCACCATTTGGCATTCCATTTTAAAATGGCAAAACTGAGAAACGATTCGATGTCGATGATGATGTTATTTTCTTTATCATAGAGCTGGGAATCAATTTTTTTTTCAGTTTGTTGTTGTAAAGAAAGATCAATTGCCAACTTTGCTTAAGTTTTAGTGTGATTCATACCGCCCCTTGTCGGCTGGACCTGGTGGTAGACTCAATAACACAGAGAAGAAGAATGATTGATAAGATATACATTAACGATGAGCTGTATGATTGATTCATTGATATTCAAAATAACGGGGCCGCTTCTATCACAACAGCCTCGGACGCCCAAAGACGGCCTATTTCTAGTTTCTGCAGTCCAATTGCCAATCCAATCTCTTCTCGAACAGCTTGCTGTTTGGCCCATCCCCACTACATTAGATTTTCGTGTTGAATTGAATCCATTTTTACAACTTCATGGGCGATTTTTTCTTTAACCTTTGTCCTTTTTCCAATGCATAAATTGACTGTTTCACAAACGTTATGTGTGAGGCGTCACCAATCACCATCTGCTGACAACCTTGCATGCGTCTGCAGCACAGAGACACCTTGTTTTCAACTTTCAAGCTTTGATAGTGACCCTCCAAATTCTTCACCTCTTTGTTAAAACTATGAATGAAACCCAATTCCCAATTGTCATCTGCAACATCAATCAAGATAATCCTCAACCAAACCCCCACGCTACGTGGCACCATGTAGGCTTCAAAAATAGCGCAGTACAAACGAAAGATAAAACGGCATTCAAACGATTCTATTCTATTAATGAGAAATGTGACAAAACTGTCACCTTCATTGTGATTGCGTGAAATGTGCAAAGCATTGAGCCAGTCATCCACCACAACTGATGAACTTCCCCAATCCATAAATACACATGTCCTCTCCTCTGTTTGCCAGCCTCACTCACTCTCCGCCTAATCAAACACCGCCCACAAAGCTTCTTCAAGACTGGGAATTCATGGCTTCCTTCTCTCAGTCTCATAAAAGAAAGCCCACATCTCCGTTAATGGTGTTTCCCTTTGCACTTCTCCTGATCATTCTCTCATCCTCTGCCTATAGCGACGACACGCTATCAGCATACGAGATGCTTCAACTATATGACTTCCCAATCGGCCTTCTTCCCAAAGGAGTAACAGGCTACGAGCTAGACAGGGACACCGGCAATTTCAAGGCGTATTTCGACGGAACCTGCAGCTTCTCCATTGAAAACTCGTATCAGCTCAGGTACAGATCCACCATAACTGGTGTTTTGTCCAAAGACAGGCTCAAAAATTTGAAGGGCGTGAGTGTGAAGGTGCTCTTCTTCTGGATCGACATAGTGGAAGTGGTTCGAAATGGCGATGAGCTACAATTCTCCGTGGGGATTGCTTCAGCCGACTTTTCAATCGACAACTTTGAGGAGAGCCCGCAGTGTGGCTGTGGATTTGCTTGTCAACAGTTGATGAGTAGCGCCGTGCCATCACATTCGGTGAGAGCACTTATGAAGTCTAACTAACTATATGCAGAAGTGAGTTAGGCCAGTTGCCGAGGACAGTAAGCCCAAGGACAGTAAGCCCATCACGTGCACCACCTAAGTTCTGAGTCCACATACCCCTTAGATTAAAAGGGGGCTTTGCAAATAGAGCATTAGAGCTAGCCCTCTCTATATAAGATCTGCTTTGTTGTGTGCAATTTATATATGTATTATGTAGGCACAAACGAATCAAATGGAATATTCTTTGTTTTGGCTCTCAAATTTCTTTATATATATGTTCCAACTTCCATCTACCGTTTAGAGCCTGCATAACCAAACAGTCAAAACTTCATCAACCATGTCTCCAGAGGAAACACTGCTCTGGCTATCTCTCTTCCTTCTGGTCTCCTTCCCAATCCCATCTGCATCTGTCAACGACGAGCTGACAGTTTACGAAGTCCTGGAAGAGTATGACTTCCCAGTTGGCATTCTTCCCAAAGGCGCATTGGGCTATGAACTAGACAACTCCACAGGTAAGTTCTCAGTCTACTTGAATGGCACTTGTTCCTTTTCCATTGACTCCTATAAGTTGAAGTACAAGTCCACCATAACCGGTGTGATTACGGATGACAAGATCTCGAGCTTGAGTGGCATCGAAGTGAAGGTGCTCTTTTTTTGGCTGAGCATCGTCAAGGTGATTCGTGACGACGATAAGCTCGAGTTCTCTGTGGGCATCGCCTCTGCGGACTTTCCAGTCGGTAATTTCGTTGAGAGCCCAACCTGTGGTTGCGGTTTTGATTGTGTTAATGGGAAGGGAAGGAAGATTAAGATCAATAATTTAGTGTCCTCGGCTTAATTAAGTTAGTTTTCAATTTTTCATTGCCTAAATGCAGTTTAGACATGGCATTATGTAAGTATCCAACGTTCATTACTATATGATCTGAGAATAAATGTACAATACCATTGTAATATATGACGGATTTTCATAATTTGCATGAGTTTGTACCACTCACTACTTCACAAGCAAGCAAATAGTGGTAAGGATTTACCAATGGTACTCATTTGCCATCCATACAGATTTGACTGGTTGTTGAGCTTTTTATTGCATATTCCTCCCAAGCATGTGGACATAAAGGAGGGATAGTGTCGGTACGTCTTGTTATTAACATGTTATCGCCGCATAAATCACCTCCTTAACAGTGGGATAGTGTCGATACATCTAAAACATCAACAATGGACTCCCTAATGTCTTGCACCTAGAAAAACCATATGCCAGAAAGAGGTAAATGAAAAAGGAAAAAGAAAAAAAGAAGAAGGGGTAGTTATCAACGTGCAGAAAAAGGTGGTTGGGTAATTAAAAACAAAAAGGGCCTCAAGATGTACAGTGTTGGGCTGTTGTAATTTTAACTGCCCAACTCCAACTACAATTATATTTCTGTTCATTCGACTTTCCATTCCTACCTAACCCGCTGTAGAGATCCACACAGACGATCAAAAGGCATGACTTTTAAAGTAATATGTGTCACCGTCAGTGAGAAATTACTATTCCCCCCTTCCTTTTTGGGGAGGAGAGCCTCCAAATGTGAACCCGGCTTTCTTCTTATTACAGCGAAGTCACCACGTACTTCGCCAAGCCAACAGCGCGTGACTACCTAAAAGAATACAACTCCTCCATACGTCGCCGTTTTTGGAGAACTATTATTGTCGTATTCGGACTGTATACGTCGTCTCCACCGCTGTCAGTCAAAGCCAAACCGACTCTCCACCAACAACAATTCCCGGAAAAATACTAAAAGCAACAAAAAACTTGGGGAGAGAGAAGCGAGAGAAAATCCGAAAGCCAAAACCATGTCGTCTCTCGCAGCCATTCTCGCCCTCTTCGTCATCCTATCCCCTTTCGCTACGTCATCAACGGCCGCCGCCGGCGACGATGACTCACGGTCGGCGTACGATATCATCCAAGACTTCGACTTCCCGATGGGTCTGCTCCCGAAGGGCGTCACTGGTTACGAACTGGACCGAAGCAACGGTCAATTCCGAGCTTATTTGAACGGTTCCTGCAGTTTCGCATTGGAAGGGTCGTACCAGCTCAAGTATAAGTCCACCATCAGTGGCTCTATCTCCAAGAACAAGCTCTCTGCGCTCACTGGGGTTAGCGTCAAGGTCTTGTTCTTGTGGCTCAACATCGTCGAGGTCACTCGGAGCGGCGACGATCTTGAATTCTCTGTGGGGATCGCTTCTGCTGCGTTTCCGATTGACAACTTTTACGAGTGCCCACAGTGCGGGTGTGGATTGGATTGCGTCAATGGGCAAGTAAGGAAAATTAAAATGAACCCTCTTGTTTCTTCAATTTGAAAAGAAATTGGGTTTGTAGGGCGATGTTTTTATGGATTTGGAGTGATGGTTAGTGTCTGTTTACACTTTAATTTCTTAAAGATGCTAAATTTTATGGTTTTCAATAATTCTTGTTGTTGTGTTTGTTACATGTTTTGTTATGGAAATTGAATCAAGATATTGATTGTTATTCTGAGGAGTAATTTTGTCATGGGGAGGAATAAATGAGAGATCAATTTAATGTGTATGTTCAATTGAAGCATGTGACAAAAAAAAACGCAGTTATGTTACATAAGTTTAGTGTATAATTGCATTGTACTGTTTAAGCATATAGGGGTTATGGTGCATTGCAAAGAGTTGAAGCGTGTATTTTGATTGATAGGGGTCTGTGGAATGTAGTTTTGGTCAAAACAATTAAAACACCACTTGCTTTTGATGTTTCTGGTCTGGTAGTAAGTTTTATACTTTCTTATCACTCAGATCCAGGAGGCAAGTTTTTAAGTAACCTGATTTACTTGTGTGCTCATAGAGTTTATATGCTATAGGTAATTTTTATTTGTTTTTGCTATTGATGTATTCTGTACGGATAGCTTGGGAATTGTTGAGGTAGGTTTTCTAGATGGATAGCTTGGAAATGATTGAGTTAGGTGCTGATGAACAAATCGTGTCAAATAGTACTCTGCTTGAGAGCGTGAGGGTTCAGATAAGGTTTAGGGTTTTAGGTTACAGACATAGAGTTTGTGAAAGTTGATAAGCATATTAGAATGTGCTCTTATTTTCATGCTCTTTTGGGTTTAGAGAGTCGTCTTTCTCTGAAAAGATGTTTGGAAAACTAATGTGCCAGTGAAAAGCATATTACAGTGTGTATTTTCATGCTCTTTTGGGCTTAGAGATGTCTTCTTTGGAGTTTAGGTAGTCAGCGGTTCATGGTAATATTTTTGATCTACCTCAAGTTTGTATTGATCGTGCAACTGTGCAAATAGAAATTGAAGGATCTTCAGGGCTGTTGAATTGAATATGCCCTAGAGATTGTTATTTGCAGTTATGTTTGTGCTGAACTCAGTGGCATAGCTGACAATATGCTGGATAGCTTTCATTTGAAAAGCTAAAGGAAGTTCTTATTTTGGTTTTGAAGAACAGGGATTTCTGATTCAACACAGTAGCAAATATCTTGCAGTTGGTTGTCTAAAGTAGTTTTTGTATTTACTTGCCTCGTACACAGAACTAATCCTTATCCTCTCGTATCAATATTAGCTGAGCGTTTGTTAGCTGAAGGTATGTGAATCTTTTATGAAGGAAATGTCCCTTGGTGTGTAGATTAATGTAGACCCGGAGGAACTTTGCACTACGTTATAGTTAGATTACGAGGGTTAAACAAAGGAAGTGGGAGAAATATTGGCAATCTATGTGGCAGTGGCATGAGGTTGAAGTCAGTGACAGACTGACAGTGGCCTGTAGTAATTACAAATGGGGGAGAATAAGAATCCTTGCTGCATTTGTAAGGTTGAGTTTATTTACAAGGTAGAAGTTTTAGTTATCAAATAATTTTATCCCCTATTGAAATGCTGAGCAGATGAAAGGAGGAGAAAAGAAGAACTCTGAAAACTTGGAAAAGTTTTACTCATTAGATGATGGAACAACAATTGATTAACATTCACCTGGAAGTGACTCAGATATGTGGATTCGTGGTATGTAAGCTGTGTTGGAGAAAGCTTTGCCCCCTATGACCCGCTTGTGAATTTGGGCCTATGTATGGTTGGCCTGACAACCGTTGTTGCCTTTCCTGCTCTACACTCTTGTCAACTTGGAATGAATCCATATAGTATGGGGTTTTTTTAAACTCTACTTTCTGTGTGAAATAGCTAGAGCCTTGAAAAATAAAGTAGTCCCGTAGCCTGCCCCTGAAAATTGTTCCTTCTCGGGTCTCTTTGCTTCTGCTCGACGAATATGCGTAATTTTTAGAATGGAGAGCATATCATGTGATGAACAAGGAGCAGAAAGTCGAGATATGGAAATTATAGTGAATCAATAGCCTTTTTGTTCTTTTAAGTTAGAATGTCCAGTGTCCTTCTAGTTTGAGTAGTAGTGGGGGTGGCATTGGCAAACATCACATTCCCTGCCTCTCCCATCCCACCATTCTGTTTTCTTCAATAGAATCATAAAAGATGGTGGGATAATACGATCCCTGTGACTTGAGAAACAATTAGATGCTTGTGAAATACAACACAATGATTGTTTTCCTATGCAAATGCAATTATGCAATGCAGCAGCTCTTCAAGTGTGGATGACGTTGCCTTGGCGTTTCTTCTTCATTTGTACATTGCAAGCAACCCATAACAATCAAATTAAAAAGAAGTCGGGTCAACCCAGTAAATGAATCAGCACGTCACTGTCCATGTTGATGCTTCTTTCTTCTTCTTTATTGCTTGGCTTTGGCTTTAGGGTTTGGCTCTTGAGAGTTGAAACAAGTGGACAACTTGTACTCGTCATCGCCACAAGAGACAAGACAAACATAAACAAAGCAGAGACCTAGACAATTCACCGCATCTATCTGGCAACATAATAATATCAGGCTTCAAATTTGGCCCTACCCTACCCATAAAATTTTATAATATCTTCCTTGGAATTGGCAAACAAGGGTGAACCAGAACCAGACAAACAAATTGATTCGCTATATTTGCGCCTAATTAGATTAGCTTGAGACCTAATTAACCAACACGCTAATAATTCATTCCCATTATCCTCAATTGTTTATTTATCTATCCCTGTCGTCGACCATATGCTAATGAATAGTCAAACTCATTTATCGATCAGTGGCAATCTCCCTTTGCATCAAACCATTTTCTAAATTTTATAATTGGATCTTAAAGCCAACTTCCTGGGCCATTCAATTACACTGCACCGTAACATGAACACATGGCAACCGGAAACGGTGCCACTTAATTTCAGTTTTCTTGGATGGTGCTAATTTATTGATAAGGCAATCATTACAAATATTATTATTACAGTCTAAATTACTTTAAATTAATCTAATTTTAATTATTATTAGTCTAAATTATTCTAAATTAATCTAATCTATCAAGAGGTAAACTTGATTTTAAGTAATTGACTCACTATTTTAACCAACTGACTTAACTTACGTCTACACTAATACCTACTATTATTTAACTTTGAGATTTCTATTACGCGCACGCATCAATTAATTTCAAGCCGAATACTATTCTTCCTCATTTTTTGGTTATCAGCTCTATCAATGGCCCCAATTTTCTGGGCGAGTTTGAAGTTTGACCCTCCCCCATCCCCCATAATTGATGAATTGTTGTCGTTGAATCAAATCCCACATCTTAGAGCATCTCCAAGAGAGATGTCAAATACCAAACATCAAATTTAAATTTGACGACTGATGTGGTTATTTGACATTTTACACAGCTTTACACTCCACCCGATATATCAAATTAAATTGTTATTTTATTACATTTTAGTGTTAATTTATTTTTAATTAAGAAGAAAATAAAAGAAAAAATAATAAAATATTTATTTGACATCTTACTTTTGGAATGTCAAAAATAACATATCAACCTCCGGCCTTCATTCCACATCAATTTTAACACATCAGTTGGAGTAATGCGAAATATTATTTCTAACTGTTAAATGTCTATGTGGCACTTTTTGACATATCAATTGAAAATGCTCTTACTCAGAGACGAACATAATTATAGAGGGTTCACACAATTAAATGCTCAAGCAAAGCATGAAACTTCGGATAAACATCCAACAATGAAAAGACGTGCATCATTATCAATCCATAGAATTTCCTAAATAATACACGTTCAAAATTGTATACTTCTTTACCAACAGAGAAACCATTCACAATCAAATCAAACAAAACGATTCTGACAAAATTAGCAACTAAATCCCCCAAAATGAATTCAACGAATTAAAATCATTTTATTATAAAAATTAATAAATAGGGTACATGCTTATATTATATAGTCCCTAAGGCAGAGGACAGAGGAACCAGCTATTCCAGCGAAGCCCGAACTCCGAAGAATTCAAACCCAAACACACCGACAGCCCATTCCTCGTACAATTTCCCCCTTTTCTTGTTTCGGAAAAGGACACGAGAATTTTTCTTTTCTTCTTAGTGCTTCTTCAACAGCACCGCACGTAGCTCGGCTGCGTCGATCTCCTCGGCGCCATTCTCGGGTCCGTAAAACCCGGTTTTCGGGTTGGGGACCCACGAGACCTTTGAAGCGGAGGTCACCTTGTCTTCCCCGGAATTCTTAACTACGTTTACGCTTCTAGGACTAGTAGCACCTCCTCCTCTAACCACGCTCGACGCAACTCCTTGAGAACCCGCCGCATATCCACGTCTGCAGTTTTCCAAATAAAAACATCATTAATGATATTATTATTAATATCATATTATAAGTTTATAACGTGAGCCGAAAGTGTTCTGCTTTGCAAATTAAAACGAAAGTAAAGGGTGTTTAATTATCCCTTAATTAAATTGATATTTTTCATTAACTGAAAACAAGGATCTCGTGCAGGCAGAGAGAAAGAGAGAGAGAGAGAGAGAGAGTTGTCGGAGATTTGTAAGTACCTGGTGATTGTGCTAGAGAATCCATCGGCGACGAGAGCAGAGAGAAGCTTAGCGTTGGAGAAAGAACGAGCCATTGTTTTTGTTATGGAAACTTAGAGAAAGATTTCTAAACACCGCTGCAGAAAGCTTAGCACAAAATCGTCAACTTCCCACAGCAGCGAAAGAAAGTAAATCTCTTTCTTTATGACTCTTTCTCTCTCTCTTGGAAATTAAGCCTCTCTTGAATTGCGAAGATGGGTTCCAGAGAGAGCAGGCCAGGCCTTTATATAGGGGAGAGAGTAAGAGACGCGTGCGAAGAAAACAAAAGCAAGCGCTGTGAAACGGAGCCTCGTCAAAGTGGGTTTCTCGAAGGACCTGTAGTTTGTTGCCACGTGGAGTGAATGCAAAGAGCCGTTTCCGATTGTTTTTAGGAGCTGGGGGGGACGTGATCCAACGGTGGAGAGGGAATGCGATTGAGTGGATGGAGGAGTTTTCTTTGAGTGACCCGAGTCTGAGTCAACGTCAAGGGAGGAAAGGTCGGCGTGAGTGCGGTATCTAGAATGTTTGGGATATTAGCCGTTGGATCTTTGGATGTACGTTGGCGGAATGAAATCTGAAACGTACACGTGGGGAGAGAAAGAAAGGGGAAGTGGTGGCGGAGTTTCTGAGTTGTGTTCTGGAAGGTTAGGCAATTTGGCCTCGTGAAAAAGAAAAAAAGCCAAGAGGGTCCACGAGAGAGAAGCTAATAGCCAAGTCAATGGTCTTAATAGGCTTGCTTGCGAGGGTCACGAGTCATGAGTCGTGCTGACGAAGGAAAGCCATTGATCCAAAGTGGTGTAATTTGTATTCGTGGTATGTAATGTATCTATCATTTTCTTTTTGGCCTTTAACAGCTGTCCACAGAACAGAACATAACGCAGTACCCTCCACCCCACAAAATAGCACATTAATGAAAATGAAAATAATTGAGACTGGTTTTCTCTTCTCTCTTCTCTGTCTCTGTCTCTGGTTTTATTTTTATTTGTCTCCTTCATGTCGTTTAATTTACAGCTATATATAATATATAGAGTGCAGCGTCTAGATATTTGTGTTATGATTGAGTGGCAACCGACTTCGAAGCCATGTCGGTTCCAGTGGTATTTGGAGTTCAATTGTTTTTTTAAAAGAATATTCTCTATAAAGAAGAGTGATAATATATTAAACAGATAATACGAATGTTAAGACTCAAATATAAAACCTTGCTTAAGAGAATAAGGGCCCGTTTGGTAACGTTTTCAGAGAATATTTTCTTATAATATTTTCATAGAATGAAAATAAGAAAACAAATTTGCATTTCAAGAAATGAAAATACGTCTAGTAGATTGATTAGAAAACATTTTTTTGAAAACAAAAACAATGAAAACATGTATGATAGTACAATTTAAAATAATAATATGTGAGTTATTTGTATGAAAACGTTTCTCATGAGAATGAAAACAAATTTTTTTTTTTTTGTTTTCTACCAGTACACATGAACTTGTTTTTATTTTATGTAAACATTCTCAATATTTTCTGTTTTTGGGCCACCAAACATGTTTTTACCTCATTTTTGTTCTCTAAAAATAAAAGCAAATCCTTAAAATGTTATCAAACGAGCCATAATTACTCCAAATTACTCACTAGTGGGTCTTTCTGTTTGGAGGAGTTCAATTATTGATGTTGGTGTTTTTTGGAGGCACTTCACTTGAATCAATGGATGAAGAACGTATTAGTTAAGTCAATATCAACTGACCCAACCCAACTTAATTTGGATGCGGATGCCGGATGTTGATGTTACAAGAATAATCTAAGCCATAATTCTCTTGTTTGTTAAAAAAAATATATATTTATTTATTTATTTTTAGGTATCTTTCTTGTTATGTGTTGTGTCATGTCACCCCGTGTTCTGCTTGCTTTCCTGTGAATGCTCTAGTAATAATGCATGCGTAGAATGCGACAATCAGTCAGTCGCTATAACTTTATACGTCGCAGCCAGCCGGCCAGCTAGGCCAGCCTATGCTCTCCTCAAGCGGATGGATGCATGAATCTCTGCGCGCCACCCTACAAATTTTTATTCATTGTATAAGATTATGAGGAACAGTATCAGTGGTATGCTTAGGCAAATAGTGGTGTTCTGAGCGTGTAAAAATTTCTCTGTCCGCACCCTTTTAACACTATTTCACAGCAACGGCGGCAGAAGACTCGGGGTTGAGAGGCCAGGCCAATTGGACTTAGACCAATGGCATCTCTTGGATGCATGAATCTCTACGCGCCACCCTCTGTCTCTGTCCCTTTTAATTTGCAAATTTGCAAGTTTGCAAACCAGTCTTTTGGTGAGACTCGAGGGGTGACGCTATTTCTCATTAACAACTTATATATATATATATATATATATATATATATAACACGCGGCTGCTTCATCATCCCGCAGTGATAATATATATATATATATATAGAAAGTCCAATATTGAAATTAATTGGTTGCCACATATAATATAATAGCTATATATATATTTCTTCATAGGTCACGCACTCTCTGTTTCTAGACAACCCTACATAGTCAAAAAGCAAAAGAAGGTAAGGTATAGTTGGTGGGGCGAGGGAAGGGAGTTCAACTATTTTGTTGACCATTTACGTTTTCTAGATTCTTCAAGAACCATTCTGATAGTTTTTTGGTTGGAACCATTCAGATAGTTATTAATTTATTAAATTAATATGCAACGTGACTCTACATGGAACGCAAGGGTTGGGGTTAAATAATAAGTGGAGTGGCCAAATTAAACAATCGTGGCCAAGTGGATGGGTGACAGGGTCAAGGAACATCATGAGGTTACTTTAACCTTTAGAGCATATCACTTTCATGTATTCTGTGATCTATCATTTTCAAAGTTTTTCTTATTTGGAGTGGCTTAAGTGTAACATTCCACATTAATCAACGCAGAGGGGATGATGTGCCTTATATGTATATGTCCACCTCCATTTGGAAGTTGCTGGTGAGTTTCCAAAAACAAAACCGTGAGGATAGGGGGCCCAAAGCAGACAATATCATGCTATGGCGGAGCCGATCCGGGATGTGATAGAATGATATAAGAGCCACTCTATCTTGTGGTGCGAGTATGTCGATGAGGACGTTGGATCCCTAAGGGGGGTGAATTATAACATCCCACATCGACCAACGGAGAAGGCGTGATGTGCCTTATATGTACATGCTCACCTCCATCTAGCACGAGGCATTTTGGTGATGTGACATTAAGCATACGATAACATCATCGTAAGTAGGATATAGCTCAGTTGGTTTTTTCTGTTTCTCTAAAAATTTATTGTGATCATTAGTCTTTTGGGCCTAAAGCCTTTAAACCTTGGGCCTGAGATTGAGCTGATGTACCCCAATTTCGGGATTAGAAGTTAGAAGCTGAGGCCCATTGATCTGCCCAAACTTAAATTAGAGTCCAATAGAATAGAATTATCCCGTCGGTGTAGTTAGGGCTTTTTTTGCTTCCAAATTTTGACAGTGAAGCAGCTAAGCTTTGGGAAAAAGACTCGGTGGTTAGTGCCTTGCCTTGGACCACGCCAGTCGGAGAGAGACTCAGCCAAACTCCTCGTTCGTCTCCTTAGTAGCTTCAAAGCTCCAAAATCGGGTGGGCGGAGACATGGGAGAGAACAATAGCGGCAGCGAAGTTCCGGCGAACCAGACCATCTACATCAACAATCTGAACGAGAAAATCAAGCTCGATGAATTGAAAAAGTCGCTTCTCGCGGTCTTCTCGCAGTTCGGGAAGATACTGGACGTCTTAGCTTTCAAGACGCTCAAGCACAAGGGCCAAGCTTGGCTTGTCTTCGAGGACGTCTCTTCCGCCACCAAAGCCATTCAACAAATGCAAGGCTTCCCCTTTTATGACAAGCCTATGGTATGCTAAACTAACCTAATCTAATCTTATATGCTTTTTCTTTTTTTACTTCTCTATCTATATCTATATTGTCTTTCTCACTCAAAGCAAGATACTTTAATGTGATTTTAGCTACAATTCAATTATTCAAAGGAAGCCATGGATTTTCTTTTTGTTAGCCTTTCTCACACACTATTAATATTGGTCACTCGTCAGTTGTTGTGAGGCTTTAGGTTTTGACCCAAGGAATTTGGTTATATAAGCGCCATTTGGAAATTTAATCTTTGTTTGCTTTTATTTTGTCCTTTAGAATGCCATTTGTATTCTTAGCACAATGCATGAGACGAGTATGTAAGAAGACTAAGCCCATCGCTAGGACAATGTGGTTGGGATTGGGGGTAGGGGTTAGAATTAGGTCAGATTTTCTTTTCCATTCATATGATTTTTCTATGGTGTATCGTCTATAAATCTGCTTAGTGTTGGTGAAAACGGATTTCTGCATGTCATGCCATCAAAAGGATATCCGACTTGCTCAGTGACATGCGCACACACACACACAAAAGCATGTTAGATATAAGTAGTTGTGATTACCATAACTTTTTCCATGTATATGATTTTGTTTTTTTGTTTTTTGTTTTAAACTTATTTTACTGATATGTGATTAAAACAGAGAATACAATATGCCAAGACAAAATCAGATGTAATAGCAAAGGCTGATGGTACTTTTGTTCCACGTGAAAGACGAAAGAGGCATGAAGACAAGGGTAAGACATTCTGCTCATCCTATTTTGCAATTCCCGTATCTTGTACATTGTTCGCTCTCGTTTATATAAACTGTATGACAATAAGATATATTGTTTGGAAAAAAAAACATATGTTATATTACTGTATGGCGGATATATGGGCTTTTGTGATCTTAAAGTTTGTTTTTCTGTTTGTTATGTGGCAGGGAAAAAGCGAAAAGAGCAACATGATGCTAGCCAAGCTGGAATGGGTGTGAATCCTGCTTACGCTGGTGCGTATGGTGCAGCACCTCCTGTAAGTATCTTCTCTGTTTCATGAGGGATATTCGATCATATCTCTTGTGTTCCTTGTTTGGTATTTTAGAACTGAATTTTTTTAAAACTCTTTGTGAAGTATACTTAGTGGAAAAACTGCCTGTGGTTTATAAGAGTTGGTAATTTGCACGTTTTGTGAAACATAAACTAATTAGATAGGTGCATGAAGTAGTTTATCTATTTCAAGTTTGTTTTGGTTCACTGAAACTGGTATATTTGATAAGACATTAAAAAAACACTACTCTGAATTATGGAATCATGGAATCAAGTGATCCACCTGTTACAAGTTGCACCTTGCCATCTCTTCAGAAAAGTTTATAATCTGCAGTTCTGCCCCTTTCCTTGAATTTAAATTGATGAAACTTTTTCCTTTTGTAAACATGTATAAACTTAAATAGTATGCTCTCATGAAATCCTTAACTTCTCTCTTTCTCTCCCCCAACCTGGTGCAGCTCTCCCAAATACCGTATCCCGGTGGTGTGAAGTTACCTGAGGCTCCTGCTCCGCCAAACAACATACTTTTTGTTCAGAATCTTCCTCAGGATACAACTCCCATGATGTTGCAAATGCTCTTCTGCCAGTACCCTGGTTTTAAGGAGGTTAGAATGGTGGAAACGAAGCCAGGTATTGCTTTTGTGGAGTTTGGAGATGAGATGCAATCTACAGTAGCAATGCAGGCACTCCAAGATTTTAAGATGACACCGCAGAATTCAATGTTGATTACCTATGCCAAAAAATAGACAACGGGATTTAGGTCCTTGCTATTCATATAACTTGTAGTCATGGGTCCGTAACTAGAATGTCGTTAATCTAGTGAGATATGATGTTTCAATGTATTATTGTTGTCAGGATATATTAGAAATGAGAAAAAGAATTACCAAGTCAAATTTTCACTTTCACCGATTTTCCGGTGACCAAGGATCATGTTCTGTGTCACTGTAAGTCGTAATTGTATCTGAAAGCAAGCTTAATTTGTTTGTTTGTGGTATTCCAAGAAGCATCTCAGTCTTGCGCATTAAGCTTCAAATCACACATTTGTATTTTATTTTAATTTGAATTTTGATTTGTTGAATGTTTATCTTTCAATGCGAACAGAAGGCATTGCGTTCTGTCTTTGCTTCAACTTGTTAATGGAATGAAATTTTCACAACACCAAGATTGATTAGATTTACAATAAATAACAATGGGAAAAAAGCAATGGGTGCCCGTTGTTGGTGGTGGTTGATTATCCATGGCCCATCCATACAGTATAATTATATTCTCCAACATAGCTAAAACATCTCTACAGCAAGGACGAGCTCAAGGAATTTGCAAAGAAATGCTCACGGAAAACCAATTTTTGTGGAGGGAAACTGCTTTCAGGGAGGGTCCTTAGAATTGCTGGGAGGCCACTGTATACATTTTGACGCATCTTCCTCACCAGAACATGCTTGTCTAGAACCACCAACTCCAACAATTTTCTGCAAGTCTGTAAGAAATATAGAAGTTAGCACTAGCACAACTGAATCAAAAAGGAAGAGCAGACGTAATATATGAGAAGATAAACTCAGTCATGCAAGAGATCGTGGATCGGAATACCTGTGCATTCAGTACATCCATCTTCCCCATAATTTCATCCTAAAACAGGAAACGATGACAAAATTAGGTGAGAAACATTACGGTATCTTTGCAGTTAAAGCTATTTGTTTCAGCACAATAATCATGAGATTGATAACTTCTTGATTTAATGACGTTGCTAGTTACTTCAACTTTGGAGCTTTACGCTTATGTAACAGTTGATTTATAGAAGGCAGAGGGGACATGAAGTAGCAAAAACAATGTTTTTTTCTAGCCATACAAATAGAATTTGTATAAACTCAGAGTGCAAGTACCTCTAATATCCCTGGATTTTGCAGCACAATCCCAAGAAGACGCCGTCTGAGTCCCTTGTAGATAATCTTGTTAATGGTCCCGTCACCGTTTATCCATGGCAGTATTGGCACACATAATTTACCACAAGTGAATTTAGAAGATTCATTGTCACCATGTCCTCTAGCTGAAACAACTTCCATGCAGCCTTCAGGCACACTGCAAGTTTGTTTTTCATACGAGCGCTCAGCAACCTCTTCAGGGGAACTAAGAATGGTCACTTTATGCACATCATTAACATTCATATTTGTTTCCCCCTGTGAATGAGCACCACCAGAATCACAATCTCCTGCATGGGGGATCACTGAAGTGCTGTCTAGTCGATCATTTCCACCAAAATGTTTTTCACCACTTGAAGTGTCATCATCTTTGAAAAAATCTACACAATTGGATGCAGAAGATTCTGCACGACATACAGATACCATGATACCTGGGAAACCTTTCTCTCGACGGGAAATCATTTCACTTTCGGATACCAAGGATTTTAGTTTTTTAGTGTTCAAACATTCATTGCTTTCAATTTTGCGTTTTGAGCTTCTCAAATCTTCAGCCTCGCCCACTCCTTCATCAGGCAGGCATGGGGAAATTGACAGCTGACCTGAAGAAACTAGAGCAAACAAATGAAATAAGTCCCCACATTCTAAATCTGCAGAGAGATCAATCCCTCCTTCCATAAGATCTTTATCCCTTCCATGGAGCCAACGAGAAAGTTTGGCAGCTCTCTTTCCAGAATCAATTGGAAATGGTGACTTGAAAATATTAGGGAAAAACTGAGGCGAGAGAGATAAAGGTTGACTGTCAGTACCCCCAATCTGCCAAATAAAATTTAATCAGGAATGAAATATATACAACTTATAAATTAGATGAACAGGATTATATGAGGGACATTAAGACAAACAAAGCATATTAAGCTATTAAGGAGAAGTGAATAAAAATCTCGTTGGTCTAAGCTTGGACTTCAATTCAAGCACTACAAAGAATGAATGTTCAATCCAATAATCAACAGAAACTAAGATTTACCAAAATTTTGTTATCTCTTAGGTAGTTCAGAGCTGCATAAAGATCACACTTTGAGTAACGCCGTTTAATTTCTGCAACCAGGTTTTGTTCTTCTGGTGCTGTTGTGGTACTCAAGAAGACAAGCTTAAACAGCTCTACAGCCAAAGATTTGTACGCTGGTGTGCTAACAACTCCTTCATGCAAAAGTTTAAAGAAGTTGTTATGAAGTTGTTGACAACTTGGTCTTTGTGCAGAAACGCCTCTACTATGATTCTGAATATCCTCATATGGAACAGTTGATACAATTAATTCAGATTCCTTGGAGTCCTGCAAGTGATAAAGTATTTCAGTAAAAACTAGATGAGCCAGATATTGGCATATACTAGGAAAATAAGGGAAGAAAGTACTCAAATCGTTACAATACAGGTGCAGATGGACTTCAGTGTACACAAACACAAATAACTGGTATATATCAAGAGAGAGAGAGAGGTAGGTTTACTAGGTTATATGTTGAATTAATCAAGTATATAGCACATTTGACGAGCTGTTAATACTTGTAAAATTTAAGTTGTAGGGATTGGGTAATTACATCTTCTTCAGCATTTGTATTAAGATCTGACCCTTCCTCACAGGTAGATCCATATCTTTTGGTGGCATCCAATCTAGGCATCCTCTGGTAGTGAAGCATCTCCTCCAGGGATTTTTTAATATCATTGTCATCAAAATCATCCCATGGTTCTTCCTGAAGACTCCTCCCTTGATTATGGCCACTGATGTTGGGAAAATTCATGTTATAGTCTTCTCCTGTTGAACCTTGCAACAGTTGTCTGCACTCATCTTTGTTTAGTGACCTGTTCTTGGTTTTTTCCAGGAGCTTTGCATATCGCTTACTGAGCATGTTACAGAGCATCATTAGAGATTTTCTAAATTTTCCATTACTATTCTTCAGATATGACATTCTTCTTTTGCAGGTACTAGGAGGTGCTGGAAGGTCAGGAAGTGAAGCCCAACTTAACTGGTGATGATATTTTGCCCCAAGAGTTGCACAGCATCTTGCATATTGGATAACCAATTGCCTAAAGGAATGATATCAATATAAGTGAAATGCAAATAGTAAAACAAATTGTTACATGGAAAGAATAAAAGGAATCCTATCTTTCATCAGATACAAAAAAGAGAAATAACCAATGTATTAAATGGAAGGGAAAATTCTGAAATCTCCCACTCACGCAGTCTTTGGAAAAATTTGTTACCATTATGCTTTCATCTTTCCAATGAAAATTTTGTTTTTTTGTACGACCATCGTTCAGTCTCCTAAGTCAAGAACACTGATGTGCTAGCATCAGCATACACAAACAGAAAAAATAATAATAATAATAATTGGAAGATCCTATAATTACTTGGCTGATGCTTTTAATATACTATTGACTGCTAACGGCTAATATGTGATAGATGCAACCATGACATGTTATCAGATATCAGATTGTTCTCATGGTCAACAATGACATGTTACATATTAGATGCCTTATTGCCCCTACAGATAGCTTTAATGAGATTATATTTATGGCTCTAGGATAATTTACACATCTTCTTCCCTTACCTGTCAGCCTCCTCAGTCCATGAAAACCTGCTTTGTCGTGTTGGCTTCAACTTTGAAAAAGCACCCTCACCATCTTCATTTGGTTCAGGTTCGTGCTCAATTTCTTGATCACCATCCCTCTGGAATGCATGCAAATGTGAGTCATGCTCGCCAGAAGTGACCAAGAGATTTCGTTCTTCCATTAATTGTTTCTCAGTAACAGGTAATGTAGCAAGCCTCGGCTCTTTCAACCGTCTAGTTACCTCGTCAACTTCTGTGAACTCTACTGACCTTGCTTCAGAAGTTCTCTTCCTTTTCAGGGAAGCATGTTTACTTTTTTGAGATTGAACTCCATCCCGTTCATCCTGAATCCATTAAGGTGTTGGCATTTATCATAACATGCATGAAGCACCAGAAAGAGGTAATACAAGGGAAAACATGCATTGATCAGAAGGTTTAAATATATTGCATGAGTACCTCTAATTCAGTGAAGTGAGTTGTGTAATTTAAAATATGGTTTTAATTGCCATTATACACTATTTGTACTAAATATTGAACAAGCCATGAAGCAAACATACAGAAAATGGGGATAATAAGATGACCAGGAAATCCTCAAGGCAATGGATTAGAACAAAAACCTGTAACTGTTTAAGTATCCTTTCTTCCCTTATGGAACCATCCACTGTCAAAGACAGACATGGTCTACATGGCTTTAACACAGCAGGTGGTCTTTCTGATGAGGTGTCATTTGTTTCCGTTTCTGTAATCCGGGACAGAGATGCATATGGTTAGATTCATCAAAAATCACCTAGAAGGATCAGCACTAATATCTCCATTTTTCATATTCCTAGGTTTAGCAGTATCACCTGTCAAAGTTGAATAGTCACATGTGGAAAGAGTTTGAATTTGATTGAGATTTTCTGATTTATTAAGGAATGCATTGGCAGATTCAGAATTGCATTTCCCTGGTGCCCAAACTCGATATTCTTGGATTTTTTTGTTTCTTTCTTTCTTCTTAATCATCCCAAACCTAGAGCACATACTTTCAATCAGCTTATCACTCTCTTTCCTGCCAATTCCAAGCCTCTTCGAAACCTGTATATAGCAAATAAATAAATAAATACTTCAAGGAATTTCTAGGTGAAATGCAACTTTTACTCAATGGCAGGAATTTTACCACACAAAGCAACCTCTAACCAAGCAACGCTAAAATATTTACCAGAATAAATAGTAACAAAGGATTTCACTGGCTAAAACCAACAATAACATCAAACTACAAAATCTTTTTAACATTCATCTCTTTAAATAAAACATAGCTGCCCAAGAAATTAATGCACTCACATTAGACATAATAATGCCCTCTGAGCCTGCAGCATTAATCAATTCCTGAATTTGATGCTCAATTGGAAGTTCTACAAGCAGATCAGTGGTTTGACATTTCTTTATGAATTTCACCTGCCAAACAATTTTTTTCCCTTTAATTTGATTGAAAAAAAAGAGTAAGAGCACAAAACAATGACGACTACCAGTAGTCCATCCTATGCTATTAAAGAAAACAATGTAACACATCAAAGAATGAGGAAAACCAGTCCTACGCAATACCTGCCTAGGATTTTTTGGATCAAAACTCATTGGACAAAACTTTTTCAGCAAACCCAGGAATTGCTCAACCTGTCCAAAATGCAAAAGGGATATCAAGTCATTACCAACAAACTAACACGAAAGGTCCTTGTCCTAGACCAGTTAGAACTTGATTATAATTTATAACAAACAAGGAAAAATTAAGAGCATAACAAGCAATTGAACTGTCATTCAAATTTATCATGAATTTAAATTATGACCCTAACTTACTTTTGCAGTAAACAGAAACAAATATTGGAACTGAAAGCAATAGTGAACATACTCATCTAAAGCAAGGAAAAATCATATTATAAAAAAGGACTGCAAATTTGTATCTAAGAGAATGTTAAATAAATTAATTAATTAAAGAAACACAATATTGAGCATGGAATCAAGAGAAACGATGTTTGCTTAAAAAGATTATCAGGAAACCTTCTTATTCACTTGAACTTCAAACTTTTTCACAATATGAGCAGCTTCCAATTTGCCACAAATCTGGAAGAAGAATATGCAGGGAACAATACAATGATAAAAATCAGTATAACTTATCAAATTGCTAATACAGAGATTAAGAAAATACATATTTAATTAAATTTTACCTTCCTCCAAGCTCTATTCCCGGGACGAGTTCCGCTGTAACCTAGATCCTTCTTGATATCCGCAACAAGAACCTTTAACAATAAAATAACATAAACAAATTCAATATAAACTTTAAAAGGAACTAACTTGATAGATCTATCAAAACTTTAACGAAATGTAACCTTCCCATTGGCTTGTTCAAGTTTATCACAGACTGCCTTCATTGCTGATATTAAATAGTCCTTCTTCACAAGCACATCCTCTTTAACCCCTTTTCCAGAAAAACCATCTCCACCTGCAGGAATTTCTTTTGCATTCCCAAAACTCTCCTTAGTCTGTTCTACCTTGGTATTCTCAATTTTTTGTTGAGAGCTCAAATTCTCTGCATAGCGATATAAGTATATCACATTAGTAGTCACACTCAAATTGTTGCTTGATTGTCCTTCATCACCAGCATTCTTTTTCCTCTCCAGTGCAGGTCGCTTCACAATTAAACCTTGACATTCAAGGTTCCTCACTTTGTAATGGTAGTTTTCACCTTGAATGCCAAGATCCTTAGAAAGTTGACTTTGTGTAATTCCATCCGTTCTAAAAGCACCGAATTTGACAGTAAATCATTAGTCAAACTAAAAAATCATTATCTCGACGGCACTCCAAAAGTATAAATAAGTCTGAGAGAGAGAGAGAGAGAGAGAGAGAGAGAGAGGGAGAGGGAGAGGTTAGTCCAACAACAGATTCCTATCATGTCAATATAAGAAAGTTCTAGCTTGACTAGTAAGGTTTCTCGGCTCACACTGCAATCAACTAACTTCTTATATTAAGAAACTGCAAACAACACAAACAAATTACCAATTTTACAGATTTTCATATTCATTAGAAAAACCAAACTTGTATCGAACAAAGAAAGAAAAATTCCAATGAAGATTCGTTAAAATGAGACTTACAATCATCAGGCAAAAACAAATCAAATTCAACTCAAAACTACACCAGTGAAGATTGAATTATAAACTTATGCAGAGTATTGGATTTTGAATATGAAACAAGGAAAAGCTGGTACCTAGCACCAGCAACTCTTTCGAGTGTTTGGCGTTGATATTGGCACATGTTGTCAATGGAAGAGTGGGCAATGTAGAGGCCCAAGAAGTTGTTCATGAGCCGCTGGTCGGCTACCAGCTTCAGGTTGAGCTTCTCGGCTTCTTGGACGGACTGGATCAAAGGGTCGGTTGGGCTGTACTGGACCTTCTGATTCTGGCTCTGGAATTTGAGGGTGGGGACAGAGCGAAGCCCCGCCCATAAGGCTTGCTTGAGGCCCCGATCAGAGACGTCGAGATTGAAGGAGGAAAGAGAGGGCTGGAGCCTGGAACAGAGGGATTTGAGAGGGAGACCGGTTCTGCCTTCCGAACAGATTTCTTCCAAGGACGAGTTCAGAATCGAGTCCATGGCCATGGCATTAGCCAAGTTAAATTAGACTGAAACGTAAAGAGAAGAGAATAGTATCGGTATCGTATTATCTGAAGCGGGAAGAAGATGAAATCAGTAGGAAACGCACGTGCGGAGATTTGCATAATACTTATTCTTTTCGCAACCCCAGTTCGATTCCCAGTCTGATCACCGAAAAGATTACAGAAGTATAATATCTTAAAAATCTTCTTGAAGTGGGTTAGGGCCGTGACTCGTGAGCCCGTTCTCTTCTACCAAAATTTGCATTCTATTTCTAATTGTACTCACCCCTTGGTACACGCTCTGTCAATCGCTTCCGAACTTGCAAGATGCCTTTTTTAAAAAAATTTAAATTTATTTTAGAATTAAAAAAGATAATGGGTAGTTGTGTTCCATAAAAATTGGATCCATTATCTAATTTTTCTTTTATTTTTTATTTAATATGAAAAGTGTGAATTTACCATATTATCCTCATTTAATTACTAATTTCAATTATTAATGTTTGCATTAACCAAAGACATTTTTTGGTATTTTGAATGTTTCACCATTAAAAAAAATTCACACTTTATCATATTTAAAAAAAATTTAAAAAAGAAAAAAGAAAAAATAATAATGGATCCTATTTTTATGGAACACAACTACCCATTATCCTTTTTAATTCTAAAATAAAATTTAATTAAAAAAAAGAAAAGGTTTTTTAGGATTTAGACATAAAAAAATTTTCACTTTTGGAAAAAGCCAAAGCTTTTTCAAAAAAGACAAAAAAACCGCTCAACTTTCAAATCAAAGACATGCAAATGTATTGGATTCCTTAGGAAATCTAAAAATAAATAAGGGCATTTTTGTCCATTTTTGCTTCTTTTAAAATTGTTCTCTCTCCTTTTGCTTTTTCCAAAATGTCCCAAAAAAAAATCCTCTCGCAGGCACAGAAGCGATTGCGAAGAGGCTAGTAGATAGATAAATAGATAAGTTCGATTAATTTAATTTCAAAAATTTTAGATTATTGTTTGTATGAAAAGAAATCTGTCAACAGAGTCTAACTCAATAAAAAATGACATTAACTTGCAAAGCGGCTAGTCTTGCTAAAGACTCGAGCCAAGTAGCCAGGGCTTATTCGTATGAGCCTTTTCTTTATTTTTAATGAAAGAATTGGGCCAAGTTATAAGTTTTGTTAAGATTTCACGAAATCTATAAGTAGGCCTTATTATTGGTTTCTAAGGCCCAAGGCTTCCATTACACAAAACCGAAAAGCCACAACATCCTCTTCCATTACCAGAAAAGGCCCAACCCATAAGAGATTGTGAAATAGCCCGCCAAAAAAGCTTGCTGCGAACGCTAGAGAAAGAGAAGCCAAGCCACTCCTCCCTCCACATTCCAAACTCCCGCTACAAAAAATTCCCCCTTCCTTCCCCTTCTCTTTACAGTTTCAAACGCATTTCTCCAAATTCCAATGGCAAGCAAGCTTAAAGTAGAACAGCTCCGAAATCAATTGGCCCAACGTGGTCTCACCACCACCGGAAACAAACCCACTCTGGTCAGTCTGACAACAACCCCTATCTTCCTCTCTCTCTTCTCTAGGTAGAAGAGACTTTAACCAACTATTGATTTTGAGTTCCTGCAGGTTCAGAGGCTTGAGGCCGCTCTCCGCCAAGAAAACAAGCAACCCACCAACGCAAGTGATGTTTCAGCTTCAATTGTTAGTAGAAAGAGGGGAAGACAATCAAATGAAGATGGAGAGTCAACTGGGTCCGAGAAAATCAAGGCCACCGACGAGTTCCAGGACATGAGTGTAAAGCAATTGCGCGAACAAGCCACTCTTCGTGGAATTTCGACAACTGGGTCTAAAAAAGAACTGCTGGAGAGGCTTTCTGAAGATTCAGATGACATTCCTCTAGGTGGAGGTATGAGCTTTCAAACTCTGATTGGTTGCCAATACAATATTGTAGGCCAGGGCTAGAAATCGATGTCTTAGTCTTTATCTGCATTGAAAATGTTCTTTTTTCAATTAGAACTGGGTAACTTATTTTTTATGCTGTGGTCTGGTGATAGCTAATGAGGACGGAAATGGCAGCAAGGAGAAGATCGTAACTGCTACCAAAAAGGGTGTAGCGGTATTGGATCAGTGGCTACCAGATCACATAAAGGCACATTATCATGTTTTGCAACTGGCAAGTCTATATACTATCAATAGGGCCACTTAATGAGTTAATTGCATTTCGTGCTTAGTGGAAGGTAATTGATGTCAGTTTGATTCGTTTCAATTTCGGACTGACGAATGATCTTTTTGAATGTAGGGTGATGATGTATATGATGCCATGTTGAACCAGACAAATGTTGGTTACAACAATAACAAGTTCTATGTGATTCAAGTTCTTGGTAAAACTCTTTCTCCCTTCAACAAATTTCACTGAATATATATTTCAAAATTAATTAGTTAGTCAACTAGATGTTTGGATTGTCGTAACTAAGAATTCATCTCAATACAGATTCAGTTGGGGTTATTAATCAAGCACATATGTGGTTCAAGCAATGAAACTTACGAAGTTATACAAAATTTGACTGAATCTGATTTCAGTTTGTAACAAATACTGATTACAAGGATTAGTTCTAACGGATTACAGAAACATTATTTATGCTTTTGTCACCTCACATAAATGAAGTTTGATCTGCTGCAATGAGTTACGGGATTAACGACATTGGCGAGTTACACCAGTTCAGGCAATGTATACTTATTTTTATTTCTTATGAATTGACGTGCAGAATCTGATGCTGGTGGTACTTTCATGGTTTACTATAGATGGGGGAGAGTAGGTGTTAAGGGTCAAAACAAGATACAAGGCCCTTACACATCCCGTGACAGCGCAATCAATGAGTTTAAACAGAAATTCTATGACAAAACCAAGAATGATTGGTCCAATCGTAAAATGTTCGAGTCTTTCCCGCACCACTATATGTGGATAGAAATGGATTACAACGAAGAGGAAAAACAATTGTCTGTGAGTATCCACAACTTTTTGCTTATCTTTGCATAATTTTCTGAATGCTGGAGGTACTCACAATGCCCTGAAGCTATTCTTGGTTGCAAATTACTGAGGACCTGTCTCTTCAAAGAAAAAATACGATAAAGAAATAGGAGATCCTGTTGGTAGCAAGACAATGTTGAATTGTTTTTCCCATTTATGTTATATATTTCTCATTTTCAAAAGGTGTTTCATATTTCAATCTTGCCTTTCATAGCCTCGATGTGTAGGGGTCAACGGATGAGTGTCAGATGACCTCTGTGTGTTGTGGGAGAAGGGGAGGGGTGGAGAAGAAAATCATCTTGTTTGCTCCTTCTTGATTCTTGATTATCATCATCAGGTACAAGAAAAGAATGACTCTGCTTTAAGAGGTCAACCTCTGGAAACACAACTTGAGCCTCGCATTGCAAAGTTTATATCTCTTATATGCAACATCAGCATGATGAAGCAGCATATGATGGAAATAGGTTGGTTGATTTATGATTCTCTGTCAAAAAGACATTATTTTGCAACTAACACATAATAATCTAAGTTATTCAGTTGCTTAAATAACACAGGAATAAGAATTTTATTTAGGCACTTTCAGTTTTTTATTTTTCAGTAATATGATTAGTTAACTGCTTTTTGGTTCCCTTATTCAGACACCTTCTTCTTCTTCTTTGGTAGGATACAATGCTGATAAGTTACCTCTTGGTAAGCTTAGCAAATCAACAATTTCAAAGGTAAGCTTTTACCTCTTGGTATTTGAGTTGATTTCTGGATATGATAAGGAGAAATGTTGAACAACTCGAAAGGATACTTTGTGTTGTCTAAGTTAACTGGAAACAATTTGGAACTGTTGACCCAAACAAAAAGAAACAATTTGGAACTCTAGTGCTACTGTGTGTATTTGGCTGCAAAACATTTAAGGTTCACATAAAGTGTCTTCTCCTTTAATCCGCTTCTCCATGAAAGATGCAACAAACCAATAACTTGTTATTTTTTTAAACATATGTAGGGATATAATATCCTGAAGAGGATTGCTGATGTGATTGGCGGGTCTAATAGGAGAACAATTGAACAATTAAGTGGGTAAGGGTTCTCTCTCCCCCCCTTCCCCCTGTTAGAAGTGATTTTATTAGTTAAATTCTGAATATATATTTTCACCAAAATGCTTGACTAAGTTCATTCATAATTCCAACAACATGCTAGATCCACTGCAGATCTGACCTTTTTTTTTTTTTTTTTTTTTTTTTTTTTTTTTTTTTTTTTGTTTCTACCTTTTAGTTATTTCTTTTATTTTTGAAGAGCTAATGATCTATGAATTTTGGAATTTTCCAATTAATTTGATTAGATTTCCTCTTTTCAGACCCATTCTACACTGTCATCTCCCTCATTGACTTTGGATTTAAAAAAATGAGTGAGTTCTCTCTCTCTCTCTCTCTCTCTCTCTCTCTCTCTCTCTCTCTCTCTCTCTCTCTCTCTCTCTATATATATATATATATATATATATATATCATGCCTTGAGCATACGGCATACCCAGTGTTTTACTTATACTAAAAGAAATCTAATTGCTTTGGACATATATATGAGTAATGCAGGTAACTTTGTGATTGATACTCCTCAGAAACTGAAACAGAAGTTGGAAATGGTAATTCTTTTTGTTTTTCTTTCTTTTATATGTGGGTATAGTTCTTCTGAGAACTTCCACTAGTTGATAAATAAGGTTATTTCCCTTTCGACATAATCTTGTGTAGCCTATCAGTGCGATGCTATATTTGTGTGACAATTAATTTTTCGACTTGATTATAAAATACATTCTTTACTCCTAAAGGTCGAAGCACTAGATGAAATTGTGGTCGCAGCAAAGTTGTTGAAGGATGATACTGGAATGCAGGTAATTCTTTTTTAGCCTTATCCCTCATTATTCACTTGCAGATTTTCCATGTCTGGAAGTTTTTGGTATTTTTCAGTGTTTCTGGATATTATATTGCAAGACTAAAATGCAATTCTATTGAGAGGATCCTACTTGCACCATTTAAGACTTTATACTCATAAAATGTGCCAGTAGACCCCTTGCATTTAGAGAACAAATATTTATTCTCTGTCTTAAAAGCAAGGGATTGATTTACTTGTCAGACATCCTAGTTAAATTTAGTGAAGCTCAGTCACATTATAAATTTCAAACTGGCAATTCATGATCAAACATTTTAAATTTTCTTCAGTTTAGTTGAAGCAAAGTATGTGCACTATATGCATGTGCTGCCCTCTCCATCCATATTGCTTTCATGTTAAACAACTAAAATCCAACCACTTTTTAACTTTTTGTTTCATATTAATAGGAATCTTCATCTTCTATGTCGGTGCTTTCATGTGGCAAGTATATTAATGTATGTTTCTGCCGTTATTATAGGAAGATCCCTTGTATTCCAGTTACCAACGCCTACGCTGTGAACTGACACCGCTTGGTGCTGATTCTGATGAATTTAATATGGTATCTATGAGTTATAAGCAATGGGAGTTTGAATATAAAAAGAAAACTGAGTTAATGATTTATTAGCTTCTCAATCTGCTCTTAGTTTTGATATTTTTTCTTTTTATGGCTGTTGTCAGATTGCGAAGTATTTGCATAATACTCATGCAAAAACGCATTCAAATTATGCTGTTGATATCATTCAGATATTCCGTGCATCAAAAGAGGGTGAAGTTGAACGTTTCAGAAAGGTTAGGATGGTCAATTTTGGTTTAGAAATAGTGATTATGAAAAAAATTCCTTTTGGTTTTGAATCCTCCTAGTTTTGCATTTTGAGCACTTCCTAATCTTGTTTTCACTCTGAGCAGTTTAGTAGTATGAAAAATAGAATGCTTTTATGGCATGGTTCTCGGCTCACGAATTGGGCAGGAATATTATCTCAAGGTGATCGTTTTTGCTTTATTTTCTTAATATGCTTAATATTGGGTATGTGTTTGCGCACTTGCACACATACACTATGAATAATTCATTGAGAACTGCTTATTAATTTCAAAAAATATGTGTCATGACAACCCAGGCTTACGAATAGCTCCACCTGAAGCACCGGTGACTGGTTACATGTTTGGGAAAGGGATTTATTTTGCCGACATGTTCTCCAAAAGTGCAAATTATTGCTATGCTACTGATGGTTGTACAGCTGGTGTGCTGCTTCTATGTGAGGTTGTCTTTCAAGTTTCAGCCAGTAAAAAACATAAGTTTACTACTAAAATGACCTGGTGTTAAGAGTGGATTAACATCAGATTATCAAATCAATACATACCAATAAGATCCAGAATCATATATGGGAAATATCCCTCTGGATAAAAAATGGCATTTTCCCAACCACTAATCCGCTGTACTTGAATGCCCAACAGAATACTTTGAGGGACTGCACTTCACATGCATGTGTTACACTTTTTTGCACTGCATGTTGATTGTCGCAGAGTTGGTTGGTTCATGCTAGCATGGATTTTCTTCTGGGAGTAGTGCATTTATCTTTTAGCTATCATTTTCATATTGGAAGCTGGAGCCACCTTCGTCATAGTTGAGTTTAATGTTCTAATGTATCTCTCTTTAGGTTGCACTAGGCGACATGGCTGAGCTTTTAACTGCTAAGTATGATGCTGACAAGCTACCAGAAGGCAAGCTAAGGTTGTGTCTCTATTTTCTTTATTGGACACTAATATCATGCTATCCAGCTTTCTTTATTGGATCCAGTTGCTAAAAATTAAACTGATTAATTGATAAAACTCTCTTCTCGTCATTTATGCTTATGGAATTTTGCATTGCGCATTCCAAGTTTATCTTCCTTACCAAATAAACCTTTTATCTTCTTTGGTTGAGAATTGCCTTTGAATGCTTTTTATATTATCTCGCCCATTTTCAAAACTAAAATGTGCGTTGCGTTAACTTAATTTTCCCAAGATTAGTTGTCATAATGGTTTTGCTTATGAAACCTAATATTGCAGCACTAAAGGAGTTGGAGGAACTGAACCAGATCTTTCACAAGCTCGGTTACTAGATGATGGTGTTGTGGTTCCCCTTGGAAAGCCGAAAGAGAATTCGGGGCCCAAGGTAGAATGCATCATTTCTTAGAATTACTTTGGATGTGAATTTGATTTGGAACTTCTATAGAAAGGCAGTTTCATTGTATAATTTATGTTATTTAAATCTCGTCTCTTCTTGCAGGGTGCTTTACTGTACAATGAGTACATAGTTTACAACATCGAGCAGATTAGGATGCGCTATGTTGTTCAAGTGAATTTCAATTACAAGCGATAGATGTATGTGGTTGTTTATTTCTGTTGCTGATTTGTTAGCTCAGTTTTTTTCCACGTTTGGTGGCAGTTGACAAGCCAAGCATTTTGCTTTAGTCATGTATATTATTTTTCTTTCTTAGGGTAATGGGTAGAGAGAGATTTGTTTATTTAAGAAAATGAGGGATTTGAAATGGATTTTGTTATGTTAAAACAAAGAAATAATGAAATTAGCAAATCCCAATTCAGAGGCACCTACCACACCATGCCACATGTACCTTCTTCTGCGTTGTTGCTTGCTTTTCTTTTTAAGTTTTTTGAGTGTGTCAAACATATCCATCAAGGGTGGTGGAAGAAACTTAACTTGTGGGAAGCATGATTGAGTTTCAAAACCTCTGCAGGCAGCATACATATGAGGGTGTGACTCAATAAAGCATTTACTAAGTTTATCCGGACCGGAAAACTAGAAAACCGAGTCGAATTGGATTTAAAAAATGGGTCAAAAACCAAGTTGACTAAAAAGTCAACAACAGTTATAAAAAAAATCCCTTGACCTTCAAGGTTCCTCACTTTGTAAAAGTAGTTTTCCCTTGAATGTCAAATTCCTTAGAAAGTTAATTTTGTGTAATTCCATCCGTTCGACAAGCACCACCCAAATTTACAATAAATCATTAGCCAACATAATCAAGCTGCAAAATCATATATCACTGACACTTAATCATTAATCGTGGACTCATTCCACGAGCAACTGCATAACTTATTAAAATAATGAGCCGAGACAGCAACAAATTCTCATTTTCGTTGAAGGTATGTGTTGGTGGTTCTATATAATGATCATTTGTTGCTACTGAATTTTCTTTTGTCAAATATTTTAAATCAATGCATATTTGGTTTAAGAGATATATGATTATTGTGATGCTTTCTTTTCCCTATCAACATCTATATATTTTTGCATAGGCATACATGGTGGAGTTGTATCGAGAACACTAGTGGACCTTCTCATCTATATTAGTTTTATGGCAGTTGGCAAGTCAAGCATTATTGCTTCAGTCATTCAGTCATGAATATTATTTTTCTTTCTTGTTCGTGGATGAGGGATTCGAAAAACAAAGAAATTAGCAAAATCCCAATTCAGAGGCCGATTCAGAGGCACTTTACCCACGCCACGCTACAAGTACCTTTTGTATTGTTGCTGTTCTTTTTAAGTTTTGAGTGGGTGGAAAGTCAAACATATCCATCAAGTGTGGTGGAAATTGAACTTGTGGGAACCTTGAAGCATGATTGAGTTTGAAAACCCCTGCAGGCAGCATACATATCAGTGTGCCAGTGCCACCCTTTTCTTTTCAAATGCACGATGCACACGCCACTATTTATGTTCCTATAAGCTATACCTAAAGATTTTATCATGACCTCATCCAGAATCTATGTTCTTCTCCCACAAGACAAGACAGATTTTCATAACTCAAAGGGCTTTGTGATATTATACGAGCCTCAATACTCAACTTAAATTTGGGGTTTTCACTTCGGCTCTTTTTTATACAAACAATATTGAGGAAGGGTAATCAAACTTAAGACTTCCAATGCAAGGTTTACACAGCACGTACTGTCCACCACCACCAAATGAGATCTATCCACATCTCTACTCTACATTCAACTTCATGTCAGTTTTACCCCACAACCAACCATTAAAACGAAAGAGAAAAACTGGTGGTTTAGAAAATTTACTTGTCAAAAGCTATTCTGCATATATATACATGTAAATTAAATTTACAATGAGGGGTTGATGCAGATTTCAAAGGCCAAATGCACGCCTGCTCTGCTGCAAATTGCAATTCAATATTATGAGCCAATGCTTACATTATAACACGCACCTTTGCCATGATCAGGCGGTATGAAATTCTTGGGTCCTTACTTATTGATGAAAGCACCATAAATTCTGGGGGGAGAAAAAGCTGAAGCCTATTCTTTATAGGGAATGATCATATCTAGCTAGGGGTTAGGGAGCACTCCAAGCCCTTTGAGAAAGGAAAAAAAAACTCAAACAAACATAAATACCACACTCAAAAGCTTGTGCTCAACACGCAAAGCCCTACGTGCACTCTTTACATTATTATTATTCCCTCTCTTATCTTCCCATGCCATGCTTGCATTATATGTATGTCCAATCCGATACTCATTAATAATATTTCTTCCCAAATGCAAAAAGCTGGTTGAGTTGAGAACTTAAGAGACAATCTCCCATTGGGCCCACCCAAACAAATCCCAAGAGGTGATCTAGGACGTCTAGGAAAACATCATGGCCCGAGATTCTTGATCGATCCAAGGCTGCCCACCCAGCCCCAGCAGCAGTATTGAACAATACATATATATATTGGTGGGGCCAGAAGAAATTTAATTTTTAGAGGCTTGTGTTTGTCTCTCTCTGTGCATTGAATCAATCCTCTCCAAGGCTCCAAGGCTCCATGGAGCAAATGGGTTTAGTTTTGTGACAATAATAATAAGGCAGACAGGACCCTCTTTTGGTCTCCTCAGATATCTCTACTTTGATTTTTTTTGATTTTCTTCATATCACGTACAAATTAATGACAATATCAAAATGATGGCATGGCATGGTTTGACAGAGGTTTTCTTCTCTCCCTGCCCTGCTCTACGTACCTTCAATTTAATTACTCCTCTCTCCTTCATCTCTTACCATGATGACATGCATGCATGAGAGATCTAAACACACACACACACTCTCTCTCTCTCTCTCTTCCCCCGTTTGCGTTGCGCCTATAAATAACATAGGCTTCTTCTTCCTTGAATTCATCCAATCCACACCATTTATATTCTATTGTTCAAATGTAAGAAAGAGTGTGGGTGCAGCTAGCAAGCAAGGCTTGTAAGTAGAGCGGGTGTGGCTCCTTGTTGGAGAAGCAGGGCACGTGCAAACCCCTTTGGCTTTGCTTTTGCTTTTCAAACGCAAAGAAAAGCTAGTAAGTTGTTGCACGTGCTCCCCTTCTCCAACATGGGTTCCTCACCTATTCCTCTCAACATATGGGTTCCTCACCTATTCCTCTCAACATATGGGTTCCTCAGGTGCTGTTGTAATAGGTAATATGTTTGCAGTGCAACCACTCAAACTTAATCTCCCCTAGTTTCTATCATATATCCTTCCAAATATCTACATAAGCTATCAAGAGACTTAGTTCATCTTCCAAATAAAATTATGGACATGTATGTATATATATATATATATATATATATATATATATATGTTATTGCATTCGTTTTAATGTCAGACATTATATCTTGCATGCATCATATATAAATATGAATACAAATATAAAATATGGTGAGGCGTTTGCTTTGGAAGGAAACATGGAAATATGTCCAAGGCGTGTGAAAGATATATATGAACGCTAAGAAGGGGATTGGTTGCGCTATGCGAACGTCATGTAAAATTTCAAGTGAATTTCAATTTCAAACAATATTAATGGATATATTATGATATGATTCGTGTTTCCTCTATACCAGGAGAGCTACCATTTATATTTTTGTATATACTATAACTGTAATCCAGGTGACCCACCATTTTGATTCATGTGTATATGGGATAATGGACAAAACCTAAATAATGTTTAAAACCAGCAGTTGGAACTTGGAAGGAACGTAGCTTCTTTGTCTCTGTACTACGAAATGTCATGCTCATGGACTCTATCGGTCACAGATATTTTACTTGCAAACAAAATAATGGGGGGCTCCTCTTCTTCCTCTATCAAGCATTCCAAGTTCCTGGAGGTTGATTAAGATATATACCTATACAATTCGCGATAGATCGATATTCACTTGGATATGTTGTCCAATCAGTTACTTTCATTTGATCAAATATCAAGTTGACAGTTATAATATAAGCTAGTTTGTCTTATGCATTGGTGATTAAGATGACAAATTCTCAATAACAGCTACAAAATTTGAACTGATTTATTTTTTAAATATGAAAATGAAAGATGTAGAAATATGAAGAGCTTATGAAGCATCCAATTCAGGAGTGCTTTGCTTTCGTTAGAAGGGAGGATTCAAACACATAATTTTGTTTTGAACCCGTTGACACAATCTCACTTAAAGTAAAAATATTTGTACCAAACATGAGACAATCCCTTCCGATCCCGAGTAACAAATGAACCCTTGTGTTATTATACTTACATGGATCGAGCATTTACTCTTGTACCCGAGTTTTTAAGTTCGATTCTTTCTTTTTCTTCCAATATCACTTGTAAAAAAAAAAAAAAAAAAAAAAAAAAAAAATTATGTGGGCCAAACATGTGAGCCTAATTGCGGATTGGTTAAATCGATCGATAGTTCCGACACTCTAACGTTGCAGCCCAACTATACTTTCAATCGTTTGGGCTTTAGATTGGGTTGGGTCTAAAACGAGCTCCATTGAGTCTGCAAAGGCTGGCACTATAGAATTCTTGCGCACTAGGCAAGTAGGTTTTGCCCAGTTGCCTTGCCTACTGGAGTCTCTCACCCTCACTATAGAAGAAAACCGAGCCCTTCTCTCCTCTCTATCACGCCGACGACATGGCGGAGACGAAGCGAAAATCAAGAGGCGAGGCAAAGGGTAGGAGAGGCAAACCCAGCAAGAAGCAAAAGAAAGGCACCGATACAAGAGAAAGAAAAGGCCCTCGTTTGCCCAACGCTCTGCGAAAGGAGCTCGAACGCTTAAACCCTGTTGATGAGGGTTTTGGTTCCGACGAGGATCAGGAAGAGGTTTATGGCCGGGACTTGTATGAGTACGAAGAGGAGCTGCCGGAGGAGGAGTCCAAGAAGAACCGCCGGTACGACCCCGTCGAGAATCTCGAGTATCAGATGCCTGAGGAATTTGAGGTTTGCTACTGTCGAATTACAATATCAGTTTACGGGATTTTGTAGTGGTTGTTCTGGCTTTGAATAGTAGAAGGAGTCTTTGAGCTCATTTTTTTTCAAATCTGTGTTATCAATAATGTGCATGTTTATTGTAGGATGAAAATGTGTCATCGGATGATGACAATGACACCAGGAACGCTGGAGAGGATGGGGTTGAGGACGAGGACGAGGAGGATGATGATGGAAGGCAAAGAACCACACGAATTACAAGTGAAGCTTTTGAAGGTAAGACAGTTCCTCTAATTGTTCTTAGCCAGTTTAATTTACCGTGTAATTGTGTTTAGAGCACAAATGATGCAATTATGAATATTCATGTATAAAAGTGATGTAGCCCTTGAGTTAATGAAGCAGAATACTGTTTTGTTATGGGGACTCTGAAAGTTCACATATGGGATATGTTTAAAGTCCCCAGTTATGCATTCAGAGTTATCTATCCATTGCTTGAGGATATTTGTGAGGGGCTTGACTCACTGTGAATTTAATGTCTTTGTCAGGGAAGAAGAAGAAGAAAAACAATGTTGTTATCTCAGAGGCATATCCCGAGTCTGAGTATAACCCTACCCGTGATATGTTGGAGGGTGAAGGACCCGTTAGCATTGGAGACCTTCTGGACCCTCTCCATGGAGTATCTGGTTATAGCAAACTTAGAAAGAGAATACATCATTTGGAAAAGAAATCTGTTCCTACTCCTGCTCCGCTTCCAAAGGCAGATCAAGAGAAATTGGAGAGGAAAGCAGCCTATGAAAAATCAAAGGAAGAGTTGCAGAAGTGGGAGCCAATCATTAAGAGGAACAGGGAGGCGCCTACCATATATTTTGACGATGATATGGATTTGGGGTTTTCAACTGTGGGAGCAATAGCTTCTGAATTTGAACCTAGAACAGAATTTGAGAAGAAAATTGCTTCATTAGTTTATGACGACCAGGTTATGGAGGCTCACCAAAAAGATGGGTCAAGGCTTCTTGAATTAAATAAGGTATGTATACAATAGACTAGTGCACTTGATGGAATAATATTGTTTTATAAGACGAGTTTTGGCAACTTATTGTCTCCTATTGCCTTCAAAATTGTTAATTTATCTGATCGTACTCAAATAGAATGACTGATGTTAAACTGTCTGACTGGACACTAAGGTTCTATGACATGATTGAAATGAGATTGTGATAGTTGATAAAACCTTCATGTTAACTTCTTCAAAACTAAGTTGCACCTTGTTTTGATTATTACAGAGATTGATGTTACTTTAGTTTTTCAGTATTTTGTATCCGTTGTATGGTTGTCAATAATCTATCATGTTGCTGTGACTATCTTTTTGCTTTTTGTTATTGTATGGTGCATAGTGTAGCTAAATTGTTCTGTGTTTGCACCAAACTAAATTACCTATTCCTTGAATTTATGTTTCTTGTTCTGGTTCGCTTGACAGGTATCAGCTGAAGATGAAAAGGACCGCCATAATCGAATGGCCAAAATGCGCAGCCTTCTCTTCCGTCATGAAATGAAGTCAAAACACATAAAAAAGATCAAATCCAAAACATATCATCGTCTGTTGAAGAAAGATAGATTGAAGGCATCATCTACACAAAGTCAAATGGATCCAGAAGCTGCTAAAGAACTCGCAATGAAGCAAGAGTATGAGAGAGCAAAGGTGATAGATTTTTCCCCAAATATAGGTGGTAGTTAACTTGTTTTGGTTCCTTAGTGCATTACTTCCTCAAGAAACTTTATTTTTCTCTCTTTTCTGGTTACACTAAGGACCCAGAAACAGAAGGCAAACTGTACTTCTTGTTACAGTCAAGAAACACTCTTTATTGTACAAGCAAAAAGACAAGTGTTAATTCTTTTCTTTTCAACTTGATCCAGGAACGAATGACTCTGAGGCATAAAGGTAGCTCCAAGTGGACCAAGCGCATCAAAGAGCGTGGTATAGATGTCCAAGATGAAGGAACTCGGACTGCGATTGCCGAACAGCAGCACCTGCATGCTCTGCTAACAAGAAAAATGAATTCTATGAAAGATGGTAGTAGCAGTAGCAGTGATGACAGTAGTGATGAGGATGATGTAGATGTATATTCAGCTGGTTCAGATCAGGCTAGGGCATCAAAGTTGTTAGAAAAAGCAAAGGAGAAGACACTTAACTTGTTGGATGAAGATGATGAAGTGCCTAATTCAGGAGTGCTTTCATTACCTTTTATGGTAAAACTTTGGTTTTTCTTGTTAGTTTCAGATATTAACAATGTAGTAGCAATTTACAACAACCATGAATGTCATTCTTGTTTCAACCCATTGTTTGAAAATAAAATGCTTTATTATGTCAGAACTTATGTTAATTATCTTCAGAAGGCCAGTTGAGAAAGGAAAATAAACATTACTTACTGTTTGTATCTTTCCCTTGACCCTGTCACGTTCATGATTCTTTTGGTCCTTGTATTGTGAAGTCATTAGTCTGCTGTTTGTTTGACATAGGTGCGTGGATTTAAAAAAAGGAATGAGGCAGCTGCTGAAGAAGCTAAACTTGCTCTTCAAGAGTATGAGTCATGGTCAAATCAGTTGGAGGATTCAAATGGGACAGATAATGCAAAATTGGCCCCTCCAAGTGGTAGAATGGTCTTCAATGCATCCAAGAAGGAGGCTCCAGAATCAAGTAATAAGACCAAATCAGATAATAAGATTAGATCAGATAATTATTATGGTAATAGTGATAGTGAAGATGACTTCGAGCCCAAAGAAAATGTTGATATCAGGGAAGACAGAAGTAGTGATTTGCAGAACAATGGCGGCATTAATCCTGTCTTACTAAATAAGGAATCTAAAAATCATAAGGATTCTCTTTTCAAGGTAATAAGGTTTCTTAATTTTTTCCTGTCCTTTCTTGGAGACCTCTCTTTTGATCTATGAGCATGACAATGCCATCTCTATCTCTTGTGGTTCACAGAACTTTGATGATATTGTTCAAGACCCAGGTCCGAAGACAACACATGACGTTTCTATTTTTGCTTCAGGCACATGGAAAAAGGTTAGTTTTCTTGTGCATATTCGTTTTATTCTTCCATATGAATAATGCAAGTCTTTGTATACTTTTCTTACGATGGATATGTGCTTTTTCCCTTTCTTTTTGGTAATTACCATTTCTTGTGTAATGAATACAGATGAAAGGTGGCAACAATGCAGATGCCAATGTGAATAAGCCTACTCGACCCTTGGAATCAGTTGTGCTCAATCAAAATTTGCAAGTATGGCCTTTTTGCATTTATAAAATTTACGTTTCCCACATTTATGATTGATTGGCTTGCTAAACCCTATGAAAATGTTTCTGTTACAGGAACCTGTGAAGGATTTGGACGAGGATAGTGATGCAGATAGTGAGGGGCAGATGGTAGATGGGGTTCTTACTTCGGATCCAAAAGTTGAATCATCTTATGAACTTCCTTCTCAAGCTGAGATAATTCGTCAAGCCTTTGCGGCTGATGATGTGGAGGATGACTTTGAGAAGGAAAAACAGGAAGTCCTGAACGAGGAAAATCCTGAACCCGAAAAGCCTGTTTTACTCCCTGGATGGGGTCAGTGGACTCATGTACAGAAAAAGAAAGGCTTACCTTCTTGGATGTTGCAAGAACATGAAAGTGCAAAGAGGATGAGAGAAGAAACCCTTAAAAAGAGGAAGGATGCACATCTTAAACGTGTTATTATCTCAGAAAAGTTGGATAAAAAGGTTAGTCGTTTTTCATAGTAGCACTCACTCTTCATCAAGTAGGTGATGTCCCATACAAATGAATGTTTTAATTCACATGGAAACATTAGATGATAGAAATTAGTAGACATAGAGCAGGGGTTAATGTCTAAGTGTCTGATTATACTCGTTTGTGGCGATTAAGTGACCCTTTCCTTTGTATTTGAATTTGACAGGCTGAGAAACTTTATACAAAATCATTGCCTTACCCTTTCACGTCCAAAGAAGTTTATGAACATAGCATCCGCATGCCCCTTGGTCCTGAATTCAACCCCGCAACTGCGGTTGGAGCTCTTAATCGGCCTGAAGTAAGTGCCTCATTACAATTCCACTGGAGATTGACTATTCTTGTAGAAATTATGGCTCTTTTTACATCTATTACTACGTCGTGAGAATATGCTTGAAATGGCATCCAGTGATGAAATTCTGCAATACCACATGCAATTTTATCTTTGGTTTCCGTAAGCTGGATGTTGCGTGCTTTTGAATTACGTTTCTCAATTCTCACCTTAAATGCAATTGTGTGCAGGTAATGAAGAAACCTGGTGTGATTATAAAGCCCATCGAGTTTGAGGAGGTGAATCCTTATGAAAGAATAGAGGAGCAAACACAAAGTGGAAAGAAACAGAAAAAGAGGAATAAGAGTAAAAGCAATAGCGGCAAAAATGGGACAAAGGTGAAAACTAAGCTCAAGAATTAGCTGAAGTGGAAACGTTTTTGGGAATTTTTTCTGGTTCCGTTATTTCCATGGCGTAAGCGTTCGCAATTTTCAACGTCATGGAAGATGGAAGACTGAAAATAGAGAGAGAGAGAGAGAGAGCGCGGGGGTTACTTGAGTTATGCCTGCTGCTGGTTGAAATTCAATTGTTATAATCTGCCTTTGTATATTTTTATTATTTCTTTCTTCCGAGATGCAAGCAGTAGTCTGGTAGAAATTGTATCAGCTATATTATATTGAATCTTTTTAACATGTAAGGAAAACCCCATAATGTTTTGACAAAGTGATTCTAAAATAGTTTGAAATAACGTCTTCTTCCACATTAATGTAAAGGTTTCACCATGAATTTTTTATTTTTTAGCTGACTTTTCCTTCTTTCTTAGTTCCATAATCCATGCCATTCCTTTCATTATTTCTTTTAGTCCCATTCAAATAAAAATTTTAATTTAAAATCTGGATAAAATAACCCGCTTAAAATACTTGAAAAACCACAAAGCTCCCTCCTTAATTTTCCGTTCGGGTTTGAGGCTTGAGCTTTGCCTTTCTGGGAAAGCACAAATCAATCCGTCAAGCAAATTACGGCCAGTTGCCACCAAACCCACCTAGCAAGCCTTAGACGGTGCAATCCGGCGCCGTTTTGTACTCCTCAGTGCTCAGTAATTCAGAGAGAAGAAGAAGCAGCAATGTTACACGAGTTGCTACTTGCACTGTTGGGCTACACCGGCGATCTGATAATCGACGAGAGAGAGCATTCCAAGTCTCTCGGCGTCGACGCTCCCATTTCCGATGAGCCTACTTTCAAGCTCGCTCCCGATATCTCCTTCATTCAACCCAGCGAAAGGTACCCAAAATATTGACACTCAAACCCTCCAAATTTCACATATTCCAATTTCATGCCCAATCGTTTTCTGCGTTCTCTGCAGGGATCTTATAGAGAAGATCACCACATTAGGGTTTTACTATCGGGAGCTTGACCGCTTTTCCGTCAGGTCTCGGAATTTAAGTTGGATAAGTTCTGCAAATGCGAGTTCTTTAGCCTCCGACTTGTCCAAGCCCAAAGCTGAAAAGCCGAGTGTGTATCGTAGGGCAATTGCCAATGGCATTGTTGAGATACTCTCGGTCTATAGGTCTGCTGTTCTCCACATTGAGCAGAAATTGTTGTCCGAAACTGTCCCCATATTGGCAACTGTAACTCAGGGCCTCAATAAGGTCGGGTTTTAAGAATGTGCATGCTGCATTGTTTGGTAATCATTATTGTTTGTGTTTCTTATGATCAGTTGGTTTTTGCTAGTTTTTTGTGCTCTTGCCGCCTCTGTATGAGCTTGTTCTGGAGATTGAGCGCGATGACATTCGTGGCGGTCAGCTTCTGAACCTTTTGCACAAACGATGCCATTGTGGAGTGCCTGAGTTGCAAGCGTGCATTCAGAGGTATACACCTTATTTTTCATGCCAATGGGACAGTGTGTATGTGGTATACTTTCTTAGAAAGTAACTGTTAGGAACTGTTCGTTATGTTTTAGTGGCAAAATGAATTATAAGCTGATTAATTTCTAATTTGTTTATTGCTGTGTGTTGGTAGCATAGGCTTCTTTGGCATGCACATCAGGTGCTGTATAACCAGCTGGCAGCGTGGATGGTATATGGGATTCTTCAAGACCAGCATGGAGAGTTTTTCATTAGGAGGTAGTGACAGAAGAAACTCCTTTCATAGGGGTTTGCATATTTGTCGAACTTCCATAACATATAATGCCTTGTGTCTCTCCTTCAGGCATACCCTTCCATTTTTCAGCTACACTCAACTTAAAATGGTTTATATGGTTGACTGTATCACTTTTCAGGCAGGAAGATAAGGATGTAGAGCATGGCTCATCTCATCGAGACATATCTGAAAAGTTGGCATGCATGTCAACGGATGATACATCTTTAACAGATTGGCACTTGGGATTTCATATATATTTGGTATTGTTGACTTTGTCTTTTGGGATTTCATATTCTCCCTTTACCTTGGCTTTAATTTGTGGTACACCACTGCCTCAAAGAGAAACCAAACTTTGAAACTCAAATTCTGTTACTTACGAGTTACATTGTCTTCCCCTTTCTCTTTGTAGGATATGCTACCCGAGTATATCCATATGCGTGTTGCAGAATCAATTTTATTTTCAGGCAAGGCCATCAGGGTTCTTCGCAATCCGAGCCATGCCTTTCGGTTTCAGGATATTGTGTATCATCAACAGGTGCCTAGAGGCTCTCAGAAAGTTCAAGGATTTTCAGGGAGATTTCCTTTCCTCAAAGACCCTTTTGCGGATAAGGAGTTGATTGGAGAAGAATTGCTTCCACAGTCCGAGGCTGATAAGATTGAAACTATGCTTCTGGAACTAAAGGTTTTCTGTTTGCCCTATGATTACTACATATCTTGCTGATATCATGTTTCTGGAACTAAAGGTCATAATAAGAGGGATAATGCGATAGTTTGCGTTTGATCCACTGTGCCAGAATATATAGTTCTTGACAATCTTTATATTTGTTTCTTTACACAAGATGTAGCTTCTCTTTCTAATTAAGAGTAAATTACATGTTCATTATGTGCAGGAATCATCTGAGTTTCACAAAAGATCTTTTGAATGTGCTATCGACTCAATTAGGGCTACTGCTGCCAGTCATCTTTGGCAGGTGCTGAATGTGAAAATTTGGTCCCTCCATGTTATAGAACAAAAATTTACTATATTCCCTCAATTTCTGCAGCTTGTGGTTGTACGCGCTGACTTAAATGGCCATCTGAAGGCACTGAAAGACTATTTTCTTTTAGCAAAAGGAGATTTCTTTCAGGTAAGGATGGAATATATGTAAAGATTGCTTCCTTCTGTTTTTGAAGTACATAAATTTTTAATTTTATTCTCATCGGGGTGACTGTATATACCTTCCCCGAATCTCTAAATGAATTGTCATCGTTTGATGACAATTTTGTGTTCAGTAATGATTGGATGGGAAAATGCTATTTTTGAAGTTTTTCTTAAGGTAGATGTGCAGGAAGTACTGATGTACTCTTATATTTAGTATAGTTTCCCATTAAATGATTGTAACCTGGGAGGTTTCTTAATTACACATGATCTATTATGCCAGTGCTTTCTTGAAGAGAGCCGCCAGTTGATGCGTCTACCTCCTCGCCAGTCAACTGCTGAGGCGGATCTTATGGTCCCATTTCAGCTGGTAAGGTTTTTATAAAATGACTCCTTACATATTAAATCACAGAGTTGAGATATTAATTTCATCAACATTCCTCATTTTTCAAATGTCTGGACACAATTTATTTAGCTCTACTTCCAATGCAGGCTGCAATTAAGACTACAAGTGAGGAAGACAAGTATTTCTCTCGAGTATCCTTAAGGTTAGAGCCCTTTTTTGATTGTTCCTACTGTCTGCTTTAAATGAAGGTCTTGACTATGTAGCCTTTTTTTTCCCTATCAGTCATTTCACTTTGAGGTTTCATAAACATTGTTTATTCAACTATCATTCTGTCTCTGGTAGGATGCCATCATTTGGAATGACTGTAAAATCCTCCCAAGTAGATTTACCAAAGACAGATGGGAATGCAGGCACTGCACTATCAAGTGCTTCTTCAGAAATATCTCTCGACTGTTGGGATGGCATTGCTCTTGAATACTCCGTTGATTGGCCCTTACAGTTGTTCTTTACCCCAGACGTGCTCTCTAAGTAAGACTCCACTGCTAGTGCTACTTGCAGATGCCATTCTTTGTTTTAGTTTCAATATATTTGGTAATTGTCCCTAAAAATTTCTAATGCTTTTCTATTTTGGAGAAGCCTTTTGAGGAATCAGCTGCTGAAACATTTTATTAACTATTGAACGTTCATGATGTGAATGCATGCTAACATCAGGTGTACCCCAGGTACTGCAGGGTCTTCCAATATTTGCTGCGGCTGAAGCGAACACAAATGGAATTGGAGAAATCATGGGCCTCTGTGATGCATCAAGATCACACAGATTTTGCCAAGCATAGGAATGATCATGTAAAGGGCTCAGTATCTCAGCAGGGAAGGCAGCGATCTAGACCAATGTGGCGTATTAGAGAGCATATGGCTTTCTTGATTAGAAACCTTCAGTTTTATATACAGGTTATGGTTTATTCCATTTAACTTTCACTTCCATATATTCATTATTTTCCCAGAGATTTGTTGTGCAAAAAACAAAGCAGTATAAAACAGTATCTGTGCATAACCTAATGTATTTTCTGTTTCAGGTGGATGTGATAGAATCCCAATGGAATGTTTTGCAAGCTCATATTCAAGATTCTAATGACTTTACTGGACTTGTGGGCGTCCATCAGGAGTAAGTTGAATAAATAATTTCTTATTGTATATCACTTCTATGTTGTCATGCTTTTGGATAGCCATCAGTTGTAAAAATTGTCTAATATGCATAGAATCATATTAGATGTACTTAATGAGAATGGTTGAGGCACACTACTTATGAAATATGATGAATGCAGGAAAACTGTAGGTAGGGGAAAGCCATTTGAGAGCCACTCAGACTTGTTTAGTTTTTGTTTCTAGGCTTATTGTTCCACAGTTCGATTTAGTTTTGTAGTTAGAGATCCTTGATTGCTGATTGAGATGATAGCTTGGAGCAGAAGAGCTCTGTATAAATTGAGGGCCAAGAATTGACTAGGGAATAGAAAGGTCTTTGTGACACCTTGCCCACACTTGATAGGATGTGTGGTTTCCTTTTTGAATATTGCAAGGCAATTAATGTTTAGTCAACTATGAATTTTTGTGGAATTTGTTCAATCTTTTAGAGGTTCATGTTGCCTTTGTATTTCTGCCAAGCACGTAACCGAATCATGGTTGTGCATCAATTTTTTTCTGTTCATTTAATTAATTTGTTGAAGAGCTTGTTACTGTTGCTCTTACATATTTTCAGCTATTCCCTGTATGTGCTTTGTCCATATTTTCTATTGCAGCATAATGCTCATGGAATTCTAAAATTTCCTACAGGTATTTATCAGCTTTAATTTCACAATCTTTCTTGGACATTGGCTCTTTATCAAGGATACTGGACAGCATAATGAAACTTTGCCTTCAGTTCTGCTGGAACATTGAGAACCAAGAAAGCAGTGCAAATACATCTGAATTGGAACACATTATAGAGGTAAACATCATTGTTTTGCGAAAATATTCTCTCTTCTTGCAATTATTGACAAGAATAATTTCCACATATTATACTGCTGCAACTGTCCTGGGAATTTACTCCTTTGTTGATGCCAGAGTTGGTTTACCTGTCTGGTTGTCTCTGACAATTGACTAGCCCTGCATAATTCGAGGATGTAGGTTATATTGTTTGGCTTTCACAAGACTCCTTAGCTGCTTGCATTATTTAACATGTTATATAATGTTCCAATATTTGGACTTCATCTTCAATTTGGTTTTGTTTTACTTTGTTCAGGAATTTAACAAGAAATCAAACTCGCTATACACGATATTGCGCAGTAGTAGGCTTGTTGGGAGCCAGCGAGCCCCATTTCTTAGGCGTTTTCTGATGCGTCTCAACTTCAACTCCTTCTTTGAGGTAAAATCCCAGGCAAGACGCTGTGCTAGATACTTATAATTTTTGCCATGCAATTTCTTAACAGTTTATTGTTCATTCCTCTCTCAACAGGCAACAGCAAAAGGTGTGCTGAACGTTGTAAGACCACGGCCTACACTTTCTGTTTTGAATCAACAGTAGCATAGCATATTTTTGTTCTACGGCTTCGAAGTGGCTCCTGCAAACTATTTTCAGGAGCAGGCCACGTGCGCAGTGGTAAATTCGTTTTTGCTTCTTAATTTTAATGGAAGGACAGAGAAAACGAGCTTTGTTAACGCTTGTCTGAAGACAGATTTTCGCGTGTGTAAATTGTAATATACATCAAATGTTTTTCCGAGTTATTATGTAGATAAGGTATTTTGGTCAACTCCTTTCACGTTGATTTTCTGAGGGGAAAACCCATGAAAGCCAGGTACCTATTTTGTGGTACGGTTCGAGTCGAGGCTGCGGGTTTCTTCGGGTCGACATTTCGTCAACTTTGTTGTCCTGAAAGGGTGTAACAAAACAAACAAACAAATTACAGTCCTTGGCGAAGGGGAATTAGGTAGCGATTTTGATTGCCGGCTTGGAATTGTGGGTCATTGGGTGAACCTTTTCTATGTATTGGGTCTGAAGCTGTCTTTTTAAATTAATTGAACTTTATTAGTTTGTGTACAAAGAAAGAGAGTATGATAGCATCACGGCATTGTTGTGAGACCAAACATAGACTCGACTTTACTTCCATAGCAAAGAGCGAAAAATACATAATCTTTTTAGAATTGGATTGGTCCTCGATCAAACTTTCTGAAAATAATAACCATTCACAGGCTGTCTTACGTGAAAATTGTGAATCTGGTTGTGGATCGAATAAGCATCACATTTATATACAACATATCACTGTACACGTGAAACACAGATTCTCCTCGCGAAATTAGCAAGAAACATGTGAAGAACATGTCTAAAAATGAAATGGGAGCCGAGCCCTTAACATCTTCAAAACTTATACAAAGAAGGAAAGAGAGAACAACTAAATTCCAAAATTTCATTATAAATGATTTACAATGTGGCGGCTTAATTAAAAACAAGATAATAAAATGCGAAACAAACGTGGCATTGTATTAGAGCTCTTCGAAGCCTTCCTCGTCCCCTTCTTCCTCGGCTCTTTGAAATTCCTTCCTCCAAGTTTCCATCTGTCAACAATGTAAAAAGGTTTAGAAAAGTTCCAGCGTTTGAAAGACTAATGTACTGACACAACACACTAACTCCTGGGGAAAGAAGATAACGGTTTGACTATGTAGACAGGATGAGTTGAGAGATTGATTCCTCTGGTTACATGAATACCACTATTTAAGCGTTCATAAATTGTCAGATACTGAAAAACATGTTACCTGATCATCAGAAAACCGCAGTTGTTCCGCAGAAAATAGTATATTCTTATAGCTTCCTGATGCTAAGTCCTTGCCTAAACTCCTCGCAACTTCCTCATAGCAAATCATGTCCACCCGAAAGCCATTGTTCATGAATAATTTCTCCATCCATTTCCTTGCACTAGTCTACAGAACAAAACAGGAAACAGGTGGCGCATTTCTTTCTTGACAGAGAAAAGCAATTAAAACACTGAAAAACCCTTGAAATAAGCAAACTGACCTTGATCCCTATTTCAGTTTCTGCCAACCAAGCAGGCAATTCTCCCAAGAAAAAACATCCGTTCATGGCTGAACCACTTACGGTGAGCAATATGTCCTCAAAACTTGCTAATGTCATCACAGGGAGCCCCTACAACAACATACTAAAATGACTTCCCTACCCACTAAACAGAATCACCATGATAAGCTACACACAAAAAGACAACTACTGGTCAGTCATTATAGTACAGCTTGAAAACCTTCTTTAGATACCTGCATGGCCCATATACTAGGGTGATTGCCGTTAAAGCCTTTAGCACGCAGACTTTGCTGTATGTTGGAGGATTCCAAAGGAACATGAAGGGATACGCAGCTTCTTGGAATCTTTGCCCCAACACCTGAGGGATTTAAGATAATACTATGAGAACATTTTGCAGTGCCTACTTAGCAAAAACAAGATTGTAATGTATAATAAAAGAATTCCTAGAAAGCTGGAATTTGCTGAGGATTAAGAATTAAATAAGACATGCATCAACAAAATATTTGATGCCCATGATACACAATAATCCTTTTTTTTTCAAATAGGCTGCAAAATCTTTAATTTCACCAAATTGTCACTATAGTTGATGTTGTAAGTTTGCAATCACCTTGAAGCTTTTCAGCTGCTCTTTTGAATACCCGTTCTGGAGATATATTAAATATAATGGTTGAAGTTGGCCAACTAAGCCTATATGGACGGGTGTCCATGCCATCTGTTAGCAAAACAACCTGCACTTTCAAGAAGAATACCATCAAAACTTAAGGATTGACAAGAACAAGTCTATGAAGTTAAATCTTATCTCTAGACAAACAAAAACTACCTGCTTAAGTCCATCAATATGGTTCACTGTACGGAGCAACTTATCATCAATGAATTTAGTTGCAAGGCAATAATGGTCCGAGGATTGCTTCATATCCATCTGAGCATTAGGAGCAACAAAACAACCGGCATACGGATCAACAAAGAGAGGCTCTGCACATGAATTGCAAGTACTAATCACATACTCAGAAATTGCACACAAAATTCAAACAAAGATGCAATCTTTATAAGTTGTTTGCGTCACTTGAATTGCTACTACAAAACAAAAACAAAAACAGATCATCCACAGTAATACGAATCATTAAGAGCTATTTGATTGATAAAGTACCCCACTGAAAAAGAAAAGTGTCAAATACAGAGGATACGGGCTTGCCTGGTCGATGGGTTTCTCGGAAACGAAGAGAGGCTGAATCCAAGGCGGATTGAAGTAATGGGTCATTTTCTTCGACGAGTTTTGCTCTCAATCTCAACCCGCCATTTCTATATGTTCTTGAAGTAGTGTAGGTTACAGGTCGGCGAAAGATTGCAGTAGCCGGGGCATGTGCAAAGCCCACAAAACAGTCCATACAATTCAGATTACTCTTCGTCGATGATAAGCCTCACGAGAAATTGGAAGGATTCATCGTCCGCACGTTGAGCCTCAGTATTGGCTGAAGACATAACACAGGCCCTCTTACGCTGCGCATGGAGCGCGGTGCGCGCACACGACACGACCTCAGTCGTTAAGCCAAAACGACCCAGCGTTAAACGACACCCCGTCTGAACTAAACTTATTTGAGTGAATAATTGTATTATTTCAAAAAATAGAATGCGTGCAGAATAAATTTTTGGGTGTGTGTACAATTACTCAGATTATGATAGGACACGAACCATGTCTATTCAGGAATTAAAATCAAGGGGGTTTCATAATGCACCTAACACCTTAGGACCCATTCCACAACCAACTCTGATGTCCCATCAGCTGCATGAACACATAGCTGTGCCACAATCCCAAATCTTGTGTAGATTGATCTAATTAATTTGGTAACTGCAATAAAAAGAAGTTCGCTAAGCCTAAATCCCCATTTATCTTGGATGATAAACTACACAAAAATGGAGAATATGGAGAGTATTGGTGACGGGATCCTAGAGCGTATATAAGATTTTGTGTTCGATTTTCCCTCTATCAGTAGACCTTATTTTTAAATAATATTTTAAAGAAACAAAAGGATTGAATTGGAGTTCTAGCGGGCCAAAGGCCATACGACCCATCTAATTATCTGAATTAGACTGAAGGCTGTTGAAGTTGAAATGTGAAAAGTTAGTGCAAATTGTTAGGTGCAGGCAGGTTGGTTATTAAACAAAGGAATTTGGATGCGATGAGAACCAAAGGCTTTAAAAACCCGCAAAAATCACAAGGCCACCAACCGCGGAGAACACACACAATCAGACAATCTAGGGAAATAGTGAGCGAGACTGACAGAGCAAACCAGAGGTAGCCAAAGCCAACCAGGAAGACATTAGCTTATCTTCAATCTCTGCTCCATCTCTCAAACGAACCCTAGAAAATGGACCCCAATCTCCAAGTATCAGAAAACCCAGAATCCAAATCGTCAGAGGAACAAAATTCACTTGCCATTGTGCCTTCCTCATCACTTCCTCCTTTTGCCACTGCTTCCCTCTCTCTTTCTCTCTCTACAATCCTCCCCACCCACTTTTTCCAACAACCCAAAGTTTCTACCTTGTTTTCTTCCCAGCCAAACAAGGTCAAGGTGCCCACTCAGGCCTCTTCCTTGGCTCACCTCTCTCTATCCACGGCCAATGTAACTCCTCCGAAGCTCTCATTCAAGTCCACCATCTCAGCCAACCCTCTGCAAAACCCTCTCTCTTTAGGCCCTCGCCGTCCTCTAGACCCCTCCAATGGGGCCGCAATTCGCCGAGCTTCCATTGTCTGGTTCAGAAACGATTTGCGTGTCCACGATAACGAGTGCCTCAACTCGGCCAACAACGAGTCCATGTCAGTCTTGCCCGTCTATTGCTTTGACCCGAGAGACTACGGAAAATCCTCTTCTGGGTTCGATAAGACCGGTCCATACCGTGCGTCCTTCTTGGTTGAATCGGTCTCAGACCTCCGCAAGAATCTCCATGCAAGAGGGTCCGATCTGGTGGTCCGAATCGGGAAGCCCGAGACGGTTTTGGTGGAGCTGGCCAAGTCAATCGGCGCCGACGCCATTTATGCGCACAGAGAGGTTTCGCACGACGAGGTTAAGGCCGAGGAGAAGATCGAAGCCGCTATGAAGGAGGAGAATGTGGACGTCAAGTACTTCTGGGGAAGCACTCTGTACCATATGGATGATTTACCATTTAAGTTGGAGGAAATGCCCACGAATTATGGTGGGTTTAGAGAGAAAGTAAAGGGATTGGAGGTGAGGAAGACGATCGAGGCTTTGGAACAAATGAAGGGCTTGCCCTCTCGTGGTGATGTGGAGCCTGGGGATATTCCTTCCTTAATGGATTTGGGTCTTAATCCATCTGCTACAATGTCTCAGGTTTGACTTTCAGTTTCTGAGTTGTTATATTAACTCATCTTTGATCCTATAGTTTTCATCGAAAGTGTTTTGGACTGATTGTTCTGTGGATATAATTGAGAATTGATGATGTCGAGGTTGCAAGATAAATAGAAATGAACAATCTTTTACATCAGGATAATGGAAAAAGTGAACAAGTTTATAGAATCAATAAGGCCTTGCTTGGCATCTTAGTACATAAAGACTTGAGTATGTGTTATTTCTATCAAATGTTTGCACGAGATAGGGACCGAGAAATGAGTTAGTTTTGAATATTCCGGTTTTAAGTATGAAAAGATTTAGTATAAAACAAACTTTTTGCTCAAATTTGTATAACTTGAATGGTCGTTAATGGTTCAGCTGCAACTTTACTAATGCTAGCATTTGGATCTTTTGCCATTGCTAGCCTAAAATGGATTCGAAGAATAAGAGTATCATCATTTATTGACATGGAAACTGTTTTTGACACATGGTGCTGTTAGTTTCCTCCTTTTTATAGTTCTGTGATAATATTTTTTGACCTGTTCCCTGGAAAGTGAAAATATTTTCATCTCTTGTCTTATAGGATGGAAGACCACCTGCCAATGCTTCCATGGTGGGAGGGGAAGCTGAAGCCCTAGAGAGGCTCAAAAAGTTTGCAGCTGAGTGCCAAGCACAACCACCCAAGGGTGGCAAAGATGGAAGCCATGATAGCATATATGGTGCAAATTTTTCATGCAAGATCTCTCCATGGCTGGCCATGGGATGCCTCTCTCCCCGCAGTATGTTTGATGAGCTAAAGAAAACTGCTGACAGGTGTGCCTATGCCTTTCTCTTAAATGGTGCTATAGTTTCTAAAATTTATATTTGATATGTACTCACTGTTCAATGCAATTTTATGATTGATAGAACCATTTCTGCTTCCTCAAAGCGGGATGATGGTGGCAGTGGAATGAATTGGTTGATGTTTGAGTTGCTGTGGAGGGATTTCTTCAGGTAAATAGACAGACCATGAACTAAAATCACATGAGAACTATTATTTCATCTTGTCCTCTATCAACAATTCTACCCTCACCTGATTGGCTCTTGCGTATACACCCTATTCTCTACTTTAGCTTTCAAACATATCAAGTTGAAGATGTGTTATAATATGGGTAGTACTGTACTGATTTTTTTTTGTATATCCCTGCTCAATACAGATTTGTCACCAAGAAATACAGTTCTGCAAAGAAACAGCTTGACGCTGCTCCAGCCACAGCATGTACGGGTGCCCTTGCTTAGGGAAGAACTTAAATTGGATGATGAAATGTTGAGATACGGATTAGTTTCAACTCTTTTAATTTTCCAATATGTAGCAGTTAGACCTTGTTTTCGGTTCCAAATAATGTGTTTGAATATGGAGATTTGCCCCATTCTTCATACGTTCTCATGTGAATAACAGATGGTCTGCTTTTTGCCTTCTATCTTTGGTTTGTTGTACACATTGACCAAGTTGTTGATGGAATTACAGATTTACAAAAGAAATAGAATTTCCGCGCATTTAAATTCACTTGTCTTTCTCTCATCTCACATGTTTACTTCGCCTATTTAAGGAGAAAAAAATACCAAGAAGAAATTATACTAAGGGTGATGTTTCCCCCACCATCAACCCCACCGTTGCCACCACAACCACCGTCAGCATCATCACCATTACCGCCACCGCCACTACCACCCCCACCTCCACCATCAACCACAAACCATCTCCACTGCCATCACCACCACCGTCATCACCCCTAAACCCTTTGTTTTTTGAGTGCTATAAACTCCATTAAAATCAATAATAAAACTCTAACAAACTCAGCTAAAATCTATACACAAATTCAATCAAAATCTATGTAGAGTTTGTAGAATTCAGTCAAACTCAATTAAATTCAATTAAAATCCATCAACTTTATAACTAATTTAAAATCTAAATTGAATACACCCTCCTAAATTTATGTAGATAATATACCAATACCCTTATTTGATAGAAAAGGCTAAGGTGCATAATAAGCCAATGCCTTCAGATGAGCTACACATAATCAGAAATTTTTGTGCATTGTATACATCAATGTTACAATGGAATACACTTCGTACACTCAGTCATACTAGTAAATACAGAAAGAGAACAAACCAAAATCATACCGAGCAAAAGAATTTATTTTTCTTTCGAAAAAAAAATAATAATTCTCATATGATGCCAGAAACCTTGAGAGAAGATAGCACAACAAAAATAAGCCAAAGCAACATGAAAAACACAAAGGTAATCCAAGCCCAAAGCCTTGGCCCTCCAAGCTCAGCACCCAATGTTCGACGCCTAATTATCAGAACCGCAATACAACCTACTGAAGTTGAGAAAAATACAAGCAAAGAGAAGCTAAGACCCGCTGCATTCTCAATCCGCAGTGGTTCTTTATATACAAAGAAATTGTATGCAGTGTCAATCAGCCACGGAACGCCAATGCCAACATATATATTCACAGAATTGCTGCAAAATGACATCAACAAACAGGAAAGCAAGTTGAGTTCATGACATGGCTGAAAAAATTTAACATAAATTGAAATTCAAGTGAGACCTTTGAATACAATTTTGTTTTCTTATCTTTCTTGTTTCATCTTCTGGATTTCATTTGTTAAAGGATGAACGTTTACCAAACTTCGAAATTCTTTATCCGGACCTCCTTGCTACTAAATGTAGTCATTCCTTGAAAAATAACTTAACAAAGTCTAAAATTGAAATGGATCTTTAAGAGTAAACCTGCAAGTAATGTTTGCGATGGCAGAATCAGCTGTTATCTGACGTTCAGCAGCAATCTTACTCGCAACTAAATCTGGCCATGAAGTTCCACTTGCTAACGCAGTAAATGCTATGACATAAGGATTTATTCCTGCAAAAAGAAAGTATGGGAATGACAAAGTTTTAGAGAACTAGCTAGATCATGGACAAAATTATATTGATGAACGGTAAGTTATCACATAAAATCATAGAAACCTGTGACACAGCTTATGAGATCTGTGAGTTGTGTTACAATGTAAGCTATCGCACTGATGAAAACTAAGGAACATATGAAGGCAATCCAGCCATGAGCAATATGATAAGGGGGCACAAATGCAAATAGTAGTCTCCATGGGACAAGAAGTAACTGCCAGGAAATTCTTGCTAGTCGCAAATATAGGTTGTTCAGTTTTCTTGGTTCAGTGCTTTCTAACTGTTTCAGAAAAAGGAAATTACTGTAACCAGCAAAAATGGAAACTACCACAAACTACACATATCTTGATTATTAAGCATATACAACAGAGAATACAATACCTTGACTGCGTCTACAAATTGTTGCCTCCAAATTGCAAACACATGATAGTCTTCTAAACTCATCTTCTCTGGCGAATCTTTATTGGAATATTCAGGAGTTTCATCAGTTCCAGGAACGTTTTGATACACTGGACCTGCAAAGTGAGACTTCCATATTGAGAAAAATTGTAAAAAGCCCCTAAAGAATGTTATTTTTACCTGAGTGACTATTTCGTTTCAAGGAATTTCAGACAAGTACCTATACCACTTCCTGAATGAATGGAGAAAATGTCAACAACGTTCCTGTTTTCATCTTCACCAACCTCAAGTATCTCAGAGTAGTTATTGCAGGGACCACTATCACTCTTGCACGTAACAACCTCAGCTGGCACCCAATCCTCTGGTCTCTCACTTCTTGGCCTTAGGAAATGAAAACAAGAAATGAAGGCAAAATACTGAGAAAGTTAAACCAGTTTAGAAAAATGTGAAAGGCCACAAAGATCTCAAGCATTAATTTAAACATACAAAGGAAGAGAAAAGTAGGGCCAACGCTTGTCTTGAGCATAAGCATGCATCAGCAGTAATCCATATTGCAGTACTGTCAATAAGGCCTCCCATATTGTAATCACATTCGGTGTCCACACCTGCAGCGTTAAGTAAAACCATTTCACTACAGAGTTCTAAATGCGTGTCAGGCATAACCCGAAATGTTGACAGATAAAAATAAAGAAAAAGGATGATTAGCATAGGGTGATTCCTTCAAATTACCTCTAAAATTATATATAGCCAAATATAGGCCCAAAAAGACCAAAAGAGCTCAACTAGCCAGACTCCTACATCAGCTATCTTTTTCAGCTCTCCAGCTCTAGGAACTACAACACATACTGCATGGATGGGGAAAAGGTCGAATGCAGCAGAACCAACTAGTGTTCCAGGACCCAAACCTATAAATTAAGAAGACAAGCAGTGTTAAAATATATGAAAGAAGATAATAAATGTAACTAAACCTACGTGTGAAGAAAATAAAATCGGAGAAATCATTGCAGAAGCATGCAAAAAGATTCAAAATGGAAGAAAACCAAATCACACAGTTGAGTAATCGTCATTATCAACATTTCAGTGCATTCCCAGTGACTCCAATCACAAGATAGATTTTGGGAGATCATGCTCATCAGAAGCAGATGAAATGTGCTTCTCCTTTTTCTCCTTACCTCTGTCATATTGGAGAAGAATAACAAATCATGAACTTCCCTCAACAGTACTCTATTCTACTCAGGTCATCTAGTATCCTACCTACTAACAGCTATTGAACACATGAAGTTTTGAACTGATACTACCGCAAAACTCATGTTTCTTGCAGTGTATCTCAATGTGCGTGTGTGTGTGTGTAAAAGTGACAGTAGCATGATAAAACAATGTGACACGGAAAAGGATAAACAATCCATCAGGGAAAAAGATGAACAATAAACCATGAAGCCAAAATCTCAAAGTCACATCAATAATTCAGTAAATTTTGTAAAACAAACCTCCAGCATACAGCTTCCCAAGGTTTCTTATAGCATCAATAGTAGCCAATGATATTTGAGGAAAGCTGGTCCCAAAAGCCAGCAGGCTAATGTCTGCAATTGTGAAGTTCCACACTTTTTCATACATAATAATTTCAGCACCAGTATAAGGATTGATATCTACCACCTTCCGTGTGTGGCTCACAACACTCTCCATTGATTGGAAAAAACGAGCAGTTATAGCAGACAACCCAACGAAACAGTAAGCAAGACCAAGAAAATATAAGAAAGTCCGGAAACCAACCCCAAGGCTAGTTTCACCATGAAAAATAAAGTAGCTTTCACAATTTTCTTTACCCATTATACTGGAATTTCCAGGCATGGTTTATGTGGTTTGCTCAAATTGCTTGCAGTCCAAAAACTACAGTGAAGTAAAGCAACAAGACCTGATTGATACAGAGAAGAAATTTGGTTATCAGAAATTGATTACAATTATGCATGACTTAATACTGTCAATGAGTAAAGGACCAAATAAAGAGGATTAACCTGCAACAAAGATAAGACAGACAAAGCGAGCAATTCAGCTCCTAATACCCAAATTAACATCGCTTTCAATTTTCCATTTCAACGGAAGAAGATGTTCAACAACATGTTGGCGAGTCTTTGTTTTGACACAACAAGCTCTCAATGCAAATCCCAGAAAACCCAAAAACCAAACAAATCCATGGCATCACCGAAAGGCGCGAGTACAAACCTTCAACTATCGAATCATACATACAGCTAGATCACATTTATGGGTTCACAAGAAGAAGATGAAATAAATTAGAAAACAGAGATGCAAGGAGGGACAACCTGAGGAGCTCACGTAGGAAGGGAAGGCAGGAAGCTTGCCGGCGCCGGAATCGACGGCCGCCGAAGCTCCTGCCACAAGTGATGACGTGCGAATCCAAATCAAAAGAAAGCAGATAACAAAGCAATGGACAGGTGTGGCGGGTAGTGTCAATCTCTCAATTTTCAAAACGGTGGAGAGTTGGGTTGGGGGATGCGTGAACAGAGAGAGCTGTTTGCTGACTTTTTGGTTCTGAGTCAGTAAAAGTCAGAGGACGCAGACGTGCATGGTTTGGGGCCTAAGCTTTCCTCATCTTGAATGATTAAATTTGCTAATTGTTATTAACCATCTGAACGGGTGTTGCATAAATAAATTATTACAATGGTGAAAGGTACAGTACAGAGGCCAAGAATCAGGTGAACAGTGAAGGCGATACGTTTCTTTTTTCCTTTGTAGTTACAAATTACAATGACAACAAAAAATATATTTATTTATTTATTTATTTTTCTTTATCAATACGAGCAAAACTAAAAGAGATCGAATCGAACTTAGGAGTTTGGATACATAATTGCTTTAATTCAATTGAGTTAAAAGGGTCTTGATACGGAATAATAATAAGATCCTACCCTAAATAACTCTTCTTTTTCTCTCTTGTGGAATAGATATTTTGTGCAATATATGTGATCGCTATTTTGGGGAAGTCACTATGATTGTGACATTTACAATAATTCTACACTGTTTGTGGCTGGCTGTGTCCTATAATTCTGTTTGTAGCACTCGCCCACCATCCATAATTCTGCCTGCTCCAATCGCACCAACATCAGACCTGCCATTCTTTTGTATCCCTGAGCTGAGCACAGTCTTTACATATAAATTATGATTATTATAAATTATAATTAATGAATTAACCAACCTAACCAAATTCCAGGAATAATAACCTTTCTACCAATAGTCTTTACAAGAGCACAGTCCTTGTCTAAAATGGTGAAACCGATTGCAATCTCTGATAACAATTTCCCGATCAAACTCCTTGGAAATCATCTTCATAGCATCATGACAATCACGACATATCCTCAGGTTTTTAACAATTCGAATTGGGGTGCCTGGACTTGTCTTCAAAAAGCAGAAGGCAAGTGCTAGTTTCTCACTATGAAAGGACAAAGCCAACTCCTTTCCTTCCTCATCCAGCTCAAGCAATACCTCACTTGTATTTCCAACAAAACCTCTCAGCTTCAACCTCTTCATGATCTCATCAAGCATCATATATATTTCTCGACTTTCTGGATGAGAATCGTCGCCCACGAAAAACTCATGAAGAACACCTCCTACCTCAACCAAGCTACAACCAGGGACCTTTTTTATCTCCCTTTCCTCCATGAGATCTCTCACACGCGTTACTTCGCTCCATCTACCCATCTTCGCATACACATTTGATAAAAGCACATATGCACCGCTATTCGTGGGATCCAAATGAATTAGATTCTTCAGTGCAATCTCACTTGTTTCGATGTCCTTCTGCATCCTAGATCCACTCAGTAGAGCCCCCCAGATAAGTACATCAGGCTCCATTGGCATGGACTGCACCACCTTCAATGCCTCCCTAACAAGACCAGCTCTTCCATAAAGGTCAACGATGCAACCGTAGTGCTGGATTAAAGGCTTAACACCAAACTCCTCGTCCATTCTCCTAAAATACTCCTTACCTTCACCCACCAAACCTCCATGCACACAAGCACAAAGAACACCCACAAATGTCACAGCATTAGGCCTCACACCACACTTTACCATTTCAGAAAACAATTCAAGGCATTCGGTAGCAAGTCCATGCATGGCCAGTCCTGAAATCATTGAACTCCAGGCCATGACATCCTTACTGGGGCCCATATTATCAAAAACCCATTTTGCTTTCTCAATACTTCCACATTTGGCATACATGTCCACCAATGCCGTCCCTAAGATAACATCAATTTCCATCCCAGATTTGTCGATATAAGCATGAACCCATTTGCCATGCTCAAGTGCACCCAACCGCCCACAAGCCAAAAGTACGCTTGACATGGTAAACTCATTAGGCCTCGCACCATCCGCATCCAACATTTGCATTTCACGAAACAGGACAAGTGCTTCCTTATAACCACCGCACATGACGTACCCCTTTATCATACAACTCCAAGAAATCACATTTCTGTGTGGCATTTTATCGAACACGTCTCTCGCATTGCCAATCAACCCCACTTTCGAATAGGCATTCATAATTGAATTCCAAGATGGTAAATCAGGTTCAAAAATCTCATCAAACACTTGGCGGGCAAGCATCAAATTGCCACAAGACGAGTACATATGGATGAGAGATGTTTGGACAAACGGGTCGTGCGTGAATCCAAATAGAAAAACTTGGGCATGGATCTGCTTTCCCGATTGGAGGTAAGGAAGAGAACCGAAAGACTGAAGGAGAAAAGGGAAGGTGCGGTTGTCGGGTACAACTCCATGTAAGCGCATGCGAAGGAAGACGGAGAGTGGGGAATAGGGGGTTGGGACTGTGGCTTGGACATGGGCTCGGATAAGGGTGTTCCAGACGAAAGACTCAGGGGTGGGATGGGAAAGATGGAGAGTTGGGTGCGTGGAGGATATGAGCTTTACAGAAGCTCGCATTTGCATTTCTGGTGCTGCATGGCGGGAAGATGTTCAAATCGTTTTAAAGGAGTTGGCAGTCTATTGCTTTTGACTAGCTTATTAGAGCTAACTTTTCGACAGACTGACGAGCAAACGATTGTTCATCATTTGTGTATATTAAACTGCTGTGAGGACAAATTTTATAATAGAATCTGGCTCCCAGTTATCAAGGACTGATTTTAAATTTTATGCTTTCTTGTTTGGTCTGGGTTTTTCTCGACCTTTGCCTTTTCTATTTGTTTGGTACACTTCTCTCCTGGGCCTTGTAAGCTTTTGTTGCTTTGAAGTTGAACCAACTTCTCGGTTTACCAAAAACATATTTGATTTAGTGCAAATCAAAAAACAGCTCTCTTTGCATCTCATTTGAACGATCGAACGCCGAGGGTAGGTGATACATATAAAAACACCGTCAAAAAATTATCAATCCACCATAATCAAATACCTGAATGAAATATGTATTGTACCGCCCACATAGACAATGTGATAACGAGATTCTAAATTTCAGACCGAATACTCAAAAGAAGCTCAATTTCATAGTGGGTATCAATCATGAAACAAGCCAAAATAAAAGTCGATAGATAAGCAGGTGAAAAACAAAAGATTGTCCTCTAGAACTACTAAGCTCAAAGGGTAATGCCGCAAAAAAGGAGACTAGGTTTTCAGTCTTCCTCCTCCCCCTCGTTCTCAGCAATGTTGAAGTATCTCAACTCATAAACACCGCGGTCCTTGTTGGAAGCAATTACGCGAAGCCAATCCCTCACATTGTGCTTCTTCAAGTACTTCTTGGTCAAGTATTTAAGATACCTGAGAAACAAGTGATATAAAGGTTATACATAAAAGAAAACAGAGCATGCTTACTACTCAAAAAGCAACAAAAGAGTAACTATGTCTAACTGAAACCATTATTAATCAAGATATAAGGATTTCAAGCCTTTTATGTTGAACTGAAAGTTATATTCATAGAAATTGAATAATCCAAAATATAATTGCACAGTAAAGCTAAAATTTGAAGTTACAAAGAAAATAAACCATTGAATATTCTGCAAAATGCAACCAACATCAAAGATTCACAACAACAGAAACAAATGAGTCCTGTGCTAGTATACAATCATTTTATACATAATAAGTGATATGAAACTTATACATAAAGCATGATATAAACAAAAGATAACCAGACTAACATCAGCAATACCATATCCATGGAAATGTAATAATCAAGATACAAGAATGCCACATATTTCACGCTGAGCTGTGATTTATATTCATGGAAATGCAGTAATCAAGAAATTAGTCGTACACCAAAGCTTATAGTTCCCATTACAGAACAAAGCAAACATTTGCTACAACAGAAAAACAAAGGCCATTTTAGGGCACAACCAAAAAAAACAAAAAATAATAACTTCTTTTTCATAAAATAAGTTTTAAACCACTGGGTTCTAGTTATAATTCAGATCTGCAAAATGGTATTTGCAAATAAATATAATCCAAAGTGTGAGTACCTCTTCGAGAAGTTGGAGTCAGAGGTGACGGTGATCTTGTTCTTCTCACGAGAGACGGTGACGGCGTCACCGAGAGCACCGGCCTTGCCGCCGACCTTGATGCGCTCCTGGAGGAACTTTTCCAGTGAGGCGATGTCCATGATCTTATCCTCCACTGGCTTCGCGCAGTCTATCACAAAGGAAGCCCCCTTCTTCTTCCCCTTCGTCCCAGCTGCCGCCCCACGACTCATCTTCGCTTCTCTCTCCCTCTCTCACTCTCTCTCTCTGCGTCTGTGTGTGAGCTGCGTCTGTTACTGAGATTAGGGTTAGGCTCTCAGTACAATAAAAGGGACTAGGGTTTTGGGTTCGCGGGGTTTTTATTTTATTTTTTTGGTACGGGCCCAAAGGCCCAGTCTAAAATATTACGTGTAGACCTGCCTATCTCAGCCCAGTCCTCTTTAAGAAAAGTATGGCGACGGTGTCGTTTCGGCCCTCGTTTCTCTTTCAACGTCTATCGAACGCGGCGCGCATCGGGGACCGGAGGTGAGAGATGGAGGGAGAGCCCTACGACGTCGTCCCGTGCTCTTCCGTCGCCGTCGATTCTATCCTCCGCATCGGAACGGTAATTCAATCCTCTGAAACTGAATAAGACATTGTAATTCTATGTATCTGGAAACTCGTTTTACAGCACAAATAAATAATTTTGAATCTCATAAATTTCAGGCTGGTGCAATTTGGGGTTTGTGTTCCGCTCCCCACGAGGCTCGTAAACAAGGTAAAGTTCAAAACTTTCCTTCATTTTCACCAAAAATTTGTAGAATTGATTTTGATTTTGTAAGTTTGTGTTTCTTTGCCGGTGATGTAGGCCTAGGAGGAGTAGCTCAGGCCGCTTTTGTGGTATAAATTCTTTCATAGATAAGCAACAAAGTTGTCTAGGGTTCTTACTAAAACTCTTGAGTGATACATTTTGTATTGGTACCGTGAGCAGGCGAGGTCGGCTAGCTCGTGTGGCTTTCAATATGGTAAACTCAGATGTAATATATCCTGCTTTTTTTGTTTTCTGATTTTTAGTTTCTGAGAGCTGTATTTGGCTGAATTGACACTTTTAAAATTACAGGACTTGTTGCTGGAATCTGTACTGCTACTCACTGTGGGCTTCAAAGATATCGGGGAAAGAGTGATTGGGTTAGTGAGGCTCTTGTATATCTGGAAAGAAACCCATGTTTAGGAAGTCAATTTGTATATCTTCTACCATTACTTCTTTGATATATAAAGCTCTGCTGAAAATATGCTTTTCATTTTCTTTTCTCCTTATCTTCTACTTGTGAGTTTCAAACATCCTAATACAAAGTGCTTGCTGATATTCTAACAAACCAATTTGGAGTCTTGTATAGTAATTTGCCCAACACAATCCAACTTGCATTGCTTAAAAACTTTTGCAATCCAGTTCTATATTGTGACCCGACACACTATTGCAGCTGCACTCACAAATTTGCAGGCAACACCAGAGCCAACCAGCTTGATCTTGGCTTCACTAAGATGCCATTTTATGTTTAGAATTTGGAAAGGTTGTACTTGATAGTTTGTTGATCTACATTGCCCCTAATTTTGTATTTCATTGGGTGTCTAATGAGTCAACTTTGAAAAGCTTGATGGCCTGCTAGAAGATAATGGTTTTTCCCTCTTCTGGCAGGTGAATGGTCTGATTGCTGGTGCTGTGGCAGGGGGAGCCATTGCTGCTATGACACGAAGCTGGACACAGGTGGTTCCTATGGCTTGTCTGGTTTCTGCCTTCAAAGTTGCCACTGACTATGCTAGAACAACTTGAAATACCTCTCGGTGGAAAACTGTGGCAGAGGAAGGTTGTTCTCTTTGCTCCCTACATATTTTACCTATTTTTTCCCCTGCTTAGATCCCTCATCTTATTGAACCATTTGTCTGTATCACTGTCATTATTTTTGACTAAGCAAAGAAATACATTCTGTTATGTCGGTAGATATGGCGTTTATGGAGCGACCGTTGTATGACAGTTCAATTCTTGTATGATTTTCTTTTCTTTTTCCTTTTTTGTGTGTAAATAACTAGAGCAGATAACAAGGTTCCCTTTTGTTGCTGATGCTCATTTCAACAGATATTTGACCAAGGATGAAAGCCCTTCATCCTTTGAATTCTGGGTTGCTAAACCAGGTGAGCATTGTAGATGATGATACCCTGCTTCTCAGAAACCAGAAAGACAAAAACAAAAATAAAAAGTAAAGGAAAGAAGTAGGGGCAAAATTTCTTTTTTCGACTGGTCAAATTCAAGTGTAGCAAAATCTCCGTTTATATGTGATTGCATGAAAGTGACAGCATCTACTCTGCATAGGCAGTAGGTTACATACCATCTCAAAACTAAGAAGTGGACAATGACAAATCCGTTCGCCCTTGTTGATTTTGTTCAAGTTGACTTCAATAACATTCTTGCTGCAAAAAGTTATATAAATTATAACTTCGGTAGTTAGGAACAAATGGATGGATGGTCCTACGCAATAACTGGATGTGTGGGAAACATAAAAAGAGAAAAAAAGAATTAAGAAAACATTGTGGGGGTAAGTGACTATCTTTCTACCTGCTAACCTAAATGCCTTTATTTTCTTAAAACGTGTGTGTCACATTTTGATGGGGAAACGTCTCTCAGTCTCTGCTTGAATATATACCAGGTCAAGTATTTAGGTGAAAGCTCAAGAATTTGCAATGCTATTTTTGGTGTGGGTTTGTGGGAAATTTCGGTTCAGCTTCCAAGTTTTTATGGAAAGATAATTGTAAGATTGAAATGAATTCGGATCTTGAATTGGTTTTGAATCCAATCGGGTTGTCTAAGTAAAGTCAGTTCACGTACGTTTGTAAGCTGGAACGAGCTAGACAGTAGCAAAATTTGATGAGGCGTGAGCGAGCTATGTTCTTCCCGGTCCATTTAAAATTTGGGTTGGGTTGGAACATTTTGGATCCACTCTTTGAATACTAGAGGTGAGGGTGTGATTAGTAAGTAAGTTAGAAAATATATTTGCAGGTGAAAAATTAAATAATGTAGCCTTGAAAAGTTGAAATGGTAGATGGATATTAACTTGGTACAGAGCAAGTATATGAAATGACTTTAAAATGTTTGGTGTTTGGTGCTTGGTTGGTGACAAAATAAATAGAGCTATCAAATCACTAAAGATGGTACCTTATATTGGTGTTACAACCATACATGCCCATTTCAAGGTCTTCTCTTTTTTTTTCCTTTCTTTCCATTAATTGGTTACGTATCATGTTTATGCAACTCCTGTCTACTTTACTTGGTCATGTCGCACTCTAAATAAACGTCAAAAACGTTCTAATAATCGTGGAAAATATACAAAAAGTTTGTATGATTACATCTTACAATACTATACACCATATGAATATTTTCCCTTCTTTTTTTTTGTGGCTATGTAAACGATATGAATAATTTGTATTCACTTTTTTTTTATACAAGTAATATTTTAATTTAAACTAATTTAAATGATAGAGAGGGGAATTTGAATTCGGTTGCAAAGCAATAAGCACATCTGCTGTAGCCAATTTGACTAAGCTCATGTGTTTATTCACTTTTTAGTAGCAAAGATGATGAAGGAAAACAATAGCTTTACAAGTCGGAGAAACTTTGAAATGAACCAGTGGTTCTATGCTCTTTGACCCCAAAACAAAAAGGTCCTCTATGCGCATGAAGCACATCACATATTATAACACCCGAAAAGGTATCTATTTACTATATATAACAAGAACCTTTATACACGTTGGGGTGAGGAAAGGAAATACAATCCAGATAAACACCTACTACCACCGTCTCTCTCTCTCTCTCTCCTCTCTCTCTCTCTCTCTCTCTCTCATCATCTTTCATTTTCAGAGCTTCTACTTTCCTTTTCCCCATATTTTTTCAGAATCTCTTTCTCTTTTAAGTTATATAGAACAACATTAATATTCGTCACTCATCTCTTTCCCAAGTTATTATTGTGTTTGAGGCATCAACTCACAGATCCAGAGTTAGGATATACTATTCAAACATGGGGTCATCAAGGATCTGATATCTTAGTCGTTTTCTTTTCTTTTGCTCTCTCGTGGTGAACATGGATGGTGAATATCAAGAAGTAAGTATCTTAGTCGTTTTCTTTTCTTTAAGATATATTATATATACCTGTATGTATGTGTTTGGTTGAGTTAGACAATGTTGATATATATATATATATATATATGTAGTTTCTTCTCTGATGGGGTGTTGTTCTTTGTTTGTTGAATGAGAGAAGGTTTACATAAGGAATTCAAGAGGAGTGCAGCTTTTCACTTGCAGATGGTTGCCTTTTTCCTCTCCAAAAGCCCTCGTTTTCCTTTGCCATGGTACTCTCTCTCTCTCTCTCTCTCTCTCTCTCCCTATGGGGCATATATGTAATTAATTGGCGGTGCTCATTAATGATGTTGCAGGGTATGGCATGGAGTGCAGCGGTTTCATGAGAGGTAATAAATATTCTTAAATGACTCTTGTTCGTTCCTCCTCTTCGTTCTTTCAATTATATTTTCTCAACTTTCCATTGCTTCATCTATAAAAATATAAAAATATATATAAAGGGTAGTAAAAGAAAAATAAGAGTATTCTTTTATAACTTACAAACCGAAAAGAAATTTCAATATATCAAAAGTGGTTGGTAATAATAGTAATTTACTACACTTGATGATGTGATGGTGTAGAGATGCATAGATAGAGATAATCATCATGAAAAACAGAGGCTTGAAAGAAACTTTTACCCAACTTTTCCTCTTCTTCTTCACCTTTTCCTTCTCCTTTTCCTTTTCCTTATCTGCAAGTAAAGCAAATCTAGTGGGATATATTGGGAATGCTAATTCACTGAAATTGGAGGACACTTTTATTCTACAGAAAGCATAAAACTTGCAAAATTCCTTGTCTTCCTGCTAATATACATGCATACATATCCAAGGAAACCTCGTCAAATTACGCAAAATCCACTCACAGGGCCACAGAGTGTTTGCCATTTTTTTACTGGATCACTGCTATTTCGCCTCTCAGATAGGCTGGCTTTTAGGCGGTCATCTGTTGGGAATTGGGAGAGGATAGATACATTGAAAACAAACAAAGCAGATGACTTATCCAGGATAAGCTTAAATCTTTGGCAACAACCGTATGGCACACCTCAGTCCTCTGTGTCTTTATGCTAAATTTAAATTATATTACACATAATCAGACAAATACATTGGATTTTTTAGAGGCTGTTCTAGTCCCGTCCCATTCCATACAATGGATTTTTTTAGAGCCGCGAATGCTGACAAGACTATCATTTGTCCTATCTTTCTGGTTCAATTCTCAATTATTTTGGGTTGGAACTTGCATCGCATCATCTTCAACTTGGTTGGAGGAGGAGGCATGCACACACACAACACAAAACACAAAACACATGGCTCTTTTTTCTCACTGCCTCTAATCTCTCTCTAGAATTGAATTGGCTCTTAGAGTCAGTGTCCTTCTCCAATCTATAATTTTTTAAGTAATTAAGACTCATCTAAATAATTGTCCAAATCTTTGACCTCCATTTTTTCTTTTCTTTTTGGATCCTTATAATTCAATTTAGGCCGTGATGATTGATTGGTGATAATAAATGAGCTCTGCAAGATGAAGACTTTTCAAACAATGTATCTCTGCATATTTGAAAATTCTCTTCTTTTTCTGCATGCTTATTTACTCCATCCAGCAATTATCATGTGGGGTATTGTTCTTTTTCTTTTTATAAGAAAAAATTATTATTATTTGGGCCATTAACAACAACCCTACATGAAGATTCTATACTGAAAACGGAATTGGGTGGTCAACTGGGTTGGTTTGGTTAGGTTGGCGGACAAATTTTGGGCTGTAGGTGTATGGTCTTTTGCTGGCCGACTGTGATAATGCCAAAAGGACTGTTGTTGTTAAAAACATTATACTGATCCAGGCAAATACTTAATGCAACTGGCAGACATGATATTGAAGAGGCAATTACCTTTTTGTTACTTTTTAATACGTACATATTTGAAGGTTATCTAATGAAGTTATTCTTTGATAAATAAAAAAAATTAGAATGTGGTGTTCGACTGGCAAATGCGGGGTATGCAGTGTTCGGAATTGATTACGAAGGACACGGACGCTCGAGAGGGGCCAGATGTTACATTAAGAAGTTCGAAAACATAGTGAATGATTGCAATGAATTCTTCAAGTCCATTTGTGGTATGTTTAATCCAATCCAATCCTCCCAATTAAAAACTAATCTCAATCTTGGTTCTTGGGTACCCTCTACCCTGTGATTTTAATTGAACTTTGAACTAAAATGGTTGTTCCAGCGGAGGAAGAGTACAAGGACAAGTGCAGGTTCTTGTATGGAGAATCCATGGGAGGTGCAGTAGCCCTTCTGCTTCACAAGAAGGAGCCGACTTTTTGGAATGGTGCTGTTCTTGTTGCACCCATGTGTAAGGTGGTAATTTGATTTGCGTGTTAAGTTTTTAATTTGGTTTGTTTGGTGAAGCGTTGGTTTACCAAATCAAAACTGATCGTTTTATCCAATCCAATATTGTTAATTAAGATATCAGAGAAGGTCAAACCGCATCCGCTGGTTATCAATGTGTTGACCAGAGTGGAGGAGATTATTCCCAAATGGAAGATAGTGCCTACAAAAGACGTCATTGACTCGGCCTTCAAAGACCCTGTAAAACGCGAAGAGGTGACAAAGACAATTAAATAAACACTAATTTCATTTCTTTTTTTGACATTTTATTTGGTGACAATTAAGAGAATGAATGGGTTCAAATTTCAGATAAGGAGCAACAAGCTGATCTACCAAGACAAGCCAAGGCTGAAAACAGCGTTGGAAATGCTCAGAACTAGCATGAGCCTTGAACACACTTTGCATGAGGTTGGTTTGTTGCTGCTTCCACTTCCATTTGATTCAACATATATATATATATATATATATATATATATATAATTAGTTACTAACAAATGTAGACTAGCATAGCAGGTGAGGCTACCCTTCTTTGTATTGCATGGGGAGGCAGATACGGTTACAGACCCAGAAGTCAGCAGAGCACTGTATGAGAAAGCCAGCAGCGCAGACAAGACCATCAAATTGTACCCTGGAATGTGGCATGGCCTGACATCAGGAGAGCCAGATGGGAACGTCGAAATTGTCTTTGTAGACATCATAACTTGGCTTGAGAAGCACACCAGTGATGACAATTCCGTCATCGTGCAACCAATTCACACATATAGGAATGCCATTCTCAAGATGAACACCACAGCCTCACCACCCCAAACAATAAACAAGCAGCATCAGCAGCAGTCGCCTCGGCCTGTGCGAACACAGTCGCACATGAGATATTTCTGTGGGTTGAAGGGACGCAGATTGCAGCATCACTCGGCAATGTAGGCCAGCCAATGTTGAATGTGCATGGCAACTGATGTGCATAGTCACTTGTATAAATGAATGCTCTTCAGTTTTCGTCTGGATGAGAAATGTATCGCTATCGCAAAGAGGAGGCAGTGGAATAAATCCTTTCTTGCCCTTTATTAATAAACCTCTATTATAACTCAGCTGTCTAATATGCTTTATCAATGCAAGGGTCAGGTCAAATTAAAGAGATTGGTCCGTCTGGAACTTGAAAGGGGAGATAATGGTCTAATTGAACTAACAAATCCAATCTAAATCACATTTCACTTGAACAAATCGAATCCGCGGCTTTGTGATTCACTTGCCATCACAAGCCCCAATGGCAGCAGAGTAGTCTCTGCTCCCTCTAAAGATGGTGGCTTGCCTTCCCTGAAAACCTCTGGCTTCCATGTTTTGATGTGCAGTCAATCCTAGGATGGTGAAAAGGGTTTATATCAACAATGTACAACAGCAGGAGCATAAAAGATGAAAATATTGCGCTGGAACTGGTATAACAATGTCCTATATTTCTGAATTTTAGTTTTAGGTTTTAGTGTAGCTTTTAATGTATCTGATTGTGATGTTTGTATTGTTTGCATGTCAACTACTTTGTTTGGACTATCTGAATATAGCTAAATCTAGGGTACAGTTCTTCCCAGACTTATATGGAACTCTCAACCCAAAGCAACCTGTTCAAGATTGTTCTCATCCTTGCGCAAAATCTCAAGAGGGAGGTCAACGTCGACAGCATGGAGAGCGGGCACCAAAAAAGCTAGCTCGTTCAAAAATAAGGCCATCTCTTTCCTTGGTGCTGGTGTGCAAGTATACAATTAATCAAGGGTCCAAAGGCACTAAGCTCAAAGTCATGGCATTTGCTAATGGGACGGAGAACTAGAGAATTTGGTTTACAGAAATCGTATAGCCGCGCGCCTATATTCTGTCATTCCTAATTTTCTAAAAGAAATCGTATAGCCGGGCGGCTATACTCCTATTTTTTTTTCAAAGAAATGGTGTAGCTGCGCGGCTATACTCGGCATTTTTCAAATAGTTAAAAAACAGTATCGCCACGCAGCTATACTCGGCATTTTAAAATTTTCCTTCAAGCTATAGTATAGCCGCACGACTATACTAGGCATTTTTATTTTTAAGAAATAATATAGCCTATTCCCGGTTTTTAAAATTTTTTAAGAAATCGTATAGCTGGGTGACTATACTCAGTTTTCCCCAATTTTTTTTTTTTACAGAAACCGTATAGCCGGCCGGCTATACTCGGTTTTATCTATTTTTTTTAAAAGATATAATATAGCCGCGCGGCCATACGCGACATTTTTCAAATTTTTTTAAAGAAATAGTATAGCCCAGTGGCCTATACCCGGTTTTTCTAATTTTTTTCAAAAAATATACTATAGCCATGCTGCTATACCCTTTTTTCCTAAATTTTTTAAAAGAAATAGTATAGCCAAGCGGCAATACTCGCTTTTTTTCAAAAAAAAATTAAAGCAATAGTATAGCCTCATGGCAATTCTCCGTTTTTTCTTAATTCTTTAAAATAAATAGTATAGCCGCGCGGCCGTACTTGGCATTTTTCAAATTTTATTTAAAGAAATAGTATAGCCATGCGACTATACTCAGTTTTTTGAAAAAAAAAATTAAAGAAATACTATACTAAGTTTTATCCATTTTAATATATCTGATTGTGATGTTTGTACTTTGTATTGTTTGCATGTCAACTACTTTGTTTGGACTAACTGAATATAGCTAAATCTAGGGTACACTTCTTCCCAGACTTATATGGAACTCTCTACCCAAAGCAACCTATTCAAGCTTGTTCTCATACCTGCGCAAAATCTCAAGAGGGAGGTCAATGTCGACAGCATGGAGTGCGGGCACCAGAGAAGCTAGCTTGTTCAAAAATAAGGCTATCTCTTTCCTTGGTGCTGGTGTGCAAGTATACAATTAATCAGGGGTCGAAAGGCTCTAAGCTCAAAGTCATGGCATTTGCTAATGGGACAGAGAATTAGAGAATTTGGTTTACAAAAATAGTATCACGTGGCGATACTTTGTTTTTCCTAATTTTTTTTAAGAAATAGTATCGCCACGCGGCTATACTCCGTTATATCTATTTTTTTTTCAAAGAAATGGTGTGGCTGCACGGCTATACTCGGTATTTTTCAAATTGTTTTTAAAGAAATCGTATAGCCGGCCGGCTATAATCGGTATTTTCAAATTTTTTTAAATGAATAGTATAGCCGAACGGCCATACGTGTCTTTTTTCAAATTTTCCTTTAAAATTGTATAGCCGAACGGCTCTACTCGACATGTTTTCAAATTTTGTTTTCAAATTTTATTTTCAAATTGTATAGCCTAAACCCTCAGTTTTTTTTAATTTTTTAAGAAATAGTATAGTCGCGCGACTATACTCGGTTTTCTCTATAAAAAATTTACAGAAACGGTATAGCCGGTCGGCTAGACTCGGTTTTATCCAAATTTTCAAAAATGAAATAGCATGTGGCCGCGTGGCCATACTCTGTATTTTTCAAAATTTTTTAAAGAAATAGTATAGCCGGGCCGCTATATTCGGTTTTTTTATTTGTTTAAGGAAATAGTATAGCCGCCTGGCTAGTCTCGGTTTTTTTAATTTCTTTAAAAATAGTATAGCCGCGCGGCTATACGTGGCATTTTTACAAATTTTATTTAAATAAATAGTATAGCCATGCGACTATACTCAGTTTTTTCAACCCAAAAAAAAAATTACTATACTCAATTTTATCGATTTTTTTTCCAAGGAAATAGTATATCCTCTCGGCTATACTAATTTTTTTTTAATTTTTTAATTTTTTATAATGAGAAATAGTATACCACGCGGCTATACTCAGTATGGTATTTAACCTTCCCTTCTCTAACAAGTAAATTTGATGTCATTTTCCAATCCTTTTAATTAGTGACACACTTGTAAATGGCTTAGGTAATTATCAAGAAAAGTCACGATGAGGATGCACAATGTGCCTTTGTTGATGAGAATCCTGGAAACTGCATCTAACCAGTCAGATGTAGAGTGCTCCTACGGAATCATAGCAATCCTTTTCGGGAGGCAGGTCAAGCTTACTTGCCCTAGTGTGAATGTACCACACAATGAAGACATCGTCAAGTCTTCAAGGCTTTACTTCCTTTTGAGAAAGAGGAAAAGAAGAAGGTATCACAATGAACATCATTTTTAACGTTCTTTTCAACATTACAGTTGTACTTGCTTGTGCTATTGAGATTTAATCTCCCTTTTTTTTTCACACGTGGCCTTTAGGCTCACATCTCTGAGTATCTCTCTCAGGTAATAGAATATATAGACAAAATTTCAGCTCATAGAAAATGCAGCTTCATATCAGCTGCTTGTGACATCTTTAGTGCAAAACTTCCATCCATCACTCTCCGAATTATTGTTTCGAAATTTCAGATTATCTGTATTTTAGAACCTGTAGAATCTGTTATTCAAAAACCACATTCCTGTCTTATAACATCTCAGAATTTGGGATTTTTCTATTTCCAAAGAAGAGTAGTTGCTTCATATCAACATATCATTACCAATGGATTAGTGATTGGAGAAGCTCCTCACAATACAAACAAGTAATATCATGTAATCTAATGAACACTCTCTAATGGACACCGTTCGCATAACAAGAAAGAATAGGAAGACCGATCGGAAAGAGAAACTCGCTGTCTATTAAGCTTTAAGAGGATAACAACACATAAAGAACAAGGATGGACATAAAACAAGTGCCAGAACTTCTTATATGCTACTGTTGCTGTTGCTGTTGCTACTGTGGCCGTGACCCTGCTGTTGTATTTCGTTTGGAAATTGGAGAGGGGAAAGAAAGAAAGGAATTGTCTTTCCCATTGCCAGTTTGCTGAGTGAGAATTGAAGTATATATGCCAATGGCCATGCCTACATTAACAGAGGAAGGAAGGATTATTACATGGTGGTGGTGGTGGTGGGAGTGGTGGTAGAGCCAGCTTCCTTGTGGTCACCAAAGATGCGCTTCCTGAAGTCTGAGACCATGAGAGGGAGACCCTTTTGCAGGGACACCTTTGGTTGCCAACCAAGTAAGTCTTTAGCCTTTGTGATATCAGGCTTCCTCTTGTGGGGGTCATCCTCTGTGTTGGGCCTGTACTCTATCTTTGCATCTGGGTCGATTGTTTCTTGAACCACCTGCATGCACCAACATCACAAGAAACAATAAGTAAAAACATTAAACTGCAACATTTGATTAGGGATTCCATCTCATCATGTCAATTACCTTTGCAAGTTCAAGCATGGTGAATTCACCCGGATTCCCAAGATTGAATGGTCCGACATGTTCGCCTTCCATCAGGCGCATTAGACCTTCCACCTATTGCCATGCACAAAACGGCAAAATCTTAATATCTTTCAGCACCAGCAAATGAGGATCCTACTTTCATTTAAAAGACAGAAAGGAAGAAGTTGACCACAATACAACGCACAACATGACTAAACTGCATAGATCAGAAATTTTACTTGGGAGCAATTTATGCACAAAAGCTAAAGTGCAGCATATGCAATCGCTTTGTGCCATGCACATGGGAAATAGATTAATCAAACTCAACACAGTTGAAAAGAAAGAAAAACCCTGCTCTCTTTTGTTTTAAGTTTGTCACCAGTTCACTAACAACTGCCCATCTCAATCTCACTCTCTCTAATCTTGCATTATAAAATTTAATTTCACATGGCTCGATACTAAAAACCATAAAAAGAAGCAGTTTGGAATATTTAAAGTAAAACAATTAGCTAGCTAAGCACCACGCAACGCAACAAAGCAAGCGAAAACAGTACCCCGCTTATTAAAATAAGGGAACTAAAGTAGAAGCGTTTACCAGATCAGAAACATATTGGAAACTCCTTGTCTGCTTCCCATCTCCATAAACAGTCATAGGCTCTTTCCTCAACGCCTGCATCATCCCAATTACCACTCAAATAAACAGCTCATCCTTTCAACGACATATACAAATACAAAATATAAACAATTTTTTTTACCTGGGCAACAAAGTTACTAACAACACGGCCGTCATCTATGCACATTCTTGGCCCATAAGTGTTGAAAATCCTAGCAATCCTAACCTGCAAAAACAACAACCTATCAAATTACAAACTAAATCATTAGGGATTGAACAAAATATAATTTGTAATTATTGACCCCATTACTCCTCAAATTGGGTTCACCTGGCACATTACGGAGAGGACCGGCCTTTCTCATTTTTATTTCTCACTAATTATTGAAAAAAAATATGCGATTAAGTTAATTAATTTTGGGTTGTAAAAGAACAAAAATAATTAAATTTCGATTCAGAAACGGTACCTCAACTCCGGCTCCTCTGTGGTAGTCCATGGTCAATGTCTCGGCCGTACGTTTTCCCTCGTCGTAACAACTTCGGACACCTGTCACCCATTCAGACAGCCAACGAATTTTGTCAGGTAACGGACCAAAACTTCTGGAGTCTGCGAGATCTGCACCTACTCTAAACCAAAAGACGCCTATCGACATTACAAAATTGCCCCTCTCCAATTTCTATTTTTACCGTCCTAACACGTCACACCCTACATTGCGGTCATGGCGGTGCGGGGAATACACAAAATCGCCACCGTCGGATGAGTGGACCCGCAGATCACGGGTTTCTCGTTCACCGTAGAAATCCGACCGGATCTAGGAACATTGACCGCGTGGGTCCCATCCACCCACCATGGCGAACGTGCTGTCAATTAGCATCTACCCCTTCAACTTCAAGAAAAGGACAACCCCCCCAACCTGGTTTCAAATCAGAGATATAGACTCCGGCACCTGTCCCGCGCAAGTTACAGTAAAGGCATACCTCGCCACTAACGTGCTCCGTAACGACAAATAGAACCGAAACCGCTAATAATGGAATCTAAAAAAAGAAAACAGAGAGAGATACTCTGTCACTCACCGATTGGATTAACGTTGCCCCAGTAGGTTTCAACCTGCGGGTGCTGCAAAGGATCACCGTACACCTCACTGGTGCTGGTTAGCAAGAACCGAGCTCCGATCCTCTTCGCTAGACCCAGCATGTTCAGAGTCCCCACCACATTGGTTTTGTGCAGCTCCAAAATTAAAAATTAAGGCCTCCAAATAATTATAATTAAAATTGATTGAAAAAAAAACTTTATAAAGAAATAAAATGAGAAAATTTGAAGTCTAAAAGGATATAATAGTCTTGACGGGGTTGAACTTGTAATGAACAGGGGAGGCAGGGCAAGCGAGATGGTAGATCTGGTCGACTTCGAGGAGAAGAGGCTCAACGACGTCGTGTCGGATGAGCTCGAACCTGGGGTTCCCGAAATGGTGCATTACGTTCTCTTTCCTGCCGGTGAAGAAATTGTCCACAACGATCACGCTGTCCCCTCGCTCTATCAGACGGTCCACAAGGTGCGACCCGACAAATCCGGCCCCACCCGTCACCACGATCCGGAGCCCCTTTCTCTTCAGCCCCAGCGGCACCTTCCCACCCGAATTCCAGTTCGTCAACCCGAACCGGCGCTCGTAAGCGGGCTTGTGCGTCAAATGGGTCGACGAATCGAAGTCGTACCTAACATACTCGTTCGAGATCGGGACGTTGCCGTTAACGTCCGAAGAGCGAGAGGACGGGAGAAGCGTGAACCCGACGGTGGCTATAGCAATGCCGACGAGGACGAAGACGAGGCGCTGCTCCCGGAGCAAGTACCCAATCGGGCGGGTCACAGAGGCCCATGGCTTTGGCGGTTTCGGCGAGTAGGTGTCGGCCACGTGTTGGGCCTCGTCGTGCCCTCTGAAGATGAGCTCCGAACCCATTGCGCTGCCCCTTATGGGTTCAGAAGAAGAGTCGGTTCGAGACTCTGAGTAATTTGTATAGGGAAGAGGGTAACTGAGTTAGACGGGTAGAACTCGCCGGCGACTCGGTCTGTGGCGGTGGTGTCGGTCTCACTCGTGTGGTTATGTGGGCTGGTATGTGCGTTTGTGTTGTGGTATTTAAGCTGCGAGGGGGTGGGGAATAAGGCCTTGGTTTGGAGGTTATTTACAGAGTGGCCCTTGCACCCTTTTCGCATTTGAAAAGTAAACGGTTGTCATTTGGCGTGATTCTTCTTGAAAAAATTTCCAATAGTTGGTGATTTGGTGATTTGGGGTTTTGGTTAAATAATTGATTTTCATTAATTTAATAACTAATTTAATTTAAGTTAATGGTTTTGGCCACTCACTTGCTTTAACTGGGGCGGTGAAGACCTGGGGTTATTCATTTCTCAGTTGGCTCTATTGACTTGGTTATAAAGGGTCAAATCAAATCAAATCAAATCCCTCGTGGTTGTGGGCTTCCTTGGTTAATCCGACCCGATTGAATGCGCTGGTCTGCGTCCCTCCTAATCCAATGAGCCTCAAAATTACATAACGTATACGTAAGATTATTTTTTCAAAACAAAAGAAAAGCAACTATAAAGCTTCGACACACGTATAACATGGTCTAGTTAAAATCCCTTTTGAGAAAAATAAATTAGGTTAATTGATTAAGACAGTATTTCTTTCCTTATCGATAATTCAACAACAAATATACAAGACAACATATTACCGTAAATTACCGAGGTAACAAAACTGAAGTTCACAAATGAAATGATGAAGAGGGACAGGTTGCTATCAATTATATGTTTTTAAGGACGTACAAAGTACTAGCCAAGACCCCAGTGGTATACATTTTAGGGAACATTGGTCCAAAAAATAGTGGCATATTTTATATCCAGTTGTTTAAATGGAACATATTATCAAGTTGTGGATTGTGTTTTGAGATTTTTACCCAGAATAGTGACCAAACATTAATGCCCAACTCATTAGTGATTTCTGATTGTTTTGGAGTATTTGTTACCGTAAAGAATTATTCACCAACACAGGTATAAAATCTATATTTCCAAAAATAAACCAAACTTGCTGGCGACTTGAGAGAGAGAGAGAGAGAGAGAGAGAGTGTATGTATGTATGTATAACTGCAGATTCATTTAAAAAACTGGACAGATGTTGCTCTCGTATTAGAAGATTCAGAAGTCCCAAGGGGAATGGGCATGTTACTAAACCTGCAGTGCAGTGCTGGCCTACACGTACGTCACACAGTGGCTTTTACTTTTAGATCCATGCATATTTTAGACACGCAATCGATATACATTCCATGTGGCTTTTATTAAATTGGAAATTTCTTGCTCAAATATTCAAATCACACATGTATTGTTCAGTGGAGGTTCATTTTCCACCCTTAGTTTGTAGGTACTTTATCCAAGGGTTGTCTACGTCTCAAAAGGTCAAAGACTGATTGGCTTTTCCTAGGCAAGGCATGTACACAATTCAACATTAAATTCGATATCGCTTTCTTTTTTCTAAAGACTGCATTTAATTTCATTTCAAGTTTTTGTATTTCCATATACCTCGGTGCATACTGTTACGCGTAATGGTAAAGATTCGCTTTTCACTTCTCATATAAAATATGTTTTCGCTTCTTATATGATATATCAACGGTTAAAAATCACTCATGTAATATAAGACAGACTCATATCAAATTTCTACTCCACTAGTTGACATATAACAAAATGTCTCTATCGAATGTTAGCTAATACCTATTTGCAGGAGGCTTATCCCTAGTTTAAGCTTAATCAACTATCTTTAAAAAAATATCTCAAGTGGCATACCAATAAATATACACGCATATTCACAAGATTTAAAAATTATGGTGTTTTACATGAATTAATAAAAACAAACTTATTAAATTGATTGTGTACTCAATTGCTTTTATTGTTTTGGTAATTCACATAATTCATGAATTTCCCAATATTATTGTAACTTTCAAGGGAAGTTAGATGAAAGTCTTATTTGTGAACTTCTCAAGCAACGAGCATCATATTCTTTAGCAAACAAATAAAACAATAAGCATCAAATTCCAATAACCAATAGAGTACAATTACCCTAAAGATGGCACCTCATCAAAAGGTCAACAAAATTGGCCTAATTCTAGATACTTAAAGGCAATTTGTTGAAACTTGGAGTGATTTGGACACTCCATTTCCCCTTCTAACTAACGGGGCATGCCATATATATAAAATACTATTTATTCATGAAAAAGAGCATTGATTTGTAGACTAATTATCTCATATTCGAACTCCCGTGATACTTTGGTAGTGTGCGTGACAAACCCCATCATTTATATTTTAAATTATTACTCTTACTATATATTATTTGTTTGTTTCCCTTTTTAATATTTTTAAGGATTCGTTGTTATAAAGCTAATTGAATCTAAATCCCTTTACGTAACCAATCAAATTGCTATGTCAAAGTACCTTTGATGAATATGGACACTTTTCCCTCAGCCACACACCAACCGATATTAATAGTGTAATTAATCTAACATAAAACGCTTTTGTATTAATAGATTAAACACACGAGATGTGTGCATTGAGAGTGGCCAGGCATATGCTCTACACATGCATTTTATTATATAGCACTCACTTTTAAATAAAATAGACACAATATTCGTGACTTGAACCCAGATTATACCTAATATTTTTAATTATAATACAAACCTCATTTTCCAACTACTAATTACATAAATAAGTATTATCCACATTTGCAATAAATACATAAAAATATTATAGCAGAATGTCCATATGCATAATTATTTATATATATATATATATATATATATATTTCAGATAGCAATTATATGTCGGGCCCCGGCCCTGTATCAACTGCCCTACAATAATTTTTATTTAAAATATTTGTGCAGCTACCATTTTCCCATATAACAAAACTTATTGAACGGATGGATGGTGACACGGTTGTCCTATTCTTTGTTATCCCGGAAAGGAAACAAACTCTGGTTTATTCGCGTTCTTCACCAACAAGTAGTGGTTGTAAACAAATTTCAATTTAATGGTCAATGGATTCACCTAATTATTAAGTGCTCGGTTTGTTGATATCTTGATTTGTAACTTAGATTTTAGTAATTGAGGTCAACGTTGTGCATATCCATTTTCTTCCATGCCTAAAAATTTATTGCCTAGTTTGTGAGTGACTTCATGAACCCAAATGAGAATATGGGGTCAGATTCACCTTTGGTTTTTCACCAACGGTAAAATTTTTACATTTCAATTTTCTTGTTGGGTATAAGATCTTAAGAAAAATACTCAATAGCCAATGGATTTTAGTTCTCAGTGTTTGAGGTTCTCCCCCCACCCTCCATGACATCCGTTTAAAACCCCAATAATGGTAATTGCGCCCCTCCCCCACCACCATAATGTAGATTGTTGAATTTCAACCCCAAAAAAAAAAGAAAAAAAAAAGATGCATAATCATCTACAAATCACACGGATGAAGTAAATTTATTTATATATTTTCTTTTAAATATAAGTGATAGTCTAAACTATAAGGAGGAGATAAGTTTCTTACACACACTATCAATATGTGTCATGAAAGTTTGAACTTGAGACCACTAATCTTTAAATCAAGACTATTTTTCACTCGGCTATACCACATTTGACTAAATTTACATAATCTTATAAGTCCGTGAAATTTGAATTATAAAGCGTTTTTGTTTGGCGTGGGGTGGGGGTATGGTAGTAGCTAGCCATTAGGTGCATGATGATGCATGTTAATGAGACCCACAAAGACAGGACCTGGTTCGCACGTCGGAGGAGCATTCATATATAAGCAACGTTGACGCTGTTGCTCCATACGCGTGGCGCTTAATGATTTCGCACGTTTCTGCCAAATCGGCCACCAACCGCCATGATTGATCAAATACTACTGAATACAACCATACACACACACTAATTACACTTTCTCATAACCATACAAGAGATTCAAATGCCGACTCATTTTCATTTGCTTGATCCCTCTTTATTTATCAGCCTTCACTTGAGGCCAAAAAGGTATCATCTTTTCATTTTCTATTTTATTGTCTTTCTATGACCAACCCAATATAGGATTATTCAAACGTTGGTATTATTGTTGAAGATATAAAGCATTTTCAGAAACAGATTCCTGATTCTCTTTTTCAATTTACTCATAGGGAAGTAAATGGTGTTGCACACCGACTTGCTCAATCCGGTCTATATAATGTAGACAACTTTATTTAGTTTGATGTGCCCACTGATTTTATTTAGGACGCCCTATTATGTGATTTGTTGAGTCGAGGTCAGGTGTGTTGTCCCTCGTGTTGTAATTCTTCATTTTATCAATAAAGTTTTCCTCGTTCCGTCAAAGTTTACTAAATAAATAAATAAAATTCAGCCCCCTAATTTTTGATTTTTAAAAGTCAAAATTGGAATGTACTCACAAGCTAGTTAAAAAGATTAAGTACATCAATCCGTCTCGTGGTCTTATCAATTCAGTCATATTATAACACATGTATATTTATATATTAATACTATATTTTCAATTTTAAAAAGACAAACGATAACTAAAAATACTCAAGATCAATCTGATTCTAATTAGCGGCAGTGATGATGGTCACATAAGAGCCACCATTGGGACAACTTATAGTGAACATAATTAATTCCCTATTGTTGATTTCTTTATTTGAAATCATGACATTATGAGAACGATGTGCAACCTTTCTCACACTGGGTCAAAAGTTTCAAAAGTTGCAAACTTTTTCTTAGCTGCCAAACAGTCTGAATGGTGTGTACGAAATTCTTCCGACTTCCTAGAAAGTTTGTAAAATGCTCATCACACTATGGTCCCCACCAAACCACAAAATTCATGTACATAGATATTTAGGGTTTTCCCGATTATGAAGTTAGGCATTGGGTTTTTGAAGTAATTAACTAATTTTTTTTATTAGTTTGGGAAAAGATAATAATAACTTTATAGAAAATACTTCCCTCTTTGTCATGTTACATGTAAGTAGAAGTTCATATATTTCTGCCAATAGAAGTTTAATATGCATACACAAATTTCTTTTTGTATTGTTAATAAATTATTTTATAAATATGTTAAATTATAATTCGCAAGAAAGATGAGTATCTTCTTACCGAAAAGGAAGCAAACATTATCCTAATTTTATTAGTTGTTTTATTGGTTCGGGCGGCAGAAAAATTGAAGTAATTGACAATACAAATTTAACTGTTGTATCTTTTTCACATATAGCTAGTAGCTTCTGCACATAAATTGACCTATCGTAAGCATCCAAAACTGAAAAGATAAATTGACCTGACAACCTATTCCGTATACGTGTCATCTTCTGTTGAAGTGGTATATGCCTGAGGACGTTGGGTCGCCCAACACTCCAAGCACAAGGGTCGATAGCTTACGGTCAATTCTCTTCCCGAAAGCGACATCCCTGTACCAAAACAAAGACCTAAACAGAGACCTAAAAGTCCGCCTCAAATGAATTGCATGCGCAAGTTGCTGTTTCAATTTCAACTTTCATTTCCAAATGGATAGCAACCAAAATCACTCCGACAATTTTTCCTAAACTAACGTTATTGACTTGTCGAAACAGAAACAGAGTCTGCTGCAGCAATGTCTTTAATTTCCAGATGGAATAATATAAGCGGCAAAAAATGTTGGAATGAAGACCGAACGATACGGTGAGAGTGAGACGAGTGGAAATTCTAAAATCTTTTAAACTAATAATGTAATACAAAGTTGAACTATGTGCATTATCAATTAGAGTCTTCTTTTGTCGCCCTTCATGTTACCTATTAATAAAGGTTTGCCACCAACTTCAATAATTGCTGCAAAACTAAAAAAACAGTACAAGGTGCAGATATTTTTTGTTTGCAGAGAGCAATTGCCGCCAATTGGTAAGATCAGAACTGCAATTAGCTGCGGTTAATTGTAGTTTATCATATGCGGATAAGAGAATAACTATATATGTCATATATGTAGACAAACTAGTGGTACTAAACCAGTTGCAACAATTGAACAAACCATTAATTTACACAATTTTGAATCGAACAGCATTTCATTATTAAGTTATGCTAAAGTTTATTAATTCGCGTTCATGTGTTATTGAGACTCACAATACATCAACGGCTCACAATTAATCATGCATGTGCATAGGCTGAGCCTATAATTTGTCTCCCTAGCTTCCTATGAATGAGGGAGGCTTTCCAGGCCAGTGGCGGCAAGTTTGTTGGCAAGAGCCAGAGCATTGCTGGTGATATGAGTGGCTTTTAAGACCTTGTTTTGAAGCAATTTGACTTGTCTTCCTCTCTGGCCCTCAAAGCCATCCAAACAAGTGTCCCCATTGGTAAGGGTAGCACTCAGCCACGTATTGAGGTCACCCATTTGCGTGTCAAAAGTCGTTCGACTTAGACTCCTGAGAACACCAAGCGATTTGTGAAGCTCGTCGATTGAGTTTTGAAAGCACTCAATGCAATCAGACAGAGCAACTCTGCTTCTCCTTCCATTGATGCGGCTGTGCTTTTGCAGAGCTAGCAAGTACTGAGCCACACTCTTGGCCTCACCCAATGTCACTGAAACCGCAGCTCTTGCCCACCTGCTAGGGCTGCTCTTGGCCGATCTTGAAAATGAAGCAAGTGAGTGGATGCAGAGGTCTTGATATCTGGTCACACTGCAAGCCTTTTGGACATTGTTTTGATTCCCATTTCCAGATACCAACTGGACTGAATTGATCAGGCATATTGCAAGCAAAATGAATGCTAAAACGTAATTGGAACATGCCATTTTCATCTCTAAAATGGAAAAATAAAAATGGGAAGAAGGAATGTGATGAAAATGTTAATTGAGCGGTGAGCTTTTTATAACGGGTCTTGGGTGGCAACTGGCAAAGGGTTTAGAGGGTGGGAAACTTTTTTCAAAGGCGAGAGGCTGGTGAGGGCAATTAAGATGGGGAGGAGAGAGTGATGACTGATGAGCAGAAAGTTTAGGTTTGAAATGGTGAAAAACATGTGAATGGGGCAGATGAATTTTTTGCCTCATGATTTTGGTATCTATGTTATCTTGTGTGATATGGGAACGTTATATTATCAATAACGCTACAAACGCCAACTTGTTTATTATTTATTGATTATAACAACTCGTAGATGTAGCTGGCTTTGCAAAAACAAAAAGAACATCAAAGATTCAAACACGGACTGTATCTATATATCATAAAAAGACCATGTCGATTTCAACACTTCAGCGTGATCAAAACTGCCAATGTGAATGAAGACCCAGAAAAGTGATCACATGATCTTTGAACTAGTTAAGGTTCATGGGGTTATTGTTTGTTTGGACCATGAAAAGTTAGACTGGCCAAGAGGGATGCAAGTTGTAACTTAGGAAGCATTGAAGATTCGAAGGAGCCTTACTTGGGCAAAAAGCAAAATTATGCTTTATGGTTTTCAATTAGTTGAGGTTAATTAGCTAAACCAACTTCATATTAGCAACCACATGGGATGGTATATATTCATCATAAATACTTTTTGGTTCAAATCAATTCACATGATGTTGTTTAAAAGATTAGTCACATTTCACGTGAATAATATATTTGAGATCTTCCATACATTTCATTTACATATCATATCCTGAAAAATGTTTTGTACTATGTATGTGAAAAATTAAAATGTTTAAACTACCTTTTTTTTCCCCTTGATGGCTAATCTAAGAGAAGAACTTTAGGGTTTAGTATTATATATGTGTCGTGGAAAAATTAAAATGCAAAATAATACGTGATTGTTTTGAAATACCGTCATACTAGCGTCCTGATAGAGGTAAGTTTTTCTCCCGAGTAATGGGAATAAGGAGAAAGCAAAATGGTGTAGCTCTACTTTTTATTGGACCGAGCCTGGGTTGGATACCTCTAACGGCGTGTCAATCTAACCAAGCCCAAAATCAAGCCGGGGCTTACCAAAACCGCTCCATGTCTATACGGCGTCGTCGCTCCCTATCAATTTCATTACTTATAATTCGACGGTCCGCATGGGCCTGAAAGACAACCTAATTTGCTTCCCGCTATCTCTTATCAGTCGTCGCCCTCTTCGTCTAAAACCTTAGAATTTCCCCAAAACCATACGCCCGAGGTAATACCATATTATCTCCGTCTGTTTTTCTTTTCTTTTCTCTTCAGCTTCATCCCTATTTTTCAATATTGATTAAATTTGATTAGTTTTGTTATTTTATTTGTCTGATGAAGCCCTATAATAAATTGGTAAATGCGTGTGTTTTGTTTTGCAGTATTAATCACAAAGCTACGAAGCTGAGATTACAGCACTGAAACTCAATATTCTTGGAAGCCATGGCTCGCTTCCGAAATGTAAGCATATTTACTTCTATATAGTTTGCTTGAACTTGCAGCTTGTGTTTGGTTGACGAGAAAACTAAAGAAAGGAAATTTTGTTCTCTCTGAACATTGTTCATAATTATGTAAACGTTTATTCAATTTTGAGTGATTTTTTTCTATTAATTGAAATTCCAAAACAGAAAAAGAAGGTGTTTGTGAAACCAGTTTCCAAGAAGCAGCAGGCTACTGTGGACCATGTCACAGGGGATAAAATCCCAAGGAGCTTTGTATTTTCCAGATTTAGGTTGCCTGGTCCTCTAAAACAACTTCAAGCGGATCTGAGGAAGTTGATGCTTCCCTATACTGCTCTTAAGCTTAAGGTACGAAAATATTTGTTTTGGCCTTTGTTGCTACATGGGTTTTTCATGTTTCTAGAAATTGAGAAGTGATAGTGTGTTATGATTCAAATTTTTAATTTGAAGAGCTGATGAATTTTAAATTAAAAATCTCAAGTAAAGAACTGAGCTTTTTCCACAATGTTTTTGCAGGAGAACAGGCGGAACAAACTTAAAGACTTTTTGAATGTTGCTGGGCCTATGGGGGTTACACATTTCCTCATGTTGTCGAAAACTCCAACTGCACCATACCTTAGGGTTGCGAGGACACCTCAAGGCCCAACACTTACATTTAAAATACAGGAGTACTCTTTGGCAGTCGATGTTGTTCGATCTCAACTGCGGCCTAGATGTCCTCAAGATCTTTTCAAGAATGCCCCTTTGGTAATCTTATATCTCTATCACAAAATGAAGAAATAAAAGTATATTTAAATGTCCTGACCAGTTCTTTCTAATGTTTTTTTTTTCGGTTTCTCATTCATTCCCAAACTGCAGTTTAGTTGATGCATTATCAGTTTCATTTGGCTGAGGCATATTTATCTTATGTGAAGTTCCATGAAAGAATATCACAATTTGGGTTTTAACGTATACTATTTTTTGTGTGGCAGATCGTTCTTTCTGGTTTTGGGACTGGAGAGCAACATTTGAAGCTCACAACAATACTATTTCAGAACATCTTTCCATCCATTGATGTTAACACTGTTAGTTCACAAAATGATATCAACCCAATTGTCAGTATCAAAAGCATTTTTCCCCAACTTACTGTGGTCTTGATTTGAATATTACAGGTGAAACTCTCTTCATGCCAGAGAATTGTATTGCTTAATTACAACAAAGACACAAAACTGATTGATTTTCGGCATTACTCCATAAGATTACAGCCTGTGGGTGTCTCCCGCAGATTAAGAAGATTTGTTCAGAACCATCAAGTCCCTGATCTAAGGAATCTTCAAGACGTGAGTGATTTTGTCACAAAGTAAGACGATTTTCTTACTGTTTAGTTATTTTATTGTTGGATTTGAGGAATTTTAAATCAGCTTGGAAAGGAAAATGATAGGATAACTTTTTTTTTCAAAGAGTATCTGATTCAACAGTTTTTTGAGGTTCACTGATTTCTCACTGTGGATCAAGTTAGGGAAACTCTACTTGATTGCTAGAGTTGATAGCTAGAAATGTTAAGTACGTTTGCTAAAGAATGCTTATGATCTGGTCTGCCTTCCAATATATCTCAAGTGAGTTTGGTAAATAATGCATAAATCTGATCTGCCATTAAATTCATCTTATTCGATTTTGCAATTGGATTGATTCCTTCAGTCATATAGTTGATATGTCATGCATGAATTTATATGGTTTCTCAAGGTTGTTTTCATGGTGTTTTAGTGTGGTGATATCGTCTTCGAATGCTTTTTGGTAAAAATAAAAAATAAAAGGACTGTAATAAAGTGCGACATAGAAAAGATAATGAACAGGAATATAGACTTCTGCATGTTTTGCAGTTAGAAGGTGGACTAAACTTGGTCATTTTATCTTCTTTCTTTTTTCTGTCGATTCCGAAGGGCTGGCTATGGGTCAGAAAGTGAAGCAGATGATGAAGCAGCAACAGTCACTTTGGCTAGTGATCTCGGGAGGGTCAATCGGGCTTCTACAAAAAGTGCTGTCAAGCTCCAAGAGATAGGACCCAGGATGACTCTTCAGCTCATGAAGATTGAGGAAGGATTGTGCTCTGGTGGAGTCATCTTCGATGAGTTTGGTATGTTAATCATTCTGCCTTCCCTTTTCTCTTTTTTGGTGTGAATTGTTACAAAGTGCACGTTTATATTGATTAAGATAAGCGTGAGTGATATATGTTTGCTCAGCCTTTTATTTATCTCTCGTTCTTCAGGAAATGGTGATGGTAAGAAAACCGAAGACAACCATGAAGATATGGAAAGTGATGATGATGAACATGATGAGGAAGATGAAGAAAATGACGAAGAAGATGGTGAAGATATTGAGGAAGACTAGCCACTTCCGAAGCTCAGGGCTAGATTGGAGACAGTCCATTTTCTTTTTCACTTGACAAGCCATTTGTAATGGTGGAGCATTTGGATGTGTGCATTCTTTGTGAGGACAGAAATGTTGTGCACTCATCAATAGATATGTTTTGTAGCATCAATAACGGTCATGTAACTCAGTTTTCGTTTTGTTCAAGTTGGAAAATGTGTACGTTGAGCTCAACAAAATAATTTCTTCATTCAAAATTGCAATTTTCAAATTCGCTAAATCAGCAGTGTTTCGCAAATGAATATTCGCATTTTGGAGTTTCACTAGTGAATTTTCTCATTTTGGAGTTTTGCAAAATGAATTTTTGCATTTTAGAGTTTCCTTAATGAATTTTTCTCATTTTAGGGTTAAACAAATGAATTTTCATGTTTTTCGGTTTCATGAACGAATGTTTGTCTTTTAAGGTTTCGCGGCACCTTCAAAGTCCTCTCTTTAGTGCGGCACAGTGTGGCACACCTGCACACACCTCTCCTGATTTTCCCATTTTCATATTTGTCTTCTTGTTTCAACGGTTCCTTATTGTCCACCTAGTGCAACTGCTTCCGCTGCGCACAACAATGAGCACCACTATTCCCAGCAAAAGTTCCCCCAGTCCTCAAATATCTCCTCAACTCTCTTCGAACCACTGGGAAGCCAATGGTGGAAACACCTCTTTGGACCAACCAAAGTCGGATAAAAGGACTTCTAAACTCATCAAAGAAGAGGAGAAAGAACCAGGCAAAGTGAGCTTGCACGTTTACAAAGTTTGTGAGTTAGAATTGCTCACCTTTCCCTTTTCTGTTTAAGCATTTGTTTTTGTCATAGTTGATGAGAGATCCTATTCTTTGTTTAATCTAAATTGTATACGTTGTTTTCTTTGCTAATTGATGAGAATTTATCACCCACCAGGCATCAAACTGATCAGATATTTTCAATTTCTTCCCTTCATTTTGGGTATGATCATTGCCATCTACATCACTGTGCTTGCCATCTTTTGCCACCATTTCCCAGTCCCCTTTCTCAGCATACAAGTTGGACATCAACACAAAAGAACCCGATTCCATTGGTTCCAATCTCATCAATGTATTGGCTACTCTCTCCGCCATCTCCACATTCCCATGGATCCTGCAAGCCCCGAGCAGGCTATGCAACAATGAAAACCCTGGCTGTCCCGGGATCTGACTCATCAATTCCTCTGCTTCCTCCAATTTCCCTGCACGTCCCAACATGTCCACCATACTTGAATAATGTTGAGGAGATGGTTCAATATGATAGTCCTTCACCATTGAATGAAAGAGGTGACGGCCCATCTCCACCATTCCATTTCTGCAGCCTGCTGCTAGTATAGAAAGAAATGTGACTGAATCAGGTCTTACCCCTTCTCTCTCCATCTCCTTGAACAATTCTATCACTGAGTCATAGTCTCCATGCCCAGCATATGCAGATATTATTGCAATCCAAGCAAACTGACTTTTATGAGGCGTCTCACTGAAAACTCTTTTGGACTCACAAATGCTTCCTCGCTTTGCATACATATCAAGAAGAGCACCTGCGATAATTGGGCCAGTCACTAATCCAAGTTTGATCAAGGAAGAGTGGCATCATTGGCCATATTTCAGAGAAATATCCTGAGCATCACCAATTGCACTCAAAACACTACCAAATGTGTAATTGTTTGGCTTTGACTCCATAGTTGCTACAAAAGAATGTTTTTAGTGCATCTTGACACAGCCCTTTCTGAGCATACCCTGAAATCAAAGCATTCCACGATATGATTTCTCTGCAGTTTACCCTCAAAACTTTGATGGAGTCATGCATGGACTGAAACTTAGCATACCCAAGCTGTTGCAAACATTATGCTTTGATAAAAAGCCAGTCTTTATGCAAAACCCATGAATCATTTCGCCTTCCTCCACCAACTTTCCTAATTGATATAGCATGGATTATTCCAACAAATGTAACATCATTTGGATATACTCCATCCAATCTCACCTCATTAAATAGAGAGATGGCATCTTCTTCGTCTATTGAAATCATAGTTGTCCAAGACACTATGTTGCGATCATTCATGCACTGAAAGACTAATTTTGCATCTTCAGTAACCTCACACTTTGAATATGTCGAGATCAATACATTACAAACTGAAACATGACTTCCATATCCTGATTTAATTGTCAAGCCATGTATCTGTTTCCCAAGTTCTAAATTCATTTCATGACCACAAGCTGAAACTGCACTAGTAAATGAGACATGATCTAACCCCATCCCTTCTCCCACCATCTCAATAAAGACAAAAATCGCCTCAAGCCCATGATTTCCCTCTTGAGAGTAACCTGCTAGTATTGCATTCCATGAAACCACATCCTCATTCGCCATTTCATCAAACACATTCCTAGCTTCTATTAACCGCCTCTACCTCGAATACATACTTATAAAAAAAAACTTCACCATCTAAACCAAACTTAAATATAAGGGAATGCAGTTATAATCCAAATAGAAAATCTTCATGATCCGCACAAAAAGCAAGAATCGTAGTATAAGTCACTGGATAAAAAAGAACTCCATTAAAATTCATCATAAGAGCAAAATTCAATGCACCCTCACTTGTTCGAAACCCCGAAAGAATAGTATTCCAAGAAACTATATCAGTACAGCACATAGTCTGAAAGATAAGTAAGGGACCATCAAATTGACCATCAAACTGACCGGCCTTGATAGCAAGGGTAACGGTATTTTCATCGATGATATGAGACAAATGTAGTTGAAGTTGCTTACAGAACATGTCAAGGGCTCTAAGGGTAACGGTAACTTCATCGTGTTCGTTTCTCTGTCTCTTCATTCCACTCTCGCACCACATTCCTTTGTCAGTGCAAGTTTTGTCTGTCTTCATTTGGAACAAAAAAGAGGCGGCCAGACCCGCCCAGGTCACCTAGGCGCCGCCTAGAACCGTCCAGGCCGCATGAACCGCCCAGGCCGCCTAACTCCCTTATAGCATCAGAGTTGTTATCTTAGTGGAGATTTCAATGGCTGAATGACATTTGATGGTTTTCAATGGCCGAAACGAAAGGAAAAAAAAATCGAAGCTCGAGTTGAGAGAGAGAGAGAGAGAGGCTTAAGATCAAGTCTTTGAAGCTTGCAAGCATCTTCAATATTTTGTGGGATCCCATCAGGACCTTCCCACAATCTATGATTTCAATTTCTCAAGCTATGATATCTCTTGGGAGGTTGGACCGTTATATAATGAGTAGGGAATTGGTGGAGGATGAGGTGGAGAGAGGCAAGGGCTGTGATAGTAGAACTGCTGTGGTGGTTAAAAGTGGCGCGTTTAGCTGGGATGATAAAAGCAAAGAAGAGGATTTGAAACACATAAATTTGAATGTCAATAAAGGGGAGCTGACGGCTATTGTAGGGACAGTGGGATCTGGAAACCCATAAATACAAAAAAAAAGAAGGGGATCCGCACGGCGAAAGGAAAAAACAAGAAGAACAAATGAAGCCTATCGTTGGTTTCTCTATCGTTGCTTCCGGTGATTCCTTTTGTGCTTGCAAATCTTCCAAGAATCACTGCCTGCATTTTTCCTGGAAAAATAACACCAAAGGGTGACATAAAGGGAATCTTCCCATCGTTAAAATAAAAATGAAGATCCGCCCTGTGCTGGAATTATCAACACAATGGAAGTACAAATGAAGACTAGTGGCAATCACTATATGAAGTAGCTAATCTAATCCAGTTTATCACCTACAGTTCTCTATTCTGTTTAGAATATGTTTAGATGAGAACATTATATTTCCTGAAACCTTCTTCACAAGGGTGCTGTTTGTGCAAATCAGTTGTATTATGTCTCTCTCATTTTCCAATGACCAGTCAAGTTATGTAGGGGTCTTCCTTCTTCCTATGGATCAATGCTCTACACAACACAACTGGGATCTTTTTATATAAAATTGAGTAAAAATGAAGTTTTCTCAACGCCTGGTATCTTTAAGTGGTAGATTGGTAGATTATTGGTTAAGCATGCATGTCTCACAATTCCATTCAAAATTTCCATAAGTCAAAACAAGTCTTGGCCTCATGATTTCCAAGTAATTCACTGAAGATATTTTTTTATTATAAAATTTATATAAAAGAAAAACAGAATTAGACATGAAAACCGCGACCGGCTATACTCTTCGAATATTCGAATATTTCATGGATGTAGTCTTAAAATATTATATTTAAACAGTACAGCCGACCGGCTATACTCTGAAAATATTATATTTAAAGCTTTAAGCCGGACGGCTATACTATATTTTAAAGGTATAGCCATGCGGCTATACTCTTTGAATATATCCCAATAGTTTAACAGTACAGCCGCACGGCGATACACATGAATATACTCGAGTATCTTACAGGTCTAGCCGATCGGCTGGACTCTTAGAATATTATATTCACAACGTATAGCCGCGCGGCTATACTCTAATACGAATATTTTAACAGTATAGCCGCCCGGCTATACCCGTTAAATATATATATATATTAAACTAAAGAGTCTAGCCCATCGGCTGTACTCTTTAAATATCTTTTTTATTTTATTTTAAGGCGTCTTTAAATATATATTTTTTAATTTAACGAGTATAGCTGCTCGGCTCTACGTTTTAAAAATATTTTTTAGTAGTATAGCCGCTCGGCTATACACTCTAATATCAATATTTGCGGAAGCTGCATCTTCTGTTATGAAAAAACAAGAAGAAGCGATGCCATTGCCAACTGAAGAATGTTGACACCGAAAACTCTTCTGGGTGGATCTAATGTATGATATTTAACCTTACCCTGCTCTAACATGTAAAATTTGATGTCATTTTCCAATCCTTTTAATTAGTCACACACTTGTAAATGGCTTAGGTAATTATCAAGGAAAGTCTCAATGAGGATGAACAATGAAAATGCCTTTTGTTCATTTGTTTTAATAAACATGTTATTGTAGTAACAGGATTATTTCAAGTGGATTTGTTGCACTTGACCAGCTTGTATATTGTCTTTAGCAATTTGAATATTGATAAAACGTTTGACTTGGCATTTTGAAAATCGCAAAACCTCACTCACTATCATCAACAAAAATTGAAAATTGTATTACTGCCTGTAAAAACGGTTTGGGCTTAGAAATGTACATTGAATAACCTGTGAGAATAATTGCTACAACTAGATACTCTACAATGCAATGTTTCTCAGATATCATAGCTCATCCTTTGGCGGTGGTTCGACTTCAAGGCACTTTTCATCCCAGTAGTAGGGGAACTTTAATTTTGCTGCAGTGTGAGGCATGAACCAGTCCTCATATACGAACCTGAAACGAAGGAAAGAACTTAGAAGCATCATTCAAGCAAAATGAAAAAGTAAAAAATAAAACATAGAAAGTGTAATAAAATTGAACCATCTTGGCAATCCAAAAAAGAAGAAATAAATAACCTAGAATGAGAAAATGAAAGAATGTGTCTGCATATCATGGTCCTCTTTTTGGATAATGAACATGAAGCAATTTCAAGAAGTACAGATAATAGTAAACATTGAAGATGAAAGAAGATAGATTGCATATGCTTTAACTGGGGGACGCCCTTTCACTTGTATGCAGGCTTCAACATTGTCTTGCTTTATGTATATCCGCTACATGCGGAGTTTCCAGATATGTTACAATGGATAGCTGATTTCATTGGTCTATTCAAGATAACTTTTCATTCGGATTGGACTGAAGTTTGTTCGAGCTTCTCTCTTTTACTTTTCTACATCATGGTTTGTCTATCTTTTATGACATCTACAAATCCAACACAGTTTATGTAGCAGGATACTTGAAAACCGGTGACTTCAGCATCTCTACAGTGTAGGTTCTGCAAGTTGATCGCAGATTTGGATTATGTGCAACAGAGAATCTTATGTTACTTATTAAATGTGTGTGTCATCCTTGCTACTTAGCTACGTAAGTGTTTCAATTCTTAAAATCCTTGCCGCATTGCTTACCTTGCTGTGGTTTTACAGTACAAGATCATCAGACTAGGAAGGTTGATTCACTAGTGACCTGCCACATGACTGTGAAAACAGTGTAATCCTAATTCCACGCCAACCGAAAGCTAATTATCTTTCAATTTCGAACCAACTTAAGTCAGTTCCGGTACACCAAGAGGTACCCTTCCAGGATGTGGCATCCAAGGGTAGGCGCCAGGGAGCTAGGCCGCATCTGGGCGCCCGCCTAGGCGGCCCTAGGCGGCTCAGGGCGGGAGTTTTGCCGTTGAGGAGTGGAGGAAGGGCGGTTGAAGTGCGCAGGATCCGCTGCTTGTTAGGAAGAAAGACGGAGAGAGAGAGAGAGAGAGAGGATGGAGAAGGCGACGCTGGGAAGAAGAAGATATCTGACCCAATTTTTATATTTGAACAGTATAGCCGAGCGGCTATACTATTAATTTGACAAAAAAACAAAAAAACAAAAAAACACACGTAGTATATAACATCTGTAGTAGGAATCATGTGCGTTCTTGTGTTTGTTGTGCTGGGCACGAGACGGAACAACAGGTTCCAATCTAATGTGATGAAGTGTTGGGATTCAAGAATGAAGGCAACAAATGAGATGCTTAACTACATGCGTGTGAAGTTATGTAGAATATGTTTAGATGAGAACATTATATTTCCTGAAACCTTCTTGACAAGGGTGCTGTTTGTGCAAATCAGTTGTATTATGTCTCTCTCATTTTCCAATGACCAGTCAAGTTATGTAGGGGTCTTCCTTCTTCCTATGGATCAATGCTCTACACAACACAACTGGGATCTTTTTATATAAAATTGAGTAAAAATGAAGTTTTCTCAACGCCTGGTATCTTTAAGTGGTAGATTGGTAGATTATTGGTTAAGCATGCATGTCTCACAATTCCATTCAAAATTTCCATAAGTCAAAACAAGTCTTGGCCTCATGATTTCCAAGTAATTCACACTGAAGATATTTTTTTATTATAAAATTTATATAAAAGAAAAACAGAATTAGACATGAAAACCGCGACCGGCTATACTCTTCGAATATTTGAATATTTCGTGGATCAAATTCCAGGCTTGGGAGGAGCACTTTAATAAGAGAATCCAGCCTTTCCGCGAGTCGGAGTTTAGTTGGCTGACCAAGTTCATGTATTCAATCTCTGCCAATGTTGTGCACCCCAGTACTTATATCAACTCTCACATTTGGCACTGCACTCTTATTGGGTGTCCGGCTTGATGCCGGCCCGAGACATTGTTTCAGAACCACAAGCATCTTCAACATTTTTTGGGATCCCATCAGGACCTTCCCACAATCTATGATTTCAATTTCTCAAGCTATGATATCTCTTGGGAGGTTGGACCGTTATATGATGAGTAGGGAATTGGTGGAGGATGCGGTGGAGAGAGGCAAGGGCTGTGATAGTAGAACTGCTGTGGTGGTTAAAAATGGCGCGTTTAGCTGGGATGATGAAAGCAAAGAAGAGGATTTGAAACACATAAATTTGAATGTCAATAAAGGGGAGCTGACGGCTATTGTAGGGACAGTGGGATCTGGAAACCCATAAATACAACAACAAAAAAAGGGGATCCGCACGGTGAGTGCAAGCTTAAGGAGTATAGCCGCACGGCGATACCTTAAAATATTCTATAGTATAGCTGCAGGGCGGTACCTTTTAAAATAATATATTTAAATAGTATAGCAGTGCTGTACCTTTAAAGTATTCGAATATATTCGAAACGTATAGCCGCACGGCTATACCCTGAAAATAATAGTATATCCGTCCGGCTATAGTATGCAAATATACAATTTTGTCATCTTATTTTAAAATACCACTTTAGCTAATTAGGATAGAGTTATTTCTTCAATTTTTTTTATAATACCAGTGATATTGGAGAATGAGAATTTGAATTCTTTCTGATACCTCCCATTTTAATGATTTCCAACTATTAGTCCATTAGGCAAGAATAAAAAATGGATTTTATTTATAAGAAATAATACGGGTTAAACCCATAAAAAAAAAAAAAAAAAAAAAAAAAGAACGACCAACCATTTTGGGGGATAAAAGGAATCTTGAATTTCGTAGTATAAAATTGCTTGTGTGTAAGAATTTACTTAGAAGTATCATTCAAGCAAAATGAAAAAGTAAAAAATAAAACATAGAAAGTGTAATAAAATTGAACCATCCTTGGCAATCCAAAAAAGAAGAAATAAATAACCTGGAATGAGAAAATGAAAGAATGTGTCTGCATATCATGGTCCTCTTTTTGGATAATGAACATGAAGTAATTTCAAGAAGATAGATTGCATACGCTTTAACTGGGGGACGCCTTTTCACTTGTATGCAGGCCTCAACATTGTCTTGCATTATGTGTATCAGCTACCTGTGGAGTTTCCAGATATGTTACAATGGATAGCTGATTTCATTGGTCTGTGCAAGATTACATTCAGATTGGACTGAAGTTTGTTCGAGCTTCTGTCTTCTACTTTTCTACATCATGGTACGTCTATCTTTTCAGTGGAACAAAAGGTTTAACCTAATAAAACTAATCCTTCATTTCCAACCATTACAACTGACCACCAAATTGAAACATGCAATCTCAGTCAAGCAATAATATTAATCTAATTCAGGATATTTTTTTAAGGCCATCCACATACCTATTATAGAGGACTAAGAGATTTAACTTATGGAGATAACCCATTAAAAAAATTAAAACAAAAAAGAAGGTAAATTCTGAGTTCATTCAATTGATGTCATTCCTGAGCATTTTACCTTGACGTGCTGCTCTTTTACCTCGCCCTATCCATAACCGAGCATACTCTGCTGCATTATTTGTCAATTCCTGCAACTGGACAGGTATTGAAGTTAAACCGTATAGGCGCAACCAATATGAGGGGGAAAAACATGGAAGAACTTTGTCCTACATCTTCCTACAGTGATGCATGTTACACTTCAGGATATTAATACATTAGCTACAGGGCCTTTTAGCAATGACATTATTAGACTTAATTCAGTGACAACTATAATACATTTGAAGATTTACAACTAAATTCCATTAGGTCACATGTCACATGTAAAATAAGATGCCTCATCCACAACACTTTAAGCTCTGATTTTTGTATCCCAAGTTTTGCCAATTGAAGTTGAAAACTACGCAACTTTTGCATCTAGAAAAATGTGTGACTCAAGCTTTTTACTATTCTCTACAACAAAAAATTTAAAAATAAAATATAAAAGAAAAGAGCACACTCTAATAGAGAGATTATAGCAAACCAAATTGTCATGAACTTACGTCTGCTCTCTCTCTCTAGACCATTCTGGTGGATATATGTCCTGTATCCATACGGTAGAGCACATCAAAAGACAAAAATATTGAACAAGAGCAGTAACTAAAGATCAAATGAATGGCTAGACATCTCATAAGACAACTCATCCATCTTGGTCCCAAGATCGAATTATACGAAACCGTCAGTGACTTTCAATCTGCATGAAATAGTATTATTATAATTAAGTGTGTGAATGGATCATTAAAAAAAAAACATCATAACTTCAAACAAAATACGTTCTGATATGGAAATATTTATCATAGATAAGCCTAATAGTTAATTTGCAACCTCGGGTGTATAAATAAAGACAAAAAATAAAGGATAATTGTTCATTAAATGAAAAGTAGATCAGTTTTAGCATTCATAATGCATTAAAACAATGTAAACAGAGCGCAAAAGTAGAGATTGAAACTTATACTTTGGGTCAAACTTTATGTACCTTATGAAAGTTAAAAGGGAAAGAAAAGGACCAGTGACACTAATCTACCGTTCCCATCCGACAGTTGCCTTCCATTATACTCCTTATCTGTTGTTTAAGTGACAAGGTATAAGCAAAAATCTATGAATATTCAACAAAAACAACAAAACACATGGATCACATGGACCGTAGAAAAGTACTTCTAGATAACATTTTCAACATAGTTATTTTGCAGCAAATGCACTTCTACGTTTAAATATTTTATGAAAGTCATATGTGAAAAATACAAACTGCTAACCAACTTACCATAAGTCTATACCGAGGTTCAAAAATGGGTAGCAGAAACTTCTGAAATGGGAGGACACCATCCATTACAAAGAGTGGCATCATATCAACACCAAAGTTTGTCATTGTATCGTTCTCCAACTTCCTTTCTGCAAATTCCTCTGGGAATTTCTTTTGTTTAATGTCATTAAGTGTCACAATGGGAAAAACAAAAAGAAGATATTGAAGGTGTCAGAACTGAAGCAAACAATCTTGGTAAACTCTGGGGATGCGCAACCATATCCATTACAAACAGCATAGGTATAGAAAACCATAAAGCAACAATTCTGATGTCAAATAATACAAGCATCTCATTCAATTATTATAAGCACATGTTCTAGGAGTAATGAAAAGAACTGTTGGGCACAAAGGACATTTGTTACCTAGGAAAATTAACACAAGTCAAGGACTAAAAAGGGATTAGAAGATAGATATAGACTAACTCAATTAAATAGAATCAATAACAGCAAAACACTCACCTCGATCCATTGACTGAAATAGGCATGAAATTCTGAAAACATTCCTGAAAAGGATTGCTACAGAATACCACACAAAAGATAAAATAATATAACATTTTAGAATTTCACAAAACCAAATACAATAGCCAGCCAGCTGGTATTACACAATATATACTTAATATCTATGTTTTGTTAAATAAACATAATTCCAGTAAACAAATTACTCAATTTCTTCCTGGTTTCCCAACATTTTCTCAGCAACCAAACAAGAGAAACCACAGCACAAACGCACACTCACCAAAATGTAGTCGTCCGTGTCACCAGAGGTCCATCTTTGTCATTCAGACCGGCATGGTGTAATCCAATGCCAAACTGCAATGTGTGCCCCAGGTTAAAGAACCATCTGCTGGGCTTCTTCTGGCATACTATGAAACTGCCTTGGATGTTCATCTGACATTGCCAACTTCAATAACAGAAAAGCACAAACAAAAATCGAATCAACACAGCAGCCGAACGGAAGAAAAAAAATCCAAGCTTGAGTTGAGAGAGAGGCTCAAGACCGAGTATTTGAATTTTGAAGATTGGACTGCGAGTGCAAGCTTCGTGTTCGTTTCTCTGTCTCTTCATTTCACTCGCGCACCACATAACTCTGTGAGTGCAAGTTCATTTGAAAAAAAAAGGACGCCCAGACCCGCCCAGGCCGCCTAGGTGCCGCCTAGAACCGCCCAGGCCGCCTAGGCGCCGCCTAGAACAGCCCAGGCCGCCTAGGAGCCGCCTAGAACCGCCCAGGCCCCGCCTAGGCGCCGCCTAGACCAGCCCAGGCTGCCTAACTCCCTTATAGCATCAGAGTTATCTTAATTAGTGGAGATTTCAATAGCGGAATGACATTTGATGGTTTTCATAGAGAGAGTCCAATCCAATCCAATCAACACAGCAGCCGAAACGAAAGAAATTTTTTTTTTTTTTGCTTTGAAGAGAGAGAGAGAGAGAGAGTCTTTGAAGCTGCGCTTATACAGAAGCGAAACGGCCGCGACTGCGACTGCGAGCTTCGTGTTGGTTTCGAATATATTTGAAGCGTATAGCCGGGCGGCTATACCTTTAAAATATTCGAATATATTCAAGAAGTACAGCCGCACGGCTATACCGTTAAAATAATATATTTAAATAGTACAGCCGTCCGGCTATACTCTTTAAATATACAATTTTGTCATGATATTTTAGGGCTTAGGGCTAAAATACAACTTTAGCTAATTAGGATAGAGTTATTTCTTCAATTATTTTATTTATACCAGTGATATTGGGGAATGAGAATTTAAATTCTTTCCGATACCTCACATTCTAATGATTTCCAGCTATTAGCTCATTAGGCAAGAATAAAAAATGGATTTTATTTATAAGAAATAATACGGGTTTTAAACCCATAAATGCAACAACAAAAAATAAGAATCCAATCCAAAGGTTTTGGACCTTTCTACACATTACCAGTTACAAGATTTTTATTTGTGGCAGCTCTTCTTGCCAATTAATTTTATGATTTTTAGCACCTTTCTACACATTACCTGTTACAAGATTTTAAGCAACCTTGTAAAATTCAAAGATGCAACTTCATAACATCCTCAATTTTGGCATTACCATACAAAGGTTTTGGACCTTGAGTAGACCAGGTAGCGGTGGCTAGAGCATTTTATCAAATAGTTTTGCGATGAACTAGCAGTGTTAGAACAGCTACCAAGTTCTAACTCCTGTCCTCTTCAGAAAAACAAAAGAAAAACATTATGGGGATAATCTAACTAAAAAACGCAATGGCTGAAAAATTTAAATAATAACTATTTTATTGTTGTCTTGTAAGTTTCATCTCTGAATGTTGGCTCTTCAACAATGTGAACAGGAAGTAGTAATATAGGAAAAGATGTAGACCAGCGCCCATCAAGTGGTTGTGCCGGAGTGGTACCGCCCAGGTTCGAATCCCCGCCGACCACGTTTTTCCATTTTTGAATTACCTCAAGATGAATTTCCTTTTTTTATTTTGACATTTGGCTACAGAACTTCTTAACAATCATGAGTTACTTTTGAAGTTTCACATGTCCAGATTCAAGCCTTCAAAGTGAGGGCCTTGAGAAGGAGTCCATTTTCAGTGATTTTGTCTCCCACATGTTCTCTCTCAAAATCTTCATCTCTAATCCTAGACATTTTGCCATTCTACATATCTCCCCAGACTGTGTGGGTGGGATGTACCACCTGATGAAAACCCATGCAGATACAGGGAACCATCAGCATCACCAGTATCCACCCAACTATATCACAATTCCTTTCTCACTCCTTCATCTCTCTTCCATTTCCCAACTTTTGCTACCATTTCCCAGTCCCCTTTCTCAGCATACAAGTTGGACATCAACACAAAAGAACCCAGATTCCATTGGTTCCAATCTCATTAATGTATTGGCTACTCTCTCCGCCATCTCCACATTCCCATGGATCCTGCAAGCCCCGAGCAGGCTATGCAACAATGAACACCCTGGCTGTCCCGGGATCTGACTCATCAATTCCTCTGCTTCCTCCAATTTCCCTGCACGTCCCAACATGTCCGCCATACTTGAATAATGTTGAGGAGATGGTTCAATATGATAGTCCTTCACCATTGAATGAAAGAGGTGACGGCCCATCTCCACCATTCCATTTCTGCAGCCTGCTGCTAGTATAGAAAGAAATGTGACTGAATCAGGTCTTACCCCTTCTCTCTCCATCTCCTTGAACAATTCTATCACTGAGTCATAGTCTCCATGCCCAGCATATGCAGATATTATTGCAATCCAAGCAAACTGACTTTTATGAGGCGTCTCACTGAAAACTCTTTTGGACTCACAAATGCTTCCTCGCTTTGCATACATATCAAGAAGAGCACCTGCGATAATTGGGCCAGTCACTAATCCAAGTTTGATCAAGGAAGAGTGGCATCATTGGCCATATTTCAGAGAAATATCATGAGCATCACCAATTGCACTCAAAACAATACCAAATGTGTAATTGTTTGGCTTCGACTCCATAGTTGCTACCAAGTATGTTTTTAGTGCATCTTGACACAGCCCATTCTGAGCATACCCTGAAATCAAAGCATTCCAAGATATGATTTCTCTGCAGTTTAACTCCAACTTTGATGGAGTCATGCATGGACTCAAACTTAGCATACCCAAGCTGTTGCAAACATTATGCTTTGATAAAAAGCCAGCCTTTATGCAAAACCCATGAATCATTTCCCCTTCCTCCACCAACTTCCTAATTGATATAGCATGGATTATTCCAACAAATGTAACATCATTTGGATATACTCCATCCAATCTCACCTCATTAAATAGAGAGATGGCATCTTCTTCGTCTATTGAAATCATAGTTGTCCAAGACACTATGTTGCGATAATTCATGCACTGAAAGACTAATTTTGCATCTTCAGTAACCTCACACTTTGAATATGTCGAGATCAATACATTACAAACTGAAACATGACTTCCATATCCTGATTTAATTGTCAAGCCATGTATCTGTTTCCCAAGTTCTAAATTCATTTCATGACCACAAGCTGAAACTGCACTAGTAAATGAGACATGATCTAACCCCATCCCTTCTCCCACCATCTCAATAAAGACAAAAATCGCCTCAAGCCCATGATTTCCCTCTTGAGAGTAACCTGCTAGTATTGCATTCCATGAAACCAGATCCTCATTCGCCATTTCATCAAACACATTCCTAGCTTCTATTAACCGCCTCTACCTTGAATACATACGTATAAAAAAAAAACTTCACCATCTAAACCAAACTTAAATATAAGGGAATGCAGTTATAATCCAAATAGAAAATCTTCATGATCCGCACAAAAAGCAAGAATCGTAGTATAAGTCACTGGATAAAAAAGAACTCCATTAAAATTCATCATAAGAGCAAAATTCAATGCACCCTCACTTGTTCGAAACCCCGAAAGAATAGTATTCCAAGAAACTATATCAGTACAGCACATAGTCTGAAAGATAAGTAAGGGACCATCAAATTGACCATCAAACTGACCGGCCTTGATAGCAAGGGTAACGGTATTTTCATCGATGATATGAGACAAATGTAGTTGAAGTTTCTTACAGAACATGTCAAGGGCTCTAAGGGTAACGGTAACTTCATCGTGTTCATTTCTCTGTCTCTTCATTCCACTCGCGCACCACATTCCTCTGTGAGTGCAAGTTTTGTCTGTCTTCATTTGGAACAAAAAAGAGGTGCCAGACCCGCCCAGGCCACCTAGGCGCCGCCTAGACCCACCAGAGCCGCCCAGGCCGCCTAGGCCCGCCTAGAACCGCCTAGAACCTCCTAGGCCGCCTAGAACCGTCCAGGCCGCCTAGAACCGCCCAGGCCACCTAGAACAGCCCAGGCCGCCGAAACTCCCTTATAGTATCAGAGTTGTTATCTTAGTGGAGATTTCAATGGCTGAATGACATTTGATGGTTTTCGTAGAGAGATTCCAATCCAATCCAATCCAATCAACGGAGCAGCTGAAACGAAAGGAAAAAAATCGAAGTTTGAGTTGAGAGAGAGAGAGAGAGAGAGCCTCAAGACCGAGTCTTTGAAGCTTGGAAGCGCTTATGGAGTAGCGAAATGGCTGTGACTGCGAGTGCAAGCTTCGCGTTTGTGAATATATTTCAGCAGTATAGCCGTTCGGCTATACCCTAAAATATTCTAGAGCATAGCCGACCGGCGATACCGTGAAAATAATATATTTAAGTAGTATAGACGCTGGTCTGTACCTTTATATATTCGAAGCGTATAGCCGTAGGGCTATACCTTGAAAATAATATATTTAAATAGTATAGCCGTCCGGCGATTCTATGTAAATATACAATTTTGTCATGTTATTTTAAAATACCACTTTAGCTAATTAGGATAGAGTTATTTCTTCAATTATTTTTTTATTTATATAAATGATATTGGGGAATGAGAATTTAAATTCTTTCCGACACCTCCAATTCTAATGATTTCCAGCTATTAGTCCATTAGGCAAGAATAAAAATGGATTTTATTTATAAGAATTAATACGGGTTAAACCCATAAATACGACAACAACAAAAGGGGATCCACCAACATTTTGGGGATAAAAGAATCTTGAATTTCGTATTATAAAATTGCTTGTGCAAGAATTTACTTAGAAGCATCATTCAAGCAAAATGAAAAAGTAAAAAATAAAACATAGAAAGTTTAATAAAATTGAACCATCCTTGGCAATCCAAAAAAGAAGAAATAAATAACCTAGAATTGGAAATGAAAGAATGTGTCTGCATATCATGGTCCTCCTTTTGGATAATGAACATGAAGTAATTTCAAGAAGTATAGATAATAGCAAACATGGAAGATGAAAGAAGATAGATTGCATACACTTTAACTGGGGGACGCCTTTTCACTTTTATACAGGCTTCAACATTGTCTTGCTTTATGTGTATCAGCTACCTGTGGAGTTTCCAGATATGTTACAATGGATAGCTGATTTCATTGGTGTGTGCAAGATTACATTCGGATTGGACTGAAGTTTGTTCGAGCTTCTGTCTTCTACTTTTCTACATCATGGTACGTCTATCTTTTATGACATCTACAAATCCAACACAGTTTATGCAGGATACTTGAAAACCAGTGACTTTAGCTTCTCTACAGTGTAGGTTCTGCAAGTTGATCATGTAATAATTCATTCCTGGATGGTATGGTTATATCATCCAAGCAAATTGATCAGTTAAGAACCATGCAGATTTGGATTATGTGCAACAGAGAATCTTATGTTACTTATCAAATGTGTGTGTGTGTCATCCTTGCTACTTTGCTACATAAGTGTTCCAATTCTTAAAATCCTTGCCGCATTGCTTACCTTGTTGTGGTTTTGCTTTTACCTTTTCTTCCTTCTAAGGCAGCTATCCTGTGTTAAATGTGATCTAGAGGAAATGGATTTAATGTTAAATGAATGATCCAATAATTTGAGTTTAGAAATCAATTCCTCATCTCTCTCAAGCGCAAGAGAGAAAAAAACTCTCAAATTGAAGGGGGTAGTAGAATATTTAAAAAATTATATTAAAATAGTACAGCCGATCGGCTATATTCTTCGAATATATTCGAATATTTTAACAGTAGAGCCAACCGGCTGTACCCTTCGAGTATATTCGGATACGTTAAGTCTAGCCGAGCGGCTGTACTTTGAAAATACTATATTTAAATGGTATAGCCGCACGGCATCATTGGCCATATTTCAGAGAAATATCCCGAGCGTCACCAATTGCACTCAAGACACTACCAAATGTGTAGTTGTTTGGCTTCGACTCCATAGTTGCTACCAAGAATGTTTTTAGTGCATCTTGACACAGCCCGTTCTGAGCATACCCTGAAATCAAAGCATTCCATGATATGATTTCTCTGTAGTTTAGCTCCTCAAAAACTTTGATGGAGTCATGCATGGACTCAAGCTTAGCATACATGATGATCAAGCTGTTGCAAACATTATGCTTTGATAAAAAGCCAGTCTTTATGCAAAACCCATGAATCATTTCGCCTTCCACCAACTTCCTAACTGATATAGCATGGATTAGTCCAACAAATGTAGCATCATTTGGATATACTCCATCCAATCTCATCTCATTAAACAGAGAGATGACATCTTCTTCGTCTAAACTGAAACATGACTTCCATATCTTGATTTAATTGTCAAGCCATGTATCTGTTTCCCAAGTTCTAAACTCATTTCATGTCCGCAAGCTGCAACTGCACTAGTAAATGAGACATGATCTAACCCCATCCCTTCTCCCACCATCTCAATAAAGACAAAAATCGCCTCAAGCCCATGATTTCCCTCTTGAGAGTAACCTGATAGTATTGCATTCCATGAAACCAGATCCTCATTCGCCATTTCATCAAACACACTCCTAGCTTCTATTAACCGCCTCAACCTCGAATACATACTTGTAAGTGCATTTCCAACAAAAACTTCACCATCTAAACCAGACTTAAATATAAGAGAATGCAATTGTAATCCAAATAGAAAATCTTCATGATCCGCACAAAAAGCAAGAATCGTAGTATAAGTCACTGGATAAAAAACAACTCCATTAAAATTCATCCTAAGAGCAAAATTCAATGCACCTTCACTTGTTCGAAACCCCGAAAGAATAGTATTCCAAGAAACTATATCAATATAGCACATAGTCTCAAAGATAAGTAAGGGACCATCAAACTGTCCAGCTTTGGTGTACATACACATCAAAGAATTTGAAATCGTAGTATACGAAGCAAACCCAGAAGAAACTGCAAACCCGTGAATCTGGCATCCGGGTTTGGGGTCCCCTTGACAGGGTTTGACAGCAAGTGTAATGGTAACTTCATCGATGTTATGAGACAAATGTAGTTGAAGTTGCTTACAGAACATGTCAAGGGCTCTAAGGGTAACGGTAACTTCATTGAGTTCGTTTCTCTGTCTCTTCATTTCACTATCGCACCACATTCCTCTGCGAGTGCAAGCTTCGTCTGTCTTCATTTGGAACAAAAAGGAGGCGGCCAGACCTGCCCAGGCTGCCTAGGCGCCGCCTAGACCCACCCTCGCCGCCTAGAACCTCCCAGGCCGCCTAACACCCTTATAGCATCAGAGTTGTTATCTTAGTGGAGATTTCAATAGCTGAATGACATTTGATGGTTTTCGTAGAGAGGGTCCAATCCAATCCAATCAACGCAGCAGCCGAAACAAAAGAAAAAAAAATCGAAGCTTGAGTTAAGAGAGAAAGAGGCTCAAGACCGAGCCTTTGTAGCTTGGAAGCGCTTATAGAGAAGCATCTGTGGCTGCGAGTGCAAGCTTCGCGTTCGTCAAGCTTCGGCTATACTGTTAAAATATTCGAATATGTTCCAAGGGTATAGCCGCGCGGCTATACCTTCAAAATAATATATTTAAACAGTATAGCCGCACGTCTATACCTTTAAAATATTCGAATATATTCAAAGAGTATAGCCGTACGGCTATAACGTTAAAATAATATATTTAAATATACAAATTTGCCATGTTATTTTAAAATACCACTTTAGCTAATTAGGATAGAGTTATTTCTTCAATTGTTTATTTTTATTTTTTATACCAGTGATATTGGGGATTTAGAATTTAAATTGTTTCTGATACCTCCCATTTTAATGATTTCTAGCTATTAGTCCATTAGGCAAGAATAAAAAAATGTATTTTATTTATAAGAAATAATACGGGCTAAACCCATAAATACAACAACAAAAAATAGGGATCCACCAACATTTTGGGGATAAAAGAATCTTGAATTTCATAGTATAAAATTGCTTGTGTAAGAATTTACTTTCTAAAATGTATCCATCGTAATTATGAACTAAACCCAATGACATCATTTTTCTCATTGCACTTGACAACCCTACTCTTTTGATATGAGATATATCAGTTCGCGTTGTATTCTTTGCAGATGAAAAATTGGAAACAAAATAATCTAATGAGACAACGAAGAGGAGTTTTGAAATAAATTGAAGGTATCAGAGGTCATATGACATTGATATATATATATATATATATATATATACAAACAATTCTAAATGAGATTTCAAACAACGTGTTAGATGAGAAGTAGCATCTCATTCTTACATATACCATACCCACGTGCACCTGAAATTCCCAACGTTAAGAGGGGAGAAAAGTGCAGAGCGCAGGAGATCCAACCTTTCATGAGGAGGTTTGATAAAGAAGCAAGCTGCATCCAATTATACATTAATACCAGCAATCACAGACCACAATATACTCAATTTTAATAAAGAGAAATATAAAATTACCTAGAAGCTGAAACGCTCAGGATCTTGTTATACTATCATAGATCAAAAGGGCACATAGGTATACTGAACACAAGAATAGGGGAAGGAACCATTCTTATGTACACTGACATTACATATAAATAAGATATGTTGATCTAGAGATAAATATCCTCCCCAAATGTTCCAAGCAGAAGCTTCCTAAAGATGAAATCTGAATATGACAGACATTTCAATGGAACAAAAGGTTTAACCTAATAAAACTAATCCTTCATTTCCAACCATTACAACTGACCACCAAATTGAAACATGCAGTCTCAGTCAAGCAATAATATTAATCTGATTCAGGATATTTTTTAAGGCCATCCATATACCTATTATAGAGGACTAAGAGATTTAACTTATGGAGATAACCCATTAAAAAAAATTAAAACAAAAAAGAAGGTAAATTCTGAGTTCATTCAATTGATGTCATTCCTGAGCATTTTACCTTGACGTGCTGCTCTTTTACCTCGCCCTATCCATAACCGAGCATACTCTGCTGCATTATTTGTCAATTCCTGCAACTGGACAGGTATTGAAGTTAAACCGTATAGGCGCAACCAATATGAGGGGGAAAAACATGGAAGAACTTTGTCCTACATCTTCCTACAGTGATGCATGTTACACTTCAGGATATTAATACATTAGCTACAGGGCCTTTTAGCAATGACATTATTAGACTTAATTCAGTGACAACTATAATACATTTGAAGATTTACAACTAAATTCCATTAGGTCACATGTCACATGTAAAATAAGATGCCTCATCCACAACACTTTAAGCTCTGATTTTTGTATCCCAAGTTTTGCCAATTGAAGTTGAAAACTACGCAACTTTTGCATCTAGAAAAATGTGTGACCAATTTATTAATAAAAAAATAAATAACTCAAAAGAATTGATAAGCACCAGATCAAGTTTAACTCAAGCTTTTTACTATTCTCTACAACAAAAAATTTAAATATAAAATATAAAAGAAAAGAGCACACTCTAATAGAGAGATTACAGCAAACCAAATTGTCATGAACTTACGTCTGCTCTCTCTCTCTAGACCATTCTGGTGGATATATGTCCTGTACCCATACGGTAGAGCACATCAAAAGACAAAAATATTGAACAAGAGCAGTAACTAAAGATCAAATGAATGGCTAGACATCTCATAAGACAACTCATCCATCTTGGTCCCAAGATCGAATTATACGAAACCGTCAGTGACTTTCAATCTGCATGAAATAGTATTATTATAAGTGTGTGAATGGATCATTAAAAAAAAACATCATAACTTCAAACAAAATACGTTCTGATATGGAAATATTTATCATAGATAAGCCTAATAGTTAATTTGCAACCTCGGGTGTATAAATAAAGACAAAAAATAAAGGATAATTGTTCATTAAATGAAAAGTAGATCAGTTTTAGCATTCATAATGCATTAAAACAATGTAAACGGAGCGCAAAAGTAGAGATTGAAACTTATACTTTGGGTCAAACTTTATGTACCTTATGAAAGTTAAAAGGGAAAGAAAAGGACCAGTGACACTAATCTACCGTTCCCATCCGACAGTTGCCTTCCATTATACTCCTTATCCGTTGTTTAAGTGACAAGGTACAAGCAAAAATCTATGAATATTCAACAAAAACAACAAAACACATGGATCACATGGACCGTAGAAAAGTACCAAGTAGGCATACAAAACTTGCTAGATAACATTTTCAACATAGTTATTTTGCAGCAAATGCACTTCTACGTTTAAATATTTTATGAAAGTCATATGTGAAAAATACAAACTGCTAACCAACTTACCATAAGTCTATACTGAGGTTCAAAAATGGGTAGCAGAAACTTCTGAAATGGGAGGACACCATCCATTACAATTAAAGAGTGGCATCATATCAACACCAAAGTTCGTCATTGTATCGTTCTCCAACTTCCTCTCGGCAAATTCCTCTGGGAATTTCTTTTGTTTAATGTCATTAAGTGTCACAATGGGAAAAACAAAAAGAAGATATTGAAGGTGTCAGAACTGAATCAAACGATCTTGGTAAACTCTGAAAGCTATAACACTAATTAAGCACAAAAAATTAGAATGCACATATCATTCTAATTTCATATTACTTGGAATTTTTTTTTTCTTTCCAAAATCTAGAAACCACAAATCCACTAATTATTATACTCTGTAAAAGTGAGAATGCCAGACTTAATCTATAATAGGTGGAACTCCTGGGGGATGCGCAACCATGTCCATTACAAACAGCATAGGTATAGAAAACCATAAAGCAACAATTCTGATGTCAAATGTGTTGGGCACAAAGGACATTTGTTACCTAGGAAAATTAACACAAGTCAAGGACTAAAAAGGGATTAGAAGATGGATATAGACTAACTCAATTAAATAGAATCAATAACAGCAAAACACTCACCTCGATCCATTGACTGAAATAGCCATGAAATGCCCACAAGCAGTTGTGACAGGTTCAGGTTCATATAGTAATTTCAAGCATAGTGTGCAATCAAAGTCATCACTGCGTTATGCTTTTCTATGGCTTCTCCTCCCTGTGAAATTAGCTTGTATTCTCTCTAAATTCTGAAAACATTCCTGAAAAGGATTGCTACAGAATACCACACAAAAGATAAAATAATATAACATTTTAGAATTTCACAAAACCAAATACAATAGCCAGCCAGCTGGTATTACACAATATATACTTAATATCTATGTTTTGTTAAATAAACATAATTCCAGTAAACAAATTACTCAATTTCTTCCTGGGTCTCTCAACATTTTCTCAGCAACCAAACAAAAACCATCTGCTGGGCTTCTTCTGGCATACTAAGAAACTGCCTTGGATGTTCATCTGACGTTGCCAACTTCAATAACAGAAAAGCACAAACAAAAATCGAATCAACACAGCAGCCGAACCGAAGAAAAAAAATCCAAGCTTGAGTTGAGAGAGAGGCTCAAGACCGAGTATTTGAATTTTGAAGATTGGACTGCGAGTGCAAGCTTCGTGTTCGTTTCTCTGTCTCTTCATTTCACTGCGAGTGCAAGCTTCATCTGTGTTCATTTGAAACAAAAAGGAGGCCCAGACCCGCCCAGGCCGCCTAGGTGCCGCCTAGAACCGCCCAGGCCGCCTAGGCGCCGCCTAGAACCGCCCAGGCCGCCTAGGCGCCGCCTAGAACCTCCCAGGCCTCTTAGGCGCCGCCCAGAACCGCCCAGGCCGCCTAACTCCCTTATAGCATCAGAGTTATCTTAATTAGTGGAGATTTCAATAGCTGAATGACATTTGATGGTTTTCATAGAGAGAGTCCAATCCAATCCAATCAACACAGCAGCCGAAACGAAAGAATTATTTTGAAGCTTGAGAGAGAGAGAGAGAGAGAGAGAGAGAGTCTTTGAAGCTTGGAAGCGCTTATAGAGAAGCGAAACGGCCGCGACTGCGAGTGCAAGTGCAAGCTTCGTGTTGGTTTCGAATATATTTGAGGAGTATAGCCGTGCGGCTATACCGTTAAAACATTCGGATATATTCAGAGAGTACAGCCGCACGGCTATACCGTTAAAATAATATATTTAAATAGTACAGCCGCTCGGCTATACTCTTTAAATATACAATTTTGTCATGATATTTTAGGGTTTAGGGCTAAAATACCACTTTAGCTAATTAGGATAGAGTTAATTCTTCAATTATTT